CTTCTTGGAACGTGCCGTCGCGAGCCGTGACAGTTACATCTAGACTCTGGATTACGTTTGCTCACTTCTGCGTAACTTGTCTCTCTGCTATGACTATTTAATGACGTTTTCCGATCCCTTCTGAACGAACTCCTGTGGCTGTGACTACAGGAGAGTCCATGGGGGTGTGACATGTCACCACATCAAAACTTTGAGGCGTCGCAGGTGGCCGAGTGATAGGCAGTGGAGCGCTGTGAGTGAGGGACGATTGCAGAACCAAGATGTGCATTCCGCAACAAGAGCCGAGTTTCATCAGCACCCAAGTTTTCACTGTCCATATAACACACTGTCATTTCCATACTATCAATATTTTCACATCTCACATTAACAAAATAGGGTGGCAGCCGGGAGCGAATCCAGCAGAGAGGCGTTAAAGCGCATCCATTAGAGAGTCCTAGCGGTGAATCCACTACTGACGCCTTGGGGGCGGATGCCGTCGTGAGGCCCAGGTAACAACGAACCTTCGCCGTTCGCTAGCCATGATGGATTAAGACACATGGAGTCGCTGGCAATGATATTTGGGTACCAAAGAAACTTGTGCCACTGACGTTCCTTCCGCAACAACGCGGTTGTCATTTGGCGTGGCAAAACTGTGATCGCCGGCAGGCTGTGGACTGTATACACTCATGGGCCACGCTACCAAACATTTATCATACTTTCCGCGGCGAAACAGGCAATAGTCGGCAGGCGTTGTAATCACCTACAGATGCTTGCCAAGAATCCCCAGTCCTCTCAGGTGGATTCGCTACCATTACTCTGTACTGGTTTCTCTCCCCCGGCTCAGTCCTGGAGTCGCTCCTAGGGCCTTACCACTGCATTAGCTCCCAGGGCTGCATCACTGCACTCGCTCCCAGAGCTCACCATGGCATTCGCTCCCGGGGCTCTGTACTGCATTCCTGGCCATGGCCTCTCTGCTGGATTCGCTGCCATGGCCTCTCTGCTGAGTTTGCTCCCAGCTGCTCTACAGCATTCGCTCTCATAGCTCTGTACTGGATTCGCTGCCATGGCTCTGTACTGGATTCGCTGCCATGGCCTGTCTACTGCATTCGCCCCCATGGCGCTGTACTGTATTCGCTCCAAGGCCTCTCTGCCTCTGTACTGGATTCACTGCAAGGCATCTCTGCTGGATTCGCTGCAAGGGTTCTGTACTGGATTCGCTCCCAAGGCCTCTCTGCTGGATTCGCTGCCAGATCTTTCTACTGGATTCATTCCCAGAGCGCTTGACCGGACTCGCTGCCATGGCTCGGTACTGGATTCGTTGCCATAGCCTCTCTACTTCATTCGCTCCCAGGGCCCCTACTGCTTTCCCTGCCATGGCCTCTCCACTACATTCGCTCCCAGGGCTCTGTACTGGATTCGCTCCAAGGCATCTTTGCTGAATTCGCTATTATGGGGTCGATGATGGGCGGTCACGTGACGGATGTTATTTTTGTTTTTGGTTGTCATGAAAAACATTTTTGATGTGTCGCGAAAAAAAGTTTTTTGGGGCAAGGACTTAATCCAGACTTATGACTGAAGTTGTTACTGGCACCTCGTCCCTCGGTGCTAGTAATTTACGACAGGAATAAGCCTGGTGCGAGACAACAGCGGCCGCAATCACAATGACATCGAACGTAATGCGCACGATTCCAGCCCGCTCCACCCAGGCCGGGCGACAACTCGGGAGCCCTTTTTCCCCTTGAAACACTCACATGCCTTTAAAAGAGCTACAGGATCGTGCCGGCGCTACAATTCTACTTCCAACAACGTCATTGACTGCTGTGGTTCCTACCTAGGTCACCTCACGTGCGCGTAGAATTGCGCGGCTCGTTTCCGTCGAGGGATTACGACCTGGAGGTATGGCAGGTCACGTGAAGAATGCAGTCGGACGGCTCTACCGGTTGTGAGCAGATTTGTCCCGACGGTTCGATTGCGGTAATAGGGGTAACTACTGATTTCAGGCCATCTCGGACGGTTGAGATGCGCTTCCCAGCCTGTAAACGCATTGTCCTGAACGGCGTTGGGACGTGTTTGACGTCAAAGAGGTGAAGATGTCCGTCCGGCACCGAGTGCGAAGAATACGTAGGATGTCGAACTCCACCGATAGTAAAAATACCAAGCAGAGTGATAAACCGTGACTGCCTATCGGGTTGTTTAATGCGAGAGGGTAGAGTGGAATAAACGTCGGCGTGCACTCCAAGAGAGAAAATTTTAGACGTCAGTCTCTCCCTCTCGTCGCCGACAGGTAGTCAGTGGACCGATAGTTCCCGAGCTGAGGTTGAAGATATCGCATACTCCGTGGATAGAAGTGCGGGAAATCCTGTGCCGGAAAGGAATGTCATATGAGTGTACTGCATCCGCCTGGAAGTGGGCCACTGCATATGGCCGCACATCCGGCATTGTGCGCACCTTCAAGAGACCGGGAAAGCCGTTGACGAGAGTTTGGCGGGCGTCATCACCGTTGTCGTCATGCGGGTAGCGATCCACCGAACGGGGAGGGCACGATGAACCCGGTCCTAGCTACTGCAGACGTACATACGCAATACTGACTGGGTGGGGAGATATAGAGAGGTTGCGAAAGCTGGAATCAGCCGGTGGACTGAGGCCTCCCCTCGGGAACAGGATCGCGGATGGCTGGGCCAACCCGAGCGAGGACATGGATCCGGATAACTACGCACGCACCGGGTCCGGGATGTCGGCGAATTCCCGGACCGGCTGGGAAGAGGCGATGGAATGAGGCACAGACCACTCTTGCAATAAAAATCCTGTCATTGTCGGCCCATCTTCAAATACTGCTTCCATAAAATAAGATAAAAACACACCATAGGTATTGCGTAATTAGGCGGAAGATCGGGAAAGGCGGAGTTGCTGCGTCGGAGCCGTTATCGGGACTGCAGACAGGACTAGGGAGAGTCAGTATGTTGCCGCCATTCGCGCTTGTGCGGATTGTTGCTCTAATCGGAAAGGAATTGGCGTGCCTGAATTGCCAGTCCGTGCCAACTACTCTTGTTGCATTCCGAACCACCTGATCCAGCCACAGTGTATCTGATCCAATCAAAGTGGATTAGCTTCTTATTTGAATCCTGTGCAATCGGATCCGATCCCAATACTATCCGATGTGGTGGCAATGAAACTTGACAGAATCTTATCTGATCTCACTCGGTATGCCGACTAGTCATATGTAGACTGAACAGATGCTTCCATAACACAATCCACTCCACTCTATATCGGCGCCGGATCTTGGACTCGGAACGATCCAGTGGATCCTCCTGGCCCTGCCAGATTTCGTTTCGTTGGGTCAGGTGTCTAGCTGCAATTCACCGTAGGTTTGGGTCGGCCCTAGGAATTTACCCCAGCTCTGACCACCACTGGATAATAAGGAAGTAAGCGCTTTCACACTGGTACCTACATGAGTGGAGTAATTCTCGTCAGACCCCCGCGTGGTGTTGTGATTAACGAAAAGAATTGTCCGTGTAAATAGCAACCGGCTTCCGCATGCGATCGTGTCCGGTCGCGCTAGAAGTGACCACGAAAAGAAAGCCTTCTGGAGACGGAGAGGCGTATTTATGTACGTGTTACATGCCATCACCGCAGCCATAGCCTGATGGCGTGCACTCATTACCCGACTGTCGAGCTCGTTCCGCAGCACATTCGGATCCATAATGGACTTACATAACTTCCAAGCCAGGCTCGTTTACCGTACCCCCAATCCCGCGCCCCCGTGATCGATAACCTTGCCTCCGGAGTACATCCGCGACGACATTTTGCAGCTCGCGCGCCATTCTTCCGAGCCTCCAAAAATGAGCCGGCATACCTACCAGTATGTACTATATGCGTACAGTAGAGTACAATAAGCCACCCACAAGTCGTCGTCGTCTAGGGCTGCCGGACTCGGCGACGAGGAAAAAGTTTCCGCGCATCCGCCGCATTGACCCATCTCGGTGGGAATGGTGCCGATGTCAGGCTGGTACGATCAGACGTACGGGGGGGAAATAAAAGGGTTTTCGGGATGACCGGGAAGCGGGGTTGTCCATGTAGCCGACAGGTTGTCAGGTTATCAGGTTGGCAGTACCGTTGCAGTAGGGGTCTGTAGTATAGAGTGTGTACCTGCGTGGCAGGGGTCATGTTTTGTATGGTTACTGCTAGGCGGGCGCGCGGTCTGGGATAAACACCCTCTCCATATCCGCCCCTGCGAATGACAGACGGATGACCGTGGGGCCGTATGCAGAGATCGGGGATACATACCTCCTACCTGGATATGTAAACTTTCTTCCTTCACCACACCGCACGGATCGGAGAAGAGTAAGAGAGAAACGCCTACTGTACTGCAGACACCTATCGGACATGCAGTGGCAGCAAACATTTGAGCAGCCACTGTCTTCTTTGATCCATATGTTGCATCATGCACATGTGTACTTTGCTCAAGCCCCAGAATTGACGATATCCAAGCTGCCAACTGTACGCAGGAGCATATGTATCTTCGCTACTGGTACCCACTGCACGGCCTTCGGTCACACAGTCCAGATCCCAATCTACGCGGCTAAATGCCAACATTGGCGCTTTGCTCGGGCTACGTCAAACTCCACTCTTCTCTAGTTATGTCTGGGGTGCATATGCGCATCTGCACCCCGCGCGCGATCTCATTCCGAGGTTGCTTTTCCTCCTGCACGCTGGCTAATCGTAGGCTATGTAGGCCGGATGATTGTAGCTTCTAGCCCCCCTCCCCCGTCCCCCATATGACACCGCCATGCACCTAATGCATGTTACTGACCCGGAGGTTACAGAATGGCCGGCCTCGATGCTATGTAGATTCCAGGAACGCGTTTCTGGGGGCACGCCACCGAGTCTGTGGGTGAAACAGCCTTACACTGACTCGGACAAACCCCGATGTCCGCTGCTTTGCCACTGTTATATTGCCTCCGTATATAAGACTGTCTCCATGTCCTCACCGATGACTGCTTCTTTCCGCCACTACCTACTCCGCCATCACCACCACCACTAGTACACACCAGTACCACCCAGTAATCGCCAAGATGAAGTTACTCTCTTTCGTCGTCACGACACTCCTTTCCATCACTGGCCTCGTCGCCGCCGTGAGTCCTGGTACCTGCACTGGTACTTGCCAGGGATACTCCCATGACCCTGCAATCATGCGCCGTGTCAGCGACGGCACCTACTTCCGCTTCAGCACCGCCGGCAAGATCAACATTGCCACCTCGTCCTCCCTTCAGGGACCTTGGACTTTGAAGGGTGCTGCCATCACGGCCGGTTCCAAGATCGGCATCGCCGGTTCGGATGGTATGTTTTTCCAGTCCTGATCCTCTAGATATCGATCGAAAAACCGTTACTAAGGACTACAGACCTCTGGGCTCCCGATATTTACGGCCCCATCAGCGGCTACTACTACCTATACTACTCCGTCAGCACCGTATGTAGCTCTACTCCCCGTATCATCGGTCACCACTCACACTCCCTCCACAGTTCGGCAGCCAAGTCTCCGCCATCGGTGTTGCCCGCTCAACCACCATGGACGTCGGCACCTGGGAGGATCTCGGCGCCACTGGTATTTCCTCCAAGGCCGGCAGTGCCTACAACGCCATCGACGGCAACCTCGTGAGCACTTCCGACGGATACTACATGACATTCGGCAGCTGGTGGAACGATCTGTACCAAGTAGCGATGGCCGACCCGCCGACCAAAGTCCGTTCCGGCTCCACCTCTTACCAGGTCGCATACAACAGCACCGGCGGCCACGCCGTCGAGGGTGGCTTCGTCTACGCCCGCGGCAGCTACTACTACCTCTTCTTCAGCTCCGGCGTCTGCTGCGGCTTCGACTCGTCCCGCCCCGCCCAGGGCGAGGAGTACCGCATCAACGTCTGCCGCTCCACTGCTGTCGGCGGCCCGTACGTTGACGCCTCCGGCCGCTCGTGCAAGACCACTGGAGGAACCACCGTTCTCGCTTCGAGTGGAAACGTCTACGGGCCCGGCGGACAGGGTGTTTACGCTGATCCCAAGCTCGGCGCTGTTCTCTACTACCACTACGGTTCGTCCCCCCCCCACCCTCCACCCCCCTCCCCCACCATAGCGAAAGTAGGCGGTTGCTGATATGTGTGATACTACAGTCAATACGAACGTTGGATACGCAGATGGCCAGAAGACTTTCGGCTGGAATGTGCTCAGCTGGAGCACTGGCTGGCCGGTGGCGACGTAAACGGATGGGAAGGAAGGAAGCAATCGAGTGTGCAGATGTTCATAGTCTCATTAATATGGCGTTTTCTGCAAAAGAATCATTGTTTGTTTTCTGGTACGGACTGGGGCGCTGGATGCATCTTGCAAGTGACATGTAGAGAAGTAGGACTGCACCACATGGTCCAACCTTACCAGGAATTCTGGTTTCGCCGTGGCACGAGGCACGGCTGCTCGACCCCGCTCCGAAGAACGAGGCAAGATCGATAACCACACGTCGTTCCGTCACGCTCGTACATACGCCCAGCTGTCGCGGCGGCATCTACGCCTAGGAACCTTGTATGTAGTAGTAATAGTAAGATCGATTGGGAACTGCACCAGAAGATCAGCTCGCGAACGATATAGGTAGTGCTACTGTAATATTCCCTGGTCACGCATTACCAGCCTATCCCACCGCGCGTTGGCATAGCCGGCCGGACTCCGTTCCGAAGAACGCATCCTTCTCCCGGACGTCTTTTTGTTCTCCTGATCATCCCAATGCTCGTAACTTGTAAGTTCGTAACCTCCACGACGGACCGTTCGATCCGCCAATAGCAGTTCCAACTTCCGTTCCGTTCTAAAACCGCCGCATGAGATGCCGCTGCTTGTCAGCAAAGTCACGAACACTTTGGAGCGGCTCAATCCGGGCCGGCCGCTGGCGCCTGCTTTGAGCGAGACGATGTGTGCTTTGCGGCGTTTTCGGTGAAACTTTAAAGTGATGCGTGTCATGGCCAATCACTCGTGCAAATACTTCTCGGATTTGTCAAGAAAAGTGGTATCGTGAGATAGTGTACAGTGTATCATACACGACAGAGCGAAAGGCATATGTACAGAAAGGCTCGGGGGTGCCTCGGATAGAGGTCCTCTCGCCACCTCCGTGAGAACGGATAACGCAAGTATCTCGACATGGCGAGTGATCGTTCATGGCCCAGTCCGCGGAAGTGACGCGGTACACGGAAGTTCGTGAGATTATGACAGGATTATCGGATTTTCAGCTTCTGGTAATCATGATACGTGGGGTTTTTTACTTGCATTCTTTGCTTGGTATGGTCTCCAGAGTTTCAGTAAAGGCCAGGGCAAGCGCGGGATACAGAGAGAGGGGGTGAAGGATGCGTGCAGAGAGCTGCTGCGAACTAAGCGGGGTCGATTTTGATAGCAGAGACAAAACACCAACGGTGCGTGTATACTGCCATGATCAATATGAGTTATAAAGAATTCATAATTTAAAAAAGCTAAAAAAGATCATGATACTGTCCGCAAATAGCAGGAGAATATTGCTGCCATCAGAGTGAAGATTGGTGTATTGTTTACTGCCTGTCTAGGGTATGGAGATCTTGCCCGACGCGGCCTCAGTCATCTGACTGTCGGCGAAATATTTTTTTTCGAGGGCGAGTGACAGAACATGAAGGGCTGCAACGGCTAGTTGACTGTTGAGGTCGAAAACAGGTTTTTGCCGATAGCGCATCCAAGTATAAAAGAACCCATCCCCACCCCTCCTCTCTTCTTCTTTTTTTCTACATCGCACACCCTTTTGACCACTTTCCCCCCATAACCACCATCTACAATCTTCACTTTTCCACACCTACATTTTCCCCATCCCCACCATGGTCAAAAGAACTGCGATCGACGAACCTGAAGGGGCTCCACCCGCAAAGTGGACGTCCCGGACGGGGAGTCAACCCCCTCCCCCTCCCCCTCCCCCTCCTGCCCCCCCAGCAGCACCTGCGTCCGTTCCTGGACCCGGTCACGCCGTCCACCCTGGTGCTAGCACCGGGTCGAAGAGACGGGCGACCGAGGATCCAGACGGTGCTAAGTTGCCGCACGCTGATAGTTCGCGTCGGCCGGTCTCTGGGTTTGCCCCACCTCCCCCTCCCCCTCCCCCTCCCCCTGCCCCTGCCCCTGCCCCTGCCCCATATCCCGCGGCCTTGACCGAGTTACGCGACAGGGGCCTGGTCAAGCGGGCTGAAGAGCTCGTGGTGGCCGCCCAAGATTGCTGGAAGAAGGGGAACACTGTGGCTGTTGCACGGCTAGCAGATGAGATTCGGCAGATGAAGAAGATGGCCGATACGCGGACGGATCTATCAAAGCCGACGAAGACGAAAGTCCTCGGAGCCTTCCGGCAGATTCTGACTTGGGAGATCAATCCAAGGCCCAGGCCAAGAAACTTCGCGGAAGCGGAGATCATGGGCAGGGCGGATGCTGAGGCTCGTGCTAGTCAGCAGGCGGAAGCGGATGCGAGGGCGGGGCCTTTTGGCCAAGTCCTGGTGGAAACGGAGGCCCAGGCTCAGGCGCGGGCCCGTGATGCTGAGCTCCAGCGTCAGGCAATGGCGGAAATTGAGGCCAATCGTGCTAGGGCACAGGCGGAAGCGGAGGCGCGGGCTCGGGCTTTTGCTCAGGCCCAAGCCGAAGCGGAAGCGCAGGCTCTGGCGCGGGCCCGTGAAGCGGAAGCGCGGGCGAGGGCTGTGGCCCAAACCCAAGCAAAAGCAGAGGCCAAGGCTCGGGCATGGGCCCGTGAAATGGACTTCCAGAAAGAGGCGGCAGCCAAGGCTCAGGCGGCCACTGAGGCTCGTGCTCGCGCACAGGCTGAGGAGGTGGCCCGTCAGAAGCAGGCGCAGGCGGAAGCTGAGGCTCGTGATCGAGCCCAGGCGGAAGCGGATGCGAAGGTGAGGGCTTCGGCCCAAGCACAAGCGGAAGCGGATGCCAAAGCACGGGAACCTGCCCGTGATGCGAACGAGCAGAGGCTGGCAAACGCCACAACTGAGGCAATTGCGAAAGCAAATGCCGACGTTCTGGCTCAGGCGCAAGCCAGAGCCCAGGCGGAGCAGAAGAAGGCCCGGCTTCTAGCAAAGAAGCGGGCAAAAGCTGAGGCTATCGCGCAAGCGAAGGCCGAAGCTCTGGCCCAGGCTCAGGCGCAAGCCCAAGCCCAGGCTCCAGCCCAGGTCTCGGCTTTGGTGCAAGCCCAAGCTGAGACTCCGGTGCAATTTGCGCCGATTACTTCTGCTTCCGGGCCAGCCTCTGCCCCCGTCCAGCCACAGCCGCCGAAGGCTGAATCTCAGAGGGAACAGTCGCCGGTACCGGGGCTAGTGATCTTGTCCGCGCCTCCGACGATCGTTGCCCAGACCGAGCAGCAGCAGCAGTGCGAGCAGCAGCAGCAGTTCGAGCAGCAGCAGCAGTTCGCGACGGGTCTGAGGATCTACGAGGAGCGGCAGGTCCAAGCGCTGCGACGGTACGAAGAACTGCAGCGGCAGTCGCAGCAGCAGCCGGAAGCCAGCAGCGCCCCTCTAATGACGCTGCGGCAGCAACTTCTGCAGGAGTACCAGCTCCATGAGCGTGAGTACGAGCGTATTGTCTCTTTTCAATACGACTACCTGTCAGAGGTACTAGCTGTGGCCAGCACACAGAGTGAGGCCAGCCTGCTGGAGACGTACCAGAGGCTGGTCTGGCAGGCTCAGCAGCAGCCTGAGTTGCTTCGTTTGGGCGGGGTGAATTTCATCCGGCTCTGCGAGCAGCGATGGCAGCAGCTGGAGAAACTGCGACACCAGGCGGAGGTGTACATGCTGGCAACGCTGGAAGAGGGGCGTGTGTGGCTGCAAGAGGTCAGGCAGCGGCTGGAGGAGGTCTATATGGCCTCCTTGTAAGGTAGGTTCTCGATTTCCTGTGTTTCTGCGTTGCTTTCTGCGTTGCTTTCTGCGTTGCTTTCTGCGTTGCTTTCTGCGTTGCTTTCTGCGTTGCTTTCTGCTTGCTTCCTCGATAATTCCTTTCCCCCCCTTCCCCTCTGCCTCGAGTACTTTCTAGACTCGAGTGTAGTTGCGGTCGAGTCCATACCTTTTCCTGGTAACCGGCGGATCCAGGTTTTTAATGGTGGGACGAGGAGACTATGGAAGGGTGTAATATCTGTCATCTTTTTTTTTTTTAATAGAAATCCAGAAAAAACATTTAAAAGTAAAAAACCGTGCCGTCCTTCGTGATTGTTCTCCTGTCGTTTACGCCAGGTAGAGAGAAAGCTCTTCGACTCCCGAAGAGAGAGATCTTCCTGTTTTATTTCGCATGCAGCCTACCTAGAATATGGCGAACCCACGACCTCCGTCTCCTGCACGCCCTGGCCAGTCAAGGTGAAAGCCCCGGTGCCGACCAGTCCGATGCGGCGCCTCACTTCCCCTGTCCATCCGCCTCGGACCATTCGGCGCGTGTTTGTCGTAGGTTAGAACTGCTGGTTGTTATAGAGAGAGAGATCTCATGTTTTATTTCGCATGCAGCCTATCTAGACTATGGCGAACTCACGAACTCCGTTTCCTACTGCCCCCTCGCCCCTCTCCACCGTCTTCCGCTTCCGCTCCACAACCTATCACTGCATATCCTCCTCTCCGACTTCCTCGATCGTCCGCAGACCCAGTACCCTGCTAGGCACTCTTGCTCTGCCCCAGATGCGATGATTGCCTCCTCCTTATCCTCCTCCTCCAGGTCTAGCGGAGCCTTCTTCCCCCCATCCGTCGTTCCTAGAAACTATTCGACTCCCGAGAGAGTGAGAGAGATCTTTCTGTTTTATTTCGTATGCAGCCTATCTTGACTATGGCGAACCGTCACATTCCTTTCCTGCCCACTCTGGCCGGCCGGGGGTTAGGACCCCGTTACCATCTAGCACGATGTGGCGCCGCTGCCAGCAAACAACAAATCAAATCGCACCAAGAAAATATCACCGCCCATTCTTTCCTTACCTCCTGCTTCCTCCCACCAGCCATTCGACTCCCGAAAATTGCAGATCCTTGTGGGTGTAGGACAGGGACCGTGTGATCGATATGTGCCACCACTAACCAGCGTTGCATGATATCTCACTCGCAGATGTGAACAGCTTTCTTGTCAAGAAAAGTGGTATCGCGAGATAGTGTACAGTATATCAGACACGACGGAAGGAAAGGCATATATACAGGAAGGCTCGGGGGAGCCTCGGATAGAGGCCCCGCTCGCCACCTCCGTGAGAACGGATAACGCAAGTTTCTCGACATAGCGAGTGATCGTTCATAGTTCAGTCCGCGGAAGTGACGCGGTACGCGGAAGTTCGTGAGATTATGACATTTCTGCGTATTATTCATCTTGTGGGAATTGAAATAGATTGATAGTTTCTTTCCATAAAAATACTCTGATAAGCGCAGTGAATCATTCCTATACTCCAACAAACACATTCCCATAACCCAATGCATCTCCTAAGCACAACCGGCCAAGAAAAGAGGTATATAAGACAAGAAAAAAGAAATAATAATGCTCAAGGGCGCTGGTCAATACAGCTTCCTTGATGGAATCGGAACAGAGAAAATAAAATTAGCATCCCCCGCCCCCCTGCCCCGCCCTGTGTGGTGTCGCCGAACCTCCAAGATTTCCGTCAAACAGTATATAAACTCCAAGAAAACAATCAGGAAAACCGCGCAGTAAGGTATACAGACAGTAAATTCAAACAAACGAACACACCCTAGCCTAGACAAAGGGAAGGAAAGACAAAACCAATCGGGGCATCGAGACGAACGCCTCTAGCAAAAAAAAAGTCCCCACTGGGCGGAGGCATATGCTACCTCTCCCTACCGACATTTCGCCTCTCACCTTTCGCCTTCGCTGTTCGAGCCACGCGGATTTTCGTCAAGACCACCCATCGCAGCCCAACCTTCCGTCACCGATCCCATATTCCCCCAGATGCGCTTCCATGCGCCAAATCCACTTGCTTCAAAGTTCCCCGCTCCACCGCACTTCCTCCTCCTCCTCCTGGTGCCAGCCCATTCCATCCACCCATCACCAACAGCCAAATCCCACAGTCCCTCATCCCTCCCACGTGAATCACATATCCCTGACGGCCAAAAGTCCCCGTCCCCTTCCTCAGCTCAACATACCGCAAGCAGCTGCAATCTGAATAATGCCGAGCCAACTGGTGTCTCCGGCGGTACACCCGGCAGCGCCGTCGCATCCGTGGCTGCCGGGATTCTTTCTACCGAGACATGTCCATCCACCGCGTGAATGACGAAGTATGCCCGAACGAGTCCAGTACCGGTATCCTCTCGATCTACAATCCAGCGGGGCAGTGTTCGCGATTCCTTCCGCTCCGAGGCGGTCCTGCACACTAGGTACTCGCGATTCACCCGCGCCGAGTGCGGACCGGGGGGGATTTCATCGATCCTCGCGACGTCGAAGCGGGCCTGGTGGCGCTTGGTCGTCTCGGTCGGCAGCCGTGTGTGCTTCCACTGCAGCCGGTCCGTGTGCGTGCGATGGCCGTGCGGGATGCACGCGTAGTACAAGTACCCGCAGGGGTCAATGTGGTCGAGGAGTAGCAGGCCGCGGGCGTCGTCGTAGCGGAATATACTGCCATTTTCGGGATTCCGAAGTCGCTCGAAGAAGGGCCGGTCATCGGTGGGGACTCCGCTGACGAACTCGGACGGCCCCGCGAGAAATACTTCTCGCGGGTCGGGGATCGAGCCTGCCGGATCGGGTGTCGTCTGGATCGCCTGGATCCGGCACTGCCGGAGGCTGCCGAGATACAGGCGCTGCGTGGTAGTGTCCGGTCCGGTCATTGGTCGGCGCATAGCGCGGATCAGCTCGCGCGCGAAATTTAGCCCGACGGCCCCAGCCCCGGCCGCGACGGTATGCTGCTCGGCTGTTTTTTTCTGCATGGGAGGTCAGCTGCCGAAGCTCGCTCTTGTGCCGATGGTAGGAGTTCCTTGCTACATACCTCATCCACGTGTTTAGATAAGCTGCATGCGGAATAAATTGAAGATCTCTCTCTATCCTCCACGTATGTAGAACCACGGTAGGAATCTTTGGAGATGGAACATTCGAGCGTGTCCTTCGGAAAGAGGATGGTTGTGTCTGGATCCGCATCCGTGCCGTTCGCACGCGGCCTCGCCGCGTAGGTGAACTCAACGTTTTGCTCAAAGTAAGAGACGATTGATGAATGGGCCGACATCGTTGCGTGTTAGATTGATTGTGAATACTTGCGAATTTTCCAGCCGCGTTCCTTTTTAAACACTCATCGAGCTGTATTGGAGGCTGTCAAAGCTCTGCTGCTGCGTGTTGTCACTCAATGAATTAGCCTCGCCGCCCAACCTCCAACGCAAGACTATACCTCCTTTGTCCTGTCTCCGCGGGGTTTCGATGCAGCCTCGCCGTGAGTCTGAAGGCGAGACCTCAGATGAACCTGGCCAACCTGGCCAACCCACCCACACGGCAACCGCAGACCATGCGAACTACGTGTTAGCGGGGCAGGGCGGTAAGGGCGAGGACAACAGGAGAGGATCTCCAGCCTCGTAGATATGCGCCTGAGTTTTTTCCTGCAAACAGACTAAAAACGCATTGGTAGACGCAGGTAGATGTGCGCCCATGGATTCATTTTGTGGTCGAGGCTCACAGCCGGGTTCAGTCGGTATGTACTACGGTCATCCACACCTCAGGCTCTTCGGAACAAGGCCTGGAACTACTGAGTTGGCCAAATGTTCGCGCCCTCACATTACGCGATGTGATAGGATCGATGCCAGTGTGTGGCTCTTGGAAATAGAATTCATTGTTACGGCAATGGCGAACCAAAATCACCCAGCTTGTGCTTCAAATTTTCACACCCATTGTTCTACTAGACTCAACTGACATCTTCTCCCACTCGGCCTCTACCACCAACGTGGCCCATCAAACTGCCTTCTTCGTCCGAACTTCACCACCGGCTACAAAGCGACCACACCAAGAAACGAAGCTGCGCGATCAGTTGTCTGTGTTATAGGTGATATCGAAATTAGAGATATACGTTGCGTTGGGTGTTTGCGATGTCCTAAAAGAACGTCTCCCAGCCGAGATACATAGTCGGAATACCACGTAGAAGGGAAGTGGACCGTTAGGCACGTCAAAAGTCCAACCTCTCCGGTTCATCTATCCTCTCGGCGCCTCTACCGCCCCCTCGTCCTCCTCCTCATCTTTCACAAAGAGGACCCCCGTCATAATACTCCCCCAGTCGTCGCAGCGCATCCAAGGGTGTTGGGAAGAGTGTGGTGTATCTTAAAACGTAGACGTACGTAAATACCGGCCACCAATCGTTGGAGAAAGAATATCAACCTCTGAAGTAAGCCTCACGGGAGAGCCCACCGATCGACAGCCCCATCCGAGCTTAGAGTGCGTGAAAGACTCCCGGAACCTATACTGCGGTGACAATATCATCCTCCTGCCGAGCTTGCAAACGGCGCCGGAGGTATGCAGTACGTATTGCCAGCAGTCATTGCTTCTTCTTCTCCAATGCTTCTTAACACGTATCCTTCACGGCAGGAAGGCAACGCCCTCCTGTTCGTCACTTGCACACCGACAGGTGCGTTGTCCTGGGCGAAGCGTCGGTATGACAGATTGCGCAGATGTTCGAAGCAAACCGAGTTGCACGGAGTGTCAGGCTGAGCCATGAGTGGAGCTAAGCAAACAGCGTATCAAGGGCGAACGTCTTCTGTAGCTGAAATGAACACACGTCAGCATATTGAAGATCATTTCAACGTAAAGCAGCTCGGGAACTCGTTGTGGGAGCCTCGGCCTTACGGAGGTCCCCCTTGGGACCGACTGCGGTTTGCTGTGGATTGTACATGCTTCTTAGATCCTCTGCTTGTCCACATAATAACTACCACCACCACCACCGGACGAGCCAGGCCGTGCATTCATGAGCTCACATCATCCCTTCCTCTGCCCCCCAGGGGGGTGAATACTCTGGAGGCAGGGGCATACAGCAGTTTCCTCTGCAGCAGCATCGCTGTGCACTACTTCATCGTGCAGTGGGAGAATGGGTGCTCGCCCAAGATGGGTGTCTCCTGGCTGCATAGCACGTGGAAGCTCTGTTGTTCGCTCCCCTATAACTGGGGATACTATTTGTATACATCGTGACGTTCGATGAATCGAGGCCCAGCGATGCAGAAGATTCCCTGCCCTCGGCCACCCATGCCAAGTGCGTGTGTACCGCGTGCGACCAAGCAGTGGGAGTCGTCGCCTCCGTGGGAAGGTATTCGTCAAGTAGCGTTTCCCGAAACGGCTCCGGCAACGGCATCCCCGAAACAGTGAGTGGCAATTGCACGCAGAGACGGATGTAATCTGACGCCGAGAGAGGTAAGTGTGCCGCGGAAGTGCATAGGTAATTCGGGCAAGTAAGTACGTATGCGAGGAACGGGTTGCCCGCGGAGACGATTAGGGGGGGTGTGGCTTACGGCGTCAAAGAATATTCAGAGCCCGCGGCGGGCGCAGCGAGCGAATTGAGTGGTGTGTTCCGAGCTGAAGACGGTGAGCTCGAAAACACAGAGCGAAAGCGGAAGGGACAATACCAGTATCGTTTCCATTGAGGTGGAAGCGTGGAGTGTGGATGGTGAAGCGGGGCTGGTCGCTCGCGATGGTTCCCTGACTGGATGGGCCGCATGGGCAGTGGCTTAGCGAACGCACGGGCAGGGACATGGTCTACGCACGGGCGGTGTAGGGTGTCGGCACCAACAGGGAAACGAACGCTAACCACTTATCTACCCCACAGCAACACCCAGACCGTGCGTACTAAGCGACGTTACTCCCAGACTCCCAGTGCCCGCATCGCATCACAGCCGCAAAGTGGCAAATCATGGATTGTTTCGGGTTCGCACACCGAATCGGCACGATATGTATCTTCAGTGACGCAGCGTCAAAACAAATCATGAGCTAAAAGCTTGTCTCGCACAGGTGTCTACTTGTCTCTATCCATCACTTGGAGTCGCTATTCATCGCCGGCATCTGAACTCGCGGCCTGTCGTCCTGGCACGCTTTTATCCAGTTCCCTCAAGCTTAATAGTATAAGCTGGCCGTCAGCCGCCCTTGCCGATTGCAACGGCACGATTCTCCCCGGCTAAATATCAGATGAACGTTGTCGGGTGAAGGTGTGATTCGAAGGGGCGTCCGATGAAGCCTTCCTTCCTTCTTCTGCTTCCTCAGTGAAATAACTTCATTGACCAATGACGGATCAGGTCAATCACAATTGAACTTCAACATGGGTGGCCCGGTGGCTCTTCGTCATCGTCGTCAGTTTCGACTGATTGTCCACTGACCTCCGTGGCGCTACGGACCGAAGCCATTGCGTTAGCGATCCATCAGATCTGGGCTGACCACGCTCGATCTGCAGCCACAAGCGTTGTGGTCATTGCCAACACGCGTGTGATTGACTGTAGATTGTGTTCCGATATGATTCCTCCTCATACGGTAGTCTACGAAGATACTCTGGAAGTCTGCGCGGCAATAATCTCTTTCTTAAATATGTAGGTAAATACTAGATAAGCACTTTATTCCCAACGTAGTGGACCTAGGTAAGTACATACCGGTACCGTAGGCAATATCTCGACGCCCAGGTTTCCGCTCCCCGTCCCAGCCATATTCCCTGTTCGCCATCACACACATCGCTCACGGATTTCCATTCTCCTCGTCAATTGGAACGCGTCCCCGTGGAGATACAGAACCGCCATCACACCTGGCGTGATGGCAATGAGCCGTCCTGCATTCAGCTGTCGAACAACTTATGCATGTAGAGTATGAAGTCTGCATTTATTGGCGCGTCTGGGCCCGGCCATCGCCGGACTAGCATGCATATGCCTACTCCAGGGCAGTGCGCTAGCCGCCGGGCCGCACAGCCACGGCGCCCCAAGCCACGCAGGAGATATTGTGGCGAAGCTACGGCTGGGATAAGGTTGAGGTTTAACTACTTTAGCACGTGAGCCTTTTTAACTTAGCGGCAGGAGCCGAAGGTTTTAGTCCTCGAGCTTGTTGCATACAATTACATAGACTTCGAATAAAACGTAATCGGCACACATCGTTGCCTACAGTTTCGATTTCCGCTTGTGGGGAACACGTCCATACAAGGTACACGATCTTCGAGGCTCAACCGGGCGCTCCTCTGAGCCTCAATTATGGTAGGTACATGCCGGTATGTACCGCTCACTGTACCAAAATAATTTGTCATGGCCGAGACTCGAGAGAAGCTGGAAACAACTAGCAAGTGTTCTTTGGCATTCCAGACGAGTGAAACAAGTGACTGCCACCGCCGGCGGTCAGTACCCACGTGAGCCGGTGACACCAACCGCAGCGCTCACATGCGGTCATCTGTGATCGACCAGACCATAACACTCTGAGCGACACCTGCATGGCTGGTGCCAAGACGTTGACAAAAACTGCGGTGCACCCAAACTCAGACATGTGAAAGTTTCCAGAACTTTCCGGCCGCAGGATCAGGCTAGCGAACCATTCGGGTGGTCTCCGCGGAATCATGTCGGGGGGAAGAAGTCACGTCGTCGGGTTACCGCAGAGTCAGCACACCTCACCACCCCTCACTGTACTGCGGTCGTTTCTCACTCGTCTGCCCCCGCGGCTGTACTGCCATGATCTGGATGGGTCGCACGCGATCGGTGTATGATGCAAAAGAAAATAGACAAGACGTGCCAAACCAATGCGCCAGAAAGCGACACAGGAAGCGTGTCCGGTGCCCCTCCGAACCCCCTCCTTTTACAACTCGTCCCTCCCGAAATAACGTCGCTCAACCTCCACCATCGCTATGAAAAGCATATGAAACTGAAGGAAAATATTGCGCAGGAAAAAGCCCGACCCACACGTAGTGTTAGCCAAGCCGTAGCAGGAAGGAGAAACAACTAGAGCGGGAGAGGTATGATGGAATGAATGAAACACGAACGTTCGAAAAGACAAAGCACAAGTAAAGAATCAACAAGACAACGTCATTGATTACTCAGGAAAAAAACCCATTGGTCAAGGAAACGTTCCAACAATTTCCCCCCCCTCAGTCTGAGTCAGATACACATTCCCCTTCCATATCGCCTCCAAACACCCTCCAGGCTGATGGCATATCATTAGTTACGCGTTATCCCTGACGGTTCACCTCTGCCATCCTTCCTATGTTGGTTCTTGGTGCCATCCATCGCCGAATGATGCACCCTTTCCGACACGAAATAGGATCTTGCCTGAGCCCTACTAGGTAGATAGTTATGTACTTGCTGCCTTAACCCCCACGCACCGACAGTAACTCCAATTTGAAGTATTCTCGTGCGTCAGCACTCGCTGGATCATGTGTTATCGGAAATTTCAGTTCGTGCATTCGTCGCCTCCATTGGATGCCTTCAACCATCCCGGATAGCCGTGCTGCTATCTTTGTCATCGCTGCACTTGGTGGTGGCTGAGCCACTGGGCTTTTCGGCTCGTCTTCTCCCAGCACATTCGTGGATAACCGCGGTTGTAATGATGTGGTCACCGCAATGAGTGCCGCCGGGCTTTTCGATCTGTCTTCTATCGACATGACCCCGGCATAGATTTCGAAAGTCTCCATGGTTCCCGTATTGTCGTGGTCTATATCCCACCGTGGTTGACTTTGCCACGTCTTGTGGGCTAAAGCCGTCCTCCAGACCAGAAACTCCCTTTTCCTTTTCGGCAGGCGTGGATTTTCCGTTTTTTCGTCCGTACTCGTAACTTCGAAGCGGGTCTGGTATCGGTATCTGGCCTTTTCCGCCGGGAGCCGCGTTTTCTTCCACACGAGTCGATTCGCATCCTCGGGGTAATCCCACTCGACATGGGCGTAGTACATGTATCCGTACGGGTCGATGTAATCGAGGAGAAGGACGCCCCTAGCATGGTCGTAGCGAAATATACCGGCACTTTTGGGATGCGCGTTGCTTTCGATGCCGACGTGCCACTCTGTTGGGACTCCTTTCGCAAGGGCCGGTCACTTGAGATAGTTGCAGGCGGAGGGAGTAACCTGGCCGTCCCGGCCGACCGCCCTGATCGTGTACCTCGGAAGCCCCTTGGAATAGAGGTGCAGTGCAATCGTATCTTGCCTGGTCATCGGCCGACGCATATCTTCAATAGCCCGCACCAGCTCGCGGAACTAGTATCGGCTCAACAAGACGCTGTATCCAGCCACGAATCCAATTAGGACCGTGACAATGCCGGTGATGAGCCAGAATATCTTCACGTCCATATCCTTCAGTTGCGCAAATGGTAAAGCAAAATAATAGGTGCCGAGGTCAGTGGCGTGGATACTACTATGAACCAATGGAAAGGTTCTGCCTACAAACCTCGGCCATAAATGAAAGTGGAAGGAAAAGCAAAGTGACGTAGGTGAAAATTGACATCATCTTGCCCTGGGATGCCAACTCCGCGTTGAGCTCCCCCATCTGCTTCTTTTGGGCCAAAATTAGGTCTTCGACCGCTTGGGAAAGCTCTTCGGTTTTGTTCTGTGTGAAAGGTCAGCCACTGAGTGTCAACAGGGAGCAGGTAGGAATTTGCCTATGAACCTCTGTATCCACCACATACGTATATAACTGGCACACTGTAGTTCTGTGATGAATCTACTAGCTTGCATTGTGCTTCCAGAAGCACAAGGGCCTCCTTCGGGTTGGTGTGCGCGGTATGCATACGAGGTGGATTATCTCTGCGCCTGCTGAGCCTACGCATCTCAATCAGGTTTCCCCTTTTAGTCGAACTTCAATTGAGAACCTCCATTCAAGGCAGTGCCCACGACCGGCGTATTGGATCGAGAGCACCCTTTGGTTCGTCACCGAGCATGTGCAGCACCAGACCCCCTCTTTTCACAGAGCTGGTGCGGGGTCAACAGAGTTCCCACCCAAAGAACAACAGACAAGTGTTTCAAGGCGACGGATTCCTTCTCCCTCCTTGCACCTCGAATTCAATCACTTCACCAACGGAAGGCCGCGGATTCAAACTACAAGTCGACAACACTTCATTTTCCGGAGGAGGAACTCCGCGCGGTCGGTGGACCGTCTCTTGTTATAACTGAGCTGCTCTCAATCATTCCCTAGAAAAACGAGTGTTTCCGACGATTCAGTGCCCCGACATCTCCCGCTTGACGCGAACAGCCTCGAAATGCCTCTCTCTTTGCCCACACCGGAGGAAATAATCACGAAGGTGATGTGAGAGACAACGGCAACGGCGACGGGGACGGTGAAGCCTTCGCAAAAGCCCGATGGGGGACAGAAACCTCTGACACCTGGTATGCTCATACAGTGTTGGGATGACCTTTTGAAAGGTGAAAAGAGTGGAATCGCACGCTTCTTCCCCGACAAACTCGAAGGAGATCCCAAAATCGCCGAGGCGTCCGTGAAAGCGGCTGAGATGGTGGGGAAAATAATGCAACATGGTTGCATGAAGGAAACTGCGATTCAGTTGTCGCTGCTGGCCCTGTACGACGTCGTCCTGTTGGTCGGTACGTTTGCCTTTCCCTTGGCCGCAGCGGAAATGCCGTTTTTTTCCAGGATCTATCTGATGCTTTGCAGACAATATTATCAGCATGCGGATTGAAGACAACGGCGAGCAGATTGAGACGCTCAAGAAAACTCTCAAGTCCATCGCTTCGGTGTACAGACTGGTCGCTCAGATCGGCAGGATAGTCCCCGTCAAGTTTTTGAACTCCAACTTGTCGTTCAGAGAGGTCGGACCGACAAAGGTCGATGAAATCGTCGCCAAAACGAGTTCCGAGGTTTGACGAAAATCGGAACGGAATTACGCGACAAGGTTCTGAGAAACCACGCCGTCGTGGGCGAAATGAAGAGGCTGCTGCTAGTGATCATCCTGACAGACGGCGAGGTAGACTAACCCTCTCCTTAACAACTCTGTGGTCGGTACGGCTCTGCTGATGCCGTCGCGCACGGTCTTACAGATCGAAGGCGAACCACAGTGGCTTCTGCGCAAAGTCATGAAGGAAAAGGCGCTGGAGCTACGGGGAAAATATGGCCCCAAAGGACCGCAAGGTTAGCCGCAAGCTTCGTCCTCGATCACCCTGACGTGCTGACTGACCACTGTCGTCGATGAGTATAGCTGTGGCGTACCAATTCGCTATGATCGGGACAGATACGAAAGCAATAGAGCTCCTCAAAAATCTCGACGACGATAAGGAACTGGGCGAATATATCGATTGCATGCGTACGTTCCCTCCCGTTTCCATATGATTAGAACGGCATCGTTTCGGCTATCAATCGTTAACGCCAGCTTTCATCAGCCAGCGGAAGCCTCGACAAGATGCAAGAGCCAGCCGATAAATGGAATATCGTGAGGTAAAGAACCACCGTCCGCCCTCAATGTGATTGATTTAAGATTCCATACAGTTGGCACTGACATCGTCTAGCTTCCGAAACTTTTCCTTGGCGCACTCTTAGACATCGTTAGTACTCTCAATCTGCTGCAGGAATTCCGACGAACGTGAACTTACGGCTAATGACAAAATAGTGGGACGAACACACTCCTATCGCATTCGAGAGCGAGTCGGAATCAAACGAAGTACTCAATGGACGGGATACGAGCTTGGAGACGGAGGAGGATTGTGCTGTTGATGATGATGGCGATGAGGACTTTTTCTGAGCTTGGAGACGGAGGAGGATTGTGCTGTTGATGATGATGGCGATGAGGACTTTTTCTGAGCTTGGATTTAATTCACTTAAACCCCATACAAGTTTCTTTATTTATTTATTTTGTTTTATTTTTTGGTTTTATGTACACTTCACTGGTCAATCCAAAGCATCCTGCAGTGAAGAAAAGACATAACTTCCCGCTGAATGCATAGCTCCCACTTGCCGATCCAGATAATAGCGTGATTGATGCTATGTAACGTCATGACTCGGTTCCAGCGATTCCACATAGGAAGTACTTAGAGTACTTACTTACCTATGCACTTTCCATATTCCCTGCCCTTCGCCCTTGCACGGCCCTCAACTATATTCCAGCGGCCGGCAGCCGCTACCCCCACTCCTCTCGATTGGTAATTAGTTCTGGGGATACATAGCGTGGTTTCTAGATAGCCAGAGGTAATTTGAGCGGTGTGGGCGTGCTTTGGCTACATATATACCTACCTACCTCCTTCACACGCTAAAGCTATAGCGCTTCTGTACCTACTTGTAGAGTCACTCTGGAACGTACGCCGTGCAGTTTCCAACAGAGCAACAATCGGCGAGAGGTGAAAGCGGAACAGAACGGGGCTAGCCTTATCCAGACGCAGCCTCAGATTCCCCAAAAACCTCGAAACCTTACGAACCCGATATGGCGTGGACAAAGAGTGGAAGCTTGATATCTGGAAGGTAGCAATAGTTAGAATGAGTCCTTCTCCCGAAATCTGCAGAAGGCCAGGCTTACTTGTGTTGTGCGCGGTCGTTGGTGGTGCGGCGCCAATTAAACGGATCAACGCGGCTTTCTATAGTAGCACTTAGCAAGCGTGGGGGCGTTCGCTTCTCGTTAATTCGTGCGCAGGCTACTGCGGTGACACGGAAGACCGCCCGAAAGACCGCGGGTGTGTGCGCGATGATAAAAAATCGATTGATCTTAGGTCACGAGGGGGGAAGCCGATGTTCCGGCTTCACCCCCCACCCCCCTTGAATACGCCGCACAACTACTGCACCGGGAAAGCCTGAGCGCGGTCACAGAGCTCAATATCTCGGATGTACCTGATTACCGGTATGCCGATTGATGATTGCCCGGAAGACCTGGTATCAAGGCCATGGTAGTGGACTCGCTGGTGAATACAATGGTCGCTTAATTACGCCGCTGCTGCCGCCGGTCGTGACTCGTGAGGATGTCATCCGCCTATCGCTTTCACGGGGCGCAAACATCAACAGGAGGGGCTTAGAACGGGTGGTAATACCGACCACCAGATGAGTACATAGGCGATAGGTTACAAAGAATACGGCAAGCCGCGTTCAAGTAATGCCAGTCTGCATTTAAACTGGCTATTAGCAAAAAGTGCAACGCATTTGCAGTAGTAATTCAGGCTTCTACAGGCTGCTTGTAAATCTGCGTAGCGCACAGGCTGCAATTTTCATATGGGCGAAGCCGGTTCGGCGGGCGTTTGATAGGAATTAGACTCTCGCCTCCGGCCGGCAGCGAAAGGCGTGTCACGTGATAAAACCGAGTGATATTTAACTAACCAGTGCTCCCTCCGTCATGCCAAAACCAAAACCAAAAAACGTCACTGCCCCCGTTGGTTGGCTTGGAAGCCCCCAAGAGCCGAGTGCAAACGTCTTTTATCCGGGTTGAACCCGCAACTTTCCCTTCACTCCCCCCGCCGATTGCATGGCCTAAACCACTAGATCAAAGATCAACTACTGATGTTGAAGACGTTGCTTGACCGAGGGTTTTGCGCAAGACATGCTTTATCGCATTCTTGACGGATAGTATTGATGGGATTCAATTGACAACTTCGGCCGAATCGGAGAGCTGCGTCGGGCTAGTTGAGAAATTGCTAGGAAATAGCTAGGAAATTACCATCGGAATCCGCGACCCAGATTTCTGTGGCTCTCCGCCGACTCCTACTGAATGAAATAGCCACCCTTAACAGCCTTAATGATCACCTACCAACCAAATTTGCCTCCGGGAACTCCTCTGTAGGCCGCAGTTACGCTTAGCGCAACAGTCACAAAGATGATTCTCGGGGCTGAATACGACTACACGACTCCCCAATGGAGTCGATACACGGTATAGGTGGAACACCCATTGTGTTACACGGGGCTTCTATCTGCGCGCAGCCTCGACGTCGATTTGCCGATTTACTGCGGCACCACCGAAAAGAACCACGAGAGATTTGTGCACGGCGCGGAAGGAAGACCCAACCTGTGATTCAAAATCTACAGCACGGCGAGGAGTTCTTGGGCGAAATTCACACATATGTAATTTTGCGCTTGCGAAAGGTTCTTTTGGATCATGTGATTATTCCCGGTCCTGTGCGGGCTGGCGGAACGACGAATGGCTTACAGGCGACAAACTCAGGCTTCCATTGGAGATCTAGAACGAGGGAAAAGTGGAGAAGGGCGGGGCAGAGGAGACAGGTGACCGTGGAGTTTCGCTGAATTGACGAGGGAGTACAGCCGGTATGGTTGGGATGGTCGACAGCAATCGAATCCGGCGACGCAGGGCTAGATGATGTGTGCAAGCTATGTAGGTTACATTGGTATAATATTGGTATAGGCAGTTTCGGCACGAGAGGATGGATTGGTTTTTGCGCTTCTCTTTTCTTCCACGACCGAGCTTAATTAAATCGCAGACGGTATTCAACCGATCAACAAGCTTCATCACATTTCTGTTGGTTTCATTTGGATTCTTCAAGCTGGTCGTTATTTAACTGAGCTTTGACTCGACTTCATAATGTGCAAGCTGGTCGTGGGTCTTTTTTTAAATAAAAAAAATGGACCGGCCGGAGAGCGGCAAGCGCAAGTGATAATCCATGCGGGGAAAAAGATTTTCTACACCCAAAATTCACCTGTCACGGTCCAGCTAGTCCTGTATTGGTGGCAATAGAATTCAAGCCTCAGGACCCTAGCAGTTGATGTTTGGACTACGACATGAATATCGCGACATACAGACCATCTCAAGGTTTTGCGGCTTTTGTCTACACAGTCGGCCAACAGATGACGCCGTCACGTTACTCGAGGTGGTAAAAGCTGTGATCAGGGGCTATCAGCCGTACTTTATTTATGCAACCAAGTACTTTAGATAGCAAGGGGGTAGAATTTAGGCCATTGATATAGTATCCATGCGTGATGGATTGTTGTTACGTGGTGGATACGCGTTTTTGTCGCAATGGTGAGGGCGTCACCGAAGTATCTAGTGTCAAGTATTCCTCCAAGAAGTATGCGACCGTTTCTAATATTATATCGATAGCGTAAATCCTGCCCTTTTGATTATACAGTAGCTACAGCCTACACGCTTCAGCTTTTGTTTGAAGGTTGCACGCCTACCTATTATTTACAGCTTCAATCGACATGCTCTCCCACTCTACATCCATCACAGTCCTCACCGTTAAATTTTCTCCGTCAGTCAAATCGTCCCCAATCAGAGATCTTATCGTATCTGGTTACGCAACAGCATCATCAATCTCTGTACTCCACCAGGATGACGGGTCTGTTGTAATACCTAACTCGCTTGCTTGTTCGAGTGGAAGGCACGAATATTCATCCCTTTCGTTCACCCTCCAAGCTACAGCCTTCCCCCTTTAGCCAATGCAAAACGTTTCCACTTCACTGTCCTTTTTTTGTTTTACCCGTTTAATCATACACTTCATTGTCCAGTCACAATTTCAAACATCAGGTTGAAACTGAGAGAAGAACTTGACTTGATTGATGTAATGATACGAAAAGGATGAGAAAGATGAGAAAGCAGACTGCTTATAAAGGGAGCGGAGCTCGTAAAAACAACTGGGCGAAGCCGGGCCTCAGCAGAGCATGCGAGGATAGCCGTCGCCGGACTCGGGCTGGGGGCTTGAAGGCTTAGCTAAAGAGGCAAATTCTGGTGAAAAGCCAGTGACAATGCTAAGGAGCCACGAAGGCTATCAAGGCCGTATGCGATGATTCAAAGGGACAGAGTATAGAGAGAAATAGCAGTGACACCGGAACAGGCAATAAGACGTACAATATCAACAGATCACGGGTGTCCGGTGCCAGTGATGAGATGTGTGTACAACAGATGATGTAATGCTACTGAATGAATGCGCGTGGATGCGATATCAGGTGTTGTACAATAAAAGCATCCCATATAAAATCATGTTGAAACCGAATAATTGGACTTTCTGCAGGGCCATTTTCATATACCTAGAACAAATTGGGGTTGAGAGCATGAGCGATGGGCGAGATAAGATAGGAGAAGTGGCCAGTCGGATCGAGTGGATCCGAATGGTGGTGATAGCCGGACTAGCCTGATCGGGTGGCCCCGAGCGGCGAAAGGTATGTACATGTCTGTAGCAGCAGAGGAGAGCCATAAGATGACTCTTCGAAGTTGCATAGAACCTCAACTTCTCCATCATTCTTCATTTTCGCCGTTTCCTTTGCCGGGATACCTCAATAACGCGGCCTAATTAATTCCGCAATCGTCGCGATCTCGTTCGCCACCTCTGCAGGCGCCTTTCCATATGTGTAGTACCACGCGAACACCGAATGAAACATCAGTTTCGTCCGAAAACAGTAACGAGTTGGACTTCAAGACTCACGACGACGACGCCTTGGGTGAGCGACTGTGATTCACCCCTTTCTTTAGTTTGGCTTATCGAAAGTTAGCGGGTGGCTTGATCTGACCTCTGGAGTCTGCAGGCGTTGACCATGAATTTGTCATCCGGCTCTAAAGGGCACGGGCGGCGCCGAGGCCGGCCGTGGACAGTTGAACTCCGCGATAGGTACCTAGCTCTCTTATCTCCAGCAGTCAAATACCACAAGGTCGCCTGCGAATACCAGCCCTTTTGCGTTCACACGATTCCATCACGATGCCGCAGCACCCACGAATTACCTGCAATACCGGCCATGCCACCGGCTCAAGCGCCGATTCCGGGCGAAAGCCTGCGGACCTCACCCATCACTTCAACGCCAGCACACGCGCGCGGAAGCCCAGCGTCATGAAGGGCCTCTACAAGTACTTTATGGTGCCGGGAATGTCCAACATCGCCGGCGGTTTGTCCATCCAATCCAATCCCATTGCCCGCCGCGCCGCCGAATCTGAAAGGGATACTGATCCGATCGTGTCTCAGGTCTTCCGTACCCCGGCTTCTTCCCCTACGACACCCTGCGTGCCGATGTCGCGTCACCCGAGCGTCTCCTCGACATCGCCTTCCACGGGCTCACGCCCGCTAAGGCGAGCTCCAGCTTCTTCTCGCGCCGCCGACGCGAAAAGGACCCAAAGACGTCTCACATTTCGATCCCGAAATTCGAGCCGTCGCAGCCTGCCGAGAAGCGCATCGACGTCGCCACGACGCTGCAGTACGGGCGCGCCACGGGCCTGCCCGCGCTCGCGGACTTTGTGCGCGAGTTCACGTTCGCCCACATGATGCAGGGGCAACTCGCGTATGCCGAGGACCAAGCGGATATCGTGCTCACGTGTGGTTCGACCGATGGGTTCTCGAAGATTGTGCAATGCTTCGGCACCGCGGGCGACTCCATGCTCGTCGAGGAGTTTACGTATCCTAATGCGCTGCAGACCGCTGCGCCGTTCGGAATCAGTACCGCGCCGGTCAGGATGGACGAGGGCGGGATGATGGTCGATGGCCCGGGTGGACTAAGGGACGTCCTCGAGAACTGGAATGTCGAGAAGAGTGGGCGGCGTCCACACTTGATGTACACGGTCACCATCGGACAGAACCCAACCGGCATCACGCTGAAGCGCCAGCGACGGAAGGAGATCTATGAGCTGTGCGATAGGTTCGATGTGCTCATCCTCGAGGACGACCCGTATTGGCATCTACAGTTCACGCCGGAATCTCACAATCTCCCCAGCGATACGGAGACGAAATACCCATTCTTGGCCGCGCTGGAACTCAGCTTCCTCAGCATCGACACGTCCGGGCGCGTGATCCGACTGGACACCTTCTCGAAGACCATCGCGCCAGGCTGCAGGATGGGATGGATCACGGCACAGAAGCCGATCATTGCTGCGATCGTGGCGGCGACGGAGTCGAGCACCCAACAGCCGTCTGGATTCGTACAGGGTATGGTTGCCGAGCTGCTGTGTCGTGCTTGGGGGATGGACGGCTGGGTGGCGTGGCTCGAGTCGCTTCGCGACGTTTACGAGGAGCGTATGGTCTCCATGACCGCCATTCTGGAGGAGGGCAAGGAGATCATCACCGTCACGTCACGTGACGACCTTGAGGTGGTGGAGAGAACACAACTCTACTCCTTCAACAAGCCCGAAGGTGGCATGTTCGTATGGATCAGAATGGACGTGTCATCGCACCCCGCATACAAAGCATTCATTTCCCGGGGGAACAGCAAGGCGGACATGCTCACCAAATTGTGGGAGTGGAATGCCGTGACACAGTTGGCGCTTCCCTGTCCGGGAGGAATGTTTACCGGCGGCGAGAAGTGCCGCGATAAGGCGGACGATTACTTTCGCTTCTGCTTTGCGGCGATAGAGCTTGAGGAGGTGAAAGCTGCCACGAGCCGGTGGGTCCAGGGCACAGAGAAGTTTTGGCACTTGAAGGCGTGGGAGATCGAGAAGATTGGGGAGGCCGAGTCCGTTATTGGGACGGGTGCGAACAAGAGGGGACAGGACGGTGGGTGGGGCGGGTGGATAGGTGGGAAAGGACGGTTCGAGGTGAAGTTTGAAGACTTTTGAATGGATACTTGGAATTGTGTAGTCGGACGGCATCTTTTACTATTTGTTTGTTTTTGGTTCCAGATTGGTTGTTATTATTAAGGCTAGAAGTTAGTTAGTCGTTCAGGTTATTCTTATTATCTGTGCACCGTTGTCATTGGCTCACCACGACCCACTAAGTATTCTAGCGCCCGCCTCCCAGTCGACAAGGCCCACAAGTGAAACACATGGGATAATTTTGCTGTCAATGACTTTTGGCGAGTTCTTGGATAGAACAGCTCGTGTGTGGTCTCATCAGGCTCACCCAGCTACGGATCTTGATCGATCACTCGTGACATTTAAAGGTACTGCGTTCGTAAAAGTCCAGCGAGTGTTCGCACACGTTTTCTGGCTTCACCCAGTATCGTAGATTTACTGTAAGGGGTCCACAACCAGGTTCTTGCACGGAATATTTGACAGCCGTTGTGCATGGCCAAATCCTGAAGCTAAGCTTGTAAGTGGCGGCTATCCGATGGCAGAAAAAGATGGGATGAACCCAAGGAATATGAGCATGGAGCACCATTTCTACTGACGGGCATGACGGCGAAAGACGGGCGAATAAGCGCGATCACGAACGTCCGATCTCGCTATTGGGTGGAAGGGGGCATCAATCGAATTGCACTTGTGCGTGCCTCCCCCGCCGTGGCTCGATCGAGCAAACAGGCTCCGCGCCGCTATGCACCTGTAATGGTTTGATATCTCCTACTCATGCGCCGTAGGATACAATCGGCTAGTAAAATGCCGAGACGAATGGTAGGCGGTGTTCACCCTTAAAATTGTCAACTTCCACACGCATCCACGCATGGTCACTCGTTCGTCATCCCTCCTTTCACCGCTTCCTTCTCCTACATCCCTCTACCACAGCACTAACCATCATGGACTCTTTCCCGACGTTCAATAATCCCGACGATAACTGGCTAGCGCAGGCCCTCCAAAATGCGACACCAGTCGACGACATGTCGCTTGCCGCTGCGACGGTGGATCCGCTCATGGATGAGCATGCTTGGGGAGCTTCAGGTAAATATTCCCCGGATAGTGGAAAGTGTTTGCCTCCTCGCTGCGGAACTAATCTTGTGACCGCTCCAACAGAAGCCTTGGCCTTTCCCGCCGCTGGTGGAAACCAAGAGCACGCTGCAGCCACCGCCCCCGTCGCTGGTGCTGGTGTTCAAGACTGGGCTGCAACCACCGCAGCCCCTTGGTATTTAACCGCTAGTTACGATCCCACATTTCCCGCCGTCCCAGGTGTCGACTACGGCGAGCAATGGCAAGAGCAAGCTCAAGTACCACCCAGCACCCGGGCACTGACCCCCCCACCTCCACTCCCACCCCCATGCGCACCCACACCCGTACCCTCACCCCCGCGCCCCTCGGAACCAGCCAGCTCGACGCTACACCGCAGATCCCTGCGCAATCTCCGCGCCAGTCGACAGTCCGCCGCCACCACTAGCACCACGGACACCGCGGAAACGGCGCCTCCCAAGCCGGTGCGCAAGCGCAATCCTCGCGCTAGCGCCGCTGATCCGCCGCCTCCGCCGCCGCCTCCGCCCAATGTCAACATCTCGCTCAGTTCGCTCCCGGCCGTGCTGCCATCCGCTATCCGCGACGAGTACGAGGTCGTCCGGAAGAGTGTCGATGCATACTTTGCTCTCGGCCACGACGGCGAGAGCACGCCGATTCTGGTCCTGGCGCTCGAGGAGGCGATTAGGGTGAGTGAAGATGCCGTGGAGTGGTTGGGAAACAAGGGAAGGTGGCTTGAGAAGGGAGTGGTTGAGAGCGAGATGCAGATGGTTCGTGCGGTCCTGGATGGCTTAAATATGGTTTAGGTGAAAGGGATGGATGGGAGCGGTGCTACATTGTATCATTGATCATTGCCCTGCCAACTACTGTACTTAGTGGAGGCGTAGGTTTTGGGTTTCGTCTGCCTGTGGAGTAGTGGGCTGGAGACTTGATTGCATTGTCGGCTCTCATGAACCTTCACCACAGCAGAAAAAAACCATAGTAATCGAACAGTCTTTCACTTGAAAAACCGCCTAGCAATTGCTTTCGAGTTCGGAATGTTTCCTGTGAGTCCATGCCAGTGAGTGATAGTCCATGTATAGTAGTCACTATTATCCCTTATCCGCCCATCCGATGCCTACCCAGATGTCCTCCGTTACAAGCACATACATCAGTTCTCCGGCAACACGCTATCTTCTGCCAACCCGGCAGCAAACTCCTCCAATTTTTCGATATCGATGGTTCGATCGTAAGCCCTCAGATGTCCATAGCGATTGTCATACTTCGAGCCCTTGTTATACCCTACAGCCGCACACCCATCAGCAGCCGCGCACGCACACGGTATCCTCTCGGGGTGTTAGAAGGAAAGCATACCGAACCCCAACTCAACCGTCGGCCTCCCCCACCGATACAGGTCCTCCTCCTCCTCCTCCTCCTCCTTTTTCTCGCCCTCAACGTCCTCGACAATAGTAGCCAACCGATCGTTCTGCTTATGCCTCGCCCTATTATTATCCTCGAGCACGCGCTTCTTGGTGATATCCCTGAGCGGGCGGCGGCCCTTCGCCTGGGCCTTCGGCTTCACGCCGTGCTCGAGCGCATGCTGCTCGCGGAATTCCTCGCGCGCGCGCTGCGCTGGGTCAATGTTGCCGGGATTGTTGTTGACTTTGCTCTCGTATGCGTTGCTAGGCCGCGGATCGAGCACCGCGTCGATGTCGTGGATGCTCCTGGCCGGGATCGGGCTGGGGATGGGCCGCGCGAGGACCAGATTGAGAAATACGAGGACGAGCCCCAGGAGCTGGCATATGTTGATGTGCATCTTTGTGACTGGTTAGGGGGTTGGATACAGATGGAGAGCGGTGCGTTTAGACGGTGATCTGGGTTTATATAGACCCAGGCTGGACTGGGCGGATGTGCAGGTAGCTCAAGGTTTGCTTTTGCATTTGCTTTGTGGCCTGGGACGCGCAATCATCACTGCCTCCTAGTCGGATTAAGAGCGAAGGAGAGTTACCATCCATCCCGGGGGATGGATTCGTGGTTGCGTTGCGCCATCGAGGGCGAAAGACAGTTATATGGCAAGATGGATCCATCCAGTTGGGGTCTAGCCAGATGTCCATGTCAGTGACGACGCACACCGATCAGGGGGATCCGGTGAAGTCTAACTCTAACTCTATTCCCACCTCCACCGTCCAGGCCAGCTGGGACCGTCAAATGGTATTTCGCACCGATCAAGCCCCCGGTCTTTTGCTCCGGCGCAATGATCTACTCCGCCAACTGCGTGAGGGGACAGTCGGAAGGCGTAGAGACAGTGCTGTCGGCTTCTTGAGCAGCGTTATGGAGCATCTTCCAATCATGTAATATCACTCGCCAAAACGGTCTCAGGTGTGGTTACTGGTCATTTTCCTCGGTATGATAGTGGTGCGAGCGAGGAGACGCCAAACAAGCTCGTGAATGACTCTCCGAGGACTGCAGGGTGTTTTGGCCGCAGCAGAGACGATTGTAGGCAGAGGTTGGGAGTGGACGAAGAAACTATATGTTTGGGTTTAGATATCTGAGTCGTTTGTGGATGAAAGTTTAGCCCAGTCTTAGAAGACGCCGAAGAGGTACGAGAGGAAGCTGAAGAATTGCTGAGGAAAAAGAGAAACAAGAGGAAAAGACGAACGAGCCCGGTATGTTGGACCAGGAGGAAGTGACTCGAATGTGGATTTCCCTTATTATTCCCCTGCCACAACTACTCTTGCGGAGATTGAGATGAAGAGTGCACAGTGAGACCGCCCTCGCGAGCCGGCTAGGTACCGTTAGCCGTTCGGTGGAGCTGTCGAGTACTACACACCACCTACCTACGCCGTACGGGACATGTGTACAGTGTCATGGATATCCCGTACCTATGTCGCAATGTCGCAATGACAGGATCGTGTCGGTAGTTATCAGTACATAGTACATATTATGTACATACTAGACGCTCAAATATAGAACACTGACCAGAAAAAAACGCATTCCTCCACAAGTGAAAATGAAAGTGTAAATCCCCGGGTACCTCATCGCAACCCACACAAAGCTGGAAGCCCCCCCCCCCCCCCCCCCCTCTTTCCCGTATTCATGCCCACAACATAAGATTTGAGACAACAACGTCTGTCCACTATCTGTGGTGCTGCAAGCATGCATGCATCTATCCTCCTCCTTCCATCTTCCATGCGTCTATCTTCCGTGTTCCTGGCCATCGTAAAGAGCAGAAACCAGAAACCAGAGAGCAGATGACATATCGCGGCGCCTAACTGCATGCGCAGACTCCCAGAGCCGGTAGGTAGTAAGTTCCCCAAGCACCTCTATGTGCTCTACGTGCTCTACCGGTATGTATGATATGTGTGTATATAAGATGTACCTATGTATGTGTGTACGGTATGTAGCACGAAACAACCCGCCCGTTATCATTGTGCAATGCGCCATAAGCACCTAGTATCACAGTAGGTATCACAGAATACCGTATCTTGAATCCTAAATCCTGAATCCTGTCAGGCACAAGGTACAACCGTCACCGTCACCCGTGTGGCAATCCCGGCGATCTCTGGCGTCCCCTGGTATTTTGAGCGGTGAGCTCGGCGATTTAAGTGACGAAAAATCGATAGAAAAAAGAAAAAAGAAAAAAGAAAAGAAAGTGTCCGCGAAGACGAAGAGTGCGGCTGCCACTCGGCTACGCGCACACGCAGCACAAGTTATAACTGCCATTGAATTCAATTGGAATCCCGCGCGCTGATTGGGGGTTGGCGCGGCAACTGGGTAGGTACTCCGGAATAACGAAGTACTTCCAAGTACTTCTTACTTGCGTACATATAGCGGAAGGCTTCATCTCGTGGTCTCGTGGTCTCGGCTGTAGGGCTTGGTAACGATGAACATACCTCATACTTTCATACCTAGGTCCGGAATTGCCTTGGTCGTTGTAGACTCAGGACCAGTGGTACCTCAGACAAACCAAAACGACTGCCGGAGAGAGAGAGATCCCAGCGGCCAGCGTCTCTACTAGGTACCCGATCTCCAGTCTTCAGAGTCTCCCCACCCTGGGCCCTGACCCGTCGAAACGCACCAAGTCTCGTGTCAAGCCCTAAGTATACCACTTCCCCCCCTGCAGATGTTTATCTGAAACTAAAATGACCGACGGTAGGGAAGAGTCTATGTTTGTATGCAGAGTACTATGTAGGTAACTAACTGGATGGCAAATAGGCACATAAGAGGCAATTATGGATATGGTGGATAGATAATAGAGGGATGGATGGATGGATGGATGGATGTCAACTTCCATCGCAGAGATACCAACTACCTGCCTACCTGTATCTATCCCCAGATCATATCACAATATCATCATATCTATCTACATAGCAGCCACTCAGGGTACGACCGATTAAGGAAGTTTTGTTGGAGACGCCACGCGAGTGATATCATACATCCAGGGACCTTGTTGGGAGGTGAATGAAAGCTGGGCCCTCTCTACTATATCGTAATGATAGCTATATCGTAATGATAGCTATATCATAGCTATACAGATCCCGAATCAATCAATCGGTCAATCGGTCAATCAATCATCAATCAGTCAATCAATCAATCAAGTACTGGATAGCCCGCGGGCTATGCACTGAAGATCCGGAGAGGACGGGGTGGGAATGAACGCATAACAGCGGGAGGGATCGCACGGGATTTTCGAAACGAACCTACCTACCCACCTAACTACTACCTACTGGCGCCGTTGGACATCCCTCCGAATCGTCAGCACGGAGTCATGGCCGACTCACGACTCCCGGACTCCTCCGTCTCTATCCAGAGCGTCCCAAGCATCCCATCCCAAGCATCCTAAACATCCAGCACCCAACGGCGACCGCTCGGAAGCAGGTTGGAATCCAGAGTCCAGAATCCAGAATCCAGAATTCCAGGGTGCGTATGTACCACATACAGTCCGCGAGGATTCACGAGCACCATACCACTCTACCCTACCCTTCAAGGTGCAAGCGTTCAGAACCCCAAACTCCGAACCAGGCCAGACTCCGAACCATGCCTCGGGACAAACTGCGGTACCTACTGCTGACTTGAAGCCTTAAATAGAGCACCTACCCAACTAACTATCCTACATTCCTATCGTGCGGAGAATCTTGTAGCATATAGTCTCCGATCATTCTACTTTTTGCAGCATCCAATCACGTTTCTCGTAACTCGTTAAGCAAGGCGAGCTCGGGAGCTATCAAGGGGGCCTTGGCATTCACTCATTCATTCATTCAGTCATTCAGTCAGTCATTCACTGGCACTATGGATAGGTACTTGGAAAAAGTATGTAAGTAGGCAAAGGGCAGCGCGGGAATTCATTCAGCTATCTACTGGATTCTTTTTACCCCCCTAACGACGCAAAATGTACTGTACTGTACAGCAGGTTCCGGATAGGCGCAGGTGGGTGGACAGCTGGTACATCTGGTACATCTGGGACATATGATATGTACCTGTAACCCGAGCAGCCCACCCCAGCGCCCATGGCCGAGGGACGGAATGAGGTGGTGGTGAAAGAGAGCAGAAGGGAATGGAGCAGGCGAGGGAGGGATAAAGGGATGAAGGGAGTGTGGCATGTATTTCCGTATGTATATAAGCCAGTGCAGCCACAACATTCCTCGCCGCGTTCGTTGACGGCGCTCATCACCACCTTCTTTCATTCATTCATTCATTCATTCATTGACCCACAGTCCCTCTTTCCCTCCCTCTCCCTCCCTCCCTCCCTTTTTATCCCTCTCCACCTCCCACTGTAGCTGAAACATGTTATTCAGCACACGCACGCTCCTTCTGGCCCTCGCCACCACCGCGCTGGGCCATGTAACGTCCCCGCGCCGCGGCCGCTGCGCACAGGACGACCCCTCGGAGTCCAACATCGCCGAGATGGAGCGCATGGCGGAGGACGCCCGACTGCACCCCATGGTCCGCGTCAACGCCAGCAACGCGACGCTCGAGCTGGACATATACTTCCACGTCATCAGCACGGGGCCGTCGGTGGCGGAGGGGAATCTCGGGAACGGTACACTCATGAATCAGGTTGGTTTGCACTGCTGCCGCCCCCTCTTCTCCGCCCCTTCCTTTGTGATCGGAGGATTCACACCGGTGGTCGTGGTGGTGGAACAGCTGAATGTCATCAACAAAGACTACGCCCCGGCGGGCATAAAGTACACGCTTCGCAACGTCACGCGGACCGTGAACGCGGCTTGGTACGGGGTGACCATGGGGTCCGCGGCGGAGATGGCCATGAAGAAGTCGCTGCGACGGGGCACATACCGGGACATCAATGTGTATTTTGCGCGACTATCGGGTGGCGTGCTGGGCTGGTGTACATTGTCCGTCCCCTCCCCCTCTCCCCCCTCTCCTCCGAGGCAGCGCCACTGACCCCCCACCAGCCCAGAAGTGAACCCGACAGCGCACATGCGCACGCGCGACGGCTGCGTCGTAGCATCGCAATCGCTGCCGGGCGGAATAAAGCCATACAACCTGGGGCGGACGCTGACGCACGAGCTGGGCCACTGGCACTCGCTGTACCACACGTTCCAGGGCGGGTGCACGGCGACGAACGATCGCGTCGAGGACACGCCGGCGGAGCGCGGACCCACGTATGGCTGCCCAAAGACTAATCCAGACACCTGCACCGGCGCGAGGTTCCCCGGCGTTGATCCGATTCATAATTTCATGGACTATGTAGGCCCACCCTCCTGAACAGCGATCAGTCGGCGTTGCTAATGATCCCCAAAGACGGACGATATATGCATGAACGAATTCACGCCCGGCCAAGTAACTCGGATGTTCCAGGCGTTTGCGAGGATGCGGGGCGCAGCGAGGGGCGGATACTACCCGCAGTACTAGGAGCGCGCGGGGAGGGCTGGGGGTTGGAGGGGGGGTGTATATGGGGGGTGTATGTGGGGGGTGGGGAGGGGGGGGGGGTGTATGTTCGAGACGGTTTGGTCGGAAGTACTGGCATGATACATGCTAGTATATTGGGCGGTGTTTCGGTCGTTCGTTTCGTTTCGGTCGTCGTATGTAGGGCATCGCATGTAGCATGAATCGGTTTAATTCTCGCATGGTATGTTACTGGCCGGTGGTGGTGCCGATGGACGGAGCTTGGCGGATGTGGGGGGTCTCCAAAGAAGCGAGCGAACGGCCGATGATTCGGGGGAGGGATGAGGGGATGGAGGCGCTATGCGCGGACTGCGAACACGAGCGAAGCGGTAGTTCGTCAACGGATGACGGAATGCGACCTGAGTGCGTCGAGAACTTTGTTTGGTGATTGGACTCCCACATGGCAGTCGACTTCGCTGTAACCAATATCCACATCGGCCAGCCAATGCCGTCGCCGTCGCAGTCTCGCAAATGGCCTCTGGTTATCGCATATCGCATATGGTTCGACCGGGGGTTTCGACTCCGTGAGCGTCACCGGGCTCGTGGGCCATCTGCATTCGAAGCGTATGTGGCATCTGTCTCTGCTGGAGAATGTTCCTGCGTTACCTAGACATCGCGAACGGCTCCACCTTCCTCATAGAGAGATCGTTGGGTGCTGGTATACCACCCCCAGCGAGATCAAACTTCTTCTGCCACCGCAGAGCTATGTATGGTGAGTAGATGTCACGTAGAATGGCCACCCTGACCATGTTCGTCACCCTGCATCATCGTCATCGTGGTTCTAGCTTCCAGTTAGCCCAGTTACCCCGCAGTCACTCTCTTTCCCTCTCAGCGCGTCCGAACCGGGCAGCACGACGCGGACAGCCCGTGACAAGCATTCCTCCACTCCGCAGCGAAACACCCGATTGTACTCTGTCGACACGCGCGACATGCGAGCCGCGACTTGCGAGTCGCGTCTTGCGAGTCTTGTGGAATACGAAGAACACTGCGGAATCCTTCCGGCCAGCGATAACCAGGCTGCCACTCCACCCTACCCACCGGTATTCCGAGCCGTGCGCTGTGCGATAAGCGAGACGAAACCTCTCCAACAACGAGGAGGGTGGGGATGAGGAGGAGCGCGTTCCGTTTGTGACGGTTTCTGGGGCCAATCCTTCGTCGCGATCGGGGATGAAGGAGGAGGACGAGGATCGCATGCCCAATTGCCCCTCTCTCTCGCTTTCTCTCTCGCTTTCTCTCGCTCCCTCACTTCCTCTGCTGTCTGCCACGTATGTGCTCTGCAAGCGATGAGTGAGCACAATTACTCGGTCTCTGGATGGGAGTGCGCACATCGAGGGTTGCTAAGTGGACATTCCGTCGAGCCTCAATTCATCGCTTACACCTTAAACTGTAACTACCGGCTGCCATTCTCACCCCCCACCTCCCCCCAACGCATCTCCTGTCATATATCACCTCTCCCCCTCCCCCTCCCGACGCATATAGCTCCGCAATACCATTCCTCACCCCGCCCGTTCGTGCTCTTTGGCTTCACCTAGCTCCTCGCTGTAACTCCCCCCGGCCCGAGGCGACGTAACTGAGTACCCTCCCCCACTACCCGTGGGGCTAGCCTCGTATGTGATCCGCGCGCGCCGCGCCCCCGAAAAGCCCCAGCTCGGATCGCTCCGCACCCACTCCGGGAGCCAGCCATAGCCAGTTCCTGCTGATCGTGCCTGCCGCGTGAATAGTTATGGCCTCGATGGCGTCGCTACTCCCGTCCACCAGCTGGAGCGTCGGTGACTCGGGCTTCAATGACCGCCAGCATTCGGAATCACAAGGCCCCGAGTCCCTCCTGCGCCGGCTCCTGGTCAACGTCGGCAACCGCGTGGCGCACATCACCGGCGCCGATAAGAGCGAGGTGTACAAGCTCATGAAGGCCATGGCCGACGAGCTGTACCACGAGCAGCTGCTGGCGCGACCGGCCGCCATGCAGTCGCAGCTGGCACAGTCGGTTGCTAGGCAGCACACGGCGACCACGACGACGGCGATGGGCGTGGATGGGGAGTGCTATCCAGGCACGATCAACCCGCACATACTGCAGCGGGAGCAGGTCGAGATCATACAGATGGCCTTGACGGGGAACACGTTCGACGGCACCGTCGACGTGTCGCAGTACTCGGGCGGACAGTCGGGGTATGCGCGGCCGCTAGTGGCGTACGAGCGGTCGCACCCGGCGCTGCTGGAGCGCCACCTGGCGGACATTGTCGGCACGATCGACGGAGCTAGTCGGCCGGCGGGCAGCGGGCAGGGGAACGACCTCACGCTGGGCGAGCGACAGTCGTTCCGGCGGGGAACGAGAAGGCTCAGGGATCCCGGCGAGGACCTGGACAGCGCTGCCGACTACTCCAATAGCGAGTCGAATCTTGACCCGCAACTGCAGCTCACCAGCCGCACACACTTCGACCCATACATACCCGGGGATGCACGCTCCATCGAGCCGTCAACCAGCAAGAACATGGGCCCGCCGTCGTCGTTCACGTCGCTGTCGCTGTCGCAGCAGTCTCCCGGGTACAGACAGTGCAAGCGGACGAAAACGGTCGCGTCCGAGCCCATCAACGAGACGGAGACGTCGTCGCAGGCCGGGGGTGACCGCAACCGCGGGCCAAGGTTCGTTTCGTCCCCGTGCCGGAGCGGGTCCACACCGAGCTGATGTGATGCGTGCAGCAGGGCACCCGGACCGTCCGAGCACGGCAACGAAACGGAGACCTCCTCGCAGGCTGGGCAGGATCGAACCTGCGACAGCTGCAGCCGGCACTTCCCCTTTCCGCGCGACCTCAAGTGAGTCCCTCCGTCGTCGTGGTCTGCAAGCAAGAAATCCCCCACTAACCCCTCCGCTGCAAGAGCGCACATCCAAGCGCACCACGCCGGCGGCATCAAGTGCGACGAGTGCAGCGCGTGCCTGTCGAACCAATACAGCCTTCAGCGGCACAAGGCATCCAAGCACGGCGTGGGCCGGCACTGCGGCCACTGCCCGACCACCTTCGGCACGCTCACCGCGCTAAGCAAGCACATGGCCAAGGAGCACGGCGTCGGCGAGCACTGCAACTTCTGCGACTGCGCCGTGACAAAGCTCGATCGCCACCTGGCCGATCATCATGGACAGGGACATGCGTGCAGGACTTGTCCGAGATTCTTCGCTACGGAACATTCCGCTAGGCATCACAGGAAGAATTGCGTCGGCAACCAGCTGCAAAACCAGCTGCAGCAGCAACCAAGACAGCAGCATGGACAGCAACAGAGGGACAGGAGACACCCCTCCCCGGAGCAGCAGCAGAATCATCACCATCATAGCCTCTATCTCGATCCTCCGGGCTATCAGGATATGTTCTTTTGAACCACCACCGACAGTAGCTGGCGCAATTGTTCCGCTCTTGCTGCACCCTCCTCGCTAGTCGAGCTGCCCCCCCCCCCCCCCCCCCTGCCCAGGGCCCGACATGGCCAGCCCCCGTTTTCCCGGTCCGACGACTGCTACGCCCCTCTCCCACAACCCCCCGAGCATACCCGTAAATTTGTATCTAGCTCTAGCTCTCTTCCTCTTCCTATTCCGTTTGATTAATCCATTCCTTGTATTGATGGGTTGTTTGTTCATGTACGTATTCTTGTATGTAGGAGTTTGGCGCATTTGCGGGATTTGGACTGGACTGGTCGTGTTGCTTTTGGGGTCGAGGGAGGTACACAATGGATCTAAGGAGGAGCGAGAAGGGGAGATGCAGGTGAACGGGGAGGGGAAAGGGGAATGGGGGTGAATGGGGCGAAGAGAGAAAGTTCTGCAGTTGGATGTAGTCTACTATACTACTAGTATATAATGTGTCGATACATCACGTCGATGTTGAAGTTGAATGCTTGCTCACGATGACACTGGCTTTCGATATGTCTATGTCTTCTCCAGCACCTCGCCTACAATCCTTCGTATCTGCCGCCACCTCCTCCTGATAGTCTCCTCGATCTCCGCATCCACATCCTCCTCCTCCGCCCCCATCGCCTCGACTTCATCCGCCTCCTCCAGCACGCCCTTCAGCACCCCCCTCAACACGCCCTTAACCCTCGCCGCCTCGACCGCGCCTCCCTCATCCCCCCCAAGAAACGCATACCACCTCCCCTCATCGCCCACGACCAGCCTTATGGCCACCTCAGTGCGATAACACCACCCCCTCCCATCAAGCACCCAATTCCCCCAGTAGCCCTCCAGTTCCAAGCGCTCCCTAACCTCGTTTACCCCCTGCAGGCGCTCCAACCACGGATCCAGCAGCAGCGCATCGGCCTCATTCTCCTCGGGGACGAAACCATACTCGACCAGCAGGAAATCCCCCGAGTGCGGGCCGTAGGTAACACACAGCTCCTCTCCCGCCGCCACATCCCGCGTGGTGGTAACGGTGTACCCCCGCGGCCCATACACCGCACTACACGCGCCCGCCCGCGACGTGTGGTTGAAGTAGTCAACGAACGGACACAGCGTGAGCTTATCCTCGCGCTTTCCCCCAGCGCCAGGATAAAACAGCGTGCGCGTATTAACCACGGCCCACGCCCACTGATACACCTCCCTTCCCACCCCCACCCCGCACACTGCTCTCACCGCGGCCTCATCCGCCTCCATCCTCTTCTCCATCGCGCTGAGCAACCGTCTCGCCGAAGCCGGCAGCCTCGCCCGCCTCGCCTTGTCCCAGAACAACGGCAGGCCGCGCAGATCCTCCCGACTCGGGAACGTGGGGATCCACGCGGCCCACGGGTTCTTGGGATCGGCGTGGCTAAGCGCGATGGCGGCCGCAAGGATCGCGTGTGTACGTGTGCCTGGCGGGAAGGGAGGGAGCGTGGGCGAGAAGAGGGGGACGGTCGAGATGTTTAGCAGGAGGGAGCGCGGGCAGAATGCGATCACCGTGCCCGACGGGATTGGGGTGGTGGAGGTGATGCCCAGGCCGGCGCCAGGGATGAGGGTCGGGACGATGGAGTGAGTCGTTACGCCGGCGGTACGGGCCCAGGTTGTGAAGGCCGCGTGCTGTGGGGGAGGCGCGGGAGGGGTGGGGGGCGGGGAAGACATGATTGAGTATAAGGGAGGTGGGCGGCCGCTGCCCGAGAGGTTATATGTAGATAGAGTAAGGGTCGGTCCCGGGATAGCGCGGGCAGTATGACTCGAACGAGCGCCCAGTTCGACAATTGTTAGGTAGTGGTGGGATGGGGCCACCCAGACGACAGAGCACGCAATCCTGTAAGACTGTACCTGACTATCCCATCGTTGGTGGCTGGACAATGGTGGCGTATGTAGCCTTGGAGGGAGCGGCGAATGAGGGATGAGGGAGAAGGTGAGGTTGTATTCAACTTCCGAGAGCCATTGAGTACGGTATGACTCTCCTCCGCTGCCAACGTGCAACGTGAGGTGTCACTCAATCTGGCTAGTCCGGATAGCCCCTCCTCCTCCAGCATATCTTATCTGATCCTCCATCTATCCCACATGTGTCATGTGCTCATCTCTGGTGGCAGACGACAACTCCCGTCCGTGCGACATCGGCATCCCGCATACACTTCGCCCCCATCAATCCAAGTTTTGCCCTGGTACATACCGTCCTCCCGGCAGTCATCATCATCATCCACGGTGAGACATCCTTTGCTTTTTTCGCAGGCAGTGGAATGCCAATGCCAACGTCATGAAACATGAGGCGGCGTGGAGGCGGTGTAGGCCTTATCGGTTTATCGGTAGATACTACTCTAGATAGCAATGACCAAGACCAAACGTTATCGCGATCGCTCACCTTCTCCTCCTCCTTCTCCTTCTCGTTCTCCTTCTCGTTTCCAGGATACAAGATCCAAGGTCCAAGATACCTACAACGCTGGGCGCGCTCACCTTATGATCATGAGATGTCTAGCTGGCCTGGCCTGGGATGGGATAGGCAGTCGAGATGCAGTCGAGATGCGATCTCGTCTCCGGGTGAAGCTCCGCTCCGCTCGATGCAACGTTTTGGGCTGTGCTGGATTGATCCGAGATCGTTTATAACCGGCGTGTATCCCGCACTGTTTTTGATTTTACAACGAGGGAGCTCACGACCTTAGACCTCACGATTTCACGTGCAAACATCCCCACTACCTCGACGAAAACGCAGCCCCCATGCCTTCACCGCCGCCGCGCTCACCGCGCATAACCCTCCAGCCCGCCCTCCTAAACAGCGCCAGCCCCTGGGCGAGCACATCCGCGGACCTTCTCTCCCTCTACCTCTCGCCCTTCACCGGCGGCGTAACAACACGCACCTCCCTCCTCCCCACACCATTCCCGCACGACCCACGAATCCACCAGCACCACCTCTTCTCCACCAGCAGCGTGAACACATACGGCTACTCGCCCTCTCCACTGACCTCGTACCTCTCGTGGATCCGCGAGATAGTGCGCGGCACTGGCGCACCGCAGACGAAGCCGTTTATCGTCTCTATCACCGGCGGCGCAGACGCGGTAGCGGCCGGCGTCCACGAGATCGCCACGTTCGCCGCTACCCACAACCTGCGCTTGTTCGCGGAGATAAACCTCTCCTGCCCTAACATCCCGGGCGCCCCGCCGCCCGCGTACTCAGCCGAGGGGCTGGGGTCGTATCTGCAGCTACTACCGGAGCAGATGGGAGTTCCAGTGGGCATCAAGCTCCCGCCGTTCACATACCCCGCGCAGTTCGACGCGGTACTCGACGTAGTGGCGCGGTACCCGGCGGCGCTGTCGTTCATTACCGCCACGAACTCGCTCGGCGGCGCGCTGCACCTGTCCGCGCCGCCGTCGCTCAGCGTCGATGGCGGGAAAAGGATCTGGCAGCCCACGCTGTCGTCACCCGCCGGGACCGGAGTGGGAGGGCTGGCCGGGGAGGCGATTCATTGGCTTGCTGTTGGGAATGTGGACAGTCTTAGGAGGGGCCTGGATGAGAGGGGGTTGGGGGGCGTGGTGGTGATAGGTGTGGGAGGCGTGGGGGATAGGGACGGGATGGTTAGGATGCTGACGGTGGGCGCGGGCGCGGTGGGAGTGGCGACGGCGCTGGGGAGGGAGGGGGTGGAGGTGTTTGAGAGGATCTTGATGGGGGACGCGGCGGTGGGGGAGGGGGAGTGGTGCACGTGAATTGGAGGGAGGCGGTGGCATGGGAGGAGAGGGCATACAGCGTACATACGGATTGCCGTGATCTGAACACCATGAGCTACGGTGTGGAATTGACTCGTTACTAGTACCTTGAGAGTACCGGTAGCAGGCAGGCGGGCAGTAGGGAGAGACACTGTTGCCAAACCGTTGCCAAAGCTCGGACTGTATACTATATGTATAGTACATAAGCGGCCAGCCGGCGGAGGAAGCTCAGCAATAGCTTTGCGTCCAGTCCGAGCGTGCAAAGTCAACTTGCGCTTGGACTTGTCGGAGAAGCTTATTCCGACGAGGTGGTCGTGTGGTCGTGTGGGAGTCTACCATATGTAGTCCGCGGGCGATAGTTAAGCATCTTCGAGCTCGCGCCACACATGCAGCAGAACAGAGCTCTGGGCAGCCCCATCCGCAATGGAAGCTTCCACGCACCGTTCGATGCATATAAGCCACTTCTTCGCTCGCGGCCGGTCCGGATTTAGACAGCGGAAGCCCTTACCTCATCTTACCTTGCCTTACCGAACGTGCACTCACAGCCACAATCACATTTACACCCACACTCACATTCACGCTCACACGATTCGGATGCGGAATTGACAGCCGTACATACACATAGGATTGTGAGGCGGGAAGAAGTCGCGAAGTCGCGAAGTCGTGAAGTGGCGGGGGCGGGGGCGGGCGATGGTCGCCGGCGGGGAGAGGCGACCGGGCGGTTGCACGGTGCAGGCCGCATCACGCGCACGCACGCACGCACGCAAGCACACGACGGCCGGCCGTCTCAGTCACGAGCGGGGATAGAATAGGTGCATGGTGGGAACCATCGGCTGCATAGGTGGCGACTTCGGCGTTTGCATTTATGCCCTGGCCCGTCCAGCCTGGACGAGGCGGGTTGCGGTCGAGAGTAATCCGCTGCAGTGCGGTGTGGAGCGGGCTCGTCAGATGAGCGGCGGTGCGGCGCGGGGATAGGGGTGCAGACTAGACTAGCTGGGCTGGTCAGGTTGGTGGTCGCAGGTCGGCCTGGTCGGGCATGTGAGATGAGATGGGGCTCTGCCGGGTCTAACCTGCCGGGGCTAGCCTGATCGGGAACGGGCCGGCGCTGGCGGCCGTAGGAAGATGCCGGGAAAGGGAAAGGGACAGGGGAAGGAAGGAAGGGAGGGAGGGGGGGGCCCTTTATCTGTCTGCCGAAGAGCGGGCTTTCGTGACGGATACCTACTTCTTACCTGGTATCTGGAGGTCTGGCTGGCCGCTGGACGTGATGATTTCCAGGGCGGCAGGGCAGCAGAGATCTTCAAATGCCGTCCGGTATCTAGATTCTTCATGCCTCTTGCTTGGGGACTTACACACGACACTTCCAAGGTGTCTCGAGCGAGAGGTAGCTAGAGTGCTCCGCATATGCAGCGTGCTCGCCGCAACAGTCTTCAGACCAGCCCATGCCCAGTGGCCACGAGTGCGGCGGCGCTGCTGCCAAAGCTTTTCGCGGAGCTCCCCCCTCCTCCAACGACAATCGTCATTGCACGATGTGCCCCGACACTCTGGGTTACATATCGCGCGCCCACAGATGAGAAGAAGGAAGAGAAGGTGGGTGGAAAAGAAGAAAATAAAAAACACAAATAGAAATAGAAATCACAAAAACAAAAACAAAAGCAAAAGTGAAAAAAGTAAAGGCCTCACCCAACGATTCTCCCTTTCCGCAACGTTGGACGCCCGTCGTCCGTCGTCGTCGTCACGGCGTGGCTGGGGAGGCGGCGGACTGCGGGCTGCGAACGGCGTCACAGACACTGACCGACCGCTTCGCGCTGCGCCGAAGCCGCCCGCCGGACGGACGAAACCGCTTACAACAGATGGCGATGCGCTGCGGATGGACGAGGGCGAGACGATTCCCGCTGGGGATGGAATTGGGCGGGAAGAGAAGCCCAACGCCCACTCCCAACGGAGGGTGGGCGGAGGGTGGGTCGCGACAGGGAACGCCGGCCATGCAGGTCGCACTCTACCGTAGTTAGTCCCCCACTGACACGTCGCAGGTGTTAACCGCCAGTCGGCTAGCTGCGTTCCTGCTGCTTGCTTGCTGCTTGCTTGCTGCTTGCTTGCTGCTTGCTTGCTGCTTGCTTGCTGCTTCTACTTGCTTGCTTGGCTGCTCGCTGGCTGGCCGACTTGACTGGCTGCTCGATTCGCAATTGCTGCTGGAAAATCAACTTTTTCCGTTGCGGAATATCGCCCGGCTGCGGCGAATCGAAAAATCTGCTCGATCTGTTAATGTCGAAACCGTGAGCTTTTTCCCCCCGCCCGCAGCAGTAAGTACCGGACTTACTCACCTACTCTAACCACTCTGGACCGCTTTGGAGCTGCTGCCGCCGCAACAGCAGCTCTGCTTTGCTGCGGGGGCTGATCGGAATCTCCTCACTCTGCTGGCCATGGCTGGCTGGTCTTGCCTGCCGGGACTGGCTGTCTCACTTTGCACGCCGGTTGACGTCGACGGATGACCGATATTGCTTTGATCGATTTGCCCGTGGCTCTCCTCTCCCTCCTCTTTTAATGGCGTGGTGCGGTCCCGCTCTCCTCTCGCCCCCTCACCCCTCCCCCTCCTCCGTCATTGCCATCATCCTCTCCGCCCCCTTCTCCTGCTTCGCCACTGTTTCTAAAATTCTTCTCCGCCTCGTCCTGATCTCACCTGAGGCCAGACCGAGTGCGCGCTGCCATCGCTGTCCGCACCCACCCAGCCAGTACATGGGCCGAAGGGTCCCACTAGAGTAGAGCGGGCCCCATTTCGCATGTAACAGGTTTCGACCCGCAGCAAGGATACTGCTCCCTACTACCCCGCAAGGCTCGGAATCTCTCCCATAGCAACAACACATCACCAACCACCACCTCTCCCTCGTCAACCACCGCCGCCGACCCGCTACACCGCCCTCCGCCAGCGTTTCGTTGGAGCTTCTGGCCCACTCATTCGTTTGCCCTCGGGGTGAGTGACTCTGCCTGTCAGCCAGTGACCACGCATCGCTGTCGCTGTGCAGTTTTTTTTCTTCTCTTATTTAATTTCCTCCCACCCCCCCCCCTCCCTCATCTCATCCGGTGCTCTCCCGCTCCTCCGTCTCCTCCTAACCTCACCTCACCCCCTCCCACTACCGCGAACTCCCTATAAAGTTCGGGTGGCTTGTTTCCTCCTGCCCTTCTTCCATCCTCTCCACTATAGATTCCCATTACCATCCGCCAAACTAGATCTCCCTTACTCACCTCCGCTGCCCTTATAGACGTCGTTCTCCGGATCGTCGAGCGTATATCACACATACACATACACACACACACACACACACACACACACACACACACACACACACACAAACACACCCACCTCCTCCTCCTCCCCGCCAACCCTAGAAAAGTGACGTCGCACGAGTGATCACCCGCCAAACACAACCGATATATATACCACAATCTCCATCCATCCATCTACATACACACACCGCCATCATCATGGATGCGGCTACCGAACTCCAGAACTTAAAGTTCACCCCGCGGTCCGATGCCTGGAAGCATCTGCGAAAATTCGAGCGTCTGTGCGGTGTCGCATACCCGAGAGCTACAGATGCTGGCAAATGGTGAGTTTCTTGTGCGTTGCGTCTGTGCGGGTGTGGTTGCGGGCTTGCGGGGTGTGTGGCTGTGCTTTGCGCAAGGTCGGACCTGTGACGAGGACGGTCCAGTGTTGGCTGGCTTGTCCGCCTGCCCGCTTTCCCCGCATGCCCGCCCGCCTGCTTGTTGCAGCCTCGCAGATGTGTGATGTGTACAACCAGCCTTGCTGACGCAAGTCATTCTCAGGTCGCTGTTCGTCAAAACGATCGATTCCAACGATCCCAATGCGTGGCCAAACAGGTTCACACCTCACCGATGGCTGCTTGATTTGAGTAAGTACTTCCAGCTCCACCGCATACAACATGTTCTGACATCCCGTAGATGATGCCTGGATAAGAGACAACCCCGCCTGCGACGATATCAACTGCCATGACTGTTTGTTCCCCGCTTCTCCCATGTCAAAGGTTCTCCCCCACTAATAGAACTCATCAGGTAAAACCGACGCTATGTCTTACGACCACCTCAAGAACGCCTTCATCGACCGGTGGGCAGTCGACGACCGGGCCTCGCGCCGACACGGTCCTCCCTCGCGATCCTACTCCATGCCACCCCAGAGCATCGATTCCGGTTCCGAGACAGAGTCCACCGCTCCCACTGCCATGATCCCCCACTCCCACTCGGCAGTGCACCTTCCTCCGGCTGCACCTACACCCCCGAACGAGCCGGTCTCCGAGTTCCAGGAGACAAAGACCCAGATCTCGATCAACGCCGAGCACGGCACCGGTCAGATCGTGCTCTCCATCTCGGAGAACAAGCAGCGGGGGAAGCGCAAGACCAAGCAGCACGAGTCCTCTCCCGGCCCCGACAGCAGGAGCGCATCCCCGACACGGCCACCCCACAGGCAGCAGATCGAGGCGCCTCCGCGCCACCCGGTCCACGTCATCGAAGCCACTCCCGACCACCAGGAAGGGAGTTCACGGATGGGAGGACATCACGGGATGGACCACGCCGACCCACGACTGGGTCTCGGCGGGGGTCTTGGCCAGGGTCTCGGCCAGGGTCTTCGCCAGGGTGACATGGAGCACCGCCACGGCTCGCCACTGAACTCTCCCACGAACTCCCCCGGCGCACTGGAGCTGCGCCACGGCTCCCCCGACAACCGCGGCATCGTCGAGCGGATGGATCGCATGGACCTGTACAAACCCGAGTCACCCGTGCGACCACCTACCCCACCCGAGACCGACGCCAACCGCGAGCCTCCCTTGCGGCCCCGCCTCCTCGAGGGCAAGGTCTGCGCCATCACCGGTGCGTCGCGGGGTATCGGGCGTGCCATCGCCCTGGGCTTCGCGAAGGAGGGTGCGCACATCATCGCTCACTACTGGGGCACCAAGTCCGATCCCGCCAACGAGGAGATTGTCTCGCTGTGTGTCGACATCCGTTCGCTCGGTCAGGGATGTACGATCGTCTTTGGCGACATCTCGGATCCCAGGACGAGTGAGAACATTGTGAGGCGCGCGGTCGAGACATATGGACGCCTCGATATCGCTGTCGGTAACGCGGGAATGTGCTGGTAAGTCGTGCATGGAACCCCCCCTTATCGGCAACTCTTACTAACGATCCACCAGGCTCCGTGAATTCCTCGATGTGACCCCTGAGCTCCTGCGCCGCCACGTCGACGTGAACCTCAACGGCAACTTCTACTTCGTCCAAGCCTGTGCGCGCCAGTTCAAGCGCCAGTTCCTCGAGCTCCCGGTCGACACGCCCAAGTCCGACTGGCCCGACTACAGCGTGATCTGTGTTTCGGCCACGTCCGTCGGCGACTCGGGCGGAAAGCAGGCCCACTTCTCGCCCACCGCAGCGGGTATCCGCGAGTTGATGCGGAACTGCGCGCAGGGGCTCGCCAAGTACGGAGTCCGCTGCAACACCCTCTCGCCCGGGTTGGTCCAGACGAAGATGGTCAAGGAGGTCGTCGAGGACATGGAAGTCCGCGGACGCCTCGAGAAGAAGAACCCCTTCGGACGTCTGGGTGTCCCCGGCGACGTGGTCGGACCTGCCGTCTGGCTTGCTAGTGAGATGGCCAAGTGGACGAACGGTCAGGAGATTGTCGTTGATGGCGGTACTAGCGTCGGTTAAGTGCGCGTCGAGGTAGGGGAGCATGGCAGCGCGCTTGTGGGTGGTGTTTGTTATTTTTTTTTTACATGTTGTTTTATTTTACATTGCGATTTTTGTTGTTGATTTGCATTCATGTCATTTATCATCTAGGTTTTGGTTATGAGGTCTTGTAGGATTGGTTTGTTGGTTTGTTGGTCGGTTTGGTGGGATTGGTGGGATGGGATGGGAAGTTTGGTGGGATGGGTAGTGGGATGGGGAGGAGGAATGGCGGGACGAGGATTGCGGGAAGGGGGACGGGAAGCGTAAAGGTGGCTCATGTGTGTACGGAATATATCGTTTATGTCTACTCTACGTACGAGCTCTCTCTCTTTCTCTTTCTCTCTCTCTCTCTCTCTCTCTCTCTCTCTCTCGGTCTTTGTGCTTTGTGCTTTGTGTGATCGGTCTCGTGTGGTTGATCTCGTGAGTCGTGAGGCTGCATGGTGCTACGGTCTGCGCTACGGTGGGTGGGAGTGGTAAGTCGCGGCGGTTGGAATGGGTGACTAAGCGAGTGGTTGCGACCTGGGCGAGTGATTGCATACTGTATAGTGAAGGGGGGGGGGGGTGGGGGGTAAAAAATACGCTTTTGACCGTACCGATACGGAAAAAAGCGTATTTTTTTACCCACCCCTTCACTATACAGTACATGAAATGAAGGGCCAATGCATCCAATGCATCCATTGACCAGCCAATGGACAGCCATTAGCCAGCCATGCGGGAACGGTCATGCAGGACAACGGTGAGGTGAGGTTGGTCACGGGTGGTGATGGGTGAATGGTGGTTGGTGGTTGGTGATGGGTGAATGGTGGTTGATGGTTGGTGGTGGGTAAATGGTGGTTGGTGGTTGGTGATGGGTGGTTCTCCAATGGGAGTGGTCATGTGCGTATGGTGGGGGGAATGGGTGTTTGCAGCAGCCATAGGGCTTGGGGTTCGCAAGTCGCTGGAGTGGGGAGTGAAAGGTTGACTTTACAGTAGAGAGAGGAGGGGAGCGGAGGGGAGAGGAGGGGAGCGCTGGAGCGGTATGGGCCGGGGCGGTAAGCTTATCACGGCTTATCACTCACTCACTAGATCACTCGATCACTCGATCACTCGAATTGTTTATCTCTTTATTTCTTGTTTCTTTGTTTCTTTGTTTCTTTGCTTCTTTGTTTCTTTGTTTCTTCAGCACGGGAGTCCGGGAGTATGGGAGACCGGGAGTATGGGAGCACGGCGGCTCGGGAGTACGGGAAATTGGGAGACCGGGCGTTGAGCTGGAAGCTGCCCCAGAGCTGAGTTGATTGCAAGCCAATTGCAAGCCGAGCCGCCTGCAAGCCAATTGAAGCCGGTTGCAAGTTCATTGCAAGCTGATTGCGGCCTCAAGGATTAAACAGAGAGGCTACTACATAGTGGATTCTGGGATTATGGCATTATTGGATCCTCCATCGAGATCTAGTTTGCTTTGGCAACTTGGTTTGTTCCTAAGTGATTATTGATCGTTAATCGTCAATCGCTGAGCGTAGGTAATCTATACCAAGATCCCAATCACAGCGCAATACTCGTCCACCGAGTGACCATGTGCATACACACCTGCAGCAGTCATCCATCGTTGCGCGAACGGCGAACGCTGCAGTGCTTCCAAGTCGTAACCGTACATACGATGGCTCGCACTCGTCACGCCGCAAGCTGCCTTGTTCATTCAAGCTATTCCAAGCGTGTGCGCCTGGAGCGAGTAGCAAAACCAAAACCCTCCGTGTTGATTCTATACCGGCAGTATCAAGGATGGAAGTTGTATCTAAGTACAGCTCTTTGCTCTCTGCTGAACTTGACTAGACTAGGTAGGTATACTATGTTAGAAAGGATCTTCGATTCGGGTCGATTATGAGCGACTTATCGCTTCCGAAGGGGGTTATGACATTATGTAGTGTGGATTGTTGAACTCAGCAACAGACAGTAAGGAGTATCGGAAGGTGGGTACAACACGGTGGATCTCAACCGTCAATTCTCCAGAATGTGTTGCTTGGACGGAGGTTTCGTCACCCGGTTTGGTGTCGAGCGGATGGGCCGGGGGAGACGATGGTAGGTGACATAGGTGGATCGAGAGCCATTGAAACTTGAACATGTGATGTGATGCGATGCACCAGAGTCGTTGATTCATGTGGTCGAGGATGAGGGTGCTCCCGCCGTCGTCATGACCACGCAACGAACGACCGAGGAACGGACGCCTAAGGAGCGAACTACTCGATATTACAGCAGACTAGAAATCGAGTGATATGAGTGATACCCCATGATATGATGCCCAGACGACCGTCTGTATGGTAGCCTCGATCCAGCAAGCCCCGATCCGCAAGCTACCCAAGTACCTACCTACCAACCCACCTACAATCGTTTCTCGACCGAATACCAGGTAGGTATGGACCAGCTGGCGGTGTGCTTTGGAATCTCATGACGCGCTGCAGCCTGCAGGTGGTGGGGTCTGTTAAATGTTTTGACAAGATCATGTATGTAGTCCATAGTCTAGACCCAGGCAGGCCGCAGGCGATCCCGGTAGGCTATGTAGGCAGACGAACAACGAACAACGAACAACGGGAACGGGAACCGCGGCTGCATTTTAGTCGGCGCTTCTGGTTGGCAGCGATAGAACCCAGTATGTAGTCGGCGTGATCACCGAACCGAACCGAATCAACGGTTGCGACATTTCATACACGGACTGCCAGTGTTACACACCTGCGAGTACTACCTGCAAGTTGAACCCCACTCCCCCCCCACTCCTCACTCCCCACTCCTCACTCTCCCCCACTCCACTCCCCCCACGGAGCGCTTGAATCGCCACCCTACTGTTAGGTACTCTACATAGTAGGCGCGGAGATCTCCCGCCGCGCGATCCTGCCACATACCCAAGTACAGAGCACCGCTCGGTCGGTACCGGCCCCAGCCCCGGCTGCTTGACTGGCACTCAGCCATGGGCCATGGCATGGCAAGATCTGTCGACTGTCGGATGGAATGGGACTCACGCGTCTGCGTCTGCGTCTACTCTGGAGACTAGAGTGGGCAGGTGAGATCTCGATTCTCGATTCGATGACTTGGCTACCCAGGTGCGTCGGAGAAGCCCGCGAGTCGTGGCAGTTTCGACATCGATCCCACCGCTCCAGGCGGATTTCGGTGCACGAGGATAGCAAGACATCAGGGGAAGACGGTGGGGGTTTGGAGTTTGAAGCAGTCTCACCAACGGCGCTGTCCGACTTTGTAGTTCACAGCTCATCACCCGCTTTCGGCCTCAGTCTTGGCACTTGGCACCTGACATTGTGCACGTGCTTCGTGTCCACTGTTCAGTGTTCACCGAGCGAGCTCCACGAACCCCACGACCGATAACCAGCTCGGACGCGTCCAGCCCACGGCGAGTGGCGAAATCACCAAGTCACGTTTTTGTATTCTACTCTACACACGATTGGGAGTTACCCATGCCTGGTGGGGAGCAGATCTGTTGCCAGGTCCGGCGTCCGCCCCCTGCGTGTATCTTTGACGCAGTTATCTACCTAGGTCGTTACCAGTGGATTCGAGGTTGTGGTTATGGTTCGCCTGCAGGCCGGCTGGCCCGGCCACCCCCAGGGAAAATATCATTCCAACGTCAAAGGCCAAAGTGGCCGCCGGCCGCCGGCAAAGGCGCGCGCTGATCACCGCCGGGGTGGGTTGGTTGGTTGGTTGGTTTGGTGTAGGTAGAGTATGTTAGGGTGCGCAGGATGGGGGTAACGCAATCGTTATTGCAAATCGGTGGCCGTGGGGGATACGGTAGGTATGATATGTAGACGATGGATTGATGCCGATAGCAACCGTGTGAGAGTATAGTACGGTAGATGATCCGCTGATATTGATATCGATGTCTGCATTTGTGTTCTTGCCAAGGCCAGTGAACACGAGACGGAAGGGAGGGTGCTGTCCTACCGGTACTCCACAGGACTCGCGCCGAGGTCTCGTTTGCGGGCCACGACGGGGAGAAGGGAAGGAAGGGTTGCTACTCTAAGTACCACTCATCACTGTTCCTGTTGTCGCCACTCGCAGAACGTGGGATGAGCACTGAGCAGCGAATGTTTCAGTTCCAGTTCCCCCCACATATCGCCCTGCGGGGGTCATTATCGTATTTTCTTTTTTTCTCTCTCTCTCTCTCTCTCTTTCTTTCTTTCTTTCTTTTTTCCTTTCTTTCTTTTTCTTTCTTTTTCCGTCGTGCGTTCGCTCGACCACTGAATCACTGATAGCGAATGCGATAAGCCGGCCAAATGCCCGCCATTGTGCAGTAGTTAGCCACCCCCGGCCCCCCTCCCCAGAAGGCAGAAGCGCCCTCGCTTCCGAGTTACTCCTTTACTTCCGTTTGAGTTCGTTTGGTCTTCCGAAAATCACGTGGTGGGGGGACGAGAGTTAGAGACGAGCGGCGCCTTTGTTCTGTTCCGGAGGAGGAGGAGGAGGAGGAGGAAATTCAATTGGGGGGGGGGGGGGGGGGGGGGGCTCCAGGAAATTCGAAGGGAGGGGGGCTCCAGGAAATTCGAAGGGAGGGGGGCTCCAAGAAATTCGACGGGATGACGATGCTCTTATCCGTTGGTCGCGGCAGGTGGTGGTGGTGGTGGTGAGCGTCTGTCAGTTCGGCAGTAGGAGCGGGGGTGAAGTGTGCACTGCAGTGTGTCGTGTGAAGTGTGGAGGGGGGTTGATATCGGTGATTCGCGTGGGTCAAATCAGCCCTGCATGCGCAGTCGCCTCGAGTCGCTCAGCGCACGGAAAATGGCCGACGAGACGAGGTATGATGTAGGTACCTGAGCGAGTGTCGGAATTTCGCAGGTGCAGTTCCGTGCCGGGGACGTTGGGGCGATGGGACGATGTCTGGTGTGTCTTTCGTACCCTCGAGTCTCGAGTCCTGACATGGCCACGGTGAGGATGGGTGGGCTGCGGTGCTCGGTGTGGTTGGAGGGGGCGTCTTCCAGTTGTCTACTCGATTCGAGTCCCGGTCGGTCGGTCGGTTGGTCGGTGGCTATCGCACATCGCATCCGATCGTCATTCGAAGAAGACCTAGCTGGCCCTCAAGAGTCAATTCAATTCAACTCAACTCAACTCAACTCAACTCAACTCAACTCAACTCAACTCAACTCAACTCAACTCAACTCAACTCAACTCAACTCAACTCAACTCAACTCAACTCAACCCCTCCCATCCATTTCGCATTCCCGGCGTCGATGCGAAACTGTGCCGATTCCACAGTCACGCCGGACGGTCTCGGCGGGCAAGTGGCCATCGCGAACGTTCTCGCACCGTACGGACATTTCCACGAGTTTATACCAATTATCCGGCCAGTGTTTTCGGAGCACACCACCCACACGCAGATGGAGGGCGATATCCACGGCATCTGGCCGGGGGTGGGGGTGGGGGAGGGGAGACAATCGCCAGCAGAGAAATCGACGGTATCTGGCTGGGGGTGGGGGGGAGGTAATCGGCAGCAGCGATATCGACAGCATCTGATTGGGGGGTGGTGGGAAGGCAATCGGCAGCAAAGATATCGTCTGTCCGTCCGCCCACCACCATCACCACCGAGGTTGTGCTGCAATGGTGTGCATTGAACGTTGATTCTGTTCGCTAGCCGGGTACAGCAGACAGCATCTACGCCCAGTGCCATGAGACGAACAACCGTGTCGTCCCACCTCCGCCGAGATAGATACCGGTAGAGTACCTATTGCCCCAGTGCCCCAATGCCCCTCCACCCCCCGCCCCCTCACTGACACCTGCCTTCCCACAACACAACCCCCGCCGCAGACGGACAGCCTGGCAGACACGCCCACCCTCCCCCAGAAATCCCCAAGGCCCCCCTAATCAATCCCCCGCGCAAACCGTGGCCAAATGCATCCGCAGAAAGAAGAAATCAAAAGCGGTCCTCAGTGAAAAGGCTTCGCATATCTTCCCCACCACCCGGATTGGCCAGCTACACCACCCAAATCCCCTACTCTACCGAACCTCCGCCAGCAGCATCAGCAGCAGCACTATAGTATAGTACTGCTGCCACCGCCCCATTCAACAATCACCCACCCCCCAACTCCCTTCTTCGCCGACAACCCCTGATCCTGTCTGTGAACGGTGTGCTCGGCGACCTGACGAACCCGCCATCCTCTCTGCTCGTCGAATTTCCTCACCACAGTCCATTCCATCGTGTGCGTGTGGCTCTCTCTCCGCCTCTCCGTTCTGCCACAACCAGTACCATCCCCCCCCCTTCCGCCCCGCATTCGTCCCTACCCCCCGGATTCGTCCCACTTGTCTCTCTTAGTCGCCGAACTGCATCCTAGAAAGACGCCGACCTCGAGCACATATCTCCTTCTCCGCCACCACCACCAATCCCCCCCTCCCCCCATACCATCTCACGCATTATACACACGCTCGTCACGTTTTCTTACGCATCCAGCCGCCGTCATCGCTCGAGATTCCCAGCAACCCGAGACAGGTCCCGGCCACATACCAATCGGATCATCCGGTTCGTGGCGTCGCTTCCAGCCTTCTTCTCGCTTCACGAGCCGCGAAACCCGAAAAGTAGAAAACAAAGGTCCGTTCCGAATCTATGACGGCGCTGATGGTTCGACTCGATCTGCTCTGCTCTACTCTGCTCTGCTTGACGTCGGAGGTTAGGCAGCTCTGCAGATTATCTACAGAGCTGAGCTGAAAGAAAATCCGGGCGTGCTGACTTTGTTTCTGGAGTTCCAGTGGAAGTGAATTGTTCTTCCGAGTCTCTCCCCATTGCCGTGTTCCCACCCCGTCCATCCACGCCTTTCGCCGCCCCAGCAGCATTATCGTGGTCGGCTTCGCTCGTCGCGCACACGTGCTTGCGGAGAGGAGAGTAACTAAGGCCGACTGTAGACCAACAGGCAAGAACAAGGGCAAGAAGGAAAAAGAAGAAGCCTGAAAGAAGTCAGAAAGAAGCCGAAGAAGCGAAAGAAGAAGACGAAGAAGGAGTAGCAATTTTTTGATCACCGATCCATCTATTCATCCATCCATCCATCCACCTATCCGACCCATGGTATCGGGGACTAGTTATTATTGCACTCTAAACCTTCAGCATCGTCATCGTCATCTTCTCCTTCATCCCGCCGGTACTACCAATTACGGTAACTCATCACCACTGCTTTGCTACTGCCGCTATTGCTTGTTATTACCACTACTGCTTTCTCTTACCCACTCCATACTCCCCACCCTATCGCCCGCATTACATACCCCACCACTTTACACGCTTGCCGCGCTGCCCCTCCCCCCGTCCCTGAACAGGCGAGAGGTCCGCCGGGCGGCTGGTTTCAGGGACACGCTCCTGCAGCTGTCAACGACCGAGCTTCTCGGAACGGCGGCAGCGTTGGACGCGGCGCGGCGCGGTGGTGTGGCCCGGTTGGTTTTTATCTCGTAATGGTCATTGACAAGTGTGGTGCAGCATCAACCGGACAGCCAGCCCGGCCGGCTACCACGCAAGCACGCACGGGAGAGTGCGGGCTATCATATCGACGGCGGCCGCGATCGATCGTCGACTCGTTACTCGTCGAGGCGTGTTAATCATTCAAGCCGCCCGCCTCAAAATCACCACTCGGACAGGCCCCACGCCATCCCGAGAGAGGGAACGGGCCCGTGAGGCGAGACGATCTTATCGTTGACGAGTCTCGTGTGCTCATCGTGCTACCAGGCCGCCTACTCCAGGTACCTCCCACTAACCACTCTGCTGCTATTGCTGTTGGCCCACCGACACTACCACCACCACTGCTAGTTACTGCTTCCACTATCTATCTCTCCCCTCTCTCCATCTAGCCAACGGAGGATTATCAGTCGGCCAGTAGGGGGAAAAAGGGGATTACGGAAGCCAAAAAAACAAAAACAAAAACAAGCCGATACTTCCCCAGATCCAGAGGTCGCAGTGAGACTCACTGGACGTGGAAAGGTTGCTTTTGCTGTTCTGTTTCACAAGGGATATTCGAAGATCAGCTCAAGAAGAATTTCACCACTACTACACCCCTAATCACATTTCATTACCACATATCTCGACGGTTGTTTCGTTGGAGGACCCTTCCCTTTCTCTGGAGCTCATCGCCCTTCCACCTACTCTACCGAACTACTTACTTACCCTATTCCTGCGCATCCCGGAAGTAGTTCTTGCAAGCGCATCCCCACGCGTGGAACCACCTGCAGACGATCGGTCATACCTGATACCCATCCTATCTGCGACCTTGTATCGTTGGGATTGTGGGAACCGAGGGCGACGACCGCGGACACAAACAAACAAACAGCTCTCCCCTCAGCTCCCGCTTTTTTCTTTCTTTCTTTCTTTCCCTCCTCGGCCATCGTCCACACCCTCTCTCGCACGCCCCCGCCGCACGAACTGGCACGCAGCCATAATCATGTCGTACGCTCCTCCCGCGCCCGGCAATGCCGGCACATCCTACGGAATATACAATCAGCCCAACAGCCAGCTATCTGGCTACTCGTCTTCGTCCGACATCGAGGGCACCAGCAACAACCTGACGGACTACTCGGACCACGAAGCGGGCTACTCGAGCGCGGCCAGCAACAGCTTCGATTTCGGCTACCGGCCCTCGCAGCGAATGGGCGGCGCACCCGCCTACGCCCAGCGTCGATACAATGCCTCGTCGCAGTCGCCGCCCGCGCAACTCTACAACGGAATCGCGAATACTACATCGATACAGCAAGCGCCGGGGAGCTCGGGGGTGTCGTCCGTTGCTGGACAGGGTGGTAGCGGCGGTGGTGACGGAGGAGGGCTCAGTGCGACGGTACAGCAGCAGTACCAGCGGATAGCGAGGTTCGTGGGACCGCCGCCGGTGGCACTGGCGTGCACGGAGTGTCGGTCAAGACATCTCAAGTGCGATGCCGGAACGCCGGCGTGCACTCGGTGCCTCGCCGACAAGCGGGAGTGTAATTACGTCAAGTCGCGGCGGGGGTGGAAGGGTACAAGACGGAAGAAAGTTCAGCAGCAGGCGGCAGCGACGACGAAGGCTGGTGGCGGTGGCGGTGGGGGTGGGGTGGAGGGCGATGAGATCAAAAATGGTGATGCAACGGAGCAGTCAACAACGCTACTGTCCGGAACCGATACTGAAGGGCCGGATGGAGGATACTCAAGTGGTAAGTTGAAAACTTTATTTCTGCTTTTTTTCTCCGTCGCATCTCCCCGATTATTATTTTTGTGCTGCTTTGCGCTTTGAGCTTTGCTCGCTTTCCTGCCTTGCCTTGCGTTGGTTGTGTTTGTCTGCCTTCTCTTTCTCGTGGTTCCACGGAAGAACATAGCCGTCCGTCGTCCGCCGTCCGCCGTGCGCCGGTCGCCGTCGTTGAGACGCCGATGCCCTGGCCCTCCCTCCTTCCTCCGTTTTCTTCCTCTATTCCTCCTCCTTTCGGCCTATCCAAGCGAAGCTGTCGCCACGAGCCATTCGCCGTTCTGGGGCATTCTTCGCGGATGCCTGTCTTTCTCTTCCGCTTTCTCTCTCGCATTGTCGCCGACAACGGTGATCGTGGGTTGTCGAAGTGAGATGGTGGATGAATGGACGGGTTGAGGTGCCTTTTACCCAACGGTGCCTCATCTCCGCGGAAAAGACGTGTAACGCCTCCTCTCGCTCATCGGCGACCGATGTTTCTTTTTTGATCTTTGGGCAACGTGGACGTGGTCCAAGCGTCTCGTCTGTCGCCTATCCCGTCGCTTCGCTTCATCGATCTCCCTCCCTCTCCCCACTCCCACGTGCGCGCAACCTTTTCTCCACCGGCGCTGCCAGGGAGGTAAAAGTGCGGATTCCCCCTTCCTCCCTGCAAATAGTTACATAAAAACTGCGTTCCTCACGTCATATTTCTCGCACAATAAGATGTGTATATGTCGCAAGGCAATCCAATACCCAGAAGCAAGAGCACGGCATTGTACTTCCGGATTGCATGCAGTATATTGTCTGCGTTACCTCAGTTGGTGCTTGTTGATATACCTACCTCGACCGTTCCCTCACCTCGTCATCTCCGCAACCGCTTTACTTTTTCTTGCCCTGCATATCGAACGTCTGTCTCGTCTCTTATATCGCCGCCGGCCATCATGCCCTCTCTGGAGATCAGACCGCAGAAGCCCTCATCCACATCCACATGCATGCCCGCTCCTATAGCAAAGCTCGGACGCACCGCCGTCTTGAAATCCAAGCAGCGCAGACCGCCAATGTCATGGACGTTATCGAATACTAACCGGTGGACTCGTCCATTAGCACCACCACCACCACCACCACCACCACCACCACAATCGCAACCACCACAACCACAATCCCCCGCGAAGCCCAAAAAGAATCACACGCCCCCACCTCCGATACCAACGGGCGGCTTCAGTCCGTCGGCCGTCAATGGCGGTCCCCATACGAACCCCCTCGAGACCCTGCGCAACCAACACAAGTATTCCACCTTTTTCCCATCACAACAAGAGCTCCCCAATGACCCGCCCGCAACCGCAAACCTGATGCAGCTATATTACGCCTACTTCCACGCCTCGCACCCATTCTGTCTCCCTCCCGCATACCTAATCAAAACACCCGTCCACCAGCTCACCGTCCTCCTTCCGGTGATGAGGTACATTGCCAGTTTCTTCGCCAAAGCCGCATCGACGATGGATTTCTGTCGCGAGGCCGAGATGGCATTGTTTGGCAGCGCCCATCCTCCTGCGAAGGACGCCTTCACCGTCCAAGCACTACTGCTGTTCACCATCGGCCTGCACAGCGAAGGTGACCATGCACGTGCCGCACAGGTGAAGGATTTCGCCGTCGAGCTAGCCCTCGAGCTCGGCATGAACCAGAAGGAGTTTTCCGACGGGACCGGCGGGGGTGTAGGCGGTGGGGATCCGGGACGGGTGCTGGAAGAATCGTGGCGGCGCACCTGGTGGGAGCTCTATTTCGTCGACGGCCTCATGGCCGGTGTGCACCAGAGAGATAACTTCAAACTCTGGAGCGTGGAGTGTACTGTCCCGCTCCCGTGCGAAGAGCTGGACTATGCGGCAGGACGGATACCGGAACCGCACTCGCTGCAGGAATTCGACGACCGATACTTTGCTACCGAGAATACGGTGTTTAGCAGCTTTGCGTACCGTGTCGAGGCTGTCAGGATCCTGGGACAGGTGCTGAGTGTTAGCATGATGGGCACACCGGATGAAACGCGCGCTGATGCCGCCGATGCCAGTTTGGTCAATTGGGGCTTGCATCTGCCAGAGGTCAAGAAAGAGCTCGTCAAAGGCCGTGAGAGAAGGGTGGATGAGATGTTGTTTCAGGCGCACATGGTTATAAATGCGTATGTCCCGCTTACCCCATATCCATCTTCCTCACTGACACTTGTCAAGCGCAATAATCTACCTCAACCGGCCAAAATCACACCTTGCCTTCCCATTGATCCCCGACGACACCAGCGTGACGCCGCAGCCCTCATGGACACCCTCGACCAAGCCCATGGCGTTGCACACGGCACGCACCATCGCCAGCGCCAACACGATCGCAAAGCTGGTTACCCTTCCCACGCCACTAATAAAACACACACCCTTCCTGACTTGCATCGTAACCCTTGCCTGCATCGTGCACCTCTCGGCATGCTCCTGGCTATTGAGCGGCGATGAAGGATTCCTGGCAAAGGAGCGCATACGACTCGGCGTTGGGGCGTTGAAAACGCTGGGGTGTGTGTGGGGCGGTGCGACAGAGGTGCTGGAACAGGTCAAGGGAGTGGCGCGTGAGGTGTTTAGACTCGAGCGGGATGGCGAGGCGGGGATCGTCAGTGAGGAGGAGGTGCTGCGGTTCTTGGAGGACGAGGAGGTGGCGGACTGGGGGGCGGGCGTCGAGGGCGAGTGGGCCGTCGGCGTCGGCGTCGAGTGGGATGGCAGCTGATTGCGTTATGTGGAATGTGTTATGTGCGATGTCGTGGGTTATATGGCTGGAGTTCTTGTTTACTTTGTAGATACCTTTTCTTTCGGATGATAATGTATGAAATCTGAATGGTGTTGGCTGCCGAGTATGAGGCCATGACTACCACCACTAGTTACCACCACCATACCGCCTTGGAAAATCAATCGACACTTTACACCCGCTCGGCACAGCCTGCAGCACGGCATCGCCAATCATGCTCCTCGCCACATCCCGTGTCTCATCCCACCCCTCCCCCACCAACCCCTTGATCCCTCCCCTCCACCCGCCAATCCTAACCTCCCGCAGCCCCGGCATCCCCTCCAGCACCGCACAAAACCCGCATAGACTCCCGCAATTCCTAAACGCTAACCCCACAACCTCCAAACACTCCAACTGCACACCCCGCAGTACCTCCGCCAGCACCTCGGCCTCAACATTTACATGCAGCCGCAACTCTTTAACCCGCAGCGGCCCCAAGAATTCCCTAACCGCAGCCAGCATCCCCGCCGTCTCCGCGTCCGGCGCGCCATGCGACACGACGGTGAGCGCGCGTAGCGCTTCCAGCAGCGGCAGGTGCACGCGCACCCAGCGCGCAGCACCATCGGTTGCGGGCGGGGTCTCGAGCGTGAGCGAGCGCAGTTCCGCACCGGACGCGGTGATCAGCGCGGAAAAGCTTGCGCCGAAGCTGAGGGCGTGTGGTGGGCCGATCAGGCGGTGCGGGATGTAGTGCGTTAGTCCGTGCGCGAGCCCGGAGAAGGTCAGGGTTTGGAGCGCGGTGCAGAGGGAGGGGGTGAGGGCTGCCGGGTGGAATTCCGGGTAGAGGTAGGAGCCGCGCCAGTGCGGGAAGGTGCTGAGGAGCCAGGCATGGTAGGCGGCGAGGTCGTGTGCGGGGAGGTGCAGGAGGTCGGCGAGGGGTGGGGTGAAGTGTGTTGGCTGGTCGTTTGGTGCTGTGGCGTGGGAGAGGATCTTCAGGTTCGGACGGAGGAGCGAGATCTGGTACGCGTGGAAGAGGATTTTCGACGACGGCAAGATCTCAGGATCCTGTTTCCTCGCGGGGGACAGTCCGGACGAGAACGGGACCTCGAGGAAGCGCAGCGCGGGGAACGACTCCGCCTCCGGGGCGTTCAGCCGGCTGTCCAGCAGCATGTTCGGCGCCGCGTAGCGCAGCGGCGGACACCACCGGAACACTAGGTGCTCGAGCGTCGCGCCGAATAGCCCGTCAACCTCGTCGATGAGCTCCTGCTCGCGCGCTACGGGCCCCCCACTGTACGGGATAAACTCCACCGGCGGCAGCTCGTACCAGGTCGGCGTGAGCACTAGCTTGCGCAGCCGGCTGCACCGCGCAAAGCACTGCGCGAACCAGGCGAAGGTGCGGGTCGCCCCCGAGGTCCGCCGGATCATCCCGCGGAAGGAGGTGGTGAGCTCGAGGGTCAAAGTGCTGATCCGGCTCATGAACGCCGAGGACAGGTGCGAGGTGCTGAAGTGCCGCGCGTCAGTCAGGTCCGGCCCGAGGTCCCAGTGGATCGAGGTGATGTGCCCGCATTGCGAGAATGCCGCTGTGCTGGAGGTTGGGTGCTGGCCCCAGACGTGTAGGTGCTTGACGAGTGCGGTGTGCCGTGCCGGGACTTTGGTTGCGATCGGGAGTGAGCAGAAGATGTTTGGGTCGGCGATGTGCGAGGCGTACAGCTGCGGGGTGGTGAGCGTGTTGAGTCGCCGGTTCACGAGGCAGATGGGAGCTAGGTCTACGGGGCTAAAATAGCTGAAGATGTGGAGGAAGAGTTCGTTCGGGAGCGTGAGGAGCGGTGGATCGGACATGTTGTCTGGCGAGATCTGCTTTCCGAGACAATTGAAATATATGGTGTCGAGTAAACTCTCGAATCTCTCCCCTTCTTATGTCGGTGGATAAGCTGCAGATGCCAGCTGTCTATGATGAATCTCTCGTTTTCTTTGCCGGTGAGTGTTCATCAGCCACAGTGCCACACGTTCCCCCAACTGGCCCGCACCATCACATCACCGTCCGTGCGAACAGACAGAGTTGCGCACACACAAAGAAGATCAATCGATAAGACGCTCCAAGTTCCGGATGGCTCGCTATCTCCGTGTCGGATCTGACCGTTCCCCGTTTCCGCTAGTTAGCCACTTTCTTTTGCTTTGCTTCCAGAAGAATCCTTTTGTTACTTACTTCGTGCCACCACTAGCTAAGCTAGTAAACAGTTATGTACCCAGCCACACAACCCACCACCTGTCCTTTACGACATCCCGTCGCCCCAACCAAAATCAAACTCTCCTTCATAAGCCTCCGCTCCTCCTTTCTGCTCCACCTCACGCACAACACCCACACCCACACCCACACCCACAGCACCACACAACCACCGCCGTCCCCGTCTTTTCACCTTCAACCGCACCCTCCCCATCGCCACCATGAACCCGCAAATGTTCGTTCCCTCGCCTCCACCTCATCTCCCCCCCTCCCACAGCCGCGAAACTAACATGAACTTCCTTCCAGCACCAACCTCGTCGTCATCCTGGGGATGATGCAAGTGTCCAAACGCATCCCCTTCGAAGACCCCACATGGCTCAACGGCATCCGCGGAATGTACATCCTCAGTAACGTCATCATCCTCGGCCTGTACCTCTACGTCGGCTCGCTGATCAAGAAGAAGAACGGTTCGTTATCCCCCTCCGTCTTACGCACAAAGGAAATGAAGGAAGGAATGGCGCGCTGACGCGCGAAAAGACCATACGACATTCAAGTACCTTGAGCCAGCGGCGCCCATGTCGGGCGAGGAGGCCAAGCCCGTAACCACGACGGTGAACGAGTACGACAACTCGCAGCTCAAGGCGGCGTTCAAGGGCGTGCTGATGGGCGTGGGCATGATGGGCGTGATGCACATCTACTTCCACTACACCAACCCGCTGCTGATCCAGAGTACGCCACCCCTCCCCCCTTCCAATGAATGAAACTGTGAGGGCGAGAGCTGACAAAGAAAACAGGCATCATCCCCGTCAAGTCCGCGCTCGAGAGCAAGCTGGTGCAGGTCTACATCTTTGGTAAGCCCGCTATCGGCGACCTCAAGCGGCCATGGAAGTCTGGCGGACTGATGCAGGGCATGACCGGAGGCGATGCCGCCCCGGCGCCCAACAAGAAGCGCATCGAGAGTGCCGAGAAGAGCGGACGCGGCGGTGTCAAGGACGAGTAGAAAGAAAAACAAATGTAATGGGGGGTCTTTTTTCTTTTTTCTTTTTTATTTGGCACGTTATGGGATATCCTCTATACGGACTACGGTTGGGTAATGCGGCGTGCGGTGGGTAAAAAAATGTTGAGGTGGGTGGTATCATGGATGTGAATGTGATACATAGAATTGATGGTACTGAACTCAACTGAACTGAACCTTTTTTTTTGTTTGATGTGAGATGAAACGTTGGTTATGATATTGCCACCGAAACAAAGGAGATGTCGTCAAACAAGATTATTGGACGCTCGGCATCTCGGTTGTCGTGTCGGTTGTTGCGCCCCACAAAAAACGAGAGCTACGAGAAACTGAACTCAACGCTTTGCACCTCATCGTGAGCCAACCAACAGTTTCATTCTCGTCACCATCACCACTCCATCAAATGCGCGTAATCATTAGAGTAAATTGGTATCCAAGTATTTTATCATTTCTCATCATATCGCATCCCATTCAATCCAATCCAATCGCGTCCCATCCATCCTCCCAGCCAGCCGAACAAAAAAGACAGCAGAACAGACTTGAAACCCAGACAAACGAAAAGCGAAAAAGCGAAAAGACAAAAACCCACTTCCCGCCTACCGTACCCGTGCCCGTATTAACCAGCTGCTCCGACAAAAGAAAGCGACGCCGCGACCACACTCGATCAACCGACTAATGCTGGCCAGGCGGGGGACCGTAGCCGCCAGGACCGGGCTGGTAGCTATTCGGCGGCGGGGTACCGTGGTAGCCGCCCTGCTGTCCGCCCGGCTGCTGGGACTGGTACGCACCGCCTGGGTATCCGCCACCGTACTGCTGGTTTGGTGGGGCGCCACCTCCGTAGTGCTGCTGGTTCGGAGGGGGGGCGTAGGAAGGCGTGGACGCGCCGCCGAAGTGCTGCTGCTGGTGCTGCTGATGCTGGTGCTGCTGCTGATGTTGCTGCTGCTGATGTTGCTGCTGCTGCTGCGGCGGGTAGTTCGATGCGTTGCCGTAGCCGCCGTAGTTCTGCGGTGGGGGCGCGCCGCCGTATTGCGCCTGCCCGCCGTAGGGCGGTGTCTGCTGGTAGGGCGTGTGCGAGGGGGAGCCGTGAGCGGGCGAGCCGTGAGCGCCGTGGGCACCACCACCGTATGATGGAGTCTCGTGGGAGGATCCGCCGTACTGCTGTTTTGCGCGTTAGTCATGGGAGGCATCATTCGCTGGGGAGGGATGGGAACGTACCTGCTGATGCGGCTGCGCGCCGTGAGAGCCACCGTGCTGTCCACCGTGCTGTGCGCTGCTACCACCGCCGAGAACACCGCCGAGCATACCGCCGAGACCGCCGCCGCCTCCGCTACCGTGCGATCCTCCACTGCTCTTCTTACCACCTCCCAGCAGCCCAGAAGCCAGCCCAGAAGCCTGGCCGAGCAATCCGCCGCCGCCACCACTGCTACCATGCCCGCTGCTACCATGGCCGCCGCTGCCGTGACCACCACTGCCGTGACCACCACTGCTATGCCCGCCGGAGTGCTTCCCGCCCGAGTTCTTCCCGCCGCCCAACAGCCCACTAGCCAGACTGCCCACCAGGCCACCGGCACCCCCGCCACTACCACCATGCCCACCACCATGACCTCCCGAGGACTGCTTCCCGCCGCCGAGGATGCCGCTCGCCAGCGTCCCGACCAGCCCGCCCGCGCCGCCGCTAGAGCCGTGACTGTTCTTCTTTCCGCCGCCCAGGAAGCTGTTCGCGAGCCCGCCCGCCATCGAGCCTAGCCCGCCGCGCGTCTGCTGTTCTCCCGCTCCCGGCTGTCCCTGCTGCTGCTGTGCGAGACCGTACTCTGGCGCTGGGTACGGGCTGTGCTCGGGCGCTGGTGTTCCCTCGGTAGGAACGTCCCATTGGATCGTGTTGGTCGCTGGCTGGACGAAGTAGTAGCGCTGCGTCGAGGGGTCCCATTGCGGGATCCTGCGTGTGTGTTAGCGCGCTGGGTGAGGGAGTGGGGGATGGGGGTGGGTTACCAGCCGGTCGGAAGCGGGGGTGGGGCGATGCTGGGGCCGCCGGCGTTGGGGGAGCCGGTAGGCTGCGGTGGGGTTGGGTGCGACATCGTGGTGTAGCGTGTTTTGGTTATCGAGGGGGTGGTGGTGAGGAGTCGTGTGAGGAGTGGGAGGAGGAGGAACAGGAACAGGAGGAGGGGAAGGAGGAGGAGGAGGAGTGTGGAAGAAATAGGGAGGAGGAGGGAGGGGCGCTTTCTTTAATCCAGGTCCACCCAGCTCCATCCCATCGATCCATCCATCCCACCCCTCCCTTCCATTCTCTTAGCGCCACAGCAGCCGGGGGCGCAGCAACAGCAGCAGCAGCAGCATCGCCATTCAAAATCAAGGGCGGCAGAAGATAGAACCCTATTGCGCGTACACTAAGTTTCGGGTAAAAGAAAAAATATTCAGGCGGTGCAAGAGCGTGAATGGACGCACGCCAAACAGGACGGGCCCGCACCCGGCTCGAGGCCCTCTTCCTCACCAAAGATTTTAAATCTCTCATATGGACAAAATACTCCACTCGACGACCGACCCTGATGGGTGATGCCAGCTGTCATCTAGGTACGTATATGTAGTACTCATCCCATCGCATTTATCCATCCATCATCCCCCTGCCTCCTGAGTCCTGCGTATGTGAGACGCAGCCTCGCAAATGGAAGATCGAGGAACTTCGTACCAAGCTAAGTGATGGAGGAAATGGATCATCGCAGCACGGTGGTGAGGTTCAGAAAAGCTTGTTCCCCGTAGTTATGTAACTGAAGAATCGTCGCAAGCTCAAGCTCAAGCGCGCGCACCCCCGCCGAGCCCCGGCCCCGCCCCGCCCCCGCATCGGACCGCCCGCTCTACGGATATGTATAGTTATTTTCCGCGTCGGAAGGAAAGAAAGAAGAAAAGTCACTGCAACCGACGCTGCTTACGAGTGCGGATTTCAAAAACGTCAGATGTCTCATGCTTGCCTTCTTGTTCGAGTTCAGCTCGCACGAACACGGTGCCACGGCCACCGCGGAAAATCTTGTGGCTTACATACGCTACGCTGACCTGTGGCTCAGCCCCACCGCCCCAGTTCAGCCACTTTCTGCACGGTGTCATGATTTTGTTTGTATCGATCCTCGACCTCGTAGTTCCTGGATTGACATTACTACATAGAGTACCATACTTACATACACATTTCCTCGTCTCTCATCATCCAGCCATCTATTTCTTCAACTCGGGCTGCACCCACCTCTTCGGCTTCCCCTTGTAAATATCCGGCAGCGGAAGATTTCCCGGATGCGGGTGCTTCCCGCCCTTCTCAGTGAACAGCAGCGCGGCAGTATCATGAGCCTTAAGCTTGAACTCAAACTTCTTCTTGTAGCTCCCAAGTTTCTTGTGAGTCCACATATCTCTGACCTCGTAGGTCTTCTTCGCGTCGAGCCCGGGGATCTCGGCAAAGTTCGCCGCCTTGGAAACCGTGTGGTCGAGCGTGTTCACGATGAACGCGTGGATCCCGCGCGTCGACCCGCCGGAGTAGTACTCGGCTGGGTGCGTCTGGTTCCACGTCCACGCCGGGTTGATCCCCCACTTGTAGGGCAGCGCTGGCGCCCCCCACGCATTGTCCTGGTTGAACGCGAGGATCTCCCAGTTCTTGAGCACGGCGAGGTCTGCCTCTGTTATGGCGTCGAGCTGGTGGGGAGTCTGTTAGCAGCGGACGCGAAGGGGGGGAGCGGAGGGAGTGCGCGTACTGGAGTGCCAATCAGCAGTGGCGACTTGAGCGCGGCCCACAGGCCAAAGTGCGTGCGTGTCTCCTCCGCGGTCAGGTTGCCGTTGCCGACCTCGAGCATGTCGAGGTCGTTGTGGCCCCAGAAGCCGCTCCACTCGAGGAAGAAGATGCCGTGGTTCACAATAGGCACTACACGATTCGCATCAGTTTCACTGCACGGAAAGAAGGAAGGAAGGAAGGAAGGAAGCGCTCACTAAATCCCCACGACCAATCCAGTTGCTGATCCCACTGCGGCACGATGTCGCCCCACATCCTCCAGCTCTGCCCGGTCTCATTGCCCCAGCGCTCGACGTGCGCGTGGCCCCAGTTGCAGAGCGAGTACAGGATCGAGGATTCACCCTCGTGGGCACGGAGCGCATCGCGCATGCGGTGGTAGCGCTCGGCACTCAGCGATTTGCTAAAGTCGTAGCCGGCGGGGGCGGGCGTACCGCCGGTCTGGTTCTCGTACGTGCCGTACCAGTATTCGGGCCAGTATTGATACTACGCACCCACCACATCAGTTCTTGCCACCCACCACCTCACCCCCATCCATCCATCGAATGGAACAACAACATACCACATCCGTCCAGTTAGCCGGAACATTGCAATTATCGTACTTGAGATAATCAACGCCCCACTCCTCCCACGTCTGCGCATCAACGGCCTCGTACCCGAGGGAGCCCGGGTAGCCAGCACAAGTCAGTGTGCCGGCATCGGAGTAGATCCCGAGCTTCAGGCCGAGGGCATGGACCTTCTCGGCGGTGCCAGCGATTCCCTCCGGAAACCGCTCCGGGTCCGGGATGATCCGCTGGGTGACGTTGTCGCGCTCCTTGAGCGACCAGCAGTCGTCGATGTTGACGTATTCGTAGCCGGCGTCCTGCGGGAGTCAGCACGCTCATTCCCCCTCGACCTCGAGGGGCAAGCTAAGAAGAACCTTCAGGCCGAGATCAACCATTTCCTGCGCCGCGATCAGGAACTTGTTCTCGTGGATATCGCATCTGAACGCCTATCCCTCGCCGCACATCATCAGCACGTTTCTCCCCCCACAATCAAGCCTTTACATGGCGAGGGGAGAACATACATTCCAGGAATTAAATCCCAAAGCTGGGAGCTTTCCAGTTTTTCCGTCCTGCGACACCAGCGCGGTGGTGGTGGCGGCAAGCAGCGTGCTGAGCGCGAGGGTTCGTAGTGACATTGTGAAGGTCGGTGCGGAATCTGGTCTTTGGAGGGGGCGGTGGGGAGGTGTTTATACCCCCCATTGCCCCTCGTTTATCCTATCCTGCAAATCACACACACACTATCTCCCCACTCCCCCCGCCTCCAAGCTTCCCAGCCTTCGTGCTTGTTGTTGTTTCTCATTCCGGATTGAGTGATGGAGTGATTGGATGATTGGGTGATTGCCCGATCTGCAGACGGCAATAAACAACACGCGGGGGTTTCTGGATGAATTACCGCGAGAGTGAGTAAGCGTCGCATACCCGGGTGCTGTGATCGTATAAGGCACGATCTACGCATAAGGCATAACGAAGGCCCGTATACAGTATTATATCCAGTTGCATTGTTTACTAGACACTCTAGAGGCAGGTACGCGTGTAATTATGTATGTGCATGTGTGCATGTGTGCAGACTCCACATGTTTCGTTTCGTTATTGCGGGCCGGCAAGTACGGGATGCCGCCAGCCACGCTTACTATGGATATTAATCGATCATCATTATCGTCCCCCGCGAAGGCTGCAATACCTAGCAGAGCATCTATTCCTCCGCCAGACTGATTTCTTCCATATTGAGGTAAGGTGCTCGCGCCGCAAAGTCGGACGATTTACGTACATATCATGTCGATATGCCGCCTGAATTCTGCATGAGCTCGGTGGGTTGGTATCTAAGTTTGTATGTGTGTTCGTGTGAATGAGGTATGTATGAGGTATGTATGCGTGTATTTAAAGTGCTTATATTCAGCCGTCAAGCGTTCCTATAACGTAGTGGGGAAGAGATTCGCATCATGCAAGGTACCATGTAGTTGCTGATTTCCTAGTTAATGATTGCCTAAGTTGATAGACGGTTATCCCGGATTGCGGGGGGTGGGGGGAAGCGGGGAACGTGCTGCCATGGATTATGGGTGCTACGGTGGAACGGACGGGAAGTACTTGAGGATCCGGGGGGATTACTGCCTAGTATTTACATACATTGTACTATCCACAAAGTACGGTACATATGATTCACTTCTGCCGGGGAATTGGCAACGATTCATGTGGGCAGCTAGGTAGTAGGTAGGTGCCTGCCTGACGACTGGCTACAGATGGTGGTCGCTGGGCGCACGGACGAAACGGCATATCTCCGAGTACTCGACTTCGATTCCTCTCCATCTGCCAAATACTGGACCGGGCAACGGAACGGCACATCTCCGACCACTCGATTTCGATTCCTGGCCATCTGCCCCTCCCCCTCCCTCCCCCTCCTTCTTCCACGCCCCACCTCCCCTCACCTTCTTTCCGTCTTCCACGTAACCCCGTCTCCACCGCTCTAAGCATCCGCCGTAGCCCCATTGTAGTAGTGAATCTGCTCCCACCACATACATCAGTTCCTTGCTTCGCCTCTCCAGCGTCACCACCACCACATCACCAGCACTCACCGTCTGGTCCGCACACCCATCCGGCGTCAGGTACAGATACGCGCCGAGGTTAACATACAGCGTCTGATTCTCGCAGACGAGCCAGGCGGCGACATTCGGGCGAGTGATGCTAGCCACTGACCAAGTGAGAGTATCGCCTCCACACACGCGGTTGATACGTTAACCCAATGCCCATCAATTCCCAATTCCACTTCCCTTCCACATCCACGTTTTGTGCGAGGGCGAGGGCGGCAAACCCTGGAATGCAAACGTGCCGAACGTGTCCGGCGTCGCCTCCCACGTCAGCTTCAACTGCGTCTCGGTCCCGACCCGCGCAGCTACGTGCCCGTACAGCAGCGTCCCCGCAGTGTCCACTAGCTGCACCAGCTGGCCGCCGACTACGTTGAACTGCCCCGCGGTCGTGGGCGAGTCGATAATTGCGTCCGTGGCGGTACCTGGAACGCAATGGAATGGTCAGCGTGCGGGCGGTAGGGGAGCGGGAGGGGAGGGGGCGCTCACGCGCTGTCCGCGACTGCAGGTATTTGTGGAAATTTGGCGCGGCGACGGCCCGGATCCAGAGGTAGTCCTTCTGCAGCGTCGAGCCGGGGCTGGTGCCGCCAGCAGTGGGGATCGTGCCGCCGGCGGTGCTGGTGGTGGTGCTGCTCGTGCTGCGGGTAGTGGTGGTGCCCGTGTTAGATGACACCGCCGCTGTGGTGCTGGAGCCCGCGCCCGGAAGACATTGCGAATACCAGCTGGGGGGATTCAGTGTTTTGCGCCCAACGATAACCGCAACAACAACAGAAAGATACAAAGTGCAGTGCAGTGCTAGGCAGGGCAGGGACGGACTTACTCGTTGAGCTTCTCGCAGTGATAGCCGGTACTGCACGCGACTGATCCAGCCCAGTTCATGCCTAGTTACCGCAAATGTTAATTCCTGCTTTTGGATGGATATATCCATGATCGACAATATATACCTCCACACTGCAGCGATCCAGTCCGCGGTTAGCCCATTGCACCCCGGGCATATCAAACGGAAGTTGGAGCATGACCATCTACTAACCTGCTGATACGCTGCATTCTGGGCGTTGACTGCCACCGCAAACATTGCCGCCAGGGCGACGAGCACGGTAGAGGAGGAGACCATCGTAAAAAACAAAAACCGTATGTAGGAGTGTTAAAATGAGTGAGTGAGTGGGGCATGCAATTCGCAAAGTCGTGCCAAAACCCATCTCCTGCCGGCCTGCATTTTATATAAACTTTCCGCGCAGTGGAAGCGCATCGTCTCACGTGTAGCGTATTTCGCTTTCGCTACTCTAGACGGCTTAGATGGAGTAGGTACGGTACTCTGGAGAGACGGAAGCCCCGTCCACCTCGTCCCTCAAATCCCATCCCGCCGCCGCCGCCGGACCAGAACACCAAACCATCTCCCGCTGTCTCTCCCTCTCTCATTTACTTCCCCTACTCTGCGTGGCAAAGCTTGTGTAGGTAGCGCCCCCCGCCTCCCAGCCCCTGGAATCAGATATATTGAAAACGGTATGCACATACCACATACATAAGTTATGCGCAATTAATATCGGGGCCGTCGGATAATCGGGCCGCTGGTTGGGTAGCTCGGAAAGGGCTGGCTGGCATGGGGGGTAATTAAGCCGGACAGCCAGGGCAGGCAGGGCAGGCAGGGCAGGGAGGGCAGGCAGGTAAGTAGTGGTGGTATGGTATAAATGTACCCGGACCGGCTCGGCTGTTCATAACTTTATAGCACTCTGGGGGAGGTGCATGGGATATCCGGGAGTCATGGGGAGTCATGGGGAGTCATGGGGGATCATGAAAGGTCACTCGGGGAAATGGCCCGGTGGGCCGGGTGCCCGATAGTGGTGGCGTTTTATGCACGCGGTATGCATGTAGGTATGCATGCACTGTGGGGACTTGAGGAATTGGGAGCTGGGAAGCGAGAGGGGATATTTCTGGGGTGGCAGGCGGTGGTGACTGGGACGGTGAGTCGGTGTTTAAAAGGTCTTGAGCGACCGTGCGCTGTAGGTATACGATCAAGTAAGCCGACGGGAATATATTATGTCAGTAACGGCACATTCCACACGGCAGTGGAAACCCTCTCTCTCGCGGGTACCGCCCTACCTACTTCCCGTTACTTCCCACCCCCGTCTTCCGGTCCGTCCGTCCTGGGACGAGGACGGACGGCCAAGGTTATTTCAGCGGACGGCCGTCCGCCAAGCCTTGGACAAAAACCTGATTTCGGGCGTGGATCTTGGGTATTCGAGTGAGATATAGTGCCTAGAGCGTTGTGATAAGGGCCGGGCGCCGCACCTTAGGCGTCCGAGTCAGAATACTGCTACTTTTCACAACTTGTGGAGCGGTGAGGAATGAACCGACGCGGTTGTGCGTACGATATCGATGCTAAGAAATGATCAATCAGCCGAATCATATTCACGTAACTTGGACGGCCGTCGTCCACCGTCGGACGGGGACCGACCCGTCCGGCACCACCTCGGATCTGACGGACAACTTTTGCAACCGTCCATCCAGGGTTTTAACCGTCCGTCCCGTCCGGACGATGTAGACCACTACCTATGGGTGTGATCTATGTTGAGTAGGTACCGTAGCAGATGGAAAGGTGGACAGGTACATGGCTGCTTCTATTGCATTGCATTATCATCTTTGCATTATCTTTGCGTTCGGCCCCGGGAAGTTGAAAGGTGGCTTTCTGGAGCTAAAAGCTGAGATAGGGCTTGATATGTAAGTTTGACCAAATGTGTGACGGGTGGCGCCCTACCTACCTCGTATGTTCACCACTGGATAGTGGAATGGCTGCTGATGATACCTCTGTCTACTACTAGTAGTAGAGGGCGCTCTTCTGCTCTTGGTATCAGTGCCTGTTATTTCTGCTGCCAAACGTGTGAAACCTCCTCCGCTATGGTAGTCAAGAGTCGACACCACTCGATCACACCAAGTACTTACCTAACCTATCCACTGTTCAGAGCTGGCCACTCCAGCTGGAACCGAAGTATAACCCGAAATAGCCACCGACCAGTGGATATCAACACCGCGGACCAGTGCGCACCAACGTAATGGCCGTGAGTCTGTCTTCAACTTTAACACTTTTACGCTTTTCGCCCAGCCCATCCGTTCCATTCTCCAGCAAAGACCACGCACGCACGCACGCACTCGTCCTGCTGGGGGGTGGATATAAACCCCGCCTTCCCCCCCACCCGCCCGCCCCCTCACCCCTCCCCACCCAGTCACTATTCCATTAGCGATGCATTCCCACTGCCTCCTCCTACTGATCCTCCCGCTCGTCCTCGCGGCGCCGCTCCCGGCTCCCCTCCCGCAATTCGCCGGCATCGGCCCATGGGAGGGCGAGTTCTTCGGGCGGGACCCTCGGCAGTCCCGCGGGCCGGCCCGCGCCGCACCATACAACCCGCACGCGCTCCCGCCGCCCCCCTACGGCCCGCCCGCGTACTACGGCGTCCCCAACTCCTACGGCGCGCAACCTGTGCCGCCGTATCTATACGAGCCCCCCCAGTCCTACCCGGGCCTCTACGATCCCTACACCTCGCCCGCCTACTACTCCCCCGCACCTCCCCTCTTCCCCAACGCCCCCAACACCGACCCCTTCGAGAAGTACCACGTTATCGGCGTCGACCCCACCGCCGGCCAGGGGGATTTCATGCAGCCGCCGCCGCCGCCGCCGCCGCCGATCGACCTGATGAACGCGTCGAAGGAGGAGCTGGCGGCGGCGCTGCCGCCGCCACCGGCGCCGAAGCCGAAAGCTTCGGAGAAGCCTGCGTCCGAAGCGAAGGGGCCGGCTGAGGGTGAGGGAAGGCCGGAGAAGAAGAAGGGGGAGAAGAAGAAGGGGGAGGAGAAGGAGGAGGAGAAGGAGAAGGCGCCCAGGCCGTTCGATTTCATGGGCGGCCGCTGGGGAATCGCCGGACAGGGCGCGCTGATTGATGCCGCCCGCGGCGACCATAAGTACAAGCACAGCAGTGAGCGGGAGGACCGCCGGAACCGGTGGGGCGGCGAGAAGACTGCGGCGGAGAAGCAGGCAGCGAAGGAGGAGGAGGAGGAGGAGGAGGAGGAGGAGGAGGTTAAGCAGGCGATGCCCGAGGTCACGGTCGAGCATGCGGCGGATCCAGAGCACCCGCTCAAGTATAAGGTCAATGTGGGCGGCATCAAGACGGGTCCCGACGATGAGACCGGCCCGAGCAATTTTCACGTGTTCACTAATGAGGGCACTAAGAAGTACAGTGGAGACGATATGAGCCCCGAGACGCAGAAGTATATTATCGAGAAGATGTTGCCGAAGATTGGTGGGCGCAGGAGGAAGGGGGGAAATAGCGGCGGGAATGTTTTCTCCGTTTTCGGCGATGATTAGCTGGGATACATACTTCATGTAGGTAGTTTTTGGTCCTAATATAGTAATGGAAGTCTTTCGTATTTTTTTACACGCAAATCTCCAAAGTGAAGTCCGTGCTGGGAAGCTCGATTCTACGTCGTGAAGTCTGTATCTTATGCGGCAAGTTCCACCGGAACAAAATGTCATCCGCATGCGACGATCCGGGAGTCAGGCTTTGGTAGGGGCTATACTTTTGTGCCACGTTTGGTAGCGGCAAACCATCTCGCTACTACTACCCCACATACAAGCGCTCCCCGCGGTAAAGCTTTCCGCTATGTAGGTTCACGATTGCGCGGTGGTAAGCGCTGCAAGGGGGTAGCCACTACTACAGTTAGCCAGAGCCTGCTATATAAAATCATGGAGCCCGGCTTTGCGTTTGGAGCCGACGGAATTCGCCGACGGAGGAGAGGTATCGACGGCAAGATCGGTGAACAGTAACTTTGCTATCCAATCATCCTGTATTCTACCAGTGCACAGCAACCTTGCTCTCCGATTATCTCGTATTCAACCATCGGATAACCTACATAGAACCTCACTTACGAGGCACCCCCTACTAATAATAGTGTCTGCTTCTTCGCGCTGAATGCCCGAAATACTTGCCTGAACGAGAACAAGGATTGAGGGGCATTACTTTCGCACCGAGTGCTACATTATGAAGGGCTCAGAGTTTCCCCGATAAACTCTAGGATACCGCTCGATTTCGAATTAGTCCGATTGCGTGTCTTCCATAGCTCTCCAAAGAACTTTCTCCTTCCGAGTGTTTCAGCGTCGCTCCGAATATCCCAAACCTCCATCTCCACCTCCACCGGCTGGCCGGATTGGCTTTCATCTTACGCACTCCGTGAAGAATCTGGCAGCTTCGGGCTCTCCTGGCGTCGTCCATGGCGAAATCCATTCTGGCTCGCTGTGAATCCCCCCATAACCCACTTTCTCCCTAGCAACTACGGCAGGTGGGAGCGAGATAGGACCCAAAGTATGGCTCTCCCTCCACGACGGGAGCAGTTATATAACCCGTCGATATCCCGCAGTCTCTGGTTCCGATCATCAGCTCATCTTGTCTCAGCACAGCAATCACAGTCTCTTCTCTCTCAGCTTTCAGATCTTTTCACTCTTTTTTCGATCCTTCAAATCGTCACCATGCAGTCCTTCCAGATCGCTCTTTTCCTCGCAACCATTGTTGCCGGTGTGGCTGCGGCCCCCACGTGAGTATCCCCCACCTGCTCGGTGACATGGCCCCGATATTGACCCGCCCGATAGTCCTTCCGGCCCCGGCTACGGCTGCTACGAGCGCTTCCACCCCGAGCAGCAGGAGGTCGAGAACTGCGACGAGACCAACTACAACGCACCCTACAGGGCCACCAACTACTACCGTCCCTACAACAACTACCGCCCGAGCTACCAGCCCTCGAGCAACTACCACCCGTACAACGACTACCACCCCAGCCTGAACAAGCCCGCCTTCTACCGCGCCTACGACCGCCAGTCGGCCGAGTACGAGGAGACCGACGCCTCGTCCGACAACCAGAACGCGAACGAGAACGCCATGGCGACCGACAACCTTGCTGGAGCCAAGTCCGAGAACGCGAACGAGAACGCGAACCTGGCCAAGGGCGGCGAGGCCTTCGGCTTCGGCGCGATCGAGAGCGACAACCGCAACCTGCTCGCCAACGAGAACAACATCGAGGTAGCCAACGCGAACAAGAACGAGCTGGGCGTGGAGGTTGCCAACTTCAACGCCAACGAGAACTCGGCCGAGCAGGAGTCTGCCGCCCTCGCTGAGGTCATGAACGAGGACCACGCAGAGTTCACCGACATCCAGGAGAACGAGACCGACAACCTGAACCTGAACGACAACTACAACGACCGCGAGCAGCGCGGCTGCGGCTACTGCAATGGTGGTGGCCACAACCAACACCGCTGCAACAAGCGCGCCGCCCGCGTCTAGGGCGCGCGTCTAGGCGGCGGCGACGGATGTGCGAGCGAGCGAGTGAACGAGTGAGCGAGTGAGTGAGTGCAAGGAGCGACGTTTTCCCCCAAACCCCCCAACCTTCAATTCCGCGCTGAATGCAATGCAATACAATTCCCCCCCCCCCCCCGTGTCTGTTGATTCGTTCAAGTTTATGTGGTGGCCGGCCTTTGCTTTTAGCAACGCATTGTTGTTGTTGTCGTTCCTTACTTCCAACTCGTCGCTTCTCTTTCTCTTCTCCTCTCGTCTCGTTCCTCCCTTCCTCCCTTCCTGTCCTGTCCAATACTTTCCTTTGTTTTTTTTCTTTCACTCTTTTATTCGGTATTTCCATTGTCCTTCTCGCTGCTGCGTTTTCTTCTCCATTTTGGCGTTTCCGATCCGTACCTCTAGTCAGATAGTTCCGCACACAGGCCATGTGCGGATGTGGGTGTGGGTCGGTGGATGCTGGTTCGAGGGGGGTGCAGTGTGTCGTTGGCGATAGCGAAGGTGATAGTAGTAGTGTTGTTGGATGATGAGCTGTACATCCAGAGGCGTCTGTTGCGTGCAGATGCTAAAAATGTTTTCTTCTAGCGTCCTGTTCAAGAGGTGCTGCGAGTGATAACTGCGATGCCACGTGATGCTACGTGATCGTGCAACCGTCGGGATTGCGGGATGTCGGGATGTCTTTACCGCCCGAAGAGATCCCACCGTTGCAGACGGCTCCTTTGCCAACACCTCTCCAGCAAACAGCCCTCCAGCCTCCAGGCCGGCAGCGGGTCAGGTTGAGAGGAGAGCACACACCGAAGAAAGAGGAGATGGAGGTTGATCGTTTACCTAAGTGTTTAGTAGATGATGATCGAAAGAGAAGAAGACGAAGACGAAGACGACTCCGCCATGCCGGCCCCTATCACAGCGCTCTAAGCACTGTATCTCACTCGGCCACCCAAGTTCGACGCCCGAAATCAGGTTTTTATCCAAGGCTTAGCGGACGGCCATCGACAACTGTCCTACGCCATCTGTCTCGTCCGTCCGCTGAAAAAACCTTGGCCGTCACGTCCTAGGCGCGGACGGACTGGAGGCACGCCGTCCGTCCTCGTCCGAGGCCCAGGACGGGCGGACCGGACGATGGAGAACACTGCTCCAGACGCTGGACCACGGTTTTCCGTCTGTCTGTCTGTCTTTCTTGCCAGTGTTGAAACTTGAAAGGAGAGAGAGTTGAGCGGAGTGGGAGCAGGGAAGGTTGACTCACGAGGAAGATTAAGCGGAGAGCAATACCCAGGGAACCATGTATGTACTCTATCGTGCCCGCGGTCAGCGGCGGTCGGTGATAGCGGGGGTGGAAAAGGATATGTAATCTGCCATGATCAGCCATTGAAGAACTGGGAGCCGGAGGGGCACTCAGTCGACTTTGATAGAGATAGGTTGTGACGGGGGTGAAGAAAGTCAAGCACAAGTCACGAAGAGAGAAATGAGTCGTGAATAAAGAAAGACCTCCTGTAAAGTTCAAGACGCCCGATAGCAAAGAACACACTAGAGTAGAAAGCGACCAGACAACCCCCTAGACAAATCGAGTAACCGGCAAAGAAAACGGACGATGAAAGCAATGATGAAAACAATGATGATGGACGATGAGACAGACAGATAGACCCGCCGGCAAAATAAACCTGAGCACTTTGAACGTTTAACCCCACCGAATCTGGTCTAGGTAGCTAGGTCGGCGAAATTTCACCGCTCGTGCATCTGCCATGCCCGCCGTTTCCGCTGTGTCCCACACCATATACCCTGGTCTAACCATGCAGCCTGCTACAATGGAGTATCGTACATATCCCTCGCTCCCATTGCAATTTACAATCCGCCCCCTCCCATCTAAGTCCGATACCGGTATCTCCCATCAAAGTCCGACCCCTCCCCTCAAAGTCCGACCCCTCCCCTCAAAGTCCGACCCCTCCCCTCAAAGTCCGTAAAGTCCGCCATCACCTCACCGACATCCGCCCCTGTCCGCTAAAGTCCGCCCCTGCCCGCTAAGGTCCGATCCGAACCGTCAACCCCCATTGACATCACCCCGTTGGCATTACCCTGTAGTCAAGGTCGCAATCAGGTCCACAGCTGCAGCCTTCTCCGGCTTCTGGCTTCGCCAAGCCGTCCTTGCCTCTGAATTCCACAGTACTCGGGTGTAGTTAAGGGTAAGTGGTGCCTCATCTTGCGCTTATAATTCGTAATGGCGGTGAGGCACGACGTATCGGCTGTTCCTGGTACATAATAGTTCGACGCTCGGCCCGAAAAGTCGGCTGCTCGATTTCCTCGGCCCCCCTGCCCCCTTGCCCGTTGACCCCCTGCCTGTCGACCCGGCTCCGGTTCTGCAGTCAGCAGGCAAAATGTTACTCCACGTTCGGCCCGAGAGAACACCTTGATGGTTCGGGATCGAGAAGGATGTGATCGAGCATCGGATTTTCAGATCTACGGTAATGGGATGTTCGCCGGCAGGTGATGATGACGTACTATAGGAGGCAATGTCTACCTGATAATGCACAATGCACATCCCCCCTCACAAGGATGCGAGCACGTAAAACCAGAGGAGCAATCATCACTCTCACAGCACATCAAGTGTAAGTAAGTATGCCAACTTGGATTGAATGATATAAAACAAAAGCAGAACTCCGCATTTCCCGTCTCTCCGTCTCCGCGTCTCCCCATGCCCACTCGCAGCCTAGCCAGTAAAAGGGACGCAAAAGAGACATTCAACCATGCCATAACCACTCCATGAACTCTACTCTACCCAGCACGCATTTTTTTTTACTCATCGCATCTCCATCTGCATCGTCACGCGGTCACTCCGATCTCTTAGACCCGGAAAAGAACCTCATAAGCCTATTCCCGGCGCCCGAGCCCGAGCCCGAGCCCGACCCCACGCGTGCCTTCTCGCCCGCCTTCTCGGCCGCATCCCCCGCCGAGCCGCGGCGATTCTTGACGGCCGCCTTCTCATCCATCCTGCGGCTGAAAGCGCCCGAGAAGCTACTACGTTTCTGGCGGTCCTGCGTACGGATCGACGTTGTGCGCGAGGGGGAGTTTTCCATGTTGGCGTTGGCGCCGCCGACGTGGTAGCGGCCGTGTTTCTTCGCCTTGCGCCGTTCTTCGCGCAGCTGCTCGACCTGCGGGAGGAGGTCCTCCTGCTTGGGACTCCAGTTCCGGTTGGCGAGCACGAGGCGCCGCTCCAGGTCCGCAAGCTCCCGCTCCTTCTCGTCGTCCCAGATGAGCTCTGGGTCGTAATCGATCGTGGCGAAGGACATGGTGCGGGAGAGGGCCATGGATTTTCCGTCTTTATCTCGAACGTCGTCTAAAAAGTCGATGCTCTGTGTCCATCAATCTCGTTAGCAAGCTCTTCGTTTTCCTTCCCGAGTGTGGCTTGGATATATAGAAATTACCTTTGAAATACGTCCCCTAGACACGGCCCCGTCTCCACCAACATCGTCTTCCAAGGTCTCCCTGAGCCTCGCCAACTCAGCGCGCTCAATGGCAACCTCCTCCCTCTCAGCGCGCAACGCCCTCTCCTCAGCATCCAGCCTCGACGACTTCTCGTGCAGTGTCCGCATCAGCCTCGTCACGGCGGATGTGAACTGCCTCAGGTCCTCAAGGTCATGAACGATCGGATGTTTGCTGGGCTCGCGGACCTTTCCTACAGCGGTGTTCGCGGCGGCTTGCGGGAGCTCCAACTTCTCGAGGCCGGCGCCGTGGCGGGCCAGGGTTGCCTGTAGATCGATGAAGGTTTGCTGCAGCGATTCGGATGCGCTCGACATGGTGGAGAGGGCGGGGATGGCCGTGATCTCGCCCGCGATGGAGCCGGAGGCGGGTGTGGTACAGGTCGAGCAGCGGATGAGCGTCTTCTCGACGACCGCGAGGAGGGATCGGATGGGCTCGGCGTGGCCGCAGCGGGTGCACGGGGCCGTGATCAGCGAGTGCGAGTGCGTCTTGTCGCCGTTCGGATGGTAGGAGAAGCTGACGAGGGAGCTGAGGGAGCCCATCGAGGGGTTACGGGGGATGGTGGTGGTAGTGGTGGTCGACATGGGTGTCGACGTGCTCGCGATGGCATCCGAAGCCATGGGTGCGGATTGAGGTTGCGAGAAGCTGTGGTAGTGGTAGTGGTGGTGGCGGGCAGTGGGGGAGGGGGGTGGTGGTGAGAGTGATGCGTATGAGAGTGGCTTAAGGAGGCCGTAGGTGTGATGTTACGAAGTAGAGGTCAGGCGCAAACAACATGCAACCGACCAGCAAGGTGCTGGAGGAGGAGGAGGTATGAAGTTGGAGAAGAGGGACGCGCTCGAGCTGGTGATAAGAGCTGAGTTTTTTCAGCCGTACGCTCTCGAATCGTCGATCGATTAACTATGTGTCGAAGAAATATTTCGGCGTGCTAGCTACCGATGTGAAGATGTATGTTGGACAAGAAGGAGGGATGAGGGAGGGGGGAGGGCGTGGTGGTCGTTCGAGGTCGAGGCCGAGGTCGATGGAGCTGGGGGGGCAGTCTTCAATGGGCGCGACAGCTTCCGTTGACTAAGTACTATTGAATAGGGTAGTGCTAGTGAGCGGCCGTTGACTAAGTAGAGTAAAGTAGCGAGGCCGAGTTGGAGCTGCGAGTGCGGTGGTGCGATGGGGTCCGTCGGCGTCGATGTCGGTTGATCGTCCACGATGGGTTTGGTGGGTGGTTCGTGGGTTCGGTGCAGGTGACGGATCGATGATGGATGGCTTCTATGTAGGTGTCGTGTCGGATGGAGGGGGCGACGACGACGCGGAATTCTGGCGGCAAGTCTAGAGTAACTAGCGGCTACGAAAGGTTGCAGGCAAAGCTTGTATTTCCCCACAGACACAGACACAGACACAGACACAGACACATGCACGGGACGGGATTCACTTCGGCACGTCTATGTATCCCGGGCGAGCAGAATGTGTCGCTTCGGCTTCAATTGCACGGGGTACAGGGTACGGGAATGAGAAGAGGACAATGCGGGCGGTTGAACGACGGGACGAGCGGAGGGGAGAGGTGGCCAAGTAGATGTCGTTTTGTGGAGAGTAGCAGAGCAGCAGAGACACGGACAGGACAATCGTCGATCGGCAGAAAGCGGCTTGCGGTGAGTTGAAGATTCGGCAGGAGGCAGGACGAGCAAGAGGAACAAGAACAAGCGGAAGGGACATCCGTCGCCTTCGATCTCGTTATATAAGTAAGACTCCGTCAACGGCCGGTCGGACAGTGCCGGCCTGCCACGATCTGCTCGCGTCGAATCAAACTGACGATGCGGTGCGACGTCGAAACGGTCTGACCGCAGAGTTTTTTTTCTTTGCTTTTTTTCTTTTTTTTGTTGCAGATGGATGGAGGCGCCGTCCGTGCAGAACTAACGAAGCTCTGCGCATGCACGCCGAGCTTCCCTCCAGAGCCCCCACGTGAAGGCTTCATAATTTGGATGAGCAGAGTTGACGAGAGTGGCAGCCAGCTAACAATGGCTGCCTGCAACAGATCTTTGTCCGCCGTCCGTTTCCTCCCTCCCCCCGAGTGCCGAGCTGTGCTCATGCGTGCCCGTGTACGTCATCAATACGACCGAATACCGGTAGGCACTCAGGTACGGTACTCGTCCTCCGCATCTCCGCTCCCCCTCGCCATGTGGCATCCTTCTAGCCTTCCAGCCTTCCAGCCCGCTCGCGCGCGGATCCCCGTCGCCCGCCCGCCTATTTGGCTTGCCCAATGCCCAATGCCCCAGCCGTTGCAAACGGGATGCCGTAGATACCCAGCAAGAAAAAAACCCGGGTTCTCGAATCATCAGCACTACCAGCTACTACTATGCACATACCGTACACCGTACGTACTCTACCTGTTACATATATACGCCCCATGCATACATGACTACCGACTGCATTTGCATGCCAGGCCGCTTGCGACCAGTGACCACGCGTGCCTGTGTGGTGCGAGTGTGTGTGGTCCCTCCCCGTTCGGTTACTTGCGACCCATGTCGTCATCGGCGTCGTCGAATCTCCGAGCGACTTGGACCACTCTCCGCGTCTTGGGGGCGGGTGCGGTACGGTGCGGCGCGGTGCTGGGGACGGACTGGTCAATAGGCAGAGAGGGGGAGGAAGAGAGAGAGAGAGAGAGAGAGAGAGAGAGAGAGAGAGAGGGAGGGAGGGAGGGAGAGAGAGAGAGAGAGGGAGGGAGGGAGAGAGAGAGAGAGAGAGAGAGGGAGGGAGGGAGAGAGAGAGAGAGAGAGAGAGAAAGAGAGAGAGAGAGAGGTGCGTGTTGACCTGACCGGTGCGTGTTGGCCTGACCGGTGCGTGTTGGCCTGACCGGTGCGTGTTGACCTGACCGGTGCCCGTTTGCGACACTGGCAATTTGCAGAAGACGTTGCACTCTACGGTACTCTACGGTACTCTACGGTACTCTACGGTACTCTACGGTACTATGGGTAAGCAACAAGTATCCAGACGCAGAGTACCTGCCAACTGGCATCATGCTACATGTCCATGTACCTACTCTACACAACCTGCACTGTACTGCACTCTCCATGCGCCCAGAGCATTCCACATGTATTCTTAAATACACCTCTAGTATCTACCAGAGTAGTAATTACGCCAACCCATCACCTCCGTGCTCCGTGCTCCGTGCTCCGCGCGTGGGGGGAAGTCCATCACCGGTCTAGGTCCTGCACGGTGACTGTGCAGATTTAGTCATGGCCATTGGCCCGCCGCGCTCGCGAGTCGCGTGTGTGGGGAAGGAAAGCCACGACCAGGGAGCCAGGGGGGGGGGCGGGCTAGTGCCGGGACCTTGATGGATCCTGGCGGGATCTCGGCGGGCTAGAGTAGAGGGCCGGGCCGATCGCACTGTTGTGAGGTAGTAACCATCCCGGTCGATCCGTGCGTGTGCGCATCGGAGGTCACTCGAGATCGGACTTGTAATTTGTAAATTGTGGGTCCGAGACTGCGAGAACTTCAGCTATGATACCGTATACCTACCCAAGCTTTAGAGTTTGCCTTTAGATAGATGTAGACACTATAGTAAATGCACGATCTAATTTTTCTTTGCTTAATCATTTTAGCATTGGACCTTACACAGTAGATCATGGCAGATTACAAATCCGACCCCTCCCCACTGCCTCCAATACAGACGCACGATTCAATGGGCTCACGCAAGCAAACAAGAAAAGAAAAGATGGGCCATCCCGAGTGATAGGCTATGGCCATGCAGCACCGTACTCGGTAAGTACTCTGCAGTTATCACGGGCTTGGGTATGTACAAGGTACATACCTGTGATTCATCGAGCGGCCCGATACCGCTTCCCCTACTACTCAGGCCCTCCGCCCCAGCGGCCAGCCTGTCCCGACAATATACATATGAGCGCACCAAGGAGAAAACACCAAGAGAAGGGAAAACAACTTCCGCTCCCTACCGCCCTCGCCTTCACCCCGCCTCGCGCCTTGCCTCTTCCACCATTATCTTCGCCGTTTCCAAATTTCCAGCACAGCTGCATGTGCCATAGCGAGTGAGACCTCGTGATCCACAATTCCACCGGACCGCACCGCGTAGCACTCGCTTCGATAATCGTGCACGAGATTCGAGGACTCCCGCAGCTCTTTGGAGTACCTATCTCGCTCGTTCGTAATCTGATAATCCCACAATCGTTGAACGTCGTTGTCGCATGGCATTCCGCGGTTTCTTACGGTTTTCATCGGAAACTGCGTGGAATAGGTAGGTAGGTATCGCTATTGGTGGAATTCGTGAAGTAGATAGGTGCCTCTACCTTCAATCACCTGATACCTCTGGTACGTCGCACACTGCTTTACTTCCAGCCGCGGTTGCCCCGATTCCCTGCTATCGGCGGAGAAATTGTGAGGATTCCCCCGCGTGTTTTCGACATGGTTTGAACAGTCTTGAGACCCATGTGGGATTAAGGAAGAAAGAACGAAAATCAGGACTGTAGAATTCGCAACGGTTGAAACGGCGGACAAAGTTAGTAATGATCGTAATACTCTATCCGTAGGGGAGGATACGCATACGGAATAAAAAATCGGAGAAACCAGCCGGGGACCGAAAAGTAGAATTCGTCTGAGTAGGTATATCGCGATTCAGCGGGTATAACCATCGCAAACCGAGCTTCGAGCTGCTGCTGCGTTTACGAATTGAACCAGCGTAATCCAGCAACGCTCAAATTTTCTCCCCGTTCCCTGGCTACTCTTCTTTCACATCCCCCCTCGCATCCTCCCCCCCCCTTGCCTCCTTCCGTTTCCCCGGCACGCGCCTCAACCTCGCTGTATTATTAAGAATCTTATCACGCATCTGCCCAGTCCCCCAATGTCTCAATGTACCCTGCGAGATCTTCGTGTCCCGACTGACCTCCTCCCACGTAGGACATCGGTACTGCGTAGGCCCGCACCGGATCGATGGCGTGTCCTTGAGTGCCAGCACGCGCGCTTTGTACCGTAGCGAGTAGCTGTGCCGCTTGCTGGTGCGCACGCTGGGTGCGGGCTGGATGTCTAAAGTGCGCGCAGGTTCTTTGTGCGGTGGTCCGGGTGGGATAGGCCCGGTGGGGGGTGGGGAATGATGGGCTGGTATTGGGAGAGGGGTGGATGTGGGCGGATTGAGTTGTGAGGCGGAAAGAGCACGGAGAGGTTGCCGCTGGAGGGTGGGTTGTGGCTGGAGGATGGGTTGTGGCTGGAGGATGGCGGAAAGCTCGCACATAGGTTGTCGCTGGAGAGTGGAGGGGGGCTTCGAAATCGTGTGTTCGGTCAAGAGTATGATATGATACAATTGCTGTGTTCTGTGAGATCGGAATGCACAATATATCCAAGTTTACAATCGTTGCCACCATTGCCAAGACTGTGGCGACAGCACTCATCTCTGGATTTATAATGACACAACCACTTTTCCACTGAAGTTGCGAGGATATTTGCCACAAAGCTATGGTTTTCGTCACCACTCGTCAAGTTTATTCCAACCTGCTAGCGCGTGTATCTTATGAACGAGGAGATACGTCACTCTCGGCCCTGTACCAGTCTTCACTTCCCACCCATTCGTTACCTACTTTAAACTGGGTTAGGTATCCAGACGACGGATCCCAACCATGTAGTGAACAGCTACGGTATATACTCGTATCTACTCAAAGTCTCGAACAAAAGAGACAAGCGCTAAGAGGTTCGAGTGAACTTGCCGAGTAGCAATGGGAATCCACTGAAAATCAGTGGTTTTATGGTAAACGTTGTAACCTCTGTAGAAAAAAAGCCGGTGTGTAACTAATGGGAAATCAAGATGTGGCGGCGATTTGCCACAGGGCTTGACTTGAGTGACCGGCTATGAAGTACGTATGCTCCCCTGTGAATCTGTACTATACATGTCTCTTATTTCCGGGTACAATTTGCTTCCTCGAGGCCCGAAACTGCATTACAGACACAATGGATGTAACTAACTGCTACCACTTTCGTCGCCATTTGAGCATGATCGTTTGTACAAAGCACCATACCTAAAAGTACCAGGTCAAAAGTTATCGCCACTCGCCCTTACGAGACCACCACACCACACATGTAGACCTCTCGAACACCACAACCACACAATAGAAAGTAATATAAATTTGTATAGAGGATGACTAGATACATTTCCAGCTTCGATAAAATTTCCAGCCAAAATAAATCAATATTTTATGTGAAGTTGTGAGGCTAATCCAAGTCCCATTGTTTCAAGACTATCCATTTTCAACCACAGATTCTGCATCTCAAACACACTCTAAAAAAATATTGGACAATTGGAGGTACTTTCTAACAGTGTAGACGATCTTATAAGAAACTGGCTCGCAAATATAAGCAGTTGTGGTAGAGTAATGCGGCCCAGGAGAAAAGTTTGTGGTTTTCGCTGGTTGTCGTGCAACTTTTTGTATGGCAGCCCCATACAAAATGCGAAATCACTGTTCAAGTCATGTACAAACCACCACTAAAAACCATCAATGTTGATTAAAAGCGGTCGACTTTTATATATATGAGAGGGCTTATGATTTTACGGCGTCTGTGAAAGACACAATATTTTTCGGCCAGACGAAGGGTGGGTTTTGGTCGCGTGAAAATGGCCATTTTTGGTGTAAAACGGCCCCCTGGCGATAATTTTGACCTAGTCCTTTTACTTACAGCCGAACAAACCTAATATTCGCCACACTTGTGCCACTCGTTGCCACTTGTCCAAGTTGATTTGAACCTCTAAGCGCGTGTGTCTTCTGTTCGAGTAGATATGGGCACCTAGCTGTACGCTACATGTATATATGGGATCCGTCGTCTAGCATACCTAACCCATCTTAAATTAACGAGTGGATGGGAAGTGAAGACTGGTGCGGGGCCGAGAGTGTTCTAGGTATTGAATTTTTTTTAATTTTTTTTTTTAAAAAAAACTTCTTCCCTCGGGGAGGAGGCGAAGTGTACCATCACTCTGATGAGGGGTAGCAAAATCGATGTGCTCGTCGTCGGTGATGTATCCAAGTACGGATCATTGTGGCCGGCGGGGTTGTCATGTATGGTCTTTGTGCGGCTGGTGCGGTGTGCACTCTACGTACTTCACGCCGCCCAGAACGCGCCCGTTGAAAGTGCACGCGGCTTGGCGATTTTGTGCACATGAGTATTTCATTTGCCATCTCTGAGGTGCGGATGGCGTTCTAGAATCCTGCTGACATTCAGCGGTTTCACGGTATTGATCGCAAAACCCGTTCGGCGCATCACCGGAAGTAGTGTTACGCTCCGGCCTTTTATATATATGCAGGCAGAAATCCGTTGGTCGGGAACGGTACCGGGCATCTCGGCGGCGGACGAAAAGAAGAGTCGGCAGCGTGCATGGCTGGTCGTTATGATGTCTTGGATTTCGTGAATATGTGTATGATATCGCCATGTGGCGTATTGATTGGGTGCGAGTGGTGATGAGGCGAGGATCGTATGGCCGAGATCCTATAATGACCGTGTCACGGTGCTACACTCCGTGCTGTATTGCTTGGTGTACCTTCGACGTCTGTGGCTATTGGACGGCCGAGCGGTAGGGCAGCCAGACAGACAAGTGGACGAGCGCGGAGTTTTGAGCAAGCCCATGAGCTATCACTCGCTCGTTTCTCTACTCATCCGGAGCTCGGGACAAATTCCAACTACAGGCTATGCTGGCGGCGCGGAAAAACGGCACCGTCTTATCTCTTCTATATATGTACGCACCTGACTGGCGACGGCGGTGGAGGGCCCGTCTGGTGGCCACTGGCAACTGGTCGCCTTGCGCTCTCGGGCGAGAAACCGGAGCAAGCCCCACAACGCCAACGGCGCGTCCTGATATCGATTTCTCGGCACGGCAACGTAGCCGGTGGCTGGGCGGTACTTCCAGGCTCCTTGGAAGGGGCGGGGTAGGTTTAGTTATTTTCTGGAGGGAGGCTGTATACTGAACGGTGACTCGCGCGAGAGGTGTGGCTGGCGCGGGGGGCGCACCGAGGCTTGTGCGACCTCAGCCCGCTTCGTTTTAAACATCGCTGATTCGATTCAACCCGCCAAGTTGCAAGCCCTTGCGGTCCGAACTTCGTGCTCGTAATTTTCAGGGTTATAAACAGAAGAATAAGAAGTAATAATAGCACGCAGGTATAAAAACAGCAGAGTGCTTACTCCCACGTTTCTATCCGTCCGAGGAGTCTGCCATCGTCCGGCGGAGCACACACACTGGTGCTGGTGTGCCCCGATCCCACGTGCCCATTGTATGGGTTGTATGGTTGTATGGTCCTCGTAGGCCGGTCCAGGCGGGGTTCTCCCTCGCAGTCATGCGGTGATTGCTGGAATGAACGGTCGACTGCCCGACGGATGCAGGGCTGATAGGGAAGTGGCAGGCGAGTGGTGGACGACGAGAGATCGGATGCGCGGGCGCGGGTGTAAGCACATGCACGAACGCAATGGGTGCAGGCGAGCAAATAGCCAGTCGTGGCGACCCATAAGGAGCGGTTGATTCGTCCGTCGATGAATGTTCACCGCGATCGCCGGACCAGTGTGCGTGCGGAGTGCCCTCAGAGCCGCACACTCGCGCCAATCAGACGCGGCCGCCTCGGACCTGCTTCGCAAACGGTTAGGAAAGCCGGTTCTAGGACAGTGGCCAAATTTTTCCCCCGCCGATTCAAAAGTAAGTTCCTGCGGCCAGTTTCCTCAGCGGTCGCAGCGGCCGCAGCGGCGAGCGCAATGAGCAGGTTCTGTTTCCGTCGTTGTATGACGCAGACGGCGCTCGCAGATCGAGGCGTGGCACCATGACATGGGCCGCGGAGATCTACTCAAAATAGAGCAGTGCGCATGCACAAATCCAGGAACGCACGAGAGCGGAAAAAAGCAAAGTCCGCATGTGTACTCTATATGTGTGTGTGTGTGTGTCACCATCAGTCAACACCACCGCTAGTATGTTAGCACTAGTGTACGTGAGTCGACTATCACCAAATCTTTCGGCCGAACTTTGGCTTCATTCGATGAGCGGTGTCCGCCTAAGATACAGGAATGGCTACGCTCGGCTATGAACAGGCTATACAAGCTATGAATCCGGTTCGATCGGGGGCGGGGTCTGGGATTTCCCGAGCCTTCTTTCCTGTCGAGTCTCTTCTTCTACTTGATTGTTCTTCTTTCTTTCTTTTCAGGTTTCTTCGGCATCGCATCAGGTTATTCTGTTTGTAGCGGAGATACATATTTACCCATCAGTGAGTGTTTTCAGCCACTGACGGCCATTTCTCGGGACTAACACGGCTTAGATATACTCCCCTTCTTCCCTGCGTCCACCTCTTCCGTCCATCGTCGAGATACCGCAACACCTCTAGCCCACGATGCCGGACCCACGCATAGAATCATGGATGGACTTCTCGGACAGTGGTGCAACAACACCGATCAGTCCGACTAGCGGAACATCAACACCACGGTTTCCACCTCGGGCCTACAAGCCTCCCAAGGGCTTGGGCCGCGATGACCTCGAGCGAGCCAGCGAGAAGTTGAGGAGCCACAATGATACCCCATTATCGAACCTGAGCACGACAAATCTCAACGATCAGGCCACGGAGATGAGTCAGATCCCCGAGATGGCGATGGCCAGGGCTGCTGGGCTGTCGTGTACTCTCATGGCGGCGGCGTTTTTGAATGTATGTGTGCCCTGTGTATGCTCGCTTGTGTTAAGCCGGACGAATGCTAAGCATCATACAGACACTGTCGGTACAAGCGATGGTGATTGCGATGCCATCGATCGGAGAAGCGTTCGACATGCCCAAGAGTCGGCAGCAATGGATCATCACGTCGTACGCGTTGACCTTCGGCTGTTTCCTGCTGCTATGGGGGAAGATCGGAGACATCTACGGAAAGCGCCTGGTCTTCCTTATCGGCGGTGTCTGGGTGGCCGTGACCACGCTGGCCACCGCTTTCGCCCCGTCGGAAATTGTGTTTGATATTCTGCGAGCGTTGTCGGGATTGGGCGCCGCGGCGAATGTTCCTGCAGCCATGGGCATCCTGGGGACTAGTATTCCACCCGGAAAGGTGAAGAGTTACGCTTTCGCCATATATTCGGCCGGCGCGCCGTTGGGTGCTGTGTGTGGGACGTTGGTGGTACGTTGCTGATTCCTCCCCCGTTGTGTCTCCGAACCGCACTGACTCCTCGAAGGGTGGTATATTGACGGAGTATGCCTCGTGGCAATGGATCTTCTACCTTGTCGCCATCGTGTCCGCGGTGGTGACCGCTGCCGCCTACTTCGTCATCCCGGTTCCGAAGAAGAGCCACTCGGTCACTCCGGTGGAGCGACCCATGCTCGACTACTTCGGCGCGTTCCTGATCACGCTCAGTCTCGTCCTCCTGATCTTCACGCTCTCACAGGGCAACACCGGCGACGACGGGTGGACCAAGCCGTACATCCCCAGCTTGCTGCTGGTATTCGTGATCCTGTTCATGACGTTTGTGGCATGGGAATGGTGGCTGGAAAACAAAACCAAGCTCGAGCCGTTGATGCGGATGAGTATTTGGAGCAACAGGGGGTTCACCGTCAGCATGGTGGTTACCGGCTTCTTCTGGGCGGCCTTCAACAACTACATGGTCTACGCTACCTTCTTGTAAGCCCCCTCCCCCTTCCCCCAAATCACGACCGCAGCAGGATACTAATCCCCCCGTTAGCTACCAAGACTTCCTCGGCCTCTCGCCCATCGCAACGACGCTCCGCTTCCTGCCCACGGGCGTCGCAGGCGCCCTGATCACCATCGTGTCGGGCTACCTGCTCAGCCGGGTATCGGGCCAACACATTCTAATCGTCGGGGTGATCTGCACGGCGATATCGTGCATGCTGATGGCGGCGCCGATCCCGCCCGAGACGACCTACTGGGCATGGGGGTTCCCAGCAATGATCCTCGCGGTCGTGGGCGCAGACACGGTATACCCATGCCTATCGTTGTACACCACAGGCAGCATGCCGATGAAGGACCAAGCGCTCGCGGGCGGGATCTTCAACACGGTGGGACAGATCGGACGGGCGGTGGGTCTCGCCCTCGCTACCGCCGTCGACGTCGGCATAAAGAAGAACGGCGGGAATCGCCTGGGAGACCTCGTCCCCGGCATGCAGCGCTTTGATGATCATCACGACGATAAGTGGGCCATCCTTGCGGCACTCAGGACGGCCCAGTGGTTGAATACGGGTATGGCGCTGATCGCGCTGGTGGCGGTCATCGCTGGGCTGCGGAATATTGGGAAGGTCGGCGCGGCGAAGCCGAATGGGGATAAGGAGGAGCGATGAAGAGGGAGATGAAAGGGGGGGAGGTTTCTTTTGGGATGGTGTTTTTACTGTGGGCTTGCATTGGGGGAATTTGTATTTTTGGGTTCTGGCGCCGGTTTTTTTATCTGATTTTGGGTTTGCATTGGGAGAGGTAGAATTTGGGTTGAAGTTTAAAACGTCACGATGGATGTATGTATGATGGAACGGCTGTATTTAAGACTTCGTCTCCGGCGCTAATTTCCGTGGGAGAAAGTCTCGTCAATATTCGTATGGTCTCCCCTCCTCCCGAAAGCCGATCTTGAGATGCTCGTTCGTGTGTAAGTCGCGGTCTCCTCACTTTCCCTGCTCACTCCACCATCCAAAACAAGCAACCATCTCCGCAGCCAAAACCCAGCAGCCCAGCTGTGAAGAGGGTTGGGTGTTCTACAGTATGATCAACCGTTCAATTCAGCAGTCCAACAAGATATCTAAACGCTCATCTCCATCTTGATCCCGGCATGGGGCTTATACCCCTCGACAACCACATCCTCGACTTTCATATCCTCGACCTCCTTCAGCCCACCGCCACCGGGGGTACCAAACCTCACGGTTGGCCACTCCCTCGGCTCCCTCTCCAACTGCACCTTGAGCGCCTCGACATGATCACGATAGACATGCGCATCACCCATGCAATGGATAAACTCGCCGGCCCTCAGCCCCGCCGCATGAGCAAGAATATGTGTCAGCAGCGCGTAGCTCGCGATATTGAACGGCACGCCGAGCCCCATATCGCACGAGCGCTGGTAGAGACAGCAGCTGAGCTTTCTATCGGTCGACACATAGAACTGCGCAAACATGTGGCACGGCGGCAGGACCATTTCCTTGAGCGCGGCGGGATTCCAGGCGGAAAGGACGATGCGCCGGTTGTACGGGTCGTGCTGCAGGCACCGCAAAACCTCGCTAAGCTGGTCTACGCCCTCCCCCGTGTAGTCTGCGTCGCACCCGCGGTAGGCGGCCCCGAAGTGCCGCCATTGGAAGCCGTAGACGGGCCCGAGATCGCCCGTGGCCCGCGAGGAGAAGCCGAGCGCGTCGAGGTTGGCCCGCGAGCCGTTGCCGTCCCAGATCTTGATTCCGGCGGTGGAGAGCGGGATGGAGGAGGTCGAGCCGGAGATGAACCAGAGGAGTTCGGCGACAACGGCGCGGAGGAAGACGCGCTTCGTGGTTAGGAGCGGGAGGATGTTGTTTTCAAGGCTAAAGCGGAGGGAGGGCGGCGCGAAGAGCGCGATGGTGCCTGTACCGGTTCTTGCGGAGGTCAGTGGGAGTGGAGAGCGGGTTAGGGAGGGGAAATACCGGTCTGGACGCGTCTCGCCCTCGGCGAGAATCCGGCGGATCAGGTCGAGGTACTGGTATTCCTCGTGTCGTTTTGACGGGGAGAGAGAGGCGGGGATGGATGGTGGAGCTACCGACTGCTCAGAACTGGCTTCTTCGGATTGTTGCGATGCCATGATTGTGGAGTCGGGTGGTGAGAAGAGAATTTGGTGACTTTGTGCTGGAGAGGAGGACGATCGCGATTTTGTTCGCGGGACAACGCGTATAGTAGCGTTCCATTGAGTCCCGTGATGAGCTAGGTGGTTGGTTAGTGCGAGCTAGGCTCAACATAGACATCTCATGCTCTCACTCGGTTACGACCTCAATCAAGACAGGAAAGATCTTTTATTCCTTTCCCATTGATTCTCATTACGCCGTGCATTCACTCTGAAGCTTACGGGTCCGTGAAGGAATGACTCTGCTGCGAGTTGCCTCTGTTACTTCAAACTTCCAAAGGCTTGAAGTCGAAAGTTCCAAGCCAAGTGTGTAATTTCAGTAAGCGCTGGTGGAGACCGGTGAGCGTGAATTGCAGGCGACTCTCAATCGCGGATTAGCAGGCAAACCCCTCCTATACAGTACTTACTAGCAATCGGAGGTAGTGCACTATGGTATGGCGACATTCCATGGAGTTCCATGATTCCATTCACACGGCCACACGTCAAACGCAATCCGGTGCTTGGAATATTCGGTGCGGTAGCGGGTCCACATTTGTTCTCTCTCTCTCTCTCTCTCTCTCTCTCTCTATATATATATATATATATGTATATATATAAATCTCCCTCTTGTACCTATAGCTCCTAGACACGAACATATCACTTTACTTCTCTCCATCTCAATCGCTCTAGTGATCACCTCCACGAGTCCTTCCAACAACGACCACATGACAAACGCAACCATTGCTCTCTCTGTCTATCCCACAATAACCTGTCATCTCAGCCCTCGGCGGCATATTCTTTCGCAAGGATTTGCATCCTTCGCGATCTCAGCCTACGCCTGGAACTATTCTACATCTTCGACTTTGTCGAATAAAAGCCACCCCTGCCTACAGCATTCAACTTTGCTGCTGGCTATGAACCTGAAACCTTCCAATTTCCTGTTAGCCAGTCTTTGCGAGCTTCTACTGAACGGTCGACTGAAATCCGCTGGAACCCAATCCCTCAGCGCACCCTGTGGAGCGACAGATCTACATTCTCCGCAAGCCTCAACGAATCAACTCCCTGTTCTCGTGTCCTGGCTGCCTACATCCGCGACACTGACATATCCTCCGCACCAAGCGGACAACGGCTGCCTGCATCGAAAACACCAAGGGTGCTATTAGCGGCACGCCAGAGATAGAGATTCGGTGAGGTCACCCGTGGTCTTTCCATCTTCATTAGAGTATGACTAATGGTGCAATACCTAGCCATCTATCTCACGAATCGGCCATGATGCAGAGCAAGGGGAGGTCGGTCTTTCTCAAATCACCCCGTGGTGCATATCGAAAGTGGTGCCGCACTCAGAGTGTACGCGTACATATTCCTCCCAACCATCTGACTCCAGGGCCGTACTCCGGCAGACCCCGAAACCTCTTGCCCGTCCTATCCCTATTCCGCCAATACCGTCTTGTTGGGGAATATTCCAACAATGAAATGGACGCCCTATTTTGAGGCCTGACGGCCCTACCCGAATCCACTGGAGAGAGTGCTTACAGAATTCCGGAGCTTACTACAAACCCCATATTCGTAATCGTTTTACTCAGGATCACCATAGTCGCTGTGGTTTTATGTGGCACGCAACATCCAGTTCTTACACAGATCCCAAATATTTCGGTCGCTGTAAGACTACATGCCATAACCCTAGCCAAGCAGGAAGGCCGCACGGATTTACTCTGTGCAGTGCACTTTCCCGACGCCAATAGCGAAGGGTGGAGCAATGCCGGAAGATCACAGAGTGATTCCGATCACTCGGGCTAGATTAAATAAGAAGTGTTGATTGTCTCATGTTTGTCTGATTCATCCTTCACCGATATCACTCGTTTGCTGGTTTCCTTGTCCCACGTTTGTTTCACTGTCTGTCACCTGTTAGTTTCTTCTCATGGCCGACTTGTGGATTGCTCATTTCTCATGTTCTGACTTCATTGATCCTTCATGGGTATCACTCGTTTGTTTCACTAAAGTCTCAAGGCGGATACCGTATCTACTCGATCATTCTAACCTCTTAGCGCGCCGGTTACAATGATCGAGTAGATACGGTATGCCTTCCGAGCATGGGAAAGGGGTGATATTGCCATGATCTAGATAGGTCGCATGCAATCAATGATTAAACAAAAACCAAAAAAACCTTCCGAGCATGGGACGGACTAGTCTCATGGGAGTCAAAGAAACAGAAGCATATCGCACTATGTACGACTGAGGCAGAATATACCGCTTGTTCGGAAGCCACCGGAGAGTCTCGATGGCTCGCACGTCTAAACGAAGCTATGAATGATACAAACACGTGACAATAAATAAGAAGTGGTGATTATCACGTGGGTTGTCTACTGTTCCTCACTCGCTCGTTTCACTGATTATCCGTATTTGTTTCACTGTCATGTTTTACTGTAAAAACACTGTAGCTAGGCGTTATGTATCTTGGCATCTATAAGAGTACTCTCTTTTCGTACCAAGCTAACTCTCTATCTCTTACATCATAATTGTTCGAATATATTCTTACTTTCTGCATCGATGTTTTCAACAAGAAGCGCGCCAGGCAGGTACTTTATAGCCTGGAGTCGACGCTGCGAATATGTTGTCCGCCACCCGGGGAGGAGGAGAGATTTATCGGATCCGGTCGATCAGAGTGATGTGTCTGCCGGACTAGCCGGATTGAGTGGCACCAACGTTGTAGCCAGCAGGGAGGAGCCATATTAGATGGCTCTTCGAAGTTGAATACAACCTCAACTGCTTCATCACCCCTCATTTTCACCGTCTTCCTTTCGGAATTACGTCAGAATAGACCATCACCTTCTCATTAATCTTCATTCCTGTGCCTAACAGTTGGTAGCAACACCGCTACGTACCATCTTCAGAGGTTCTCCTCTTGACACTCCCATTCTTGCCTCCTCGTCTCTCCCTGACGTCTCGGGTCTCCCTCATAGCTGCTACCCAATCGTCGTCACTTCCGCGTCCTTCGCTCCTCCTTTCGCTCGAATGAACGGGGCAAATGGCAGAAGATATCCCCGCCCCTATCGCGGCGAACGTGAGCAGCGGCATGCCCCCACGCAGCTCCACCAGATCACTAGCTAACCTCCCCAACGGGAACAAGACTTCATCAATAACGCTCATACGCAGCTAGAAGACTTTGGCCGTTTTCGGCGTGACTACAACCGGCTTCAGCGTGACAGACGCCAGCAGCAAATACGTACCGCGTCCCGCCGCTCAAGATCTCTCTCTTCGGAATCGCTAACGAGCTTCCCTAAGTGAATCAAGGCTTCGTCACCTACGCTCGTCCGCAACTGGAAGACTTCGGTCATCTTCAGCGTGACAGAATCCGGCAGCAAATACATACCGAGCACCGCCGCTCAAGATCCCCCTCTCCGGAAGCAAGATCCATTCTCCGCGACCGCTACCTTTCCCGCTCCCAGTCACCTATCCGCGGACCAGTGTCTCCGCGGTACAGGAGACGCCACAGCCCAGGAAGATCGTTCGGCCCGTCGTCACTCGCATTTACGACTCGCGACCTCCAATCCAGGTCTCCCGCCGAAGACTTCGGCCGTCTTCGGCGTGACGACAACCATCTTCAGCGCAATGGACGCCAGCAGCAAATACGTACCGAGCCCCGCCGCTCAAGATCTCTCTCTTCGGAATCGCTGACTAGCTTCCCCAAGTGTATGAAGACTTCCCCAACCACTCTCGTACGCAGCTGCATGACTTCACTCGGCTTCAGCGTGACGACAACCATCTTCAGCGCAATGGACGCCAGCAGCAAATACATACCTATCCCCGCCGCTCAAGATCTCCCTCTCCGGAAGAAAGATCCATTCACCGCTACCGCTACCGTTCCCGCTCCCCGTCACCTATCCGCGGACCAGCGAATCCGCAGTACAGGAGACGCCACAGCCCAGGCAGATCTTCCGGCCCGTCGTCACTCGCATTTACGACTCTCTCCCTCCAATCCCGGCCTTCCCCCGTTCCGCAGTCGAGAGCCGACTCTTCGCGTCCACCCTACACCCGCAACAACGGCGGAACGGTACTTCGTCATGATCCAACCCCACCAGGACTCGGCTGGGATAGCCACGGCCACGACCGTCAGTGGGCGGGAAGTCACGCCGACAGCTACACGCCCGACTATACCTTCCGTACTCTCCCCCCGCGGTATCCCTATCCCCCGGAGCATCGGCGTTCCTCTGAGCGTCCGCGCTCCCCCGAAGGCTACCGCATAAGGGGCCTAGCATCCCGCGAGCGAGGACGAAGGGAGAGCCGAGGCCCACCCGCTGGAAGGCAGCGTGGCGGACCAACCAGCCGCTCCCGGCGAGAGGGCTCACGTTCCCCACAGCGCCGCATTCGGTCCTGAGAAGCCCGTTTCGTCCGATAAGCCTACGGCTATGTCCTTGGCTAAGCAAAGGATGCCAATTATATACATGTAACATACTCATTCCTGTGCCTGATAGTCGACCAAGGTCCAGAATTAGTCTAGGAAGAGACGAGATGAAAAGAGAAGTGAAGAATAAGTACTTTGGTTGGGGAAGTAGCATCGTGAGAGCTATGGGGTCATTATACTTACACGGCGGGCATCGGACAAATGTGTACCTAGTTCTAGTTTTAGTTCTAAACCGGTGGTATTATGCAAATTCATTGCGGGCAGGCAGAGGAGAAGGAATACTGAATTGACAGCTTGCATGCAGTGCATGCATGTCACGATGTTTCTATCTCCATCGGCTAGTCAGGTCAGCCGAGTCAGGTCAGTTAGGTCTTTGGGCCTGCACTGGGGCAGCTACACTTTGTATTCTAGTATGTACATAACCGTTGCTCCAGTGGTTGTGACACATCCAAAACTACCTCCTGATTCCCGGACAAACAAACAAACAAACAAACAAACAAACTTCACGAGATCCACATTCCCCCGAGTCCCGGACAACTGCTCGTTTCTTTAGTGCGCTCATACATCGCTGGGACAGGCCACGGCGGGGGCAGGGAAAACCACATCGGGCCGCCTGATGAAAGTTGGGTTGGACAGTGGCGGGGAAACGGGGGGGTTAACGGGTGTAGTAGTAAAAAGTATGGGCTGTTCGGGACCAGAGTGCAACTTCAATTGTGCAATTTCCATGTTGCTTCAGTACCGTGATAGAATTTAGTACCCAATGTAATGCAGATTCATATGAATGCGTCATGCTCGAAATCCTGTCGCGCTACCGTAATTGTAACACTCTGTACCGGTTTTACAATGCACATTTGTCTGAATTGCTGGTGATAAATGCTTAATCGTATGTCTACGGGAGCCTATCTAAATGCTGCATTTGCAGGCCGGATGCGCGATGCCAGTACCGCCATTCATCGTATTTAACATTCTTTTAATTTTCCCGATGCCTTCAATACGTAATCAATTATCAGTTATCCTCCGTAGTGCGATAGCTATCATAATACTAGGTAGCGAAACTACGTGCAGCATTCTTTTGAATGCCGGTTTCACGACGTCTAGGTAGTAGGTACGGCGGTCGAAAGTGAGCAAATGGCCACCTATTTTTTGCATTTAAAATTAATGCAACCCCCCCCCCCCCCCCCCCCCCCCCCCCCGACAAAAAAATAGAGAGCAAAAGAGAGAAAATTAAAAGACCGAAAAAGAGAGCGGCGACAAGCAAAAACTCAAGCGAAATTTGCGAGAGGATATAGGTCAGAGCGAGGAGAGGAGTTTGGTGGGGGTGGAGATGGGTTAGGGTTGAGATGCAACAAAATCTAGGCCTCATGCGGTAGATAAAACAGTGCCATCACCACCACTACCTCCACCGCTACCTTCGCCACTATGCCGCTGAAGCCCTTTGTCTGGATACGTTCCGCTCCAGAGCAGCAAGCTCAAGGCAAGAAGGCGGACAGAAAGTGGGAGTGATTGCATACCAAGTTCGAACTATATGCAGAACTGCTGGCGCAGGCAAGTCTGGTTGGATATGTGCTTTAAGAGTTTAAACATCTTTGTTTCCTTAATCTTAATAACCGATGAACATTGGATTTTGGTTTCAACAAACTCTGGATATGTTTCAACCTATGCTGATCTCGAGTGCTTTCGTGTGTTTATTGCATTGAGCATTCAATTTTAACCTCCATCTCAGCCGGAAGGAGCCCAGGAGTAGTTGGTATCAATACACGGGATTCCGAGTGATATATAATGATATCAACCGGTAGCCTGATTCTCGGAGGGCTAGCCCGATCACTAGGAGGAGACAACACCCGCCTTGTCGTCTCGCTGCCCGCTTATTCTACTGGGCATGTTGCGGCCGCTCCACCGGCTCGCTGCCAGCTCCCAGAACTCGTCCGCTCTGTTGACTCACCCCTTCTCCGCCAGGAATTCCTAATCGGCCTCTGTACCGCATGAGGCCTAGATTTTGTTGCATCTCAACCCTAACCCATCTCCACCCCCACCAAACTCCTCTCCTCGCTCTGACCTATATATCCTCTCGCAAATTTCGCTTGATTTTTTGCTCGTCGCCGCTCTCTTTTTCGGTCTTTTAATTTTCTCTCTTTTGCTCTCTATTTTTTTGTCGGGGGGGGGGGGGGGGGTTGCATTAATTTTAAATGCAAAAAATAGGTGGCCATTTGCTCACTTTCGACCGCCGTAGTAGGTACCGCACCGTACGAATGGTTGCAGCATTCTGGACGATCACCAACATAAAGGCAAATGCTCGGGTATGATAACTGCTGTAGAGAATTAGGATACCATCTCCTCCTACTGCTACATACAGGAGTCACCGCCGATCATGCCACAGACAGCTACTCCATCACTTCCTCACGATGGCAACTCCTCCTCTCACACCACCCCTTCCTCACCTTCCTCTCATTGACAACTCCTCCATCTCACAGACAGCTCCTCCATCACGCCCCCCCTCACAGACAGCTCCTCTACTTCCTTTCGCTGACAAGTCCTCCTCACTGATAGCTCCTCCTCTCGCTGACAACTCCTCCTCTCGCTGACAATTCCTTCTCTCGCTGACAACTCCTTCTCTCACTGACAACTCCTCCATCTCACAGACAGCTCCTCCATCACGCCCCCCCCCCCCCCTCACAGACAGCTCCTCTACTTCCTTTCGCTGACAAGTCCTCCTCACTGATAGTTCCTCCTCTCGCTGACAGCTCCGACACAACCCGCCGCGGATGCAGCATTGACTGGGCAGTGAATACCCCCTCCCTCTTCCCCCCGTGCCTCTCTACTGTTGCTATTTGCCCTGCTAATTACCGTGCTTCAGGTCCCGCTGGACCCGCCGCGGATAGAGCGCTAGCTACACTGTGAGTACCGTCTCCTTCCTACTGCTAATACTCGTTGCGGATGCAGCACTGTATTCGCCTAAGTAGCAAGAATTGCCCTCTCGCTACCGTGGTTACAGCACTGGATTCGTCCTGGAGATGCCCCTCTTGCTACCATGGAGATGCACCTATCGCTGCTGTGGAGCAGTACTGGCTGCGCTGTGAATATTCCCCTCCCTATTGCTTCCAATCCTGCTAATTTCCGTGCTTCTAGTCCTGCTGGACCCACTCTACTCCCGCCGCAATTGGTACTCCCCCCCCCCCCTCCCCCTCCCCCGTAACTACTACTGCCACTAATAGCACTTCCGTCTTATAGCTCTCTTCGCCGCCACTACTATTCCCACTCCCGCCACAATTGCTATTCCCCCTCCCGCCACCACTGCTGCTCTCGCTGATGCTTCTCTCTCATAGCTTTTCTGGCAGCAACTCTATCCTCCATTTCTCTCGGCGCAATAAATCCATGTGGCACAGGCGGCCAAAGCTCGGGAGTAGAAAGGATATTAAATAGTGAAGGAAGTAGATAGAATACTAGATAGAAGTTCAATGCGAGACACACTAGATTACTGCATATAAACCGGCCCGTAGTGATATAAAATCAGCATTCACCCCGGTACTATAGTCATATAAAATACTGAGATTGAACTGATGCTCATGATGCTCATATCCACTGGCTGCGCATAGCACGTAATACTGTGTTTTGTCGTGTAAAAAATTCCAGTTGATGCTGTATTGGTCGAGTAAGGTTACGGGAGTCGTGCGAAGACGCATTCATTTGAATGCCAGCATGCTGCCATACCGATCCGGGAAGGTTATGAGCGTTGTGGGCATTTGAATCCTGGTATGCTGCCATACCGGTCTAGAAAGTTTCTGAGCTTTGTACGAAGACGCATTCATTTGAATGCCAGCATACTGCCATAGAGCGACCAAAATCAAAGAACAGGATGATTCACATCTATCGGTACCCACGTGGCAATGTGCATTACTTTTCTCAGTATAACTATTTTTAGCCGTAAAGATTCCGCTGTTTTTGGATTGCCTCCAATCATTCTACTGCCGCCTGGCTCTGGTACTGCCTCCATGCCGATCAGCCCTAGTTGCTTACTACTGTAGATATTGCCATGATCTAGATAGGTCACACGCAATCAATGAATGAACAAAAAAAAAGTGTCCCGGACAACTGAGTAAATTCGAGTACATACTTCCGTAACCAAACTAAACCAAGACACTAGAGCACGGTCGACCAGCATCGCGTCGGTATGATACCACCAACAGCAGTATTTCCTATCGCACGGTCCAGACGACCAAAACGGCGGACGGGTCGGTCCCCGCCTGACGGTAGAGGACGACCGTCCATATCACGTGATATATTCCGCTTACTCGTCCCAATAAGGCCATACACTAGCTAGTTAGCCGTTTGCAGATACCTACGCGAGTGAGATATGATGATATGCTATGTGTCGTGATCAACTAGGTACGTTTGGCCAGTACAGCGCACAAAATTACCCAGCCTTCCGCACGCTATTGCTATGAGAGGAACAGTATCCAGACTTAGATACTTAAGGTACACGCTCGAAATCAGGTTGTTGATCAAGGCTTGGGGCGGACGGCCGTCGACGGACGGGAGACACGCCGTCCGAGGCCCAGGACGGACGGATTGGACGATAGAGAACACTGACCCAACAGCCTGCGGAAGCTGGGAGAAAACAACGCCATCGACAGCAAAGAAAAACAGAGGAAGGAGGATGTTGGAGACACGGAGTACTGGTGGTGTTGCCCTAGCATGCCACCGGTGGGTTGACTCCTAGCATCTGCCATCGGAGGCGTTCGTTCTTTGCTTTGGCCATCTTGTATAGTGGATCTCTCTGAGTTTCTGTTCCTTTGTAGACTACTACTAGACAGATAGACACAACTACCACTATTATACAGCGTCGACGACCCGTTTTCCCCCCGACAACAGCAACAGAGGATACGGGGGCACCATTACTACTACCAAATGGAAAGACCAAATGTATCTGCGAGGGCCACTAATGCCGAAGCATCACATGCCTCATCATGAAAACTCGACCGCGCGAGTAGCAACAAATTACAATACAGCCATAGAAGAAAGACACAGGGAATGGAAGACACGCAGATCAGCCCCCACAGCTCAACACCCACGAGAGAGAACAAATGGCACCCGCTCGGAACCACAGACGACAAATATGGTACACTTGGGAGTAAAAACCAAAAAAACCAGATCCGGGCGGCGATACAGCAAAACACAAGGAAAACTAGGCACTCTAGTCCATTATTCATGATTACCGCTCCTAATTGGAGGTCAGTCAGTGTTTGGGGAGTAGAATGGACCACGTACAGAGTGCAGTGGGGTCTGGGCCAAAGCTATAACTAAGGAATTGGAAGCCGTCGAGCCCTTCAAGCCTAGCCCAGATCGAGGCGGGAACTCTGGCACACATAAAGGTTGAGTCAGCAGCGTACGCGTACTCCACTTGGATATTGAAGCTGCTGTCCAACGTGTTGATCCAGGTGGCAAACTTCTTCAAGCTTTCTTCCGTTATGTCTCCGTCGAACTGGATGGCGCACAGAACTTCGACCTTCGGAGTCGTCCCCTCCAGACTAGCATTCGTTGTTGCAAGAGATAGATCTAACACCTGTCCCGCGGGGACGTTCTCGTACTGGTAGGTGGCTGAGAAAGTGTCACTGTTGTCCGATACCGGATAATGAAGGACAATGGGAGATCTGCCGTCGAGAACGTCGTGTACAGGGCGCATATTTAAACCGTAGATGACGTCTTCGCCGATTATTCGCGCCATCACATCTCCAATCTCGAACGGAGAACCTAGTTTCTCTCTTCCAATTCTCCGAACCATACCGGCAACCTGCTGAGTGAAGCTGAAGTTTGTGTTTCTGCACTTTGTAGTCGAGTATTCAGCTGTAGCAGCGATGACATGCCCAGTCCTCGACGCCTCAGGGAGCCCACGAGGGCACGCGCCAGCATAACAGCAGTCCAGGATTACGAGGACATCCGTTTGCTTCATGCCCATTCTGTCTGGAACAATGTAGGGCGGGGCGACGAATCGGTTCACAAAGAGCATCCAGGGAAACGACTGGTCCGACCCCTGACGAGCGCATAGACGGAGAGAGCCGTTGGATGGGTCGACTTCACCATGGCCCGCGTAATGCAGAATGACCAAGTTCCTCGACTTAGGTCTCGTCTTCGTAATCTCCAATTCGCACCAAACGCCTATCGCACAGGGTGTCATACCCACGGTGAGTACGAGAGACTTGATGATTCGTGCGCCCAGTTCACGACACATCTGCTCGAATGTAGCCACGTCTTCCCGTGCACCAGAATCATCGTCTGCGTAGCTTAACGAGAAACCGTCGATACACTCATACTTCGTGTTCTGCACAGCTGCAGCGTGCTCGATTGCTTCACGAATGGCGCGAAAACGAGGGTTTTCCTCACCCGGGGAGGCGACTTCGGGTGATGCTAGAGGCCATACTAGTTAGTGCTAAGCTCTTGACGACTGATCGAACGTTCAATAAATAGAGTGTGGGGCAGCAGCGAAGATCTCGCAGGGCTCACGAGTGCGGCAAGGAAATGTTCGTCGCGGGAAAGGCTGATGCAAAGGGGGCAATAGCAGAGACAAGAACGGCGAAAGTTTGACGTAGAAAGTTATTTGAGTGGCAGAGAATGGCAGCAGCCGACTCACCTTGGTATTGCATATCGACGATCTGTACTGCCATGGAATTAGCAAAAGCAACAGTGAAGGAGGTGACACTAGGCGAATGCGTACACTTGGGTAGATTTGGTAGGGAATGAGAAATTGCAGCTGTCAGGACATGGTGAGTCTCATCATGCAAAAGAGAACGAGGGATAATGTTTCCACTGCGTACCTTTGTGTGGGTGTTGTCAGTTTAGGCGGTGGTAGGGACCGATAGGTTGTAGCGGTAAGGTGGAGAGGTTTGGTGCGGGATGTGTGAGGGAGGTTTTTGTTTTGTAGAAGGAGATTTCAAAGTTGGGCAGAGCTGTGAAGGAGAATGGAAGCGAGAGGAGGGGCGGGCTCTATGGGATGTCGGCCAAAACAAAAACCTTGCCCAAAGAGGTGAGTTACATCCACGTTCGACCGAGCCACTGATTCCCCGATCCTAATCCTAATCCACTTGTGTACGCAGGATGAATATGACGCCAACAGTGGGTCGCGACCGTTTGACATCAACAGAGCTAATTTTTACTGTGGAGATGGTCGAAGTTTGAGTGTGACTCCGCTTCCACGAGCGTGAGGGAAGGGGTTCGAAGTGTCGAAGAAGGATGGAAGCATCAATCCGGCGGTGCGTGTGCCAGGTAAGTACCCAGTCCTTTCTGATAACCGTCCCTAATGCCCAAGATCGGCTTATCGACTGCGATGGTGTACTCATAAGTACCATTCTCCGCTCTTGCCAGGGTGGGCTCGATCAGATCAAAACTGCCTATGAGCGAGTGTATTTTTATGACGGTGAACTTTGAAGTAGGTATCACACACGATCACTCTCCTACTGTGGGGCGCAGCTGGGACTGACGTCTTGCCGACAGTTTTCGGTTCTTGGCTGCGGACCTTGGACGGACTTCCTGCCGAGATGTCGGGACCAGCTGGGACCCCCTGTGCTACCCTGTTGTAATGCGTTTGTTTTGATTGTTCTGCTGCCTTGTTTTGATTCCTTTTGTTGGCCGGCACGGTGGTAATACGATCCGATCACACTAGAGTAGAGTACAGAGGAGAGTTTCGCAAGAGTATTGAGACTCTCTTTCCACCCCCTGGGCGAGTGTACATGAACTTTACGCTGTACGCATCCTATGAGAGTTTCGGTGATGACTTCGACCTACCTACCGATATTCAGTGATCAACCTCCAGCACTCAGCTCCCGAGTCCCAATATTCGCTTCCGGACCGGCGATTTGGAAAACGCTAGCGTGAATGGGTTCTGGTAAAGTTCGGCTTGGTTTGTTCACGCGTGGAGGACTCAGGACGTTGGGATAAAGTTGGGATAACTACCATTGTTAACTACCCGCACGGGAGATCGCCAAGAGCCCGGCCAACTAGGGTAGACCCAATCTGTCGCCAAGACCAACCACCCCACCCCGCCGATCATGAAGGAAATGTGTGGAGAGAGCGTCGAGGAGGTGGATGTTTGCTGGTGATGTTCGAACACGGCAAGAATGGCTGTGCATGGGAGATCGAGCGTAAGCGATAGCGAGAAGTGATTGTTATCACCGAAGCATGCTCTGAATACAGTAGGTATTGCGGGCGCGGATCGGACTCTCGACGAGCCCATTCACGGTCCTAGTTCCAAGGCCAACCGGAAAATGGATTGAGAAGAAGCCACCTAGCGAGGCCTCAACCGAACAGAGGCAGTCCAAGGAGAAGAAAATCCGTGTGTTCTAGCTTAATCTTCCCCACCCCTCATTCAGTGGTCGACCCCGCCACGCCCACCAACGTTGATGCCCACCACTAACCACATTCGTTTCCTCCCGCTCACAGGTCCTCAATCACTCCGCCACAGAGGAAGTCCCACTCCAGAAGAGAAAGAAGTTCACTACATACGAGCTCTATGTTTTCTAGCATTTCCAAGCGACCGGCACGAAGAATGGCGTTCTATTAAAGGGAGCGCGAGCTCAAGAGGTAAAGAAGGGACAGTGTGCCGTTGGTGCGAAGCGTCGGGCACAGCCCGTTATCGTTTATCTTTTTTAGGCCATTATTCCAAGCCGGATAGTCGGAGATAGGCCGTCTCCCAATCAACATGCAATGAACCTTCGAACTGCCATTCACACCCTTCTCGCTGCCTCGTACTAACCATTCTGTTGTGGCTTGGAAAACTCGTGTATTAACATCCATAGGTAAGGCCAATTGAGCCTTGCCGTACCTGCGTATTCCCTGTGCCTCCATAAAGTTACATTCTCATGACGGCAACGATGATCGCTCTTCTTTCTGTTTGTCTATCCACCTCCCTCGCTCTCTCTTTCTCTCATCAACTTCAAACCGACATTCATCGAACAAGGAAACCTATATCTGCTATCTACCGTTCAGGTGTAAGTGCTTTGGTTTCTCCATCGAGATGGAAAATGGGAGTTGCGACGGCAAGGAAGAAGTTATTGACGAGAAAAATCTTTCAAGTGGCTTGACACTTAAATTCAATTAAGGTATCTTTTTCAACAGGTTGGGGTTTTCTTACCTGCAATGAATGACAAGTCAGCTTCCCGTTGAGGGCCGTGGTAATTTTCGGGTTGCATTATAGACGTGGCTTCTGTATAATGTATTCGTCAATGAGTCGTCATCCAATCTCAATGTCAATAAATTTAACTTACCGTCTCAAATGAGCTCTGCCAATAATCTCCAGATGCGTCGCACCTTCGGGAGTTCCGACGCCTTTCAACTTATCGATAACCTGCGCAGCCGTATATCCCTTCGCAGCCTCTACTACCGCCAGCTAAATAGCAAGGACCGACGGCGCAAGCTCCCTACTCCGCGCCAAGTCATGGCGACGTTCCTCTGCATCCAGCCGTTCGATAGTGACAACCACCGGTGCCACCACCGTACGCGTAATCTTGATCCGAACCTGACACAGTCCCGGCGGGCGAACTCTAGTACCTGGTCGTTTTTTGACGCCGTCTTTAAGTGGCGATTTCCGGCTGCCCGTCTTGCTCTTCCGCAATCGACACTCGTACTTTTGGACTTCAACGCCGCCGTTCTGTTGCGACAGGTTGCCGCCAAGTTTCGTGTATACAGTGCTGACCAACGGCCAGTACACGTCAAACTCTTCGGGTGTCATGACTATGGGCTTGGAAAGATTGAACAAAGTATCGCACCAAGAGGCAGCGTTCTCGGGAATGGGAATTAATTCAGTAGTCATTGTGGTGGAATTGTCGTGATATGTATGATAGGAACCAAAGCTCGGGACGCGGTTGACTCGCGACAAGGGAGTTTACTTCAAACTGATGCTATCTGGTGTCAGGTGATCTGCACATGGGCGCCAAGATACATTTGGATAATTCTCATACTGTGGCTCAGCCATTGACTTGATTCAATTGGTAGACGTACCCCCCGAGGTGTTGATGATCACCTAGAACCTGGAATCAGTAGAGGTCACGTTGCTCATGTATCCTTCTGTATGTTTCATTTCAAGAGTAGTTGGATGATGGTACGATATGGAGAAAATTTGTGCCATTACGGACGGCTCCGCACGGCTCTTTCCCATTGCTCTAATAATCATCCATTGATACAAAAATCTCTCACCGTCGCCAGCTGATACACTGGTGTAGGTAGTCAATGCCTCTAAATAAAGCCCGGCGCTCTGGTCCACCCCTCAATCCCGTCCACGAGCTTGAATTCGACTCCTTCACCAAAAAAGCCATGCTCGTTCCAACTCTTCATCTCCGCATTACCGTACGGTCCATACGTAGAGCCGTCGTCCCTTCCATCCGTCCATCTGTACTCCCACTGCCTCGTATCCGCTAACACATCGCCACCCTCCCCCTCCGCTGGCTTTGGGTCTTCCCAGTCGTCCCCGGTCTCCCGCTTGTACTGCCTCATGAGACTCTCCCTTGTTTCATCATAGACTTCTGGCTGGCCGCGAGTGAGAAGTATATCTGCAGCCTCGGTGATCTTCTCGACCATCTCTTTCCTCCGCACCTCCGTCGGATCTTCTGCTTCTTTGCCTTTCTTCTTGTCGATCTGCATCTCATCCATAGCTGTTGCCTCCTTCTTCTTCTGCCGCCACCGATTCTTGTTTTTGTTGGCGTCGGGCTTCTTCTTTCCTCCGAGTCGCGCCAGTGCTTCCAGGATGCTTTCGCCGCGGTCCAGGTAAGTGATCAGTTGCGAGAGAACCTCGCTTGTCATTATCTCGTCGTCGCGTCGCATCTGCTCCCTGCGCTCGACTTCTCGCTTCTCCATAGCCTCTTTCGCCTTCTTCATATCCTTGCGACTGATGCCCGCTAACCAGCTATCGTGAATCGCGTCTTTCTCGGCTGCCTTGCGAATGAAATTTCCGGTGGTGTCGACACGGCCCTCTTCCATTTCATTCTTCATGTTGAAAGCCTCTCTCTTTGGCGCGTGGGATTTTCGTCCTCCGGCTCCAATCTCCTCGTCTATCCCTTCCTCTGCGAGCTTCTCCTCGTCCTCGCTGGACTCGGACTCATCCTGACGCTCGTCCTTGAAGATATCCGGAAACCGCTGCGGCACCGGTAATGCCTCCGTAACGCCCTCCTCCTCCTGTCCCTCGATATCGTCCAGATCCAAAAACTTGACATTCTTGTTCTTCTTTCCGATCCCTCCACGGTCCTCATCTTTCTCGAGTTCATCGCTCTCGTCCTCATCCCCATCCCCACCAAACATATCATCATCCTCATCATCCACATCCTTATTGGCCTTCTTCTTCCCCTCAGCCTTCGCCCACCCCTTCCGCGTCGCATTGAACCCCTCCTCGGACGAATCCGTCTCGTAGCCCTCCAGCTCAACTGCATTCCGGTGCACCCGCCGCTTGCCGATCGCCCCCTCGTCCACCTCGAGGAATATGTCGGTCTCGTCCTCCGGCGCATCCGGTGCTACTAGGTGGGGGTTGCGCGCGTCGAATTTGGGACGCTTTGAGGGCGCGAGCCCAGCCCCAGAGCGGTTCAGCGCGTCGGCGCTGTGGGATATCGGGTGCGCGGGACGCTTGGGGCGCGGCATGTTGCGTGATGTGGTTGGTACGTGTGCGGTGTGGAGGGTCTGGATTCTCGTTTTTTAGCGCAATTCGCGGGGAGGTTATTTCGTTTCGTTCGATCGATGTTTCGAGAGTGGTGAGACGGTCGGTGAAGGTGAACAGGTAACTGGGGATGATCATAGAAATGTTCCTCGCGGTTGAGTACGAGGATGAATGGGGGGGCTTGCCTGACACTCTTGGCAGCTCGCTAGCTAGCGGCCGACGTCATTGGCGGGTCTTCAGCGGCAATCAAGCAGAACTGGAGGTAGATGCAACAACGCACACTTCGAAAGAGAGAATCCATCTCTTCCCCGCTCCCTCCGTGGAGAGATCATCTTCATCATGAATCGTTTTCTCAAGGCCTCGCAATGCGCAGGGGCATCCCATATGCGCTTCCACTCGTACGCTCTGCGACCATCCCCGCTCGCGTTCGCACGACCTCCGTTCCGCCGTCCCACAAGCACCGTCGGCGCGGACAAGACGGGCTTCATCGACAAAACACCCGAGGAATCGCTGTTGTATTTCGACAGTCAGTAGCTCACGCTGCCCAGAACAGAACTTCCCATCGCTAATCGACGCCCTCCCCACGCATAGATGTCTTTCCACTCAAGACGGCGCTCTACGATATCCGATACCTGGCGATGCACTACGACAGCAAGTCAATCGACTCGCGGATCAAGAGCCAATGTCTTCCGGCGGACCTGTGGGATTCTCCAGACTTCCAAATCACGGGGGTTATTCCGCGGAAGAAAGACGGCGGAGCATTCCTCAAATTCATCTCGCCCGACCCGGCGCGAATCGAAGACGTAGTACAAGCATTCTTGAAGGAGACGCGGGTGAAGCCTTGGTTCGCGCCACTTTCGAACGTGCGGTCCTTCCTGGTTCGCGGGAAGCCCTGGCTGGAGGATCTATATCGCTTCCCGAGCACGCGGCTTAAAGTGGAGTTCGTGGAGGGGAAGGAGTTGAGCCAGGAAGCGCTGTATGCGCTGTTCCGGCGGTATGGGAAGATCGCGGACATCACCATCACCCCGCCCGGGGGCAAGGAACCGAGGTTTGCGATCATTCAGTTCCTGCGCATGAGGGGCGCAACCAGTGCGAGGAATTGTTTGCATGGGTTTGTGGTACCCGAGATTGCGGCGATTGCGGGGAAAGAGGGCGGTGTTACGCTCAGGATCCTGTATGAGCGCGGGATGAAGCCGCATTATTTCCGCGATTGGATGATGAACCATCCTAGGATTGTGTTGCCGATTCTGGCGGCGCTCGTCAGTGTCATCGCTGTCTGGATTTTTGATCCGGTCAGGACGTTCTTCATCCATGCGAAGATCACTCGCTCGCTGCATTTCTCCGAGAACGAGTACTGGGGATGGGTAAAGAAGAATACCGTAGACCGGTTCGTGTTCAAGAGGGAACAGGAGTTGGAGGATCTCTCTGCGCTATGGGAGGAGCGGAAGGGCGCGGTCGAGCGGATCAATGGCTGGCTACAAGAGTCGGAGGAGACCTTCATCGTCGTTCAGGGTCCTCGTGGATCCGGAAAGCGCGAGTTAATTATGGACAGCATTCTGAGAGACCGGAAGAACGTCCTGCTTATCGACTGCGAACCCATCAACGAGGCACATGGAGACTCGGCCACCATCGCCGCCGCAGCATTGCAGGTTGGATATCGCCCGGTGTTCTCGTGGCTCAACACTATCAGCAGCCTCCTAGACCTCGCAGCCCAGGGAACTATCGGAACCACCGCAGGCTTTTCCCAGACCCTTGAGAACCAATTCAACAAGATCCTCCAGAACACAGGTGTAGCTCTCAAGACCGTCGCGCTGGCGCACAAATATGAAACCGAGCGTGACAAAGCCATGTCCGACGACGAGTATCTGTCGGCAAACCCGCAACTCCGGCCAATCGTCGTAATCGACAACTTTCTCCATCACGATGGCCACAGCGTGATCTACGACAAACTTGCCGATTGGGCAGCACTCCTTGTCTCCTCCAACGTCGCACATGTGATCTTCCTCACGAACGACATTGGCTTCCAGAAATCCCTTGCCAAATCTCTGCCCGACCGCGTCTTCCGCACCGTCTTCCTTGGCGATGCGAAACCCGAAAGCGCGAAACGCTACGTTCTCTACCACCTCGATGGTCAAAGTGACCACATAAAGAAGGATGAAAAACTGATGAAGGAGCTTGACGAAAGCATTGTCGCGCTCGGCGGCCGTCTGACCGACCTCGAATTCCTCTCCCGGCGGATCAAGGCCGGCGAAACCCCGCACCAAGCCGTCCACGAAATTATCCTCAACTCCGCCTCCGAGATCCTGAAGCTCTACTTCCTTGACGGCTCCGAGGTCGCGAAGCGGAAGTGGACACCCGAGCAGGCCTGGTATCTCGTCAAGCGACTCACCTCGGAGGACTCCCTCCGCTACAACGAAGTCCTCCTCCACGACTTCTTCAAGTCCTCGGGCGGAGAAGACGCCGTGCAGGCACTCGAGCAGGCCGAAATGGTCAGCATCATCAACAAGCACGGCCGGCCTTACGCCATTAAGCCGGGCAAGCCGGTGTACCGCGCGGCGTTCGAACGGCTGCTGAAGGATGAGGTGTTGAAGGCGAAAATGGATATGGTCAGTCTCAAGGCGGTGGTGAAGGCCGAGACCGTCGATATCAAAAAGTGTGAGGAGGAGCTTCAGGCTCTTGCTGCGTGCGAGAAGAAGAGTGGGCGGAGAGTTGATTGGCTAGTTGGCAAGATCGACAAGAGCCAGAGGAAAGTGGAGGATGCAGAGGCCCAGATGGTCTCGTTGAAGAAGGTGTTACAGGCGCAATTTTAGTCGGTGTGGGGGTATCCTTGGTATTTCTCCGGTGGTTTTATAGCAAATATTTCCTCTCTCATTCACCCACGGTGTATGTTTTAGTACGAGTAGAGGTAAAGATCTGTGAAGAGACGAGAGCGTCATACATTCATACTCGAACATACTAGCCAATACAATCCAATCCAATCCGCCTCTAGAAATCTTGTACATATCCCCCATTACCAACCCACCCGCGAGTAAACCCACCACCCAATCGACGCATAGTCCCCCTTCAAACCCGCTCACTCATCCCAAATCCCACACAATCTCTCCTGGTCCAAAATCTCCTCCTCAAACCATCCATTGACCACGGGCATCTGACTGATCTCGAGCGGCACGCCGAGCGGAATCTCGACGCCCTCCCTGGTGCGAGCCATTGAGAATTCGGTCTTTGCCACACGCCTCCTGGGGTCCTCCTCATCCTTGACGACCACCTGCCTCTTTGCCGCTGGAGACCCGGTCCCGGAGAGCTTCCGGAGCTTTTTTAGGCGCTCTTCGCACGCGCGCGGCGTGCACCCCACGATCGCTGATACCGACGCGTAGTCGATCGTCACTTTGTGCACGGATAGGATCGCGAGAAGCAGCTTTTGGTCGGCGGTTGCTGTGGCGGATGTAAGCTATGCCCGTGAACGGGGGGAGGGAGGAGTGGAGGGTGGGGGGTTACCGTCCCACTTCATTTTTGTGGGCTCTGGGAGGGACATGCTCTTGCCTGGTAGGTGAGGTGGGGGACTTTATCGGGCAGAGGAGGAGCGGCCGACTGGACAGGAGAGGAGGGATATATGGGGCCTACGCGGCGGTGATGATTCTGCATCTGGCTCGGCGGCGACGGGATGTGAACTGAATGGTTGGTCTCCTCCTCCGGAAACCCGCCGGGAGAGAGTTTATAGAACGTGGACGGATGGCAACTCGAAAGGACGTGCACGGGAATGTTTCCCTTCGTGGATGAACCGACGCGGACTTTCGATCATGGAGGATGGTTCAGGTTTAGCTTCAGTGGACGGTTGATTGTTGACAATTCCGCAAGGCTGTGGAATGCAAAGAATACGACGGAGGAATGTAGTGCAACAATCTCCGAATCGGCAGGGCTTATGGAAGGAAGAAGTGGGTGCAGAATAGAGAAATAAAATCGTCACATCAAACTCTCCAATGGTAGATGAAACTCAGCAAACAAGAGTAAAAATAGCCCTCAATCTTCCAGGCGTTCTTCTAGAACGTCCATTCTATCCATCCCTGCCCCTGGTGCTTCACTTCATATCTTGATTCAACAGCCCCCCCTTTCCCTTTGCGCCACCCAACGTGCCGTCTTCAATCTTCAACATTCCCATAGAAGTGATGTCGCACTTGGTCTCCTCGTCATCCTCCTCATCCACGCTAATGAGCTTGTCCTTCTTCTTTCTTGCTGCCCTACTTCCTCCGCCGTCCGTGCGCTTCCTTTTCATCCCAGCAATCTTCCTTCCACTGGGGAAGGTACTCGGAGAAGCGGAATAGTCCGCAGCCGTATCCGATCCCGTGTTGCCGCCGCCGCCACCACCACCACCACCAACACCAACACCATTACCGCCACCGCCGCCGCCGCCATTGCCGCTGCCGCTGCCGCCATCGGCAGCCTTCGCCTCGCGCTTCAGCTTCGCGATGCGTTCCTCGATAGCCTTGGGAGTGGCACCTGTAGAATTCCCGGTCAGCAAGTTTGCCGGGTTTATATCCCGCAAATCCATACCAGCAAACAGTTTCGCCAGCTCCACAGTATCGTACGCCTTCGCTGAGCGCTCGATGAGGCGGATCAGGAGTTTGCGGTCGTTCTCGGGAGTCCAAACCTTTCACCCCCCGTCCACCATTAGCCCCCTCCAGTTCGTCCGCCCATCCCCTCCCTCCCTCCCTCCATGGGAGCGTCGGAGATACTTACGACTTTAGGCATGATGATGTTTCGAATTGTCCGGAAATAGGTTGAGGGATGAATATGTGCGGATTCTGAACGTAGGTTGGTGGTAGGTAGATGGTGGGAATGGTGGCGTGTGGGCTGGTGGGAGAGATCTGGGGGTGCGGTCCAAGTGTATGTTTAACGGGCACGGCGCGGTTGTTTGTTCTTTGGAAACGGCGGGAAGGAGACAATCAATCATTGCGGCCTGCGGCGGGGACGGGAACATGCATGCAGGTGTCCATATCGTGGCTGTGATTGATACTCCAGCCATTGTTTCTGGAGTAATCCTAAAGTCCGGCACACTGTCGCGGAATATATGCGCTTTACTCCGGAACATGCGTACGCTCGCTCGTCGACTATTGAAAACGATCGGGTGAACCAATGACAAATGATATTAATAGCACAATCCGTGGGCACACATGGTTACAATATTCTCACGATACTCCTCAGGATATGCCTTCACTCTCCCCGTTCACTTTCCCCAACATCCTCAGTAAACTCCCTCTCCCCTTCGCTTCTTTCCAACTCCCCTTTGCTCCCCTCCAACTTCTCAATTCCTATCGCACCCTCCTTTACCTTCGATAGCACTTCCTCGGAAGGCGTGCTCTTGGCCGACCAATAACCCTCCATCTCTTCGCCATCCTGATCAACCACGTCCCTCTTATTGCCGACTTTCTTCCTCTTCGCGATGCTAGTAGGCGTTGAGGGAACTCCGGTCCGTTTCTTGACCGGAGTAGAGGTCTGGCTGTCCACAGCCTTCCTCGCCCCCCTCCTCTTTGGTGTCTCGGGGGGGCTAGGTGCGACTTCACCCTCCTTCAGAAGATCACGAGCCGCACATCTAATGGCGAAAAACTGATGTCGAAGGGAACCTGGGGTAAAGTTTTCCCCAAATATCTCTGCAATCTTCGGAATGTTCTGAGTGATTTCGATGAGCTTGTAGATACCTAGTGATGTAAGGGGCCGAGAAGGGGGGAGGGTATTTACGGGTTTGAACTCGGGGTGGGCGGCGAAGGTGGCGGCGATAAGGCGTTGACGCCTTTCGGCCGTCCAGGTGGGGGGAGCAACCATGTTGATCTCGGTAGAGTTTACTAAGCCCAGAATCTTTAATCAGAAGTGAGAAGGAGTGGGGGTAGATAAATGGAGAGCGAACAATATGCAGTTGAAATAGCTCTTTAGCGGAAGGTTTCACTGCTCGACCAAAAACTATTGGCTGTACCGGGGATCCAGGGAGCGCTATCAGCCCAGCTCTGAGTAGAGCGAAGTAATGAAACATACGCAGTAGAAGTGAGTGGTAGGCGTTTGAAAATTTGGGGGTAGTTGATTCGATTGCCTGAGATTATCGTCAGCCTGGGGAATTCTTAAATAAGGAGCAGAGTAATGGAATATATACGGTTTGTTGAGGATAGCGGTAGTCTTGTGCCCAAAAGAACCCTTAGAAGCCTTGAGGGAAAAGCGAACTATGGTACCCTTTATGCTTCCTGTCAGCCTCATGATGCGGTTAGCATCCAGAAGCCATGAGCCCCTCTACCCCTCCAGCTCCCCTGGAATGTTCATAGCCCTCTGCACTTTCGCGTGCGATTATTAAGAACTAGCTGACGGGAATAGCCCCTAGGCACGAGAGCGCAGGGCTCACCAAGCCGCCTGTTGGAGACTGAATCGGAGTCGTGACAGATGTGCAGGAGAGAGAAGCTGTGGTTTCCTGGCGCGAGACTGTTCGGAAGCTGGGAAAACGTGGCATCACATAGAGAGTCACAGGCACACATCCGGCCTAGGTATTCTCCTTACGCTTCCAAATTCCGAGTCTTCTTCCCATGACTCGGGCCACTCGGCTTGCTGTCATGTTGTGCTACCCGCCGTTTGCTGAATTGTTGCACGTTGTAGCATCGTGACACACGTTGTACATACCCGAATCTTTAAGGAAATTATGTAGCTCAAGGCTGGCTTCTTAGGTGATTGCGTGGGTATTCTGGCAGACAGTGGTACTAACAGGGTGGCTGTCCAAATACCCACGCATCGATCTAGTATGTGCGGACTGCACCCGCTGTTTTTTCCAGTTGCTGAACAAACCCAACTTCGACGCTCCTATCGCGTGATGGAACAAGGGTTTATGTGTAGCGCAACTCGGAAAACTGGACCGAACAGAGTTCACCTCCCGTTTGTGGGCGGCAAACGGCACTCTGTGTACGACTAATGTAGTGAGCCATGTGATGCGGCCTTGGGTGTGGCCAGCAGTATTGATTCAAAGGCCTTAGGTTCGTGGGCAACAGGCAGAACGACATTTAGACTTACCGTCACATAATCATAGATATCACTCGCGATCAACCCATCGGGCCGCTCGATGAAAGTCGGGTTGGACAGCGGCGTGGGAATGGAGTATGTGAGTATATTTCCAGGATCTAGCTAAGTAGGTCGCATGCAATCAATGATTAACAAACACAAATGTATCCTATCGACTAATACACCTGTTTGTCCAGACTATGCTTGTGGATAAGTAAGAAGTACATGATCAAAAGTACTAGCACTTCCATTCTTGCACACAAAAACAAAAAACATGTAAATGCATCCATATTGAGACTGAACATCAGTAAAAATGCCTCTGTCGAGGTGGCTAAGCACTTGGATACTCGTCCGAACCCAAACCATGTCCTCTGTCTTCAAATTCGCATCCTTCTTCCCACCACACCCTTTCTTCGCGATCCCACCGTACATATGCATATCATTCTTCGGAAAACCCCACACATATGAACACATATTCAAAGCTCCAAGATTCCATACCATTTCCACGCTATTCCTCCCCGTCGCTAGCTTCCTGAGTCCCAATGTTCGAGCTCTCTTCGGTAGCCTTCTTGCCGGTTTCCCCGTCCGTCTTAGACCCTCCCTTGAGAACCTTCCGTGCCTTCATCCTTACAATTGGTGGCGGCGAGTCGTCCTCACCGCCCTCTGCCTCTGATGTCAACAAAACGGTGGCCATCTGCTTGAGTTTGTGGATCCGGTTTTGGATTGCCTTCGGTGTGACGCCCATGCCGAAGGTTTCGGCAATCAAGGCGTTGTCGAGCTTCACGCCGGTGGTGGTGATGATCGACCACAACAGGCGGGCGTCGGCTTGGTGGTTCCAGGTTACCATCGTGGTGAGCTGTTGAATCTAGGATGCGGTTAGTGAGGGAGGTTAGGGGGGGGGGGGGGGGGGGGAAAGGTGGTGCGGTTACTTTAACTTGACTTGTCTGGGGTTGAGTTCGGGGATGCGGATAGATTCGGAGATTTTGAGACCGGAATGTCCACCAGAGAGAAGAAGCTGTTGGTGGGGGATGTACTGTGCGAAGCGGGCTGGGGGATTCAGAGCTTTATGTAACCTGCATTCCTCCAGGTTGGAGCAACTTGGATCCAGCGTGCACTACCGGGAGACTATATCCTATATCGATACCTACCATGAACTTCGAGAACCATGGCGAGTCTGGGGCATGTTTGCTTTCCTTCTACTCGCCCCTCCCTACCCTTCCCTTAAATTACATCCACGGCCCAATGCACTAAGTGTTATCTAACCAATCCGAGGAAAATATACCTAGCTCGACGCGATGAAGCCCCTCATATTATGTCACTCGACTTTCTAAACTAAGAGGATGTTGGAATCGGTGAACGCACAGTATTGTAGGTATGTCTGGTCCAGAGGAAGAAGGCTTTAGCCTCAAAACTGTAGGAAAAACAGTGAAGGCCCGTGTTTTCCCACCATGGCCGAAACACTCGAGTGACATTTTGCGACAGTGCCGCCATGGAAAGGGCATTTCGGCGGCGGTTCTTTCCCCAGGACTCCACATCTTATTGCATCCCCAGTGTCATCACTGTATGTACGAGGGGGAAATATTGAATGGTTCATTGCTGTTTGTTACCATGCATGTGCTCTTGTGCGGTCGAGAAGATGGTGCGGCGGCCGGCACCTCGGAAAAATGACGAAAGGCAGTTTGACGGGAAAGGACGAAAAGAGAACACAATCTTGCTACAACTCGGGCTAGTATCCAACGTAGCCTCAGGTGTAGATTATACTCGACCAGATCAGCCGAGGGTGCCCTCGAGCTCTTTGGGAATATGCCGGCTCCCCAGCGGATAGGGAATGAGCCAGATGCTATGCGGCACAAAACATGGATCGGATCCAGTTACATTCCCAAGGGCTGCATCAGCCTCGAGAAAACTGTAACATTCCTGCTTTCCGTCCTGTCAACAGACGGCCCCTTGATCTCGACATCGCTCCGTAGTTCCGACACCATACTCCTCACAGATGTCAGCAAGTGCATGGAGATTGTCGTGAGCCCCTCGATAACATTCCTTGCCTACTCTAAAGTATCTCCAAACTGGCGAAAATTGAATATCTCTGCGTCATCCGTGGCTGCCGGTAATCCAGGTGCTGCGGATCTGGCGGAGTGGGTGTTGCGAGGGATGCGTTCTAGGGGCGAGTCGTTGGAGCTGAGCGAAGACACAGGAGCTCACTACCCGGATGCCAATAGATGAATTTGTTCCAGAAGCTACGCAGAGTAACACATCACTTCGCCTTAGCAAAAAAAGGGATGTGCAGAGAATAAAGGACATATAATAGTCCACCTCACCGCTCCACCTCCCCCATCTCATCTCCACCCGACACACCCCTCACTACAAGAAAAAAATATCCCCACTCCAGATAGCCCCCGCACTTCTACCGAGCCTGTTTCTATCCCCCCATCCCCGCATCCCTATATCGACCAAACGCAACCATGCCAGCCCGCTGCGATGCCTCCGGAGCCGAACGCTTCCTATACATGATCCTCTCGCAGGTGGACACGACCAAAGTACGCAGCAACCGCTTTTTCTCCGCTCGCTCACCCATCAACCATCATACTATATATGCCCCCAAACTAACACCATACCTATTAGCTCGATTGGAATCTCATCGCCGCAGAGAACAACATTTCCACGGCCGCCGCCGCGCGCCTGCGTTGGACGCGTTACAAGGCGGCTATGAACCCCGCCGGCACCACCACCCCGGCGGCCACGACGCCAAAGAAGACGCCCAAGAAGACGCCCGTCAAGAGGAAAGGCTCCGACGAAGGTAGCGTCTCGCCGACGCCAGCGTCCAAGAAGAGAGTCCGAAAGCCGAAGCCGAAGCCTGTGGTGGAGGAGGAGGAGGGGGAGGAGGAGGGAGAGGATTTTATGGCAGAGAAGGTTAAGGCGAAGGAAGTGGTAGCCGAGGATGGGGATGAGTAGGTTTTTTTTGGCAAGGCCTGAGTTCTTCGTTCATTAGTTGTTTGTCCGTATTTGGGCGGATGATACTCGGTGTGTTTTGTTCGCCGATACAGTATACTCAACAGGCCAACGGAGAATGGTGATTTGAGTTTGTCTATTTTCTATCGTATTGGTTTAATTGCATCGGGCCATACATTTGTGCTTTGATGGAGGCTTTCTTTGTAAAGAAGGATAAGCAGCGGTCGAGGGAATATAGCGTCATATATGGTCGGTAGTCAACAGTTGGCAGTCGAGAGTCACTGCGAGTCATTGCAGGTGATTTCGAAGCAGCAGGTCTTCTGCTGGATACATAGCCTCCTGCGCCTTTCCTCCTTTTCCTCGTACTCTCTCAAGTAATATGAAAATGCTCGGGAACAACAAAAAGATCAGACAGACATCGAGAGACAAAGGTTAAAAACTACGGTACCAGGGATTCCCGCATGGTCACCCACTGCAGTACTAACCTGGCGATACCATGCTTAACTAGGGCTGAGCGGACGGGAAGCCGTGTGTTCATGGTTCTATGACCGTAGCTGACAATTGTGCTTTCAATAAAACATAACCAGAACGCAAAGAGACTTCAGCTGTCACGGGCCAGTCCAAGCCGATGGACGGTGGGCCGATGGACGGTGGCCGGCCTAACTTTTTTTCCGAGTAAAAGACCGGTCGAATGTTCCTAGCCGACCCGCTGCCCAATCCCAGCGAAACACGATCGATATGGTGATATTCGGCCAGCCTAAGGTTTAAACCCTCTCGCCGTCAGGGAAGAGCGGTCAACCACTCCCGTTTGCTGGCTGCAGACATCCATCCCTCTCTCCCTCGCATCGTCCGTCCTACAGGCGTCATGTACGGACGAGGCCGTGTGTGGCTTGTGGCGGCAAGGTACGTCGTCGTCGCACGCCAAGGGCAGTTGTGTGGTTTGCGAGCTGCGTCTCATATGCTTATTTGTGCCGCTAACCTTGGCCGCCGCACTCTCGCCGCAGGGGGTGGAAAAAGCATCGGTGCATATCTCCGCGGGAATCGTGGCAATACATATGGCTCATTTCTCAGATACGTGCTCACTGGAATGCCAGCCAGCCAGTCAGCCAGCACTCGACGAGGGTAAGCGGCGCCTGCTCGGTGCTCATCGCTGTTGCTTGCGCTTGTATCATGCGCCATCGCAACCACAATAGGTATGCTAGCGCTCAGCGGGCCCAACCAAAGCTACTCTAGGCGACGTGGAAACAGGGGACATGTTTCCATGTATGTACTCTACATCCCAAGTCTTCTGCGGGCAAAGGCGAGTCACGAATCCCCCGATCTCCCGACAACTTCGTGGCTCGCTAGCAACTATCCGTTTGCCGATTCTAGGGACTACCGGCAGAAAAGGCGGAGTACCTTCCCGACCACCTTGTTCCCGAAGCAGATGGCCGGCATCGTTTTTGGTTGATCGGGTACATGATCAGGCTGAGCACTACCCGCCCACCACATGCGTCCGACTCACACTTTCTCGACCTCGTCCCACAGCCACCGTGCTACCCGCGTGGCCATCATAAATCAACCGTGACACTGGCTGATTGCGGATCATCTATCATGTCCGAACACTCCGCGTCTCGATCTGGATTCCTAGAAATGCTGAGGGCTTCCACGCATCGGCAGGGATTTCTGCTTCGACTGCGGCCGTTGCCCGTGCCGCCGCCATGCCCGTACGCCCCCGTACGCCCCGTACGCCCCCCGCTCGGGGCGACTACGTCTTTCATCGCATATAGCCCTCCCCTCATCGAACTCTATCGAGTGCAACTCGGGAAGTTCTCTCCCATGCACATTCCCGCCACACATCCCCCCCCCCCCAAGCTTTGCTGCCTGTCAGCCTCGATATTGGATTGCCCCCCCCTCCCCCAAATGAACAACAATCTGGACTCTCGGGGGCCAACATTAGTCCGTCCCAGTGGTTCGAACCCTTGGCTTTAACACCCAGAGCCTTATGGGCAGGCACTCATCATCTTCGTCCGAGCTAAGCCCATTATTGTCGGTCGTGCTGCGATGTCGAATATGGGGGACTTGGGACTGACGTGCCGGATGGATGATGATGCGTATGTGTCTCTGATTCTGTCCTGTCCCGAGCCGTTATGGATACGAGGATGGGTGAAATCGAATGCCTGGATTTGGGTAACTTCTGGATACGCATGGGCGGGATATTGTCCATTTGGACCGGACAAACCATGACGGCGTCAGAAGAGATATTCTAGATTGAGCCTGGGATGACCACATCGACATCACAATGCAATACACCGGCGCCGTTTTCCAACGCCCCACCCCCCGGATCGTAGGGGAAAACATCAGCCATAACGATTTGCACGCGGTGAAAAGGCTTTGGACAGCTCGGAGAAATGGCCGAGGGTCGCGGAGGCTGGAAGCTATCATTTGAGCGTTTGGTTTGCGTGGGAATTTGGCAGTGTCGACAAAATTTCAGCCTCTAAGACTACCGTTTAGCGCACCTTGGTGACGAGTAATGAAGCACTTTCGACACTACAGGCACGGTGTGCGGGATTTGGACCGCATAGAAGCAGTCCGGAAGGAAATTACGACAGCTCGGCTTCCAGAGTTCTGCTATGTACCTATGTGCGGCTGCAGTAGAATGCTCTTTAAGTCGCCATAAGCAAGCCCTATTCTGAACCGCCTTTTACGATCTGGGCTGTCGTTCCTCGCGGTTTGATTGTGAAAATGTGAGGTGAAAGAGGCCCATAGACGATTGAACACTCTTGTATACTAGCCCTATCGTGCCACAATTGGTAAAGTTCGCCCACCTCTCCCCTCGAGGTAGCAATCCTGCCGGAGGGGATATGTTTAAGAATGGAACCTCGTCCGTCGTCTTCGAATGCTCCGAATCACCCCATATTCGAGGATTTGAACCATCCAGCCTTTTTCGTCCCTCCAGCTTGCTCCGGCCCATCGACGAAGTAGCAACTCTGAGCTAATCTTCGAAGTCACTTACGGCATCTACGTCAAAGACCTAGGCGACGATCGGGGTGCGTACCAAGTGTCATATCCATCTTCCTCCTTCCTAATGATACCAAGCTTCTTCCTCCCACGGCCGGCGTGGTATGTGAAGGATCCGATTATCCGCATGCTAGTTCCACTGCTGCCTGTCGTATCACCCACCATCATCCATACTCCATTTTTGTTTGCTTGTCACCTGGATATGCACATCAGCTAACGAGCTTCGGTTTTCAAAAAGCTTCCAGAGACCAGAAAACCCCGAAGCACTCGTTCTCACACACATAACACCAATGGATATCCGTTCACTTATAAACCATGACACTCCTTCGCCTTCTCCTCCTCCTTCCTCTTCTCCTACTTCAGCTTCAGCTCCAGTCACCCCTCCCCGTCCCGGTTAGTCCCATCTTCCTACTTCTGGATTCCCCATTACTGACGCAATTACCCCCACAGCCAACTATGCCGCTAGCATTCCCGACACCGCAAGATCTTCCTCCTCTAGCGGTTCCTACCGCAAATCCCCCTCAAGCACCTGCTCTCCGACAGGCACAGTATTCCGGAACTTACACGTGCCCCCCAACGGCTCAAACCAGCCCACAATGTTCCACCACTTCATAGCCGAGCCTAGCGGGATCAAAGACATCGGCATGACTACGGCTGCGCCGCTTCAGCCTACAGAGCGCAGTACTTTCCCCTCTCCTCCTCCTCCTTCTTTACATATTCTTTAGCTCTTGAGTAAGATAGGGCCCACTGCTGATGTGGGAATGGTAGAACCAACAGATAGAAAACCGATCGAGTTCGATCCTCCCCGAGCCGGCGTCTCGGGGAGGAGGAAGGATAGACCAGAGATCGATCCGGCGACTGTGGCAGATGGGAAGGGAGATAAGTCCTGGGAAGCACGGAGGGATAAGGATGGTGGACCGAAGGAAGGCCTTCATACGTTTTGGGGAGTCAAGAAGAAGCCCTAACGCTTGGTTTAGCGGGCGGTGGTTTGTCTTTCATTATATCGGGATTAAGGTCTGTTTGTATTTTTGTTTTTGGTCTGTTTGATTGATTTTGTAGTCATATGGGGCAGGTGCTTTGGCTTGTCTATGGGTAATAAATGGTATGCTTGTTTTTTCCATGTTGTCGTTGCTGGGCGATTCGGGGACATTCGGCATACAGCCACTATTCACACGGCCAGATCAGGTCACGTTACTCGGAGTAAGAACAGCTGTGGCTCAAGTGTGGCTTTCAGCTATCACATTATCATCACCGCCATGGCGGACTACTTGCTCCAGCTCCTACTGGAAGTCTCCACACCTATTTTTTACAATCTCAACAGTTATTTTTCCCACTCCGCCCACATTGCAAGCTTCACTCTTTGAGCTTTCCTCAGCCTCATATTGAACCACACCTACGCCACAGATTCAATCACCTCGAGTAACGTGATATTACCGTCGTCTGGCCGTATGGCTATTCTCTTGTCACCGTCCACGGTCCGCCCAACTGCTTGCCAGAAACCACTCCCAGTGACTTCAACTCCAAGATTGCAACACCTCCGCATACATACTCCAGAAACAGCTTTTGGCAGAAACAGCCATTCTGACACGGCCCTTTGACATTCGGAAGACTGGGTTGTTGGGTACCTATTTGCCGATGGAACGAGCAAGAATCAAAACGGCTTCTAGAAGGCCCCTGGACGCTACCGTACCGCTCTACCGGAATCGGTGTTTGCGTGGTCGTCCGCCGTGCTCCCGTACGTACAAGTGCAACATCGGGTGTGTGTGTGGCACTCTGGCATCCGACACCGCGGAGATAGATCCCCGAGTTTCAGCCATGATCCATGGAAAGATATGGATAGTCCGCGGCGCGGGCATGGAATATCTACTTATTCATAAACTACCGCTCTTCCCTCCTGTTCCACTGCGACCTACGACGACTACTTCCCCAACTGCTCAATACATTCACCTCGGCCTCTATTCCGGCGCACCTGACCGCATATTCTTCCGCCCCACCCAGCAATCATGCCCAAGAACCGCTGGACCGACGCGCACAACCTCCGCCTACTCATCGCCATCTGCGAAGAAGTCGGCTTCAAGGGCATCTCCTGGGCGAAAGTCCGCCGGATCGGGCGTCTAGAAGCGTACACTGCATGTGCCATCAAGTCTTCCCCCCTCCCCCCTCCCCCTCCCGCCCTCCTTCCACTGTTTCACCCCTCATTAACGCCCCCCACAGCGCGCAATTCACCAAGCTCCGGCGCGAAGCGCGGCTCAGCGCCGATGCAGCATCGCCATCGCCGTTCGCAACGCCTCGCAAAGTAAAGAGCCCAAAGGGGGTGGAGGGGAAAGGCTTCAGTCCCGCCCTGGGCGGCGTGCAGGATGACGAGGAGAATGAGGATGAGGACGTCAAGGTTAAGCTCGAGCCCGAGCCTGAGTGGAACAGCGAACGCCGGAAGATCAAGCTGGAGGATGTTGATGAAAATGGCGTGGTGCTTTTGCTAGATAGTGACGATGAGGGGCTGTATGATATCCCCGCGGTGACGGGGAAAAGGAAGGCGGCGGATATGACGGGGAGGTGAGAAGGGGGGTGCAGAAGGCCTACGGGGAGATGGAGAGACCGCCCAGTCCGTTGTCGCCTGATACAAAGGCGGAGAATGTCTTTGAGTTTTTCTGAGGGAACTTTTTGATGGGTTCGGTAGGACGGCACGGGGCGGGGCGGGCTGTGTAGAGGGCTTTGGTTGTATTTGTTTCTGTAGTTTTATAGTTTGGCCATATTAGTAGGCGTTTGATCCTGCAATGATGCTCTCTCAGTCCATTCGCTCGGCTTCTGAATCTCTTCTGTTTGGCGATACCGGACGAGAGATGGCTACCGTACTTATGGTCTCACGCTTTTGTTGACCTCGTTTGTTGTTTCTGCCTAGGCTCTGTGGACCGTAGCCATGTTGATATCCAAGCCGAGCCCGTAAGCACTACCTACTTGGTGTAATTTACATATCATGTTCTGAGATCTCACTGCTCACTCGTCTTGCTCTCCACGATTCGTGATCTGTGCCAAACCGGCTAGCAAGATTCTGCTGTTGTTTGCCTTCACTACTTACCACCAGAGGTATAGATCTTATGAGTGAAAGACTATACACAGCGACTTTAGATGACTTCATATCAAACCAAAAGCCGAGTGATCTAGCATGTGTCGAAGCCGACCACTGGCCACAAAAGTGCTTGATTATAGACCAACGGAAGGACCAACGTTATGACGAGGTACACAACCACATACCGCGCAAAGCCTTCCCATCCATATCCACCTGAGTGTCCCTACAAAACACTAAAACCCGGGATCCTACGATCCTCTAGTCCTAATCCCTGGGGTACAGGCAATGCGTTGATCACGCGTTTATTGCACCCGAATTGTCGTAAAATGCGTTGCACAGTTTTAGTGACAGATACGCACCGTGAAAATTGCGTTATTACCAAAAATGCGCGAATTCTGCCAAGCTTTACTCTGAGGTATGCTCTAAACTTTAAAGGTAGACGAGGAGTAGCTTTGAGAGGGAAAGTTGTTGTATTAGTCTTTGTTACGTACAGATGTCATCCGGGAAGCTTTGGAAGATTCAATCAAACCACACAGTTAGAGAATGACTCTAGTCGTTAAAGGAATGACTCCAGTCACCGAGTAGGAATGACTGAGTAAACCCGCGAGACTCCAATAAAAACCCGACCTCGATAGTCTATTGAAGTTCATGTCGACAGTGCGATGATGCTGGCCTTCGCGATGCGCATCATGTGATGTTGGAGTACTCCTGCCTAGGTATACTGCCGCCGTGCTCTGCGCTCTCTCTCATCACCATCATCATCACCACATCCACCACCTGTGAAGCTCTTCTGGTGAAGCACCGGCGGCGGTAGGCCACCGTGGCTAAGTTTATGACCTCGCCACCTAGGTTTGTGGCCTCGTCACCAAGAAGTTAAACTCGGTATCACAACGTGTCCTTTTGTACACTCTCTCTTTTACTTCTGCATCGTACACTGTCTTTACTGCGAATCTTCTCCAGGTCGACCGGCATGGCGAGGATAGGAGCACACACAGAGGAGAGAGCGGAGATGGGAGGTTAACCGTCTATTCGATAGATGATCAAGAAAGAAGAAGAAAACCTGTGGGTGCCAGCCTAAGTCCCCCCCTCCTCATTCGGCCGACCCCGCAATGCCCACCAAAGTTGATGCTCACTACTACCACATTCGTTTCCTCTCGCTGATAGCTCCACTCACAGACAGCTCCTCCATCACTCCGCCACAATGCCAGCGGGCTACCATTCGCGGCGTGGACACTGTGGAAAGACCAACTTGGCTGGCAGCCGGCATAGGACAGCAAGGACAACAAGTACAGCGAGGGCAGCGGGTGGGGTGTGGCATCCACAGTGATGGAACCGTGGTATCTGGGGAGGGATGAGTGTGTGAAGACCAAATGCTGACAGCCAGCGCAGGACAGCAACAACAACGGCGACGAGGACGGCTATGGCACCGGCGACGGAAATGTGCTATCCGCAGAGATGGATGGAGTGTGGTATTCATGGCAGGGAGAGTTTGCTATTCGCGGCGGTGGGAGTGTGATATGCAGCGAGGCAACTGTAGGAAGGCATAGGAGGACAAGGCACAGATGTATCTAGTACTATAGATTAATGCAACGCATTTGATAACACTGCAAATTACCTAAAAGAACGCATCGCAAAATGCATTGCAAAACGCATTGCAGACGCATTGCAGACGCACTGCAAAACGCATCACTCGCCTGCAATGCGTATTTGACGCATTGCGTGTACTCTAGGGATAATACTAGTCATGATGCTCATGACTCACATCCGCGCCCTCCCAGACCCACACTTCGGTATCAGGCTCCGTCTTAACCACCCAATACATTCTCTCTTCCACCTCCACCTTCTGTTCCACCTTCACTTTCACCTCCTCCTCCTCCTCCTTCTCCACCTTGACCTTCACCTTCACCTCCCCGTCAACCAGCCATTTCCCCTTCCCCTTCACCTCCTCCTCATCATCGTCAACCGGCTCATCGTAATGCTTCGGCGGCTCGCCATCCCCCAACCCCCTAACCTTCGCCAGGTACTTCTCCTTGCTCTTGCTCTTGCTCTTGCCGCCGCCACGATTGGCGTAGTTCGCGTCGCCGCGGAGTCGAGCTCGGAAGCGGCAGTAGCTGTCTTGTGCGACCCGCGCGTTCGCGTATCCCATCTTCTGCGCGAGGAGGGTGTAGTTGATCTGTGTGAGAGGAGGGTTAGTTGGTTGGTGGAGAGGATGGAGGAGAAGGAACTAAGTACCTTGGGCGTGTTGACCATGCTCTCGAGGACGGCGCAGCACAGACGCATGAACCGTGCGTCGGGCGTGAGGCTTGATGTGGGGGATTGCTTTCGGGACATCGTTCGGGTTGTAGCTATGCCTGTTGCGCGTGGGGTGTCGGTGGCGGACAGGACAGGATGCGGGCGGATGGGGGCCCGGGTGCTTATGAGGAAGGTCGGTCGGTGGATTTCCATGCGTGGAGATGGCTCGAAGAATCGAAGGGCTGTGGAAGGCTGCGGAAGTACTATAGTATCATACACACCATCTCCCTCCGCCAGGATGTGGTCACTCAGCCCTGAGATAGCAAACTGCCCGAGGAATACTCACGTGCCCGCGAGGCCACCAGTCCTGTCTGTCTGTTTCGCCCGTGTGCAACCTCCCGTGAGAATGGCGAATATCTTCTGGACGTAGGATGTAGGGTAGAAACTGTCGATTGGGAGCTCGGCTTCTGTCATTGGACCAGAGGAGCCCGTATCATGAGACATCGAAGCGACTGGAGTTGCACTTCCATGCCGGGTGGGGGGCCGAAGTGATTCCGGCATCTATGATTTGCCTCCGCCGCACGGTGAACAGCAAGCTTTTTTTTGGGACAGTGATTGCATAGGTAGATTATTTCCGTCTAGGTGCAAGAGGAAGTCGTCTCCTGAGATCTATATTGTCACATATTGGTGTATTCTTTGGCATCATCTGCACGAGAAATTGCCGGCCTTGTCGTACCACGAGTCAACGCCGCCCTCTCTGCCGGCTACCTGAGGATTAACGGGCACCGACGGTTTCAGACGTTCGGTGAAAAGGACCGGGGTATGAGGGGGCATTACCGGTCCATGACTCGATATGGGTAGAAACATAGCTGAGCTGCTTCCTCGCGGTCGATATTGCATCTTCTACAGGCTGAGACACGATCTGTTATCAAATCGTCCCTCCATAGTGGTATATCTATCGATACGGCTCCTGCGGCTTCAGCCACCGTAGCCATCACACTCCAGCCTGCACTTTTCACGGGCCATGGAGGCAAGCCAGCTTCCGTCGATATGGAAAGTCGAGTGACGCGATGTGCACCGTCCAGCCTACCGAGCCACCTCCGTCTCCTTGCCTCCCGATCCTAAGGTTTTTGTTCAGCCCAAGTTCCAACATCGGATGGGTAAGCCATGGCCAATTCATATTCTGGAACTTCGACAGCTTCTAACCAAGCCCGTTTCAGCACCTTTTTCGAGCCGGATTGTGGCCCTGTGGCCCTGTGGCCCGAACGGCGAATACAATTACATACCGTTTACGTTTCGAAGCGCCGATGCCGATTCCCGAATATGTACAAATGGCATGCGCGAAAGCTTCAGCATTTGAAACTCGAAACTAGCATCCTGCCCTTGCGAGTATCGAAGCCGCGCTACCTTCGGGGAAGTGCCAGTAGTAGTCAGATTTCACGGCTACGGCCACGGGGCTTCAAAGTTCACCGTGGATCGGAATTCGGGAATCTGGCGGCATCGGATAAATCATAAGACGAACTTTTGGCCACAACTACCTAGTCGTCAGTCGCGGTCCACTAAAGGCAAACACTACCACAACATATGCATCACTTTCTCACTTTTCTTGCTCAGAAGTGCAATTCCCCTCCGGATGACTGCGTATCGCGAGAACCTGGCCACCAACGGGCTTCCCGCTCCATTTTTTGGAATCACCATCCCGTCGTAGCGTGGATATTTTGCACGTCGAAAATCACTGGTATCATGCTTCGTCACGGACAAGTGCACTTCTCCACTGCCTGCCCCCGTAGGATCGCCTGAATATCCCATAGTTACGTGGGATTAGAAATTCCGAGCCGAGTGATACTCTGGTGCTCCCGCCAAAGCCCGCCAATGATACCCTGCAGTCTGGCCTCTGCTGTAGGTACCCCACCGTCCTCCCGTCCCGTCCCACGTGTTCCCATTTCGCAATGGGGGTGTTTGATGGAAGCGTGGAAGGGGCGCAGAGGGTTGGCGGAGCTGGTAGACAATTGGGCTGGGATATGTGGGCTGGGAAGAAACGGCCATGCATATGAACTTTAGGTACTCTATGCCCGAGCGTGGATGAGAATGCATGATTCGCAGTGTATGTACCGCCACATTGGGTGGCTTTCTGCGAGCACAAACACAATATGATGTGCAAGCCCGCCGCAACGCCACAGATATATCGGCCATCCTCACCTATGAGTGATGAGCACGCCTGTACGCGTACGCCACACATCCTGCGACATGTCTATGGCCGACCAGACCAGTCGTGGATGGCCAGTGAACAAAATCCAAATGACTTGCCGTGCTTCTGGGGGCTTTCTACGTATGTAAATACACAAACGCTATGCCCGCCTCCACGCCCGCCTCCATCACGCCCACACACGCAGCCAGCCAGCACATACAGATTACCCACATCTGTCCGCAGCAATTTCCCATTATCACGGATGTCAACCCCACCGCCCGGGCATTGAGGCGAGCAATGATTGTCACTCGACCCATTTGGCCCATTTGGGCCTTTTTTGTCCGCTGGCGCACCCGCACCCGCACATATACGGGCAGGTGCGGCCCCGCAGCGCGGTCCGCGATCCATTGTTGTTTTCCACTTTTCCGTGGGCTTCCGTCAATCAACCGTATCAAATCATCAAAGGCGTGGCGGTCCGGCAAACATCTGCGAGCCACCCGTCAAACACCGCAGGCCCGCCCGCCCAACGGAGCAAAGAAGCAAACAATCCCCCGCAGGCAGGTCCTTCCCAGCCCCACCTCCACGGCCAGCGGACGGCCCCGCCACAAAACCGCCCCTTCCATTCCCTTCCCTCGCCGCCAGACCGAACGTCCCACATTATCCGCAGAAGCCGGATATTCCTCTCTTTCGTGTATACGTAGTACACGACAACTGGACAGCAAAGCAGAGACAGCAAAAGACCGCCAAAGATGCCGATGCAGTGGAATGATCAGGCCGATGCGCGGGTATGGCTACCTACCTACCTACCTTTTTCTGCACGCACGGGCGAAGGGCACGGGACTAACGGTGAACTGAAACAGCTCTTCGCCAACGTCCTCAAGCTGCACGTCGTCAAGCTGGACTACATCGCGCTGGCAAAGGCCATGGGCAACAGTAACTCTTCCTTTCCCTTCCCCTCCCCCTCCCCCTGACCCCCGGCTAACCCCACCCACAGCCGTAACCCCAAAGGCGATATCACACCGGATCTCGAAGATCAAAGACAAAGCGAACGCATACCGGCGAGATAATCCATACGCCTTCGACCCTGACGACGAGCCTATTGCGACGGCGTCGCCTCCTATTGGAGGAGGAGGAAAGCGCAAGAAGGGCTGGTCTGGGTCTAGCGGGGGAGGTGGGGTGGCAAAGGGGGGCAAGGGTGCAAAGCTCTTTGACGACGAGGAGCCACGGTTCAAGATGGAGCACGGCGGGGTTAAGATGGAGCTGGGGCTGGGGCTGGGGCTGCAGGATGATGAGGAGGTCGATGCGGAGGAGGTGCCGATGATTAAGGGCGCTTTGGAGAGGATTAGGTGGAGGGGGAGGGGGAGGGAGGGCGGCGGAGCTGGGACGGGCGGGGGCTTGGTGGGCGTTATGGGCGGGTTGGTGTTGGGTGGAGCGGGGGCGGCGGCGGGGCCGCACGTGGAGGAGATAGGCGGTGCACAGGAGTTTTTCCAGGCGCATGTGGGTGCTGGGCTCGGCCAGGCAGCAGCCATCGGCAACCTCGCCTGCGAGCCGGGCAATGATTTCGCCATCGCCCACGAGCCCATCGCCGCCGAGCCCATCGCCGTCGAGCCCGCCGTCCAGCATAGCGGGGCCGACATCTCGCCGATCATCGCGCACCAGCAGCACGTCGACATCAAGCCAGAGTTCGACATCATGCCAGCGGAGGTCAACATCAAGCCAGAGTTCGACGTCATGCCCGTCAACATCAAGTCAGAGATCGAGGTCGAGATCGAGATCGAGCAGCAGATAGACATCGAACACGAGCAGCAAGACACGATCGAGCAGCACCTCCTCCCCGCCGACGACGCCGCCGCCGCCGCCGTCAGCTCCCTTAACTACATCGAGCCTGAACCGGCCATCAAGCTGGACATTACCAATGACTCCGTCGACGCCGTCGCCGAGGACATGGTCATCGAGCTCACCCCCGAGCCCGAGCTCATTACTATGTGTATCGAGGCTGAGGATTAACTAACTAACAGGTACATCAATTTTCTTTGGTTCTTTGACTGTTGAAGTTTTTACTTTAGTTTTCTTTGGTTCGGATTCCATGGGATGAGATTGGATGGGATGGACGGGACTGGTATTTCTGGACTTGTAGTTGTAAAGACAATGGACATTTGACTCTTGTATTACGAATTTACGCGCATGAACAAACCCGAGTGCTACCTCATGTCCCGTGACTAATCCCGACCGTCACACACAAAACTCTCACTCTCACCCATCTCTATTGATTCCTAGTCACGGAACCCAAGAACCCGAAATCACGATCCAGACACTAGAACGCGGTCGCAGCATTCCACATCCGCGCACTCATGACTGGGCCAAAATTCGTCACGTTCACGGTCCACTGACGTATTCACGGATCAAAACATGAATTAAAAAGAAAGTACGACGCGCAGAAACCCGAGAACAAAAAAAGAAATGAGAAAGGAAGTCTTGAGGTAACAAAAAGGAAGGGCTGAACTACAGGTACGACGAAGACAAGCGAAAACGAAGGATATGGATAGTACGATTCAAAGGTAAGTGGTGGTGTGGTGCGCGAGAAGCGAATAAAACAAACACACTTGATCACAAGGAACCCGCTGCTTTTTTTTGTCTGGTTCGCTGCCTCGATCGCCGTCCCCCTCCCAAACTGCTACCCATCCCAATTAAGTGATTCCGCCGTTTAGTACTCGGCCTCCTCGACATCGTCGGTGACGGAGTCGGTGGCAACCTCCTCGTAATCCCGCTCTGCACTGGAGCATTAGTGACGCTCATTGTCGGTAGAAGAACAGGAATCTTACCAAGAGCAGCCAAATCCTCACGAGCCTCGGAGAACTCTCCCTCCTCCATACCCTCACCAACGTACCAGTGCACGAAGGCACGCTTGCTGTACATAAGGTCGAACTTCGCGCTAAGAGCACCCCATGCCTCGGCGATAGCGGTGGTGTTCGACAACATGCATCTAAACGCGATCATTAGTCAGGGGAAACACATGACGGACAATGCAGGGTAACATACACAGCACGGTTAACCTTAGCCAAGTCACCGTTGGGAACGAGCTGGGGAGGCTGGTAACAGATACCGATCTTGAATCCGGTCGGGCACCAGTCGACGAACTGGATGGTCCTCTTGGTCTTGATGCTGGCAACGGCGGCGTGAACCTCCTTGGGCACGACGTCCCCGCGATACAACAGACAGGTGGCCATGTATTTTCCGTTACGGGGGTCGCACTTCACCATCTGGTTGTGGGGCTCGAAGCAAGAGTTGGAGATCTCTTGGACCGAGTTCGCCTCGTGCGAGGCCTTGGCCGCCGAGATGACGGGGGCGTACGACACGAGAGGAAAGTGGATACGGGGGTAGGGCACCAGGTTGGTCTGGAACTCGTTGAGATCGACGTTGAGGGAACCATCGAAACGGAGCGACGCGGTGATGGAAGAGACGACCTGGGCGATGAGCCTGTTAAGGTTCTCGTAGTTGGGGCGCTCGATGTCCAAGTTTCTGCGGCAGATGTCGTAGATGGCCTCGTTGTCGACCATGAACGAACAGTCGGAGTGCTCGAGGGTGGTGTGGGTGGTCAGGATGGAGTTGTAAGGCTCAACGACGGCAGTCGACACCTGGGGAGCAGGGTAGACGGAGAACTCGAGCTTGCACTTCTTTCCGTAATCAACGGACAGGCGCTCCATCAACAGAGCTCCGAATCCGGAACCGGTTCCACCACCGAAGGAGTGGAAGACCAAGAAACCTTGGAGACCACCGCAGTTATCTGGAGTAGAACGTTAGCAATCGCGTTTGGATGACCATCGGTGGCCAGGATATATAGCTAAACGTACCGGCAACACGGCGGATCTTGTCGAGAACCTGGTCAATCAACTCCTTTCCGACGGTGTAGTGACCACGGGCGTAGTTGTTCGAAGCATCCTCCTTTCCTGTAATCATCTGCTCGGGGTGGAACAGGTTTCGGTAGATACCAGTCCGCACCTCGTCGACCACATTGGGCTCCAAGTCGACGTAGATTGTCCTAGGAACGTACTTTCCCTGACCTTTTTTCCATCAGCTTTGTTCTCTCGCAATCCACCCACCATCATCCGACCCGGGCAAGCTCTCGGCAAGGTCGCCGCCGATGATGGCGGGAGAAGGTTGGGGGATGGTAGAATTTCGCGTACCTGTCTCGGAGAAGAAGGTGCTGAACCCCTGGTCCTGAGGACCCTGCCGACGCTCCTCGGTGAGGTAACCATCAGGCTACAAACAAAGACCACGCGTTAGCTACGATGCTCATCGATGAACGTGCATATGCGAGGTGGCGTCGAGGCCGCCACCGCATCCGCAGCCACCACCGTCCCACCACCGCCGCCGTCTTGCAAATCGCGTCGACAACTATAGGTGGCGAACCGGTTTGACCCCGGAGGATGGATGGAGATGAATGTACCTGGATACCGTGCTCAAGGCAGTACAACTGAAAGAACCGTTGTCAGCATATTCTGAGTTCCACTATATAGAGCTCGGAATCGATGAACCCACCTCCCAGCAAGAATTGGCAATTTGGCAACCGGCCTGACCGACTATTATCGCGAACGTAGGTCAGCAAGGGCAGCTCTCTGCAAGTTTCCGGGATGAAGCATCGATTGGTGTTGGGATCACGCGTGTTGGGGGATAAGGGGTAGGTGTCGTTGAAACGGCGGGGTAAGTTGTTTTTGCCGCAACAGCTGCTGCTGGAGTGGGTACGCACCGTTAAGGGAGATGACTTCTCTCATGATTAAAGATGTAAGGTGATGGTTGGATGGTAATAAGAAGATGTGTGGAGATGGAGGATGGACTCGTTGACTGTCGTGAAGTGTTGGGGGGGTTGTTGTGGAAGAGAAGGGAGAAGAAAGGGAGAAGCAACCACCGCGTGGAGGGAAGAAGAACGGGAAGGGACGCTTTGGTTTAAAGAAGTAGGGTAGGTGTGTGTTGTTTTTTTTTGCGTGGTGCCGACGACGCCAGAGACATTTACTTTGTCAGAGCACGCAGGGGGTGGGCCGTGCGAGGGGGGCTAACCGGGAGTGGCAGCACCGCCAAAGAGGAAAGCCTTGGCGGGGGCGGACGACTCAGCGAGGGCGGGCCAACCAGGGAAGACGATTGCCCGATCGGGGGGGGCAGGGCGGCGAGTGCTGGGGGGAGCTCCGAATTTGTCATTCGAATATCCGAATTGCGGGCGGCGAGGAAAAGGGTCTCCATCTCATCCGAGCACATCTCCATCGTCGACGTCTAACGCAAAGCGCGCATTCTGCCACCTGATGCAGACAAGCAGGCCCGCCAGGCCCACCAGGCATGCATATATCTGCACAGACCATCACCCAAAGCGTTGCCGGGACGAAGAAAGGGAGGAACGATAAGAAGCGGCAGGCCAGCACGATCGAGAAGCCCCTTTGCAGCTCTGGCGGAGGGATGGAAGGAAGGCCATCGGGTCAAAGAAGCGAACCCATGACACCACCAGCACCACATATCCCCTATGTAAAGGCGGGAATCGAACGAATCGAGTCCGATCGATATCACGAGCCAGCTGGGTCGTTGGCTGCGACGAGCCACACAGATATTGGGCATATATTCGCCTTATGTTTTACGAGGGCCTCCAACCAAATACAGGCCAACGAATACGGACGGAGAGAACGCACCCGCTTTGGCGGCTCGACCCCAACCCGAAACGGTACACAGGTTCCGGCAGCTTGAAAGGCAACCCCCCGTCCGGTAAAGCTCAGTGGTCAGATAAAACAGTGGCCAATTGCGATCGGATATTTACTGGGGAGTTGGCAAGTGTGGTCGTTATTGTTGGTAAGCTTCCGCGCTATCTCCCCCACACTAAACCCCCGGACCCTCCCCGACTGAGTGCCCGCTCCACGAGGCGTGACTCGGAGCGGAAAATCGCGAAATGCATCCAGATCACCAATGGCTGGATACCGGCTTCGGGATGGCAGGGCGAGTGGCTTCGTGCATTTGGTCCACTATTTCGGGTTTTGCGCGGGTATTGGACGGGTAGCCCCTGTGATCGCGCGTTTATTGCGCTTAGAGTCGGCTTCCGCGCTTGGAATACTGGAGTTTGTCTGTACTCATCGTATAAACCTTCATATGTCCTGTCGCTCGTTGAGCCTAGAGCCAAATGACGGAGCCGAGTTCCAAGTGTCTATGGAAGCAAACAAAGTAATTAAAACCAACATCACCAGGTTTTCCAGTGGCAATCGAACTACTCGTTGCTCGGTGCTCGTTCCTCATCAACACGAATCTGATAAAACCACTACTAGGTGCACTCAACTACCTAGCAATAGCTTCACTGTCGTGTAAGAAAACCCAGTGCAGACAATTACCGCCAGAAAGCTCTACCTATCGAGTAGCTACCAGCGCACGCCGCTCAGAGGTGGAGCCTCAATGTCTCCACCGCCTCCGCTTCAAACCCGTTCCTCCCCAGGTTCTGCTCTACCGACATCTAAACACATATACCGCCACCCAAGTACCAGCGCAGGTCAAACCCCGAACCTTCCAGCATCCCACATCCCACATCCGATCCCGTCACCGTTTCACGGCAGCCATCCACCCCCCCTCATTCCACTCACTCCCAACAAGTTACAGCCCAGTTCAGCTCGTGACGTTTAAGTGGGCTCTAGACCTGGCCCAACCATCCGCGTGAGTCATTCTCGCCACCCGTGTTTTTAGGGTCGCGGGCGATTCCAGCAGGTTCTGGAGTCTTCCGTCGAAAGCGTCGAAACGAGTGATCCGGCGTGTCGTTGCGTGATGTGTTGATGGGGGTCACGCCACTAAGACTCAAGACTCACGTGCACGACGGCGATGAATGTGGAGTACTGAGGTCCGGGTCGGTGCGATGACTCTTCGCCGCTTGGCTAGGTATGTATGCGAGCGAGCTTCGGTGCTCCGCTATGGTACACGGGCTCCCGCCTAGTATCGGTACTCCACGTGCATACGGTTCGTTGCAGTGGATATTGTGACGATGCTACTTCTAACCTCGAATACCTAAACACCCGCAGGGTAGTCTTGGTTATCCTGAGGGCAAAACGTCGCTGTCTCGAAGACGCAATCCATTAATACGAGTGACCATCCATGCCTGCTTCTCCAAGCATCACGAATAATCACCTCGCTACAGTGCTACTGTACGCCACCACCCTTCCAAGGCCGGTTCCAAGACCGGTTCCAAGTGCTGCCCCAGATTCTGGACGGAAGAGCTAGCGGAAGAGCAAGCCGCAGATCCTGTGAGTAGAGGTGGGTAGAGGTGCGACTGGAGACGGGGAGGGGAGGGGCAAGAGCAAGGATCGCTTCAAGGACTGTGACGTCTGCGACCATTCTGTACTTAGGTACTTTCTCGCCACCACTGATGTGGGTGTTGACTTTGAGCAGCTGGGGTTACACAACTACCCCGGCTGTTCCTCCCCACAGTGCACAGTGCACACCCTCCTCCTTCATGGAATCCTCTGGTGAAGACTCCAGAGGCTGGGGACAAGGCTATTTCGTTTTCCTAGGCAGCTTTATCTATTTCCTTGGTACCCTCTACTCTACTCTACATGTATCATATCTTCGGGAATAGATTTCTTCGGGAAAGTCCACGACGGAGGGTGGAGGGTAGAAAAAGCCACATCGATTCGGGCCGCTTGATCCCGGTCGGGTTGGGCAGTGGACAGTGGACAGTGGACAGTGGACAGTGGACAGTGGGCATGGAAGCCGTGTGTACCGTATTGCCATGATCTACAGTGGATATATCGCAAGTCCAAGTCCAAGTCCAACTCCAAGAACCTAAACCCTACCATAGTACCGGCATCTACATCCTTACCGGTACGTCCTTCCCGGTCCTACATTAAGAATAACATCCTTTTGCCTTTCCCCCAGACCTTCAAATTATGATGGTACCGTAGGTTAAGCAGGCACCCCAGAGCACCTGGAGTAGGTACGGTAGCTACGGTATGTAGCACTCCAGGTCTCCAGTTCGCAAACCTCCACTCCGCTCCCCACACCAGCAGCAGCAGCACCACCGCCACCTCCCTCTCCACGACGGGAAGCCGCCTCCGTTCACACTCGCGATAGGCAGTAGATCATGGCGCTTCAAAGTTCAAGGTCAACGATCGCCATCCCACATATCCATCCTATCATACATATCCATCCTACAACCTATGGCATTGCTGGCCCCCACGTGCCGATGCTGTTCTCGGCAATGGGCCAATATATGCACTCTGTGGGGGCGGGGGCGGGGCGAGGCGGGGCGGGGTGGGACAAAGTGCCGTGGGAACTTATCGGTGGCCATAACCCGCCGCTGCCCCTCAGAGACTCCAGTGGGGATCTATTGCGCAGTGTGGATTGAACTCTGTCGGCCGGTTGTTTGGTCCGATTGATCACTCACTCACACGGGATCTAGAACACCCGATCTCGAGCCGAAGCTGTAGCTTTTGTAGTTTTGTCCAACGACACTTGAGGCCATTGCATTGAGACTCTTGTACCATCTTCCGTCCGCGCTCATCGCCCATCGGGATAAACAACTCTACCCATCTTCCGTCCGCGCTCATCGCCCATCGGGATAAACAACTCTACCCATCTTCCAATAACATAAACAAACAAAAGTATTTACTGCATTGCGCTGCCTATATTACAGTCGCTGTGCCCCCCTCCCCTCCCTCCCCTCCCCCTCCCTCTCTTACTAGCCCCCTTCGTCGTCCTCGACCCTATATCTCCCTCCCATGCGCATCACCAAGCTCCTGTAATATTCCTCCAGCACTTCCGGCTTGGGCACGATCCTCCAGCCGACTCTTACCAAAAACTCGAGCTCCAACATGTTCAGTTCCACAAGACTGATTCCTCCGACTCTAGCGTAGAAACTGTTTGTGAGAAACGTGTCGCAGAGGCCCTTGCTGGCGACTGTTGCCGCGGTGATGAGGAAGCGATGTACGGTGAGGCTGGACACGACAAAAGGCGGGTAGTGCGTGGACAGGATGTCGATGTAGTAAACCATGCTCAAGAGGATGGACTGCTGCAGGGACGCGTGAATGGAGAGGCGTTGGAGGTAGTCCGTGATGCTTATGGTCGGCGGAGCGCTATCCCACGCACAACACCCACATCAGCCACACACCCTTGCGCCACCAGCCGCAGCATGCCCCGCACACACACACACAGACAAACAAACATACCGCGAATGAAACCTAGTCAACCCGGCGCCACTGAGCGGAATCCGATCGTTGAGCCCCACCAGCTCCTGCAGCATGTCCGAGATCAAAATCACCAGGTCCGCCGACTGTGTGGTCTGGTAGAGCTTGGGGAGCACCTTGATGTTCCCGTCTTGGTGGCGGCGCCGGCGCTTGGGGGGCGAGCCGGGAGGGGATGTGGCGGTGCTTGCGACCGCGGTGGTCGGGCTGCTGCTGGCACCACAGCATGGCGAGCCGCGTTTGCGGGATTCGTCGGGAGTGCGAAAGGCGGGCGGGGCGACGGCGGTGGTAGAGGTGGAGGTGGAGGTGGGCGAGGGCTTTTTTGTGCTATTGCTGCTTTTGCTGCTTTTTGCGCTGACGCTGGGGGAGGGCGGTGAAGAAGATGATGCCATTATTTATAGGGTTCGATGGGTTTCGTGGGTTCGGTGGCGGTGGAGAGGACGTGTGTGGGGGAGACGTGACTATGTTATGGCGGACGAGACAGCTGTTCTGCGGCGTTCGCGGGTCGGCGGCGGGGTGCGGAGTGGTGGGAAGTGCCGCGAGACATATGAGGGACGGAGGGTGAAAGGGAGTCAGAGGCGCACTGTCGCAGTCGTCGTCGTCGCTGTAGGCATAGTATCATCTGCAGTCGACACGTTTTTCTGGGGTTGGTTGTGTTGCACTGGATTCTCCCTAGGTGAAGAGGGAGGCGAGAAGATGAAGAAGAAGAGAAGAGAAGAAGAGGGGAAGCCAAGGTTTAGTTAGTTTGCGCCGCAGCGCAACGCACGGCCACTCGTCTCCCGAGCTGATTGGCGAGGCGTCCGGCGGACAGGGTGCTGGATGCTAGGCCTTTTCGCAGGGCCGCGGCAAAGGCAGACCTGAACGATCGGGTAAGCCGAAAGAAGACGGAAAAAATCGATGGGGCTGGCTGCGAAGGAGAATTAGCAGGGGAGTTGGAACTTGGGAGGTGCTGCTGGAAGAAGAATGGTTGGTACATAGGACGCGAGAAAGGCGAGCTGTGCCGGCCGCTGGTGGTCCTCTGCCAGCCATGTGTGTGTGCTGGACAAACAGCCTGGATGCGCCGGTTCCACGTAGGCAGCAAGCGGAAAGCATCACCAAAGCCCAATTGCTTCATCGCGATCATCATCGCCATCACAATGGGCCAGTTCAATTTCAAATGCCACCGCACATCCTCGGATACAATACACTGTCCGCCATGTGTCGTGCCAACCCCATTCCCACCACCTGCTAAAACTAATTCGTCGTCCTCAAAAACACTTCACAACTCCTGTCCCATCATCATCATCAAGTCATCGTCCATGCCATACCCAATCGTTTCATTCCCATGAACATCGCCGCCACGAGATTTCCTCGCAACCGCTTGGTACTATTTACCCATCAGTCAGTGAGTGTCCGCATGCAAGAAAAAAAAAGGAACGGAAAAAATCCCCGAAAAGACATGGACATACCTTGAAGACGAAATTGGCGACCAGCGCAACCGCAAGCGCAATGCACACAACCACGGGTCCAAAAACACTATCGAAATCCCTCCCGCTCCGTTGGCGAATCAACGTGCTCCTCCACATGTACATGGCCCACCCCCACACACCAGCAAAGAGCGCGATGGCCGTGTAGGCCATGGAGATGTACTTCGCCGTGGTGTTGTCCGCTTCTGCGGCGTTGGAGAGCGCAACACTGAGCGACGCGAGCAGGACAACAATGTGCATCCACTTGATGAACGTGCGTTGGTTCGCCAACCATACCTTGGCCTCCACCTTGACCTCGCCGGAATACATGAGCAATTGCTGCGGCTTGTGCACGCCAGCGGGCAGGACCACGTCTCGGCGGCCAGAGTGCGCGCGACCGTACCGGGATGACGAGAACGAGGGGAACAGTTGACGCAGGCCATCGAGCGTGGTGGTCGAATCGCGAGGCGCTTCCTCCTCGTCTTCTTCATCCGAGTCCTCGTTATCGTCGTGGTCCTCTTCGTCCTCTTCGGCCACCTCGACTACATCCTCACTGGGCAACATCCTGGTATCGTAAGAACCCTGAGGAGCCGTCTTGGGGAATCTATCGGGTGTCCCCGAAGCCTGGGGCGGAGTGGCTTTGTAACTGTGGCCGCCAGCCGGAGGCGTCGCACCTCTGCCACCGAAGTCGCGCACAGTGGTACGGAAACTGCCAACGGCAGTCTCGGCCTCAATCTGCTTTTTCTTGCGCTCCTGCTCGGCATCCCAGGCCTTTCGGGGGTCCTTCCGGATATCCTCCTCCATCTCTCCGAGCCAGAACGGAAAACTGTTGACGTAGTCATCGAACAGGACAGCAACTCCATGCAAAAACTTCGAGAACCTAGGTGCCGCGTGGACAAGATGCGAAGAAATGAGTTCCTGCACCCACTCGTTCGTGCGCTTGTGCAATTCGCTCTCGCGCAGCTTGATCTCGAGCAGGGCGTATCCGAATCGCGATATTTCGCCCGTTCTAAGGCTCGAGAATGGGTAGTCCATCCTTGCCTCGTCGATGTCGCGACGGTGCCAGTTGTCCGGTTCCCTGCACGGCCGATTGCTGTCCAGGGCATCCTCGCGAATCAACGCCAGCTCCGTGTCAAGACTGACTCTGATGCGATCGTCGCCGGGGATCTGAAACGCTGTGCGCGTGTATGATGCTCTGAGCACGGGCTGCAGATCGTAGTCCTGGATCTGGTTCTGGATGCTGCAGACCAGACTGCGGTACTTCTCTGCCTCTTCGTCGGCATTTCGGTCCTTGAGCTTCTGCACCTTCTTCTCGAGCGAGTATTCGCCCTTAAGGAAGTCATTGACATACTTCTCCTTGAGCGCGATCCTCTCCTCGATGGCACCCTCGGAGTCATCGGCACCATTGCGGATAGTCTTTCGCTCCAAGAAGATCTCCGACGCCTCGGCGAGCTGTCCGTACCACCGCAAACGCAGCGAAGAAGCATCGTTAGTCTTCAACACCTTATCGGTGTACAGCTGGAACCTGGGATTATCGAAGTAGAGCGACGTAATGGTCGGGTCCTTGCCATTGGTTTCCAGTTCCTTCGAGCGCTGCGGATTGTACACCAGCACTGGCAGCCGCCGCAGGATGAAGGTCTTGACTTCGATGATGTTGTCGGGGTGCACCCAGAATTTGAGCGACGTATACTTCTTGTTGTTGGGATTATTCCCCGGATGCGGCGATGAATTCTGCTCGAAGCCCTCGACTTGCTCCTCGTTGAGCGAGCGCCGGACGAAATCATACATGGTCGATAGCCTGTTCACTTATCAGCCCCACAATTCATCCCAATCCACCCCCCTCAATCCACACGGAACACACCTGTAGAGCAGGGGACTGTAATCCTCCTTATTGAATTCCAGATGGCTCAGCCGCACCTGCAACAACGGCTTCACCTTCGGATCCCCAGCCTTGCCCTTCCCTTTCGCGCCGGATCCCGCGCCTCTCGATCTCCGATCATGCTTCTTCGCGGCCTTCAAAAACCCCGTGAAATTAATTCTCGAGAACCTCTCCAGCTCATTGATATCTTTCGTGATGCCATCCAGCTCCTTAAGACTGATCTCGAGGGCCTCCTTTCTTCTCTCCTCACCGTCGCCGCCTCCCACGAACTTCTCGAGGCGCTGCTCACACCTCGCCGTGCGCTCATTAAGCGCGGTATTCATTTCCCGCTGGAACCGGTGCACCTTCTCGAGCTGCACATTGATCAGCTCGTCGACGAAGCGCGACTCGTCCTCGTCGGTCCACTCGCGCTCGTCGCCCCCGACGCCGCCGGAGCCCGCCGACTCGTCGCTGTCCGAGACTTCGCGCAAAAGCTGCTTGAGCTTGCTGTAGTCTATGTAGTGGTCGCGCCACGGCGGGTACACGGACGACTGCAGGGTTTTGCCGAAACGCATTTTGGAGGGTCGCTATCTTCCTGTCTTCTCCGTGTGTCTGTGTGTGTGTGTATCTGCTCGTTGGTCGTAACTCGTGAGGAATTGGGGAGGAGGCGGGAGGTGGGAGGGTGGAGGAGTTCTTTTTTTCGCGGCCGTGGATGCAAGTATTGGGGTGGCTGGTGTTGTGGATTAACTAGATATTGGGCTGGGAGGGATGACGATATGGTTGGGACGGGACGGTCTTGATGGATGGATGCGATACGAAAAATCTCGGCAAATCACAGTTCACCCGGCGTGGATGCACGTGGACAGTGGGATCGTCCGCCTATAAGGTAGGATGTGCTCGAAGTGGACTTGTGTTGCCGCAGATATGTAGCGACTGGATAGGTAAGGCTGGACTTGGACTGGACGTTCGTGAAAGCATAAAAGTACGGACACTCACGGCCGGCTATGTACCTAATGTGCTCTATGTACGCACTCGTTTGTATGCACTCGTCTGTATGCAAAGTCCCGCTTGCAATTGGGCCTAAGACCGGGACAACGCTGGTGAATCGTGATAGATAACCCTACCTGCCACATATAGAATAACCACTCCTTTTACCTTATGTCTGAAATCCCACTTAAAGATCATAGACTATTAGAGACACAGGTTCCCTCGCAGCGCGGACGTTCCGCAGAGCAAAGACGGCCTTGTTGATTGTCCCTGCCAAGCCGCCTTTTTCAACCGCCTCCCATCTGAGGAGAATTTGTAGTTCAACACCATGATCAAGTGAGACCTCCAGAGCTCAACGGTTAGATATGCTGCTGTGCACCCCAATATTCTTGACTTGATTCGGTGACCAGGAGATAGTTTTGTCAACATAGCCGGTCTGTTGGTGGGGAATGCGGCCCGAGTCCATACTTTCGACTTTGTACTCAAACTTGCTCTGGACGAATATTGGTATCGTATCGGCATCAAAAACACGTACCTACCGTACATACTTTGACCGTGTCATAGTACCACGTCACTACCGTTTTCGCAAAGAGAGGGTAGTACCACCACATTGTCTACTGTACCTTCCATAGAATATCTACCGCAGTCATTCACCTCATCCATCAAAGAAATTCCTCCCCTCTTCACCACCACTCTCCACGACCCTGTCTGGCTGGAGATATCGCATTGTCTACGAGCTGCAATGTAGCCTTTCCGAAAAGACCTCGGAGAGCAGGAGGACAGTGGCCTTCTGTTTGGCGATTCCTTGCCTTCCTCCAATCACATCCATGTTTCTACGACGTATGCAGCGAGACTGGTCCGGTAGTTAAGCTGCTATCCAGCTGTAAAAGCACCATTGGGATTATCATGGTGACAGCTAACGCTGTGGTAGATATGATAGTTCTGATCACCGATCCGGGGCCGCCAAAGGGGGACGTGGGTCGACGGTAGACGTCCGAGCAAAGGAGAGCAGGCGGTTCCGTAATCGAATTCGGCAGGATCCTCAACGTACAAGATTAGGCGTGTACATCGTTTTGCTGATACATCTCCCGGAGGCTGCGAACGGTTGCAGTGTCACTGCAAGTAAAAGTTTCCATATCCCGCCTCCAAGGTGCCGGCCGCTATCGGTTACATTGCAAAATCCCACGAAGAAGACTTGGATTGGAGCTTCTCCCCAATCAACATCGCCAACGCTTACATACTCCGATCTTTCCAGGACCCTCGGCCGGGCCCGACTAGAAGCGGGCCGTCAATGAAACACCACCACCGCGCCGCGCCGCTCCCCCGACAGACGGAAGCGGGATCTAGTAACTTTCTCGGGTTACGCCTCAGCGGCCGCTCTCGGATGAACAGAGCCGAGCCGAGCGACGCATCCTTGGATCAGCACTGCGCCAGCTGCCAGCCCCAGGCGTGCTGTCTGTGATCACTCCCGGAGGTTCCAGCGGTACATGGAGTACTGGGGACTGGGGACTGGGGGTGGACCCTTCTTCATGGTGTTGGTCTTGGCCGACTAGCTGCATCCGATAGCCTCAGATAGGTAGCTCGAGAGGAATTATTCGCTAGAGGAGGAGATAGTCGCACTAGAAATAGTTTCCAAGTTCCGGCCGGAACGATACAGAGCCGGTGATCGAGAGTCTGACGAGTCCGTGCGGGTTGGGGACGTCGTTAGGGAATACGGCAGCATTGGATACTTCCTCTCAACTACCTAGAATTCGTCTGATTCCTGCGATGGATCAGAGGAAAGTGGAGAGCGGATGGCCAGCAAGATGATGCTGAAATTATTGAAGATGGCAAAGATACGGTTTCTGGGAAATGTAACCTAGGTATCCCGCCCAAATACCGTAGCAATAGAGCAGAGAGAATGGAGTGTTCAGATTGTATGTATGCCGTGGTATCATAGCGGTTTAGTTATTCCTTGGGCGAAATGACTCCGCAGAGAAGACTGGTTCAAGGCATATGTATTCGTGCAAGGTGGATACCCATCTAAGTTCAAATGTTGGGAGGTTTTCTACAGTCCAGCGCTGGCTGGCTGGGCACACCTCAATTGTATTGGCTGCTTCAATTGCCCTCCTTCTCTGGCCGCTTTACATCAGGATTTTGGTGTTTCTTAGGTCTACTATACACAAATAAGCACTCTGCCCACCAATATTCACAGTTGATAACTCGCATCGGCGACTAGCGACTCAAGCTCGGATACCTAAATCCAACCCAACACAGCCCATTATAGCTCTTGCGTCGCAATAAATGACGGTCCTCCACTTACGTGACTAGCAGAATCAAAATGTTTATTCACCACGGCTCACTGTCAAAGCAGAGGACTCCTACCTACCCTAGACTGCTGTTGTGCAAGCTCTACAAGCATCTCATACGGCGTATCATCGTCCAGGACCGTCTCCTCGATCTCGTCATGGTCCGGACCCTCGGAATGAGCCCCCCCCGTAATGGAGCGAAGTCTCCTAACGGCCATGCTGCTTCCAAGGTCAGGATTGTAAATTCTGACGAAAGCGGGATAAGTACCTAGAGCATGAAACTTGGAACATCTGAAGTTGAGACGATTTAGTTGGGGTGAGATTTGACAGACCGAGGGGTAAAGCGAGTGGGACTCGGAGTATCCCTCCACTTCTTTGTACTCCATGTTGCCGGTAGGTACTAACTACCTATATGGAAGCAGTCCGTCTTAGTTGTACATCCAGCCAGCATAGAGTAAATTAGAAGATTCTATCCTCATAGGTATTTGATTATCTGGCGGTTTGAACTTTGAGTTTGGAGGTTGGAGGTTGGAACCAGGCCGACTGCACTGTCGTCATCCATCAATGATCAATCGCAGCATGTAGCAGCCTACAATCTTCAGGCCAGTTCCCGTCTCTCCCTGCTCGAAGGTTAAGCCGAATCGTGTATAATTCTGGAATTCTGTAGACGGCCTGAGACACTTAATCATTGATTGCATGCGACCCAGCTAGATCAAAGCAATATACACAAACTCCGTTTCCATGCCCACTGTCCACTGTTCAACTCAACTTTCGTCAAGCAGCCCGATGTGGCTTCCTCGGCCCTCCACCCTGGCCTGTTCCAGCGATACAAGTAGATTAGAGCGCACAAAGGAAATAACACTAGGAAAAAGTAAATTCCGCTCCCTACTCCGCCTCACCCCCTGCCTCTCCGTCAGGAGATACCATGAAGGAGGGTGTGGAGAGGGAACAGCGGCAGGAACAGCGGGAGGAACAGCGGGAGTGATCTCGGTTGCTACTTTCGGATTATTTTTTCGGGCTGACAGAAACTCGAGTGATATGCTATGGATGAATGGTATGACGCGTTCGTAACTCTTCGAGTTGATGTTCCTGAAGCCTCCCTGACCGAAACCCCCAGGGTATTATTAGAGCGCTCGAGTGCAAAAGGCTCCGGGTAATTGCTTTGATAGGTGCTATCGAGGGATTGATCGACAGAGTCAAACCTCAAATTTTACTCGACGGCTTTGAATCTTCCGAGATATGTACAAAGACCCCGAGGCACAAACTGCAACAATCGGTCAGATTGTCTAGTGGTATCGGCAAGTGGATCCTGGGCTCTCTCGTCCTGAAGATTCCTTCTGAGTGTAGGCATCTTGGAGAGAGATTCCGGGCCATAAATCCATATCAAACTGCCTTCCTTCGAATGGGTTGATCAGCAGATATTCCCGACCCTTCCGTTGATAGTAGGCTTACTTGTGGAGAAGGTTAGATCTTTCCATGCCGGTCTACCTATTGCACATAGGGAGTCTCAAGGGGAAGCGGAAGGGAAATATAAACCCCACCCCCACCCGCCTTACAGCCCTCTCTTCCTCCTTACACCTCTCAGAAGTCCACATTCTACAACACACATCCTACAATCCTACTCCCATCGCCCAGCATGAGATATTACACGAATGCGGAATTCCTCCTTGTGTACCTCTTCTCTCTCATGAAGGTCCTTACCCCCAAATCTCCTCCTATCGACTACCTATGATAACTCGTCCAGATTGAATTCTCCCTCTCCTCCCTCCCCACCTCCCTTGCCGGTAGCGAAGATTTGGTACCGCTCGTGGAATTCGCGCTCGCCTACGTGGGCTCGGATAGGCCAACGGTGGACTGGAGGTTTATTGCTGCGGGTATGCACTGTTCGAATAATGCAGCGTGAGTTTCCCTGTGAAGATGAGGTAGATGGGGATGCTAATAGCGAATGTGAATAGGTGTAAGAGATTGAAAAGGATGTTGGATAGAGGAGCGCTGTTAGTGAAGGAGGAGGGTAAAAAGGGAAAGAAGGGAGCGGCCAAGCTCGACACGCTGTCATCGAAGAAGAAGGAGAAGGTGACGAAGGTGAAGGGGCCGGGTCCAAAGAGTAAGAAGAGGAAGATTCAGTCTCTGGAGAGCTCGGACTCGGACTCGGACAGTGAGAAAGAGGGAGAGAAGGCTGTGAGATGGATTAAGAAGAAGGGTAGAACTGCGGTTGAGGAAGAGGAAGAGGAAGAGGAAGAGGAAGAGGAAGAGGAAGAGGAAGAGGAAGAGGAAGAGGAAGAGGAAGATGAAGATGAGGGGGAGGTTGCGATGCGGATTAAGAAGAAGGGTAGAACTGCGGTTGAGGAAGAGGAAGAGGAAGAGCCCGAGGAAGATCCCGAGGAAGAGGAAGAGGAAGAGGAAGAGGAAGAGCCCGAGGAAGAGGAAGAGGATGAGTATTAGGATGAGTATAAGGAGAAGGATGGTGAGGAGAAGGATATCTTCGACGATTAGGTCCGGTCCTTGGGATGCTTTCCGAGGCGTGAGATTGGTTGGCTCCTCGATATTCTGGACTTCATCGGGGTTGGTTAGTTATTGCCTGTACGTTACAGTTAATTACTTACTTACTTAAATATCCTTATTGTTAAACACATGGTTATCTTCATGGGCCATATCTCTTCGGGAATCGTGACGAAAGTTGAAGTTGAGGTTGAATCGAGCTTCGCATGTAACTTACGTACCTAGCATGCCCGTCCAGCCGTGCACTGCACCCACTCCCATCCACGCAGTGTAATCTACCTACTTAGCTGCATGCTCACCTGAACCAAAGAAGTCTGCAGATATTGGCTGCGGGGCAGCTTGTGCATCGTCTAGTTAGAGTCGAACTACGACAACCCCGCTTCCCTCTCTGCTTGGTGGTTATTTCTAGGAGGACAAACAAGGAATGCTGAGCTGAGGGGTTTCGGGATTTCTGAGAGCAAATCGATGGCGATGATGCGATGGATCGATATCATTCTTCTTTCCTGGGTGGAGGATGTGATCGGGATGTTCGTATTTCGATGTGGGGAACACAAACTGTGGAGGCCGTCAGTACTAGGTATACCGTACTGTGCTCGTACTCCGTGGACGGACGAAACTGTTCCCAGCCAGCCGGGATCGCAACCTGCCCAAACACCCCCCATCCCATTCAGCCCACTAACCGCTCCGGATAACTACCCTAACTATCATCACCACTGTCATCGTTCACAACAGCGACGGAGCCCCCCTTCTTCGCACCAACCATAGAAAGCACTCTATTACTCCACCAACCCTCCAACCCTCCACCATACGGAGCTTTGACCAGCCATACACACTGTCATTGTTGTTTACCGTCGTTTCGGCAACGAGCGTGCAAAGACACTCACCTCAGCCCTTCTGAACGCCGGATCGGACGGACTCCATCCATACCTACTATTCCCCCGATAACTGCCTCCCTCGATCGACCGGGCGCGCTCAGAACCTCCACTATCACCACCCATCATGAGTGACACACGAGGGGAGACCTTAACGGAGGCCGGTACGAACTAATCCAGACCCTCCTTCACTCCCTCCCGCGAAGCTAACGTGTTGAACTCTGTCGTCATTTAGGAGGCCACCACAACATCGTCCTAACGCCTGACGAGAAGAAAGTCTTCGGGCAACTGTTCCAAGCAGCCGATAACGAGAACCTCGGTGTCGTCACGGGAGAACTCGCGGTTAAGTTCTTTGAGAAGTCTGGACTGGGTCCGCGCATTCTGGGAGAGGTAAGATGCGCGTTCGTGAGCTATGAGGGTCGCGACTGACACGTCCTCCGTGTGTAGATCTGGGGAATCGCGGATACAGAGAACCGAGGACTGCTCACGAAGGTCGGCTTCAGCGTCGCGCTGCGATTGATTGGGCAGGCCCAGAATGGACAGCACCCTCGGCCTGAGTTGGCTCAGCAACGTATTTACACTAGAGTTCTGCTTGCTTCATAAAGGGATATTGATTATGGTGTAGCTGGCCCATTACCGCATTTCGAGGGCGTCACAGTCGTCTACCCGTCGCTCCCTACCGCATCCCCTCCTCCTCCTGCTCCGGCGCCCGTCATTCCGCCTCCGCCTCCTGGTCCTCCACCCGGTGGCATGATTCGCGTGCCGAATCTAATGCCCCAGGATGTGGATAAGTTTACGATACTGTTCGAGAAGTCTGGGGCGGTTGATGGGCTCCTGCAGGGTACGTACGTCATGTCAGATATGGAGTGCTTTGGGTATTGATCTTTGGTAGGCAACATTGCTCGCGACATCTTCCAGCGCTCGAGACTGCCAACCCCGACACTCATTCAGATCTGGAACCTTGCCGACCAGAAGGGCCGCGGAGCGCTAGGCTGTGCTGAGTTCGTTGTGGCGATGCATCTCATCACTTGTTGCAAGAGCGGCCAACTGCCTGCTCTCCCGCAGATCCTCCCCCCGGGCCTGTATGACGCGGCCGCCGGCCGACCTCCGACACGCAGCGGCCCGGATCGAAGAGCTCCCGGCCGGGCGATGCCTCCTATTCCGCCGATTCCGAAGCAGTTCAGTGGTCCCCAGGCCCAGCGCGCACAGTCGCCTCTGTCTCGTAACTTCACGCCGCCTGTTCCTCAGAACGCAAATGCTATTCAGCGCGATCTTACGGGAGGTGGAGTGGCAGGCGGGGCTTGGGCTGTTACACCGGCAGATAAGCAACGGTTCGATGCGGTGTTCTTGACTGTCGACAAGGCTGGCAGGGGAGTCATCACTGGTGATGAGGCTGTGCCCTTCTTCAGCAACTCCAACCTCCCCGAAGATGTTCTCGCCCAAATTTGGGATCTGGCCGATATCCACAAGGCGGGCCAGCTCAACCGTGACGAGTTCGCGATTGCCATGTACCTTATTGTACAGCAGCGAAGTAATCCGGGAATGCCACTCCCGGAGACTCTGCCTCTCAACCTGATCCCCCCCCATGTGCGTCAGCAGCGTCAATTGACAGGCCCAGGTAATACTCCATTCATTGGCTCCGTAGCTCTGCTGACACGCGTCTCGTAGCTGGCCCCGTGGTGCAGCCACCAAGCCCCTTTGACCCGCCTCTGCCGCAGCAACCCCCTCCACCGAAGTCGGCGGCAGACGATCTTTTCGGATTGGACCACTTTACTTCGGGCGGTGCACAGTCGCAAGCCGGCCCTGGACCCACTCCCTCTGCCGGTCCGTTCGACAATGATACCTGGGGAGCATCCACGGCCCAGGACGTGTCACCGCCGATTTCCGGAGCTCATTCGCCAGTTCCTAACCAACTTCCCAGCTTCCTTAGCAGGCCAACACCTACGTTTGTGCCGCAATCGAGCTTTGGACAGTCTATCCTGCCATCCAATACTGGTGGATCCAACCACTCTGCTGCGAGCCGAGGGTTCTCTCAGCAACAGAAGGGTCCAGATATGGATGACTTGCTGGGTGATGCTGATCCGGAAGTGGGCAGAAAAGTAACCAACGAAACCATGGAGCTGGCCAATCTTTCCAACCAAATTGGCAGTCTGACCAGGCAGACGCAAGAGCTGAATATCAAACGTGTTTCTGCAGAGTCCGATCTATCGTCACTTACCACGCAGAAGCAGAACATTGAAGCCCAGTTGGCGCAGCTTCGTGCCGCTTATGAGAAGGAGGCTGCCCAGGTCATGCAAGTGGAGGAGCAGCTTGCGATTTCCCGACGAGATACCGCTACGGCGACCCAGGATTACCACAAGATGGATGCAGAGCTCACCCAGTTGCAGTACAAAAAGCAGGAGCTTTTGTCTCAGCTGGAAGGGGACAGGAGGGAGAACGAGAACCTTAAGGAGAGGATGAACTCTGTCAACACGGAAACTCGGTCGCTAAAGGAGGAACTCGAGCGATTGCAATTGCAGGCGCGCCGGGAGAGGGGCTTGGTGGCTATCAACCGCAAGCAGGTGGAGAAGAGTGAGCAGGAACGTGACAAGCTCAAGAGTGGAATCGAAGAGGCACAGAGACCCCGTGCTGCCAGTCCGCCGCCTCCAGGTAGCCCTACCCTCTCCACAGGAAGCATCGGTGGCAGCCACAACCCCTTCCATGCTGCGGCCCGTAAGTCGCCTCCGCCTATCTCGGAGAGTGGATTCTCGGCTTCGCCATTTGCTCCTCCCAGACACTCGATGGATGATGTGTTTGGACCCGCGTTTTCCTCCACACCGCCACCCGGCCACGGCTTCCCAAGGCCTCCAGCTGATTCCAGCACCTACACTCTTTCCGGAACTGAGAGTGCCCATGGGGGCAGGTCGACGCCTACTACCTCGGCACCTCCATCGTCCTACCACGGTTCGCCGCCGCCGTCCGAGGCTCCCTCGCTCGCTGTCGGATCGCAGATGACATCCTCTTTCCTACCCCTGCCTATTAACCGTGCAGATTCCACGACGTCATCCGTGGCGGTTAATGCTTCTGCCAGTATTCGGGACACCGACTTCTCTCGTCCTGACACTCCTACCGGCGTGTTTGGACCCACCGCTAGTGTCGAAACCCCTGGACGGACCGCGCGGGAAGACAGGAGTGGCAGTTTCAGCGTGAAGAGTGATGCTGGTACCGAAGCATCGGGACGGCCCGCTTTCTCGCCTTTCGATCGTCGCAATGACTCTCCATTCGCCGGCGTTGAGCGGAACATCACTGGAACGACATCAGGTGGTGACGAGAACAAGCCCAGATTGGAGAAGATGGATTCGTTCAGCTTTAACAGCAACGTCCCTGGAGCATTCCCTATGGGAGAGAGCAGCACACCCATCAAGGCCACGCCGACTGGTGAAAGCACGATGAGCAACTTGAGCAGAGGCAGTAATTTCAGTCGCGCCGCTGCTTTCGGTGGCGATCCATTCAGCATCGGTAAGAATGAGGCTGCGAGCGCATCCAGCAAGGATTTCGATGAGGCGTTCAACAAGTTTACGGCAGTGGAGCATCATACCGGTGGCTCTGGAAGCGTTAGTGCCTCCAAGTTTCATGACGAGTTCCCTCCTATCAAAGAAGTGCGGCCGGATAGCGATAGTGACAGTGATGTTGGCTTTGATGACAACTTCACCACAGCCAGCCCTCAGGCAAAGTTGGAATCGGCCACTCCTACTAATGCCAACCAGGGTTTGAACTTTGATCCCGCTGCCACAGATGCCACCTCAGGCGCACCGCCGTCTGCCTCGGCCCAGCAATCGCCTCCAGCATACAGCGGTGAGAAGCCATACGAATTTGGCGGTCTCCTCCCATCTCGCACCGACCCTATGAAGCACGATGCACCCACACCTGGCGGCAGCACTAACGCCGTCGTCTTCCCTTCTACTCCTACGGCAGCTAAGGACGAGTTCGACGATGATGCGTTTGGCGATCTCGCCGAGGCTAAAGAGGCAGACGAGAAGAGTGCAGACATTGATTTCGTTAATCCCTCTGGCTTTGGTGGCGACTTTAACTTCGGCGAGCCCAGCGCGGAGAACACGGCGGACGATGGCTTTGAATTCAACTACAACACCGACGGCACTCAGCAGCAAGGTCAGGCTCAAGGCGACGCGAACAAACAACCAGCGGCCAGTCCTCAAGACTGGGACGCCATCTTCGCCAACTGTGTCGTGCCCTCGTCGTCGGCCCAGCAACAGCCATTGAAGGAGAATGTTGTGCCCGTGGCAACAGCAGATCAGAGTGGTACGGACCCCGGTGAGGGCGGTGTTTCTCTATCTTTCTCCTCCTCTGATCGTCCTCCTACCACGACGACTACCATTTCGGAAGGTGAAGATGATGGGAAAGTTGAGAAGTTGACCGGAATGGGCTTTGACAGAGAGAGTTCGGTGAAAGCGCTTGAGAAGAATGGATGGGATATTGACCGAGTGAGTTATTCCGCCTCCTCCTAGTGTATACTTGTGGCAGTTTTGACGAGGGACGGGTGTGTAGGCTATCAATTCCCTCATCAACGAAGCATAGCCTGAGCAGGAGGTATTGTTAGGTCGATCGTTTTTCTTACTTTCTTGTTGCTGTTGTTGGTATTACGGTTTTGGATATGCACTTTTTTCCAATACATTTTTTCTTTTGTAAAACACACCCTCCCAGAACACCCCCATTTGGACAATTTTCATATCTCGTATCTCGTATCTCGTTTTTTCTCCGTCTGCCTGTCGATCTGGGCTTGTTGTTTCCTTTGTATTTGCGAAGGGGTCTAATATTGTATGGTGGCTCTCTAATCCTCTGCTGTTGTCAACTGATTTCTTATGTTTTTTTTGCGATGTGCTTGATTTGATCTGTTTCTGTTACTCTATTCTGCGATTGTCGAGATTGAATACCTTCGTTCGCCTTTTTTCGTAATCGTACTCGTACATATGATGCATCCTGTAGTTGGATAATGATTTGATAGCCTACTATAGAGGACTAGGACCATCTACTAGGTAGTGTGAGGTGTGAGGTGTAATGTAGGGATGTAAATTACCTACCCTTCGAGTTCATCGGGTCGACCATCGAGGCCATGACGGCCCGTTAGTACACACAGCACACAGCACACAGCACACAGCACACAGCACACAGCACACAGAACAGCCGTCGTCCGGGAGAGAGTTGCGCGGCTACTACTTCGATGGCCATATCCTTCAATTACCTAGCTCATAAATACGAGGACTATGGTTTTGCGCGGTTGTAGTTTAATATGGCTATCCCGTGGCTCATGGCCGAGTGCTGGCGAGTGCAATCCGGAGAGAGGAAAAGGAAGCTGCTGCGTTGATGGTAATTGTTCCGATCATGGAAATGGAAGTATGACCTGTGAGAGCAAGTAAATGAGGTAAAGAGTAGAACAAAGTCAATACACCACGTACAATAGTACATACATGACACCTCGTAGGTAAAGGTGTATCATCCAGAATCATCAAGTAGTTTACTTAGATACAGAGAGCAAAGTAAAGGCGAGCAAAAATGGTATGCCACCGCAAAGAATAAAAAAATCAAGTAAAGTATGCCAGTACAACAATAAGGAGTAATACGTGCAAATCAAAGACCACCACCGACGCCAAAACCCCAAAGCGAAGAATACCATCAAATGCAACCCTCTCCCTAGAACTTCCTCACAAACCGTCCCTTCGAACCCTTCATCACCTCCCTATTCCGCTGCTCCACACGCTCGCGATCCAGCTTATCCGCCTCCTCATTCCTCTTCTTGAGCGCCTGAGTATCCGGCATGTCACTATCCCAGAAGCCCGGGGGCGTATTGCGTCTGGGGAACGCCTCACGGTGGCGGCCATAGAGATCTAGGAACTCCTTCTCGCCGACGGCATCGGTATTTTCGGCGGGCTGCTCGGGGCTGCTGCTGCGCCAGCGGGGACCCGCCTTTGTGAGCAGCGGCATACCGGCGGCTTCGACGAATTTGCCGACTTCCTTGCAGCAGGTGCGCGTGCAGCCTGGGAGACACTTGCGTGCTTCGCGGTTGCGGACGACTTCGTGGTACGCATAGTCGATGCCGTCGTTCATGGCCGGGTTGATGGCGAAGTCGGCCGCGGTGGCGGGCTGCTTCCGGATGTTCTTGCTGGGGAGAGGGTCCGTGGCGGCGTCCCGCTTCTTGAGAGTGGGATTGTTGGGCGTGGTCAACATGTCCTTTCCTTCCGCTCTCAGTTTGGGGCGCCTGTTCTGGGGAGCACTGCGCGTGTTGATCGCTTCCTTACTAAGGGCGGAGAGGCTGACGGATTTGGGGGGCGGTGTAAAGAGGATGTCATCGAGGCGGACTGCGGTTTGGACGCTGGGGGTATCTCCACCGAGACCCACGGGCTTTTTTCCGTCGGCACCATCTTCTAAAACGGGGACATGAGCACCCTTGCGTGAGCGCAAAGCTCGTTTGGTAGCCTTGATGGGAGTGCGGAAAGCGGAAGCCGAGGTGGAGATGGGACCGAGACGGCCGGAAGGAGAGTCTGTTTTCTGAACTGGGATGGACACTGGCTTCTGCACTCTGGGACGCGGTGGAGGAGGCAATAATGTATCCGCTTCAGCGATCATGTTGGGTCGAATTTTGTGAGGTAAAGAGACGTCATTTTCATCACCATCGTGAGTCTCATCGCCGTTTCCGCTTCCCTCACCTTTGATGGCCTGTTTGATGATATCCGCCTTCCGCCTCTTCCTCGGCGTGATCTGCTGTTCTTGGGGCGCGAGATGTCCGACATCGTCCAGGTCCAAACTCTCCTGATCGAACAGGTGATAGCCGGGGTCGTCCTGGCTTGACAGAGGTTCACTCTTGATCACCACGGGTTTGGCCCAGCTCGCTCCCTCCTTGTTTGCTGGTACTGGCGTCTTGAAATGGGTTGGAGGGTGCATCTGTTGATCGACAATGGGTATCTTCGCTCTCGGAGTGATCTCACCTTCGTCACCGGTGTCACTCGACGTAAGGTCACTGGTTGGGTGGTCTGGATCAGTGTTCCTGTCCGGGTTGCCGGCCGGCTTCTGAGTTGACTGCGGCAATTGGGGTTGATCTTGTTCCTGAGTTTCAGGAATTGCATATGATGAAGCATCTGAATGGATTGCTTCCTCATTTGGAATATTCCTTTCGGGTTCGCCGACATCATTGGGCCCAAACTGAAAATTGACCTTCCTAGATGGCTGAAGGTTCGAGAATAGTCTGCCCGTTCTGACCAGCTCAACTGAGAGCTCGTTAGGGTTGGCAAGCGAACTACCGGGCGAGGACGCCGGAGGTCTCGGCGGCGAGCTCGTCGGGCCGGGAGTCATCAAAACGTTTTCAACTTCAGTGTTCAGTTTCCTCTCCGCCCTCGCAACCTCTTTCTTCCTGTAATTCTCAAGCCACACCTTCCATCTTGCCTTGTCCTGGTGATACTTTTCGTTGAGGATATCGTAAGCATTCTTATAACTCTTCAAGCTCCTGATCAAATCCATCTCCTTCTTCAAATTGGTGTTTTCTTGCTTCAAATCCCCGTACATCCCCATCTGCTCGTCGTGATCCTGCACCAGCTCGTGATATTTGGCAAGCAGTTCGGCGTATGCCTCGGGGTAGTCAAAGCCTAGAGGTAATGGTGGATGCCCATGGTTCGTCTGTGTACCCGAATCAATGTGTGGTACCGGGTCCATTGAAATGGCAGGCCGAAGTCGTGCGATACCGGCAGGCGAGCCAGCAGGTGGCGTCACATCTTTCGCCAGTGTCTTCAAAGGCCTCACAGGTTTACCATCCTCGTCGTTGTCGTTCGTCGATTGGACACTGCATCCCTCGCATCAACACAGCACCACCACCTTCAATTGATACAACTTACGTCCGCTTCAACCTCTCCTCTTCCGCCGAGGTCAACGCAACAACTTGATTCCTAGCATCCTGTAGCTGCTGCTTGAGCTGTGCAATCTCGAGGTCTTGCTCGCCAACCTGTATCGCCGTAGTGAGTTCATCCCTGGAAAGCTGTTCCCTGAGCTGTAGGATCTTCGTCTCCCGTTCTTCGATGACGAGTGCGAACTTTGCCGTCATCTCCTCGCTGTTCTTGATTGCTTCCTCTAGGCCCTTGAAGTGCTCGTACGCCCAGTCATTAAGGGAATTGCGACTGCGTCGCATGAACTCGTCCATTTCTGCTGCTGCTAGGGAGCTCGGAGATGGATGTCGTGACTATCAGTGGCGGCACCCGTGCATACGTCGTCGCTGGAAAGTCTGTAACCGGTATTCGAGCAAGAGCAGTGGTATGATAGAACGAGTGAGGTGTTTGCAACCGAGTTCGTCCGGAGGTGTTCGCGAAGGAGGATGCCTCTCACTCGAGCTTGGAATCGATGAATACGCGACCACAGAATCGTACTTGAGCAAGGTTACCAGTATTAACCATACCGTATCGTTGCGCGATTCGCACACGATCTTATCGGGCGTAGGTTTATCGCGATCATCTTATCTTATCAGCAATCGCTAGGTGACTAATACCGATAATCACTGGTAACATATCACATCATACCCAGTGCCCAAGCCGATCCCACCTCGGTCTTCCATCCGTTCTGGTCCTGTGCGAGACAAAAGTTTGGCGTAGTGTGTGTAACCCTAACCTTCCGCCCATCACAGATTGCCTGGGGGGAGAGCTGCTTTGCCAGCTCATCGTGCAGATGGATACAGCACTCTACAGGTATACACAAGAACAAGACGAGAGGAGATCCAGCAGCCATCGGCATCCCACCGCCCCCCCCCACAACTCCTCCACATCTCCGCATTCCCGCCAATTGGCCAGCTCCAGTCCAGTCCAACCACACATATATACCTCTCGACATGCCCTGCACCAAGAAAGTGAAGCGGCAACGCTCACGCTCCACGGATCCCGACCCAGCTCCAAAACGCCACAGGCCCAACCGTGCAACTCCGATACTGCGGCTGAGCGACGAACTCTTCCTCCGTATCGCCTCGCACCTGCCCACGCGCGACCTTGCAGCCCTTCAACTCGTGTCACATCGGTGCTCCAGAATCGCAGTCGACGGCCAGATCTGGAAGGCGCTGTATTACCGTCGGTATGTGCGGCCAAGGGCATCCAGGATTCCAGGGCTGCTGAGGACACAACTGGGGGATTATTCGTCGCGGAGGTCAATATGGTTAGAGGAAGAGGGAATCGCTCGGGAGGTCGGAACGAACTGGAAAGCTCTGTACCGGTTGAAACATAATTGGGTCAGGGGAGCTTGTGGGGTCAGAGAGATTGATGGGGCTTGGGGTGTGGTGGACGGCGAGGAAGAACTACAGATGGAAAGTGGCTTGCTGGTCAGGCTGTTCGAGGTACGATGGCCTCGTGCGTTTTTTGTTGGCCTGCTATTGTCGTCGGCCATGACTTTGCATCCAAGGCAGACCGACGAGTTGTGCGCGTGTGTGTATGTGTGTGGTGCGCGTGCGTGTGTGGGTGTGTGAGAGCTTACGGTATCGCTCGGTAGGGGATTGTCTTCACGGCTTCACCATCACTCGGACTCCGTGCATGGAGATTGCACAGCACAGATGAGCTTATTGCGAGTACATCACTCTACTCCAATGCAGCTCCCTTTTCTGGCGTTGGGGCTCCGACGGCATTGGCGGTGGATGAGGCGAGCGGGGGCACGGCGGGCCGGGTGAATGTGGCGGTTGGCTTCAGCAAAGGTGCATTCGCGACGTATCAGCTGGACATGCTGCAGGAAGCTCCCATATTTCGAACCAGCCACGTTCGCCCCCCAGGAAATCGGACCAGCCGCGAGGCCCCGAATACGATGGTCACTGCAATGGCTTATCTGGGACCGTACTTGAGCACCATGGCGGGTCAGACGTGGGAAATTTACGATTTTTCCGATTCACTCGAAGGCGCAGCAAGCGGGGCAGATGAGCGCGGAGCGATTGATGTCCCGGACACCACAGGCAGCGGTGAGGGGGAGCCCAAAGCCGCCCACGTTGTGGTTTCAGTTGACGATGACGATCTTAGCGGCAGAAGCAGTTCGTCATCATCAGCAGCAGCAGCAGCAACATCATCAGCAGCATCATCATCAATCTCGCGCAATCTTCCTAGCTCGTCCGGAACGACAAAAAGCAACCGCATGATACACTCAATCACCCCGCAGCTTCACGCGCCCCCTCCAAAGCTCCTAGCCTCGCTCCAATCGTCGACCGCATGGCCTCCATCAACGCTATCGCTGCGTCGATCTGTCAACGGCACCCTCCTCGCCTCGGTGGTGTATGCAAGTCCGCTCTACACGGCTGGATGGTCAGTAGGCATGCAGGAGCTGCGCTTTTCGACCAGTCCCACCACCATCCTTGAAGAATCGCGGATTGCGACATCTGTCCCATCCGCGTTCACACCTGTCGGTGCTGCGAGTGGGACTCCTGGCAATTCTGGCAATTCTGGCAGCTCACCGGGGGGAGTTGGGACAGGACCCGCAAGGATGCTGTCGAGTCACGGCGGGTCACAGCACTACGATCCGCCGTTGGCGCAGCCTACCAGTGTGAGCTACAGTCATCCGTAGGCCACCCCTCCACCCCCCCTCCTTTCCGGTCCAATGCGTGCGCGATCGGCGGCGGCGCATGCCACCCTCGCTCCTCCTCCAAGTAGAGCAATCTACATAGAGTGAGTATATGGGCGCCGGCTGAGCTTACCCTTGGCTTCGAGAGGGGCGGTGAAGCATTCGTACACCCCCTCACCCCCCTCCTCCGCTCTCCATTCGCTCTCGCTAATCTTTCCCCATGATTCTGGAAAGATAACCTCGTACAACGATGGTTGCGCATGTTCCTCTCCCAGTTGCTTTACAGCTGACGAAACCTCGCCCCACACCTAGCTACCTCGTCACTTCGCACGCCGACAACACGCTTACACTCCACCTAGTGCGCTCGACGTCCTCCGCACTCATCATCGACGCAGGCCAGCGACTGTACGGTCACACGGCGGCAGTATCGGATGTCCTCGTCGACAGCAGGGGAAAGGCCGTATCCGTTGACCGTGCCGGAAGGGAGATGCGGGTGTGGGAGCTCGAGGGGGGTGTCAGCGAGCGCCGGAGGGACGCCGCCAGTGTTCGCGTCGAACCGGTGCATGACGTCGTCTTCCACCACCGTGCTGATGCAGATGACACGGCCCGCGGAAGGCTGGGCGGCTTCGATGAGGAGAAGGTGGTCGTGTTCAAGGAAGACGCACGATTGTTAGTTTACGATTTTTCGAGATGATACCTCCCTACCTACCTCTTCTCTCTCTCTCCTGCCCTGTCTTGTCTTGTCTTTGCTTTTCATTCCTGTCATGTTTGGGAAGGGGGGAGGAAGGGGGGAGGGGGAGGGGGAGGGGGGGCAAACGCGGAGGATGTGTGCTGTGTGGAGAAATGTCTTGCATACTACCTACATACACACGCACACGCGGAATACTGGCTGACCCGTAGGTTTTCCGACTCTTCCGGCCTACTACCAACGGCACAAAAAAAAAGAAAAATTTCAGTGTCTGGTCTGATCTGATATATGGTGGGAGGGAGGGCTGGGCGATGCTTGCCTTGCCTTGCTTGCCTTGCTTGCTTGCTTAATTTTTTAGAGGGATACAGTGCAGTATCTACAGTACAGTACTCTACATTTACTCTACTTTACTACTACTACATACCGTACACACATACGATGCGTGGGACCGATTGTGCTCACTCACATCTTTGATCGCCAGCCTCCATTATGGCGAGGGTGAAATCGAGCTACTCTTTGAAGTCTGAAGTGCGGAGTGGAGTGGTTACCAGCATATAGCGCCGACGATCAATGAAGCAGGAGAGGGAGGGGGAGGGGGAGGGGGAGGATGCGAATATAACCGCGAGCCGTGAGTCCGGCAAGCGCGTGTATCCGTTCATGTGGAGCGGCGGCGATCATGGCTGCCTTGTGGAAGGTACGAGGGCTTGGGCTTGACGGCTTGAGGGCAGTGCTCACCCAGATCGTGGCGTGCGGTCGGGAGGGGAGAGAATGGGCGGATTGCTGAGGCTGAGAGGCTGCGGCTTCATTGACGACTGGTGTTGAGTGTTCTGCACCTTGGGATACCGTAGTTGTGATACCGTAGTTGGGATACCGTAGTTGGGATACCGTCGTTGGGATTCCGTAGTTGGGATACTTACCGTAGGTACACAAGTAGCTGTAGCTGTAGCTGTCCAGTCCACTCACCCGGTTCTCCCGGTTCTCCCAGGTAGAAAAGTGAAAGTGTGAATGTTCCAAGTATGTCAGAATGTATGTAGGAGGTCCCGACTCCCACGTCCAGCAAATGCGTACAACCGGGAGGGCGGCGGGGGGGGGGGGGGGGGTGAAGAATGCTCAGCCTTGTGATCATGAGCATGAGCATGAGCATGAACCTTCCTTGGCCAGGCTTGGCTAGCTGCGAGGCCTTGGGGATCAGCATTCGAAACGCAGCCGATGATGACTCCCACCGCAGAGCAGAGCGGGTTCACCGACTCTCACAGGTACTCGTACACAGTGGCAGGTATGTGTAGTACATACGAGACAGGAATATGCGTCCTCGATGCATAGCATACGATCGCCAGCACCGCTGGACAAAGCCGAGCGGTAACGTTATCAAGTAGCAATCCTTTCTTCTTCTTCTGCTCCTGCTGCTGCTCCTGCTCGACCTCACTGCATATCGTATTGCATCACAGCTGGGAGCTGCGGAGCTGGTGAGCTCCCTACGAGATGTTCGATCCCCACCACCAGCAGCACCACCACCACCACCACCACCGTCATCACCACCACCGTCACCACCACAACCACCGTCCGATCCCCATGGCTATCGTCCGCATAGACACATCCTCCGCATCGTCCGCATAGACACATCCTCCGCATCGTCCGCATCGTCAGCCGTGCGAGAGAGAGCTCAGAGAGAGCTCAAAAAAGTACTCTACATATGTGTCCTCACCTGGAGCGCAAACACCATCACCTTACATAGGACAAAGGTAGCAGCGATCGATCGAGCCTCTCTCTCGCACTCCCACACTCTCGCGCCGTCCCACACTCCCAGTCTTGCACACTCACACCGTCCCCCCAGACATGCACGTTGATCATCTGTGCTGTGCTCCTCCTGCTCCCATGGCTCAATGCTGCAGCGCTGCGCTGCGTAGAGGGCGGTAGAGGACGGTAGGCTACATACAGAGTACATGTAGGATCCACGTGTCGAGGCGAGGCTGCCTGCCTACCTGCTTGCCCGCCGGTCGGGTTGTCTGCTCGGTTGTCTGCAGTGCTCTCTCCCGTCCCCCTCACCTCCCTCCGCCCCTCCCTGCCTCCTTCTCTCGCTTCGACTGAGCCCTCTCGACCCTCGACCCTCAGCCCTCAAAGTGGACGATGGTGGAGAAGGGAGGGCCCGAAGGAGAATCGAATGTAAAAATAGCCAAGCTGGCTCCCTACGAGCTCCATGTAGAGTCCAGAGGGCCGCAGACACCTACATAGGGTACTGGAAAAAACAAAACAAAAGCAGCGAAAAATAAAGCAGCGAGGAAGCAAAAGCAAAGTAAAGTAAAAGCGAGGCAAAAGCAAAAGCAAAAGCAAAAGCAAAAGCAAAAGCAAAAGCAAAAGCAAAAGCAAAAGCAAAAGCAAAAGCAAAAGCGAGGCGAGGCAAACAATTGGAACAATCGCAACAACGGTATGGTACATAGTGGAGTTGGTAGTGGTGGTAGACTCTGGTGGTGGTGGACTCTGGAGGTGGTGGTGGACTCTGGATGTGGACTCTGGATGTGGACTCTGGATGTGGACTCTGGAGGTGGAGTCTGGAGTCTGGATGTGGTTGTGCAGGTGGTGGTTGTGCAGGTGGTGGTGTCGCAGACTCGCAGGTGTTTAACCGGCGGTAGATCCCGAGCGGCTCGCGAGATGTACAGTACATACAGTACATATCAGAGTACTCTACTATGATATGTAGAACGATATGATATGTAGAATGATATGATAGAGCAGAGCAGAGCAAGGTTGCGTTGGGATTGTTCTGCAGCTGGGCGATCATGGGGTACGGTACTCTACAGCACAGTTGAGTCTTGCATACCTACCGTAATCGTTCGATATTCGACAAGGCTGCGGATTCTGCGGAGGTTCGCATGGAGAGGCGAGAGGGGAGGAGTGTCAACTTTTCCAAGGCGCTTCCACGAGCATGTAAATACTTACATAAGAACCTATGCATACAAAACACGAAGGCTGAATTGTGCTCGTGAGGAAGATGGGGAGGAGGAGGAGGGGCTGGCGTGGTCGAATTACCTACTCGTGGTATAATACTTGCGGTGGATACTTGTGGAGATACCGTATGATACGTACCTCCTACCTACTCTACGTACAAACCGGTGATGATATCCGGCCGGGACGGCATTACCTATCACCTGTCGCGACTGGCGACTCGCAACTCGCCGTCATCATCGCTCTTTGCCTACCTATGACTTCTTACCTCATCTACCAGATACGCACTTATCTGCACTTGCGTAACTAACTGAGCCGTGCGTACTCTACATACAGACATACAGACACTCATCATTGTCGCTGTGACCTCTTCCCCTGCTGTCTGGCCGCTTTCAGTATTCGGTATTCACGCCTCCCCCCCCTTCCACTTCACTTCACTTCACTTCCCATCCTTTTCAGTGCAGTGCAGCACCTCAAGATCACTCCCATCTCGCAGCTGCCCGTCTGCCCGCCCACCCACCCAGTGCACCCACAGTCGCTCGACGTCGTGGAACAACCTGCATCTTGGGACCAGATGACTTCCCTGCTCGCTGTTCGCTGCTCGCTGTTGCCCTGGTCGGTCAGTGGTCGCTCGGTCGGGGTTGGTGGTCGGGGTCGGTGGTAGGTGGTAGGTTCATGCATGGCATGTGACGGCCACACGGATGTAGGAATTGAGCCGTGTAGAATATGTATGCATGTATCGACGTGACAGTGACGGTTTTGTTTCTTCTGGCAGGCTGGAGGGCTGGCTGGCTCGCTTATCTATCCATCGCTCTATCGCGATCACGAGAAACGGCTGGAGGAAACGGGGAGGGGAGGGGAGGGTAGACGAGGAGGGGGGTCATGGAATCTGGATGCGTGCGTGCGGTTCCTCGTGCTAGTACCGGTACGGTACGGTACGGTACGGTACGGTACGGTGCGTAACTACGGGAGATCTCTCGGCACCGTTTCGTTTCGGTTTGTTCTTCGTTCTTTCCTTCGTGCTTGCTTGCTTTGTTTGTTTCATTCTTTCTCCGTGTGTTTCGTGGGGGGAAGTTTCGTTTCATCGTAGCGGTGGCGTGGGCCAGGACGTTTCGAACTCTCGTCTACTCTATACCCTGCTCTGGTTTTGTAGGTAGGTGGTTTGTCTGTGGGAAGGTAGCCGGCTTCCCGCTCACGTGCCGATAGAGTAGAGTAGACCAAGCAATCCGGCTCCCTCGCTCACTCACGTGCCGATAAACCAAGGAATTTGATTCTGAACCCCCCGCTCACGTGCGATAAAAGAAGCAATCATAATTCCCCGCTCACGTGCGACAAAATAAGAAATCCCAATCCCTCGCTCCCCCCAACCAGCGAGCTCGTGCTCTGTCATGAGATCAAACACGTTGTGCGCGCAGTGGCAGTAGCAGTTGGGCCGGTTTTGAATCTCCAGTAGAGTCGAGTAGGGGAGGCGAGTTCACTTGATAGAGCATGGAGTTGGGAAAGCTTCTCTTGCGTTCGGAGCACACACAGCACAAACCATGGGCCATGGCCATGAGCGAGATGGCCAATGGGAATCCGGGGTAGCGGTATTCCTGCGATTGGGTTTGCCGGGTTGGATAAGTTGGATGGATAAAGTGGTGGTCTGTGTCTGTCTGTCTGACCGCCAGGCAGAAGAAGCTTTGATGGATCCGTGCATGCGGTGAGGGAGGGAGTGGGGAGGAGGGAAGGCTCGGTGCGACCGGCTGCGAATGATTGCCCAGTGATTGCCAGCTAGACGAACGCATAGAGCGACCGACGAGGGGAAGATGGATTGCTAGCCAGCCATACACGGCGAGGGAGGTACGTGAGGGCACGAAGGTATCGCGCACCTGCGCTGGGTTGCAAACGACAAAGTGATGCAACTACTCTGCTCTACTCAATCGGTTCCGTCATGATCATGCGGTGCATAAGTTCCTCCATGTAGAGTTCCGGTCCGCTGAGGGGGCGAGGGACGAGGACTGACGTGCGAGGCAGGTACAGTAGGGGGACCGTGGTTGGAGGTCTTTGAATTTCCGAAGGAGGGACGAACCACGCAGCGCGGGACAACTGCCATGTGCCGGCAGTGATCGAGTCGAGTCGAGTCGGGTCGAGTCGTAGGGTCGAGTCGAGTAGGGTCGAGTCGAGTAGGGTCGAGTAAATTGTCACTTCGCGAGGATCTCTGGCTGGTAGCAGCTGGCCGTTTGACGGGGCGAAGGGAAAACGCTTCCTTCCGGCTTGTCCGGTCCGGGTTCTTTGATCACCGTTACGAGACAAACCGCGGCAGCCCGTCTACCGGCAGCAGCCAGCAAGGCAGCATCATTTTCGCCGCCGCAGCTGCTCTTTTTTTTCGCCGCTTTCCTGCTGGCTGGCGATTGTGGTGTTGACTAAGCGCATGCAAGCCCTCGATTGGCAGCTACCAAGCACACGTGTTTCCCCTTCGAGCTCTAGCTGTGAAGATTCAGTTAGAGCAGAGCGAGTACGTACCGGACACCGTCACTTCTGACTGCTGGCTTTTGTTGTGTGTGCGAAGAGGGTTTGCCGCCTGGGCTCGACCAGAGAACGGACCGGGGTAAAAAAAGAAAGAAGAAAAAAAAAAAAAAGAACGAAGGAAAAAAAAAAGACCAGGGAGATTTGGAGGCAGCGGAAAAAAGGAAGAGACGAGAAAGAAAGAGAGAGAAGAAAGAAAGGCATGAAAAGTGCCCCCAGCGTCAAAGCACGAGACATACAAAAGTGGACGAAGTTCACTATTTTGATTTTTTCATCCGCGCTAGTCTGCTCATTCGCTCTCCACCAACGACCACCAACCCAACTTTCTCAATCACTACTTCCCCTCCCCCACCAACCTTCTTCCTTCCTCTCCCAACTCACACCACATCTACACTTCCCCTCCTCCTTTAAAAACACCGCCACCATTTTTTCTCTTCGGTTCCGTACGGTCTTACGCCTCAGCACCCTCTCGAAAACCTACGTACGCTCTTACAAACAAACATCTAGCGCAATGGATTTCCAGGGTGGAAACTACGGCGGAGGAGCAGCTGGAGGTCGTGCTTGCTACAACTGTATGTCTTTCATGAACCCCCCCTTCCCCAAAAGCGTTTCTGCTTGTCGTCAGTCAGGCAACACAATGCCGACCGGTCGGCTCGTGTAGCCGTCGGTCCGAGCCCGTCGTTGCTTGCTGTGTTGCCACTGCTGCGGCCTCCAGCCGTGATTTTGTTCGATTCCGCTGCGTGCCGGGAAAGGTCAAAAAAGGTCGGACGGTGTGTGTGAGTCTCATCTCACACCGCCCCGCACCCTCCCGCCTTTTCCGGTGTCGCTTGTCTTTTCATTTTGTGGTGGGGTGTGGAGCTGATTGTGACGGTGCAGGCGGCGAGTCTGGACATCAGGTTTGCAGAGGAAACTCACTGTCCAGCAGTATGATGGAAGCTAACTCATTCTTCCCCATCAGGCTCGTGAATGCCCCAAGCGTGGAACTCCCGTGTGGTATGTTTGCTCCTATTTTGATGTTGAAGCCGATGATGGCACCTACCCCGCCATGCAGGCGAGCTTGTTTTGTTTCACAGGAACGGTTTTTTCTGACATAAGATCCCTTGTGTAGCTACAACTGTGGTCGTATGTACCAGCATTTTTCTACCCCGCCCGATCGCTTGCACTCCACGCTCTTTGAAGCACGTCGCAATCGGAATTGATGAGAATGATTGACTAACCCTCGCTCTTTGGCGCATTCAGAGGACGGCCACATGAGTCGCGAGTGTACCGGTCCCCAGAAGGAAAAGACCTGCTACCGTTGCAACCAGCCTGGTACGCCCATTCCGATTCACCCTGCGGGGGATAGCGGCTTACTAACCATCCTTGATAGGTCACCTTTCGCGTGACTGCAACGACCCCAACGCCGTCCAGACTGGTGGTAATGGAGGTTACGGAGCCAGCGCAGGTGGTGCCGAGTGCTACAAGTGCGGAAAGGTTGGCCACATCGCTCGTCAGTGCCCCACCAACGGAGGTGGAGGTAGCTTCGGTGGCCAGGCCCAGGGTGGCAGTTTCGGAGGTGGTCGTCAGCAGACCTGTTATTCTTGCGGCGGCTACGGTACGCACTTTTCACAGCTCTCCCCCAACCCTTTACTAATCGATCCTCTTCAGGTCACTTGTCTCGCGACTGTACCCAGGGACAGAAGTGCTACAACTGCGGCCAGATCGGTCACTTGTCGCGCGAATGCCCTAGCGAGCAGGACCGTGTCTGCTACAAGTGAGTTTCCTCCACTGACCGACCGTCCGCATTCTAACAATTTTGCAGGTGCAAGCAGCCCGGTCACGTGATGGCCGCCTGCCCTGAGGGCCAGAACGCCTAGACGGTCAACAAGGTGTGCAGTGCCAGTTGCAATGTTTGATTCCAGCAAGTCTGTTTCCTTTCGGGTGGGAGATTTCTTTTGTTTCTCAGCAACTACTGTTTCCTTTTTCAATGCAAACACAACGGGAGGGGACGATTGGGACACATGGCATTCTGGAAAAGTTACATTTCTACGGGTTTTTTTCATTTCTGCATGGCATTTTTGTCTTCCTTCGGCATTCTAGTTCTGTGACCCTTTCTTCCTTGTACGGGAATCAGGAAGAAAGGAATTGCTATGCAAGTTTCGGGTCATTGATGCCAAACATCATTGTGTGCGTGTCCGATGTGATTCAAGGTTATGTCCGGTTCATGTTGCGCACAACTGAGGAGTGCAGTTGAAGTGAATGTACCTGGGCTGCGACGAAGGCCCTAATGCAGAGAAGAGAGGCTGCACCTCGCGGCCTGCATCTCGTGAGCTGCGACCACGAACGAAAAGAATTGAGCTCTACCTCGTGAGGCGTGAGCCTTATGTGCAGCCCGCCACAAATCACGAGTCACGAGTCAAGGGTCGTGAATGGGCGAGCAGTGAGCACAGAGCAAGGAAACGGATTCGGAAGAGGCCCTGGGGAACGGTGCAGATCATGTATCTAGGCATAGTATGTAGGCGGTATGTAGGCAGAGAAGAACCCCAGCGGAAAGTTTCCCCACACTGTTTCCCCACACCGTTTTTACACCGTTTCCATACCGTTTCCCTCACGCCGTTTCCCCACGCCGTTTCCACACACCATTTCCTCGCCGTTTCCATACTAAGGAGTTCCGTACTGTGTTGGTGTTTTCTTCGTTCGTTTCTTATGCGTTAGTTTTTCTTCGGTCGTTTTTTATGCGTTCGTTTTCTATTCGTTGGGTTTTTATGCGTTTGGGTTTTATGCGTTCGGGTTTTATGCGTTGGGGTTTTATGCGTTCGTTTCTTATGCGTTCGTTATTCATTCGTTGGTTTTTCTGGTTGGTTTTGTTTTTTGCTTGCCTTTTGCTTGCCTATCCTGGCCTTGCCTCTTGTTGCCCATCCTGTCCTGGCCTGGCCTGTCCTGTTCTGTCCTGGTCTTGCTTGTTCTGGTCTTGCCTTTTCCCTTGCTTGTCTGAAGAGCTGTAGGACAGTAGCAAGTGAGGACGTAGGAAGTGAGGACAGTAGGAAGTGTCGACTCTCGAGCCAGAGCACGAGCCAGAGCACGAGCGTGGTTACGCTCTACTAGAGTAGAGTAGAGTAGGAGTCTCGACTCTTGCCCCGCACTGCACTACTTCCCACCTCCCATCTCCCCTCCCCCTCCACGCTGACTACAGACAGCGAATTGGCGAATTGGCTACGGACGGCGACTTGCGACTCACGAGTAGGATCTGGTTACTAGTATTGGGATTGGCATCTTGAACGGGCGGGGTGTGGTGAAGGGGCGAAGACACAAGGGTGAAGGGGGATTACGGACCGTATCTATTGGGCGTCTGCGGGCGGTGATGCTCCACGCGGGCATTGCATTGGGCGGGAGCGGACGGCGTTCACGGTGCTGTAGGTGGTACACTACGGTTTCCGTCCGCATCCTCATCTCCATCCTCATCTCCATCCCCATCGCGATGCGAGCGAGATCTGTACCATACCTTGTACTATGGTTCCTACATCCACACATACATACCCGTACGTACACGATAGACCCGGCCGGCCGGCAGGGAGCGAAGGAAAGTCCTCGCGAGTCGTGCACCGTCTCCACACTCGTCTCTGCCCTGCGCAGGAGGGATGGAGTGGGCAAGTCCTGCCTGCCTGTCCGTAACTGCCTGCCTGTCCGTAACTGCCTGCCTGTCCGTAACTGCCTGCCTGTCTGTAACTGCCTGTCTGCGTGCGTACCCGTAACACCACAGCACAACCACAACCACAAGCATAACACACCATGCCATACCATACCATAGTTACCGTACCGTACTGCACCGTACTGTGCATCTCCATCTCTGTGCCTCGTCCCAACGTTTCTTCTCCCCCTTCCCCCCGCCCCCTCCCCCCCGGACCCCGAGTGCCCCAGTACGTGCGTAGGTAGGGAAGCATGCACCGCACCGATAAGCCCCCCCCCCCCCCCCCCCCAATCCCTCTCCAATCCCCCGCTCCACGCGCAACTTCCACAGCACGATAAGCGCCCCCTTCCCCCCCTCGCACCCTCCCCCCTCCCAGCCCACCCCGCTCCTGCGCAATGACGTTCGCCAGCCTAGTTCATAGTCCACCGGCGAAACATCGGATGAGCGACTCTAGACCTTCGAACTTCAGCGTGTGTATGTGTGTATGTGTGTATTTCTCACGGACCGGGGGGGCTCGCTCGCTAGGGAGTTGGAGTGGGAGTTGGAGTGGGAGTGGGAGGGGGAGTGCGAGGACAGGAAAAGAGATGGATATGGATGGATGGTGGATGGAGATCGTGTGATGCACTGCACTGCACTGATCCGAGGCCCCGCAGGCGCGCATGCATGTATGTAGACAATTTTGGGGGGGATTTAGGGGAGCGATGATATGATAATGATACCCAGCAGGGGTTGGTCCGGCGCTGGGTCACAGCCAGATGGGTGGTGGATGGGGATGAGGGCGAGCGGTCTCGTCTTTGGTCTTTGGTCTCGTCGCTGGAGTCTGGTCTGGTCTCGTCTGGCTGCTGGTATGTATGTAGACCCTGCATAGCACGTGGACTGTGGACGCTGGTGCTCGACCGCGTTGGAGTTGGGGTTTTCTGTAAGGAGAAGAGGGGGGACGGGATGGGACGGGATGGGATGTAGAGCACTCAGCTGTGTTGAGCGCGCGAGCCGTCGTCGCCGTCTTCGTCTTCATCGCACGTAAGTGTCTGCGCAGCCTTATACAAAAGAGAGAGAGAGAGAGACGAGGCTGCCACCGTGGGGCTGACGCCGCGAGCGCGGAGTCGGGTTCCGGGGACGAGAATCGCATGGCATGGCCACGGGGCTCCGATAGTAGCAGTGAATAGAATAGAAGGGATTTGTTATTTATTTTTCGATTTAAAATACACGAAATAGGTAGACACAGTTTCGGGTCAGCGAGACTCGAGAGTCGAGAGCACTCGCCCTCGCTCGTCGCGCGTTGCGATCGATGACGACACCAATGGGGAACTGGGGGGACTAGGGGACGGGGACGGGGGAGGACGGGGGAGAACGGGGAAGGAAGGAGGGCAGGGAGCGGGGGGGGGTGCATTGGCATGTGAACATGCATGGACATGGTCGGGCGCGGGTCAGGCGTGTAAATGGACTCGTAGACTCGTAGTTTTTCTCCACGAACATTTTTTTTATTTTCGATCCCAATCTCGCATCCATGATGATCTGGGGCGTCGAGGGGCCGCATGATCATCATCGCTGACTGGCTGCTTATCGGGGGGCGGGAGGAGGGGGGGGGAGAGGACTCAATCGACGGTACGGGGGGGAAAGTCCGAGTCACGGACTATGAAGCCTGAAGGTCTACTTACGCACGTCGCAAACGCCAACCTCGTGCCAATCGCACCCGTCGGGGGAGGGGGGCTGCGACCAGTCATATGCCTCTCTCCCTCCCTCTCTCTCGATGGAGTTCTCTCGGGGTGTACATCCGAGTCAGTCAGTCAGTCAGTCAGTCAGTCAGTCATTGCCAGTCGGTAACAGAAAAAGATTACGTGCCACAGGCCCACAGCTGTGGCCCGCAGTCCGGATGGATTTTAGTTGGTGAACCCCGAGTCGCGTCGCGTCGTGTTCGGCCACATCCAAAAGCCGGCCCAATGCCCGAGCCCTCTCCGGATTTCTTGTGATTACTATTAACGTCCCCACCCCCGCAAGAGAGAGAAAGAGAGAGAGGACCTGCAATTGAACGGGATGTGTCCATGGAAGGTCAACGGTCAGCTGAGGTAATCACGACCGCATACTTGGGTTTGGGTACAGGTGAGGGTCCCCGGTGTTCCGGGGATTCCGGGGATTCCGGTGACTTCGCCGGAGAACTGCTTTGGTCCGCTCCGTGCGCGGGCTGCTGGAGAAGTATGTGTGTGTAGGTTACAGGTAGGGAGTTGCCTACATACGGGATTGGGCTGCGAAGTAGCCGGTGTGGACTATTTCTGTATGTCTGTATGTACCGGTATGTGTGTGTGTATGATGCCCATATTGCATCGCAGTCTCAGAGTCGCAGTCTCAGTCTCCGTCTCAGCTTGCGGTTTCTCTGATAGTGGGTATCGACCTCGCTTGAGTACGACTGGAGTACGACAGACAGACAGACAGACACCCATTCTTGCACTGCCGTCCAATTCGGGCCATGCAGTATATAGCACTATATAGCACGGTCGCCTACTATATAGCAGAGTAATACCTAGAGTAATAGAGTTACTTACGCCCCACCAGACTCCACTCCAACGTAGAGACTCCGATCACTTCAGCCTTCATCCAGCCTTCGGCGAGTGTTACTCCACACCGACTGGCGACTACAGCGACCACACCGACCGACCACACCAACCGACCACACCGAACCGCACGGCGCACCGTTGTCGCTATTTATATCTCAACGCGATGCGATGCGATGCGCATTGCAAATGTCTGCCTAGATAGAAAAATGAAGGTATCGACCATTATTACTGCTACTAGGTGCTCTAGATACTACATACCACAGCACGGCTTCGCCACACTTCGGCTCGCCTCCCTGAGCCTTCACGTTCTGATTGATTGATTGATTGCGAAGGTCGGTCGGTTGTTGCGCCGGTACACACACCCCACCACCACCACCACACTCACATAGAGTACACGGGTACTCTGGGTACGCGTCGTAGACTCGTAGTACGAGCCCAATAGACGGCTGGGTTGGATGGCTGATCATTGATGGCTCATCGTTCCTGCCTTGTGACTGACCGACCGACTGACTGGCTTGGGGCAACCAGGGCCCAGGGGTGATGAATTAAGGGAGCGAAGCGCGGGCGCCGGGGTGCATAATTCAATAATTCAATTCGCGGCCGTGAGACTTGAGGCTTGAGGCTTAAGGCTTGATGATGACAGATTGGCGGGGGCCCGGGGGGCGCGAGGCGTGAGGAATTGAGTACAAATGTAGACGGTAGGACAGCCCCACCATCCACCATCCACCATCTCGTCGTTCCACGCACTTCGTTCCACGATTCACGATGGCTTCTTTCTCCCGCCGCCACGGACCGCCCACCACCGACCGCCACCACCACTACCACTACCACAGCTACCACTACCACAGCTACCACTACCACAGCTACCACTACCACAGCTACCACTACCACAGCTACCACTACCACAGCTACCACCAGCTCGTCAGCACAATCGTCAGCGGCGTCCCACGGTTCCATCCGCTTCTTTGAGGAATTGAGTTCGGTTCGCGTCGTAGTTGTGATGTATCATGTATCCACAGCCCGGCGCGGCGCACATTCTTAAGCTTCATGCGTAGGTACTGGGTGACTTAGGCAAATATGCATGTATGAGTACATCCACTACGTATGCAGTTATCCTTCCATTCCCCTTCGAAGTTCGCTGTGACCTCAGACCTGTGCTGTGCTCGTGCCCGTGGGGCGGGGGCGGGGGCGGGGCGGGGATTAGTTACTCTATGTGCATACCACTTCCCACTTCCGTAGTAGCAGTGGTGATATGATGAGTCTTAAGCGTCGTGCACACTGCACAGAAACTGCACAGAAGCTGAACTGGACTGCGTGGATGCGGATTTCCTGCAGGGACTCCTACATCTACAGCACATACGCACGGTGTCTATGAGCAACATCGACCTGCGCTGCGAGCAAGGGGCTGAGAAGCCATTGGAACTTTTTTCTCTTCTCGAGGAGGACTTAGGGGAGGAAGGGGGATGATGCTGATGAGGAATCCTCAATCCGACATTGCGACATTTGTCATTTGTCATTCGCCATGCGACATTCGACATTCGACATCCCCAACACGAGACGATTACTAGTAGAATTCGAACGAAAGAAGAAAGAAAATAGAAGAACAAATAGAAAAAGCAAATAGAAACGATAGAAAAGATACCATTCTATTCCATTCCATACCGTGGCAGCTTCTTCTATCGCCATTCTATACCCTATGTACTTTTCTATAGATCCTAATAGTACGCGCGACACCGACGACATCATGCGTCCTTCCTTCCTTCCTTCCCCTGCGTGTTGCGCACGTCGCATCGCATCGCGTATGTTTTGCGCCATGCGTTTCTGCGTTTTACGTTTCTGCGTTTTCTGCGTTTCGCTTCTGCCTGGAAACTGGCCAGGCCAGGCCCCGAGCTGCGTTTTTCTTTTTCTTTTTTATCCCCCCCTTCTCTCGTCCTCCTCTCCGGCCAGGCAGAATCCACAGTATTTAACCGCACCCTCCTACATGCCTACATAGATGATAGCGGGAACAGCGAAGAGAGTGAAAAATGTCAAACATCAACGGGGAGCGAGCTGATTGGCTACCGTAGTCGTGGCGGTGGTGATGACGGTGGTGGTGATGCATTGGATGCAGTGGATGCATTCGCATTCATGCATTCGGCGAATCGGTGAATCGGACTATCTGTAAGGGTGGGTCAGTCATCGCCTGAGCCTCATTCGCCTCGTCCTCCTCTCCAACGACCAGGATGGGTCGTGGGGGAGAGGGAAACGAGAACTGGACAACACCAACACCAACACCGCGGTCACAGCTACAGCTGTAACTGTAACCGGAGGTCGGTGGGGTCGGTGGGGGGAGGGGGCGTACCTGGAACATCTAGATTCTGCTTGCACCTGTGCTCGTTGCTTGTTGCCTGTAGCTTGTTGCGCTGTCAAGCTGCAACAGTGCAACAGTGCAACGTCGTCGTTCCTTCGAATTGGCAGTCCAATGCCAGCCATAACTAACCATTCGCATCCCTGAGCGGAAACTAGAGTGGCCCACCACTGCAGTTCAACTGGTCGACCAGCACAAGGCAGAGTCACTGCACGCAAATGTGTCAATTGAGATCGCAGCGGCAGCGGCCTGCGGGCACCGTGCGGGACAGGTACACGGATCATACATATACGATCGATTGTGATTCACGAGCTGGCTGGTTGGATGGCTGGCTGGCTGGCTGGATGGGATTGCCACGGTACCTACTGTACTCTACCTATGGTATGGGTAGTGCACGGTAATAGAGTGGCTCGAGGACCATACGATTGAGCAGAACCACACACAGCATCCACATATCCACATGCCCACACATCCTCCGCATCCTTCGCATTCCCCATGCTCGCATCCTCCACACGTACGGCACTCTGGGTAACGTGCGTAAGCCCAAGAAGCTTCTAGAGTACCCACTCTACATTGGCACGACATGGGGGAGGGATGTGAGAAGGCAATTCGGATTCGGAGGTAACCATGTAGACCTAATCGCCGCAAACACGCTTGCTGGCTGGGTGGCTCACTGGCTGGCTGGCTGGCTGGCTGGCTGGATGGATGGCTGGATGGCTGGATGGCTGGATGGCTGGTGGGCTGGCCGTCCGTTCGTTCATCGGTGACAAACGTTCTCGTCATGCTTGTCCGTCTGCTGGTCTGCCCGTGGCACCCGTTGGGGCCCGGAGAGCTGTCATTGCAGCGTTAGTAGTGGGCGAATGATTTATGGGGAAAGCTGCTCGGGGTAGACGACAGTGTGTTCTTTTCTGGGGGGGAGGGGGGCGGAATTCGTTTGGCTCTACTCTACTATGCCAAAGGTACCATCGTACCTGTTCTACCCTAGGTACTGGCCAGCTGGTCGGTAGAGTACGGTGACACTCACTCACTCGCTGTTGGAGGATCAATCAATCATGGCATTTGCTGGCACAGCCTGGCTGCCTTGCCTGGAGTCGCCGCCCAGAATCCCAGATCCTCCATCCCGTCTGTTTTGGCTGGCTGCACGGATCCAATTCGCAGCCAGCCCCCGCAGCCCTCGAATCTCGACCGGCCAGTTTTACCTGGCAGAGTAACCATGTAGTTACTGGCCATACTACTCTATAGGTGGGTACTTACCCTGGGTACTCGACTTACCTCGTTGTACAATACGAGTGAGAACCAACGAATGATGCGATGTGGCAGTGCAGCGGAGATCTACTCTAGCCACAATGGCAATTCCCAATGCCAATGCGCTTCTTCATCCTCTGCTTCTTCTTCCAGCTGGGCCCGATGGTCCACGTTGTGCTTCTGGTGGTCGTTCGCTTTGTTTCCTCTCGCTTTTCGTGTCCTTCGTGGAGATCGCTCTGTGTCTGGAGCAGCGAGCCTTAGCTCGATAACTGGGTAGGTTGGATCGATTTCCATTCGCACTCACACATTCTCTTGGCAGCCTGTCCCACCCCCGTAACTCTTCCTCCCTTCCATCAACGCAGCAGAGCCAGGTCCACCAAGTCAGTCACCTCGTTCCTTCATCCAGTCATATGGTGTGTGTACCTTGCTCCGCATCCACATCTCGAGGATCCGGTCACAATCTCGGTCACACGCCGCCGCCTCACACACACACCACGCACCCACACCACGCACGATGTGCACACTCACACCCTACGCCTAGGTGATTCTCGCTCTTCGGCAAAACTACTCTAACGATACGATCCTCGACTTCCCGATACCTACCAAACATGCTCGCCACGACCACCACCATCGCAACCACAACCACCACCACCACCGCACGAACTGGAACTGGACCGAGCTGGGAAGCAATTGTCGGGCGTCAGATCAAAGACATTCACCCCGCTCGCCGCACACTATGCGTGCGCTGAGACTGGGGCCTAGATGTGGTGATCGGACGGAGGGTGCTCGCAGAGAGCTGATGATGACGATAGTGGTGGTGGTGGTGGGGGGGTGGTGGTAGCGGTGGTTGCGGCGGTGGTAGCGGTGGAACCACTGATTAGAGCGGGTGGATTAGGGAACAAGAGATCGTTCTTTCACCGACTGCGCGATCAAGCGACTCGCTCGTCTGGGCAGCGCTCACACAGAATGGGCAGAGGGAGGGGGAAGGGGGGGGGGGGAAGGGGGGGGGGGGGGGGGGCGGGCACTTCAAAGAAAGAAAAGAGGGCGACAGCGACAGACAGCGACAACGGAGCGAAACACGCACGCACACCATACACGCACGCACAAACGTTTCTTCGATTCGGTGAGCTGGACCGGACAGCGAGAGAGAGACATCGACAGCGCCAAACAGGGAGTGCAACTGCTGCGAACTGCGACGGTGCGACGTGAAAAATAACGGAGGATGAACACGGGGATCCGTTTGTGAGTTGGGGCCCCAGCGAGAGCCAGGGAGCGAAGGAGCGAAGGGAGCGAAGCAGCCGAGTTTGGGAGTCGGTGATTGAGCAGTGAGTGAGTGAGCCATCCTGCCAGCCTGAGCTATTCTGGGTCCCACAGCCATCCATCCCGCCTCCACCGCCATACACACTCCATGACCACTATGACACCCCCCCCCCCCCCTCTTCACACACCCCCCTTTGTCCTTGTCCTTGGTCCTGTGCCTCATGCGACCTTCTTCGCGCGCCTGGTTGTCGGAGTACTTAACACGCCCGTTCCCCTCTGCCTCATCCCTCTTCGCTTGATTTGACTTCCCCCCCATAGCTTCGACCTCACCGATTATCTACACTTACTTACCTCTCCCTCCCAATTCACAGCTCGCCTGTCAACCTTCCGCAATTCTCTCGACTCAGCAACAAGTTTTGAAAACAGGCTTCTATAGCTATTCGCCGTGTCGCCTTTCAATCCCTCGGCTCCTTTTAAGTTGTCGCCTTGTTCAATAGCCTTCACAAGGCTCTCGGTGTTGTCTGCTGCCAGTGGCAGCTATCTCTCATTGATGCCCCATAGCTGTCTTTGAATTCCGACGGACTTGGAGATTGTTCTGGCATCTATCGATCCCGACTCGACGCACATTCAATCTACATACCCTGAGCTACAGCTCCAGGCTACAGCTCCATCCCAACCCTTCTAGCAACCACACCCCTTTCCAACCTCCCCTCCCCCCAGGCCTTAAAGCTATGGATCGCTCTCCTCAGAACTACCTCAAGAGCCCTGCTCCCTCACATTACTCCCTAGCTTCGCCCCCAGAGCTTCGACGAACACACGACCGATTTATCTCACCCTCTCCGTCCACTGGCAGTCGCAGTCTTTCGGTGGAACCGTTCCCGCTTACCCATATTCACCATCGGTTGCAAGACAAGATGTCGATCGCCGCCGCTACCAACCCAGCTCCCATGAGCTTGCTCTCACCGCCCGAGTCACCTGAGACGTCGCACGTTTCGCTGCGGCGATCGTCGCCACACATGCACTCGTCGGACGGAGATATCCTTATGGCCGACGAGCCGTTGTTGCCGGAGGATGGCGCTTCGATCTCGCTCGAGACACCACTGTTCAACGTCGCCGAGAAGGACGAGCCTCTCATCCACAAGGCGGTCACCAAGAGATCACAGGAGGCGCCCAGCGTGCGGCCATCTGCGGAGGAGTACGGATTGTTCGTCTCGTCGGCGTGGAGGCTGTGCCAGAGCAACCCGAGAGAATGGCTGCGACAGGAGCAGCGAAACATGTCGATGTATCGCACCGGCGCTGGAGTGCACAAGTCGTCGTCGATGAAGACGATGTCGCCCATCAGGAAAGCTATGAGCGTGCCGCGGCCACGACCGAATCCCGCTGGAACACCTCAGCGACAGATCCAACGCCCTGCGAGAGCCCCTAAAGCTACACCGAAGCTTGCCGCTCTTGATGGCTTTGAGCGCCAACTCTACACTCCACCGCGCTCCTCTGCCGATGGCACCCCTGCGCCCACCCGCCAGCGGCTCACAGCACCTACTCGGGAAGACAGCAACTTTGAAGCCCTGCCCGACCTGACGCCGCCGCTCGAGAGCTTGCCACCGCACAATCGCTCGCTTCAGATGGACTGGCGAGGCAACCCTCTGTCGATCGAGCACGAGCCTCACTTTGAGAAGCTCCACCCGGCTGAAGCCAAGCTGGCGTCCACACTGCGCCTCACCCCAGCCATCTACCTTAGCTCGAAGCGGAGGATCTTCATCGAGAAGGTTCGACGGACACAGATCGGGAAGGAGTTCAGGAAGACGGATTCGCAGAAGGCGTGCAAGATTGACGTCAACAAGGCATCGAAGCTGTGGACGGCTTTCGACAAGGTTGGCTGGTTCGAGCGCAGATGGATCGAACCGCACATGGACAAGGAGATTACCATCGAGCCATAGAGGACTTGATTGCTTGTTTTTTGGCTTTCATCGTTGTCGCGCCGGCCGCCCAACTATCACGACTCCCCTCCCCCTCCCCCCTCCCCCCTCCCTACCACCCTTCATAGACACGCATCATTTCTTGGGTTCCTCGCTCGGTTTCATCTTTTCCCCCCCTTTTTCTACATACTTATTTCCCCTTATTTTATTTTTCCACGATCTGGACGATTTGCATGAGTTACAGCTACAGTACACACGGAACTGGGGTTTTTTGTTTTTTGTTTGGTGTTGACTTGTATTTCTTTCCGGGTTGGGGTTTTCTTTTTTTCGCACAACAAGGGACGAGGTCATGTATAACTCCCTTTGTCTTTGTGGTTTCGGGTCGGTCGGAGTTTTTGTATTTTCCTACAATTTCCTTTTTTTTCTTTCATCTACGAGCAGCACTATTACCTGGTATCGGTATGGGAAGGGGGGTATGGGAGGGGGGTCGGTCGGCGCATCACTATCATGTCTTTTTTTTCTTCTTTATTGTCTCTTCATCACACCATGTATTTGTTGGTTTTTTTTGTCGCGCTGGCACATGGGAGAGGTGTTTCTGGGTCTGGTCTGGTCTCTTTTGTTTATATTTTACTTACTTACCTTTTTGCATTGCGCAGCGCCAGAAGATTTTTGTTTATGCGCCGGACTTTTTGTATGGGGATGGGGGGATCGGGGGGGTTTATATCGGCGTTTTTTCTTTGTCTTCTTCTTTTCTTTCTAGGATGGGATATGAGATGGAGGGGCAGATTGGCATTGGACGGTGGACGGGGGAGCTGGACGGTGGAATTTGGGAGGATGGGAAGGGATGGGGGATGGGAAGGAAGATTGGGGATTTTGGAGGGGGGATTTTGGGCGGGGGGATTCGGGTACAATACCATACCATACCATACGCTTTGTTCCATGCATCGCTCGTGATTGTGATTGTGATTGTGAAATGGCGGGGGAGGGGAGCCGGAAGAGTGGAGTGGAGTCCCTATGCACCCAAGTACTTCGTTAAAAATGTGGGTAGGAAGTAGGTAGTCTACATGGAAGCTTTGAGTTTTAAGAATTAAAAATCCGACGACCCCGCTAATCTTGAATCTTGATGTAGGTATTTGATGTACTGTACCTATGTCGGGAGGATTCCTGGAGCGTGCCTGGTGGGTGCCTGGAGGTGCCTGGAATATGCGAGACGTCTCAGGACGTCTTTATTTCCCCCGCGACCCCTTTGTGCCTGAATTGCTGGCTGGTTGGCTGGGTGCCGGGAACCTTGAATTGAGCGTGAAGTACCTAGAGGAAGGTAGAGTATGCGGTGATTTGGGTTCGGACCGAGCCCTGGATGCGCGGGTGGCGGTGGTGGGAGGTGGGCGGTGGGAGGTGGCGGTGGTGGCGGAAGGATTACGAATTGACCTGTTGAGGCGCACCTACTTTTGTGGTTGAAGACTGTGTGCGGTGTGCGCGGATGCGCGGTTGGGTGCTTTACTTGAGCATTGAGCATTGAGAATCGAGCTGTGAGAATTGAGCAGTGAGAATTGAGAATTGAGCATTGAGCATTGAGAATTGAGCATTGAGAATCGAGCTGTGAGAATTGAGCAGTGAGAATTGAGAATTGAGCATTGAGAATTGAGCATTGAGCACATGTTAGGGAGTTTGTGGGGCTGTGCATAACCTTACTATGTACGATCTGGGGCTGTACTGCTGTCAGGCCGTGGTAGTGGTGCTGCTGGTGCTGCTGGTGGGGTACATTGAGCCTTGGGCCTTGAGCCTTGAGCCTTGATAGGTAATTGAGCATTGAGCATTGAGCATTGAGCACACATTGAGGCGGCAAGTTCGTGACGCGAATCGTGGGGCTGTGCATAGCCACATAACCACTTCCTGAACCACATCTTTACTTGCTTACTTTTGTGCATGTACGATCTGGGGCTGCACTCACTGCTGCACTCACTGCTGCAGGGCCGTCTGGTGGACCCGTGGTCGTTGACTGGTGGTGAGGTGGTGAAGTGGTGAGGCTCCGGCCGGATGCACCCACTGCCATCATCCATCTGCCATGGGCCACGAGGCATAGCGTGGGACCACTAGAGTAAGGACTTGGGACTTGAGGCGGGGCGGGACTTGGAACTTGGGGGACTTGGGGCGGCGCAAGGCGGGGCGGCGCAAGGCGGGGCGGCGCGGCGAGCTCGAAGCGAAGAGGAAGTGAAGAGGGTAAGGCGGTCACATTTTCGCTCTGGTCTCTCCTCCACATACCCTCTCATCTGCTCTCTGCTTGGAACCCTCTGGTCTGCTCTGCTTGGAACCCTCTGCTCTGCTAGAAACCCTCAGCTTGAAACCCTCTGCTCTGTCCGGCATAAAAGCACATACCAGCGCCGCGCACATTCGACTTGCCGGAAAGATTCCCAGGGAAGGAAGAAGAAGCAGAAGGAAAAAGAAAACGTGGATGGATGGTCGGCGCATCTCGACCCTTCTTTCTCGCCTCTCAATTCTCGTCCCGGGATGCTCACCCACCCTACATACACACACTACGTCACGCACCTCTAACAATTCTACTGGCGAGCCCAGAGGGGAGCGGTTTTTAATCCAGCGGCGGATGGCTAGTAGTTAGCGCTGGGAGAGTTCTGGAGTCTGGACTCTTCAACCACCAGCTCCAGCAGCAGCACCACAAGCACCAGCTCCCTGACTAGATTAGACTACCCCTCCCGAGCTGCAGCTGGGCTGCCTATGCGTACGTCACGGCTCACGAGTGCGATGAGTGCGACAAGTGCGACCCACGCGCGCAATTGATTCCGGACTCCGGGAGTGTGATGCTGGAGTCCCTGCGATTAGAGTAAACGTCACGGATTGAAGGAGCATTGGAGCAGGCTGGGTGCAGAGTAGAGTAACCATCCCACCATCCCACTAGCAGCAGTATGGTTAGGGAATGTCGATTGAGCGCTGAGCACAGCGCTGAGCGATTGGAACTGAGCGATTGAGCACTGTGCGATTGGAATTGAGTTGGGCGCGCGCGATTGATTACCTGCCTGCCTGCGTTTCCTGCGCGATTGATTTCAATTGCTTGTGATATCGAAACGCCAGCGCCAGCGCATTGTTTGTCTGTGCTTTTCGGAAACATGCAGTGGAATAAAGTGGAGAGAAACCGACAGAGAGAGGGAGAGAGATGCCTACGAGTGATGCTTTCACCGCTGCTGCTGCTTCCACCGCTGCTGATTGATGCACTCTAGGTACTCTATGTGTGATGACGACACTGCTTACCTGAGTCCCGGTATACTATTCGCCTCGTCTCGTTACGGATATAACTTTCCCCTCTACGTACCATGCTGGGTATGCTACCATGCTGCCTATGCTATCTATGCTCTGAATATAGAGTCAAGTCGAGTGGAGCCTGGAGGGTACTCTTACTCACCTCACCCACCTCACTCCGTACCGTATTTTGAGATCGGAGAGAGAGAAGGAGGGGGGATGATTATGATTAATATACTATATCCAAACCTTACCGCTGTCGCGGCGCAGCAGCAGTCAGATAATCTATCGATTTGAAATATCGCACACCGATCGTGAGCAGCAGCATCGCGAGCACCGAGCAGCACCGAGAAATTGGTGAGGAGGGGTCGGAGGGGTCGGAGGGGTCGGAGGGGTGATAGGTAATCCTCGGACCTTGTGCTTGTCCGACTGCGCGGGGCGGGGATACGGTACCCATGAGGGGAGGGAGGGGAGGTGGGCGATACTCCGCTCTACCGGGTCGTGCGACTCCTCACTCACTCATCCACGACGGCCCACGGGTGATCGATTGATTGTTTCCCCTCTCGCAGCAATCTACTCTACATACCGTGCATACTCACATGGTAACTCAACTCAAACAACTCAAACAACTCAAACAACTCAATTCGATTCAATCGCTCTCAGCAATCTACTCGTAGTTGCATACATAGGAACTCAAACAACTCAAACAACTCAAACAACTCAAACAACTCAATCGCTCGCTCGCGAAATCCCTCTGCCCTGTCCGTGTCCTGTGTTGGCGGCGGCGGCGGCGGATGCGGCGTAGGAGCTTACGACTTGTGACGACTTGTGACCCGACCAATCACAATCACGATCACCACTGACGAGCGAAGCAAGGCTGCTACCTAGTATCTAGAAGTACCTAGCGGTGTCTCTCCACCCCGCTCGAGCTCGAGTTAGGTGGACTCAGGTAGATATGATACATATGATGTAGATGTTGGTACTCTAGACTCCAGAACGAGTAGACTCCAGCTCAATTCCCCCACTTCGCCCGGTTACTTATTTGTGCCTCCCCCTCCCACTCCCCTCTCGCCCCCCGTCGCCCCCTCCCTCGTTCCTCGTTCCGCGCAGAGACAGAGGCAGAGACAGATAACCAGCGTACTCTAGCTAACTAGCGGTTGGAGCTGGCTGGGCGAGAACAATCCAATCCAATCCAACCTGTTGGGTGGAGAGGAAGGAAGGGAAGGGAAGTGAAGGGAAGTGACCAGTTAGCCGCGCGCGATGGGATGTCACTTGTCAGTCACCCGCCCCATTCCCCTCACTTCCCACACCCACTCCCACACCCACTCCTACACTTCACCAGCGAAGAAAAAGCATCTTCTCTCTCTTCTCACCATCTTGTGCGACGGAAGAATGGTCAGCCCAGGCCCCGCACGCCGCCCCGGACGCGAACACGAGGGAAGTGGGGATCGAACTAAACCTAGAGCTGTGCCCCCTGCCAAGACAGGCCCGTGGTGGTGGTAGTAGTGGTGGTGGCTGCGGGGGGGAGGGGGAGGGGGTTGGCTGACGTGTGAAACGCGGACGAGACGGTGCGTGGGCATGGTGGGCCATTGAGGTGGGCCCTGGGGGCAGATATGAATTGGTGGGAGAGTGAGGATATACGATAGTGGTTACGGGTATACTAGGTACCGTACGCTATAGTTACGGCCGGCGGGCGATTGGGATTTGCCATTGGGAGTGGATGGATGGACCTGGCAGTGGATGGATGAGCCTGGCAGCAACAGAGGCATTTGTCGCTCAATGGCATGACGACCTTCCCTTCTTTCTATCTTTCTATCTTTCTTTCTCGCCGCTTCTCTGCACCTATCTTCCATCCTACCTATCATCCTACCTATCACCGGGCGGGAGACGTGGCTGCAATTGTGTGCATGCGCAGCAGCAGCAGCGCAGGAATGCCCGCCCGCTCGCCCCATCTTCCCATCCATCCATTGCCATCCAGCCAGCCAGCCAGCCCACTGGCCGCCTCGAAGATAGGCATGTACTCTACTCTACGCAGATGGAGAGTGACCCGGAAAAGCAAACACACAAAAAGCAAAAAGCAAAATCAACGAAAAGCAAGGAAATCCAAAACTCCCGAAAGCCCCGCGTTGCTATCGTTTCGGACCTGCAGCTGGATGGATGGCTTGCTTGTCTCTGTCTGTCTCTGTGTCTCTGTTTCGGCGGATTGGATGGACTGGATGGATTGGACGGATTTGATGGACGCTAGATGGACGGACTCGCACCCGGTCGGTTCATCCCAGTCCCAGTCCCAGTCCGTGGTTGTGTTGGCTGGGTTGGGGAATGTGGGCGTTTGCTGCGCCCACTAGGGCGTGGGTAGAAGCTGCTGGATGGATGGGGATGGGTGGGGATGTTCAATGGTCGCTCGGTCGGAAAGACTGATGAGCGAGGAATTGCGTACCCATGATGGAGGATGGCGGTGGTGGTGCTGGTGGCTTACTGGATATGAACACATTGAGGCTGGCGGTAGCTGGTTATCTACTAGCAGTGTGGACATGCACACTCGCAGGCTTCGGGATGGGATGGGATGGGATGCATCATGGGATGCGATGGATCATGGGACCTGCAGGCTGCAGAAAAGCTAAAAGGAGGATATGTACCGGTATCAGCGAGAGCCTAGATGGGCTACATGTCCGGTGCGGAGACTTAAGAGTCGGGACCCGGGACTCGGAAGTTGCGATTGCAATTGGAGGGTGTTTTTAGACTTCGCCGGTGATGGGGAGATGGAGATGGAGATGGAGATGGGAGATGGATGCGGTGACGTGATGGTGGTGGTGGCCGGGGGATGAATTGAATGGGAAGTGGGGAGCTCCATCGATACTCAATGTCGCTCCCCGGACCGGCTGTGGTACCTAACTTAAGCTCGTGAATGGGGCTCTTTCTCGAAGTCGTTGACAGCGGAAGTCATTGACAGCGGATGCAATGGAAGCTCTTATTCCCGTGCGCATCTCGTGCGCATCTACTAGTACTTGTGGCCAAGTGCCCAGATTACCGCTTAGATCGCCATTGAGTTCCAGGCCATGTCAGCTTCAGCACCAAGCTTCAAAGCTTCTGATACATACCCAACTACCCATCCAACTGCTGAGGATGCCTCGCGATACCGCCATCGGGCTGAACCGCGAAACACAGCACCTGCGCATGCCATGAGACTAGCGCGTTCGGCAGATGGCGCGCCTTTCTTCGCATTGCGGATCTGTCGAACCCCGGCCGCATAGCAATCCGAAGTGCCGAACGTGCATGTGGCTGAAGCACACAGCAAAACAGCAAGACAGCAAGACAGCAAACAGCTGACATCGCGTCTCCAGGCTCCAGGTTCCAGGTTCCAGGCTCTAGGCTTCCAGGCTCCAGGCCTCTTACTGAGTCATCGGCCGGTAGGTACATGGGAGGATCCGTAGAATCGGTTCTGGCATGTACATGGCATGTACAATACATACGATGGCGCGGGCTTTGAGACCCGAGTCTGAGTCTGAGTCTGAGTCTGGGAGGTCCCCTACCCCTCCCCGTTGAAACGTGAGTGGTCACGGTCGGTCCGTCGGTCATGTATCTATCAATGAATCATACTTTCGTGGTTACTGCTCACCGCATGCATACAGATGCATGATCTCGGTCCCCATCAGCTTCATCTACAGCTTTTGTACATATATGCACCTTCATCTACTATGGCCGCTCCAGTCGGCCCTGCAATCCTACAACTGGAAGCACTTTGTCGCCCGAGTCCCGCCAAATACTACATACCTACCGTAGGTAGCTATTACGGCCCTCGAGAGGCGAGAGAAACGGCGATAACTAGCGACAACACCTACTCGACAACAGCTGGAGAAATCCCACTGGAACGAGATTTCCCAGCACCACCGCCGACTCAATGCCCATCCATCCACCAAAGATGCAGCAAAGTCCATCACGCCGATGCCGATTGATAAACTACTCCGAGGAGGGGACGTAGGAATAACACGGTATGCGGGATGAAGAGGTTGCTAGTGAAGTATGATGTGAGGATTGGTATGTAGGAGGTCGACCGTCTAGATGAGAGGTCGTCTTTTCGGGACGAGGTCCCCGCACTCACTATATGTACAATACTCTACTCACCATCGTACAAATTCGAGATTTCGTTTCTCCTGCCTCTTCCGGGGAGCTCGCTTCCTACATGTAACGAAGCAGGGTCCCCGCTTTGCAGCTCCGAGAACTGCTACCTATGGCGAGTGACCGTGGATGAATGCTTTAGCATGCGCATCAATACTGTGTCTTTATCCACGATGTGTCAACTTGGCGAGAGCTCCATATTATACCATCATACATCCTCTCACTCCTCGCATACAGTTCCTCCAATTCAATTTGCACCTCTTCACCTCGAGCCTTGCGGGGTAGATCCTTCTCCAGAGGCAACCCCTGGAACCCCTTCGTCCGGGCCTCCAGATCAAGCACATGTTCCTTCGGTGAGAGCACTTTCGGCTCCTGTTGCACAAGCAAAGAAGCCAACTGCGTTGCTTTCTCCTCCAGCCGGATTTTGTAGGTGTCGAGCAGTCCGTGTCAATTCCGTCACCCCGTATGATATGGTCCGCCTGGTCGACGAAGGCCAAATCCTTGAGGAGAAAACTAGGTAGGTAGCTTGCAGATGGGACAGAAGTTTGCCATCACGGGTGGGCGGCGTGCTCGAGTAGCTATCGAGGTTGTAGATGGAGCTGGGTGTGCGGGGAGACGTGATCACGAACCTTGTCCATCCAGGTCCCAGGCTTTAACCGTGCAAGGTGCGGGCCGCTACCGCCGCAGCTCCACAACGCCCACTATCGATGGGTCAGTGGCAGTGTAAGCACGTATAGTAGACAGCGGCATCTTCACACTTCGTGACTCGTGGGGCGGGCTGTGTATGTGTGTACTGGAGGGTGTGGGTAACCACCGCTGACAATGAATATCCCTCAGATCGGCAATTCATCACAGTACCTCACTCCTCCGGGCCACGTGACACCTGAAACCGTAGCTGTCACAGCAACAGCATGCATTCCCTGCCGGGTAATCGCATGGCAGCCCTCACCCCTGATCTTCTATTCACGCCCAATTGCTTTTTCTATTCAATCTCCACTCAGGCCACATCTCAGATCTTTAGAATCCTTCGAATTCATTCATTCACCTTCAATTTGTTTGTTTGTTCTGTCGTTGTTTCGTCACCCCGAATACCAAGCCCCGCCATCGAGCACATAAGGTTGGGGTAGCTCAGCCAGCCAGCCAGCATCACTAGATTCCTACATAGCTCATCCAAACGAACGTGTCCACAAGCAAGCCAGCTCCAACCCAACCCAAACTTTTTTAGTGCTCCAACTACCTCGTATCTACCACCCGCCCGCGGCCGCCGCCGCAAACACCACCACTACCACCACTCACACCACCCACGCTTCACGACTACACATACCACATACCACCACCGCCGCTGCAATGAATATCTTCCGGATCGCAGCAGATCTCTCGCATCTGGCGAGTATCTTTATCTTGCTGCACAAGATGAAAACGTCACGGGTGAGTGGGGGCTGCTGGAGAGGGACCGAGCGGAGTGGGGGATGGAGGAGAGGAGGGACGAAAGCGAGATGAGATGGGATGGCTGATGTGCTGACGATGCCGGACGGACAGACGTGCGCAGGAATCTCGCTCAAGTCGCAATGCCTCTACTTACTGATCTTCGTTACGCGCTACCTCGGTATGTCGCTCCGTGCTGTGTGGGGGGAGGGGGAGGAGGAGGAAGCGGAAGCAGGCCAGCGGAGCTAACAGGGCCTTAGACATCTTCACGACATTCAACATCTCGTACTACAACACGATCATGAAGGTCGTATTCCTGGGGGAAACGGGGTACACGATCTACCTGATGACTTCGCCGTTCAAGCCTACACACGACCCGGCAATCGACACGTTCCGGGTGGAGTTCCTTCTGGTGGGCGCGGGCGTGCTAGCGCTCGCATTCCCGTACCAGTACACTTTCTCGGAGATCCTGTGGAGCTTCAGCATCTGGCTCGAGAGCGTCGCGATCCTACCGCAGCTGTTCATGATGCAGAGGACGGGCGAGGCGGAAACGATCACCACGCATTACCTATTTGCCCTGGGCGCTTATCGCGCCCTCTACATCCCAAATTGGGTCTGGAGATATGTCATGGAGGGCCATGTCGACCAGATCAGTCTGCTGGCTGGCATCGTGCAGACGGTCCTCTACTCGGACTTTTTCTATATCTACTATACGAAGGTTATGAAGGGGAAGAAGTTTGAGCTGCCGGTGTAGTGGCAGAGGCAGCTGGAGGGGAACGCGGGGGGGCGGAGAGAGGGGGCGGAGAGAGGGGGCGGAGAGAGGGGAGAGAGGGGGCGGAGATGGGATGTGGAGGATTCAGTGTATACGGTTGATATCGGCTTCATCTTTTTCTTGTTTTATTCCGGCAATTACAAGTTTAAGAAAGACGAGCTCATCCTACGTGACTGAATCCGAGTCGGAACAATGATAATCGAGTGACGCCCTATGCAAAGGCCACCACCACGTGCACATGTGTCACACCAACTTAGCGCTACGCGTCCACCCCGTGCGTGCGTCCATCGCGTCGTCCCGACTCATACTCCGACGCGACTTTCCTCTGCACTCAGCACGACGACGACCATGGCCGCCCCCAACCCCAACCCGCTCCTACGAATCCCGCGCTTCGACAAGCACGGGCACTTCCTGCTACACATCACGCCGACCTCGGCGGACTCACCATTCCCGCAAAACCTCGCATGCACGATCAAAGCCACGGAGGGCGAGCGGGCATTCACCTTGACGCGTACGACACCATCCCACCCTATCCCTCTTTTTTTCTCACGACACGACACTGACGGGAAGTGGGGGAAACAGTCGACTCCGCGAAGCTGCTAAGCTCCAAGAACGAGAAGTTCGCCGGCAGCGATAGCGAGCTCCTAGAAATCTGGGGGTGGGTGCTATTCCGGCGGCCTGTGGAGCCCAGGTTGCTCGCGAATCTGGATGTTGACTTTGCGACTGTGGGCGAGGACGGGTTCGGGGTGTGTACCTTCCTCCCTTTGCCTTTTCCTTTTACCGAAGTGGTGGTGCTGGCACTGACCCCCCTCGCGCAGCTCCGCCTCCGCCGCATCTTCGGGCGCGTAAAGCAAACGCTCGCGACGCTGTTGATTCCGTGTGACCCCAATGCGGAGATCGAGATATTTGAGTGGGCATGCGCGGCAGTGGCGCGGCTCGAGGCGGCGGATGTGGCCGGGAAGATCCAGGAGGAGGCGGGCGCCGTGGATGAGCTTAAGCAACAGCTCGAGGAGCTGGTGAAGGCAAGGAAGGAACATGAGGAGCTGTTGGTGGAGAGGTTTGTTAGGGTGCTGGAGGAGAAGAAGAAAATGATAAGGGAGTTGGAAGGGAGGTTGCTGGAGAAGGAGCAGGAGCAGGGGAGGGGGGAGGAGGGGGAGGAGAGGGACGCGGGGGAGGAACCGGAGCCGGTGATGGCGAAGGGCAAGGCCAAGGCGAAGGGGAAACGCAAGGCTTCCCCACCCCCGCCGCCGCCTACACCGCCTGCGCGCGTAACGAAGAAAGCGCCAGCCAAGAAAGCGCCCGCAAAGAAACCCGCCCCCGCCGCGCGCGCCACAAGAAGTCGGAAACCGGCTCCTCCACCATCAGATACCGAGGACTCCTCCGACGACAACAGGATGGAGGTTGATGCTGGACCGTCACGGAAGGCCGCTCCAGTGGCGGACGATGAAACAGCACTCACCGCCTCCGACGACGATGAAGATGAGCCGCAGAGTGATGCCAAACAGAGCGAGGATGATGACGAGCTCCCGCCCGTGCGGAAGCCGATTGCGTGGGCGGCGAAGGCTGCGCAGCCTCTGCAGCCGCCGGCAGCGGAGAAGAAGGTGGAGAAGCCGGTTGAGAGGGTGGAGAAGAAGGTGGAGTATGATGCCGCCGATGATACCACGGATGATGATGAGTTGTAGCGAGGCGAGGAGGGGATCTGTTAGCTACCTATTTTGTTTTTGTTTTTCTTTTGAGTTGGGTTGTTTGGTTATATTTGCAGCATTTTGGATATTCATGCTTTCTCTGGAAGAAGCGTGGACGAGTGAGAATTGATAGTTACTGCCTAGTACATATATCGTGGCTCGCTGTATTCTCCTGTAGACTACCCATGCCCGCTCACTCGCTCGACCGACTGGGCACACTCCTGTACTATTAGTATGTACCATCGAGCATCCACCCACCCAAAGGCCGAAGGCCGAAGCTCGTCTTATGTAGATTTAACTGACATTGCGACATTGCCACAGTCCACATTACCACAGTCCCCGCAGTCCCGCAAGACTGCATGCATGCAATTGATCATGAAACCAAGGGGGAAGAAGAAAAAAAGACAAAGACGTTACCGTTACCGATCCTAAGTAGGTACCTGAAACCTCCGGGTGCCATTGACGGCGGAGCCTTGCTTGGAATGACACCCCTCCCGACAATTATGGCGGTGCGTATGTATGGCGGTGAGAAATTTCATATTTGGTAGAATGATCCATCAGAGCTCAGCTTCGATCTGACCTCGACTGCCCTCCCCCTCCGATTGAATAGCCTCATGAGTCACGCAACCATCACCTCCCGTTCAAGCTCCTATTCAACGCTGAGGTACTGGTCCGGTCTACATATCTGCTTCCAATTCTCTTCCAATTGTCTCCCAACTACTAAGTAAATACATCAGTACGCATCTAGACGCCAAAACCACCACCATACTCAATCCTCCCTCCTCCACCCTTTATACGCAAGCAAAAACCAGCAAAAACCAGTAAAACTAGTAAAATAAGATAGTAACTAGTATACACATCGCCATCCACACCCACATCCCCGTCCACATCCATACCCCATTCACATCCCCATATCATCCCCTCATCCACATCCACATCCCCCTCCCCCTTCCCCTCTACATCCCCATCCCCATCCACCCCCCATTCGCAGGCAAGTCAAAACCAATTTTCAGCAATTCTCAGCAATTCACAAAATAGCAGAAGCAAAAGTAAAAGCAAAAACAATGGATATTGGAAAACCCACCCCCACCCCCCGCTTTACGCCTGAGTAACAAAAAAAACACACAAAAATACAAAAAACATAAAAAACACAAAAACACAAAATAAACACAAAAATAAAAAGTTAACGAACGAAAAAGATTTGAGTACACATGATAGAGATAAAAGAGCAAGAAATTTATTTCGCGTGATCGCACCGGAAGCAAGGAAGACAGGAAGGAAGGAAAAAAGGAAGATAAGGAAAGAAAGAAAAAAGGAAATCAACCAAAAAGACCATCGCCGTCAGTTCAACCATTCATACAGTTTACTCCGATACTGCACGCGATTACCCGTCGCCCACTCCTCGATGAATCGGCGACCAAAGTTGACCGTCTCCAGCGGGGTGCTGTTTCTATGCAGGGGGAGCTGGAACGCCTGCTTGTAGGTTCCGACGGCTTTCGGCAGCTGCGTTTCGGGGTCGACCCACTTAGTACTGCGGGCGGCATACGTCTGCGGGAACTTCCCCGAGATGTCGTCGAACGAGAGGTAGCGCACACCCTCGTTCCAGCATTCCCGGAGGTCCCGAGAGTCCTGGACGAGCCGTGATTTGAGCCCGAGGTATCTGCTGCGCTCGTTGTTCACCGAATTGCTCGAGTCCGGCGTGGGCGCTTTCGATGTGGCGTCCGGGAGACTGGCGCGGCCGAATTGCGCCACGTCCATGTCGAAGACGTGCTGGCGGACCACCGTCTCCATCTGCTTGCTGTTGCGCCCCACTCCGTCAACATCGTTTGGACAGAACATGGATCGATTTCGACTGCACATACCAGAACCCATACAGCGTGTGCGCGTGGCTAGCTTTCGCCTTGTCCGACACAAACATCGACAACGGGATGAAAGTCCTCCACATATCCGCAGTTGGCGGTCTACCGCCATCGAGCGCCCGCGCGCGGTCCGAGAGCACGAATGCAAGGATGAAGCACAACGTCGAGTCGGCGGCAATGACCAAAGCACGGTGAAGTTCCCTAGTGTCCGACGTTCCCGACCGAAAGATGGCGTCCGCCTCGTGCTTCGTGGATTTACCCAGCGACGCGAATCTGCAGATGACGATTAGTTCCTGCAACCTACCCTAATTTTCGTGTCCCACATACTTCTCGTAATCCTGGCTAAACTGCTGGCTTATGTGCGGGATGACCCTTGGCACACCGTTCCTGTCATCGCGATTGGAAGCCGGCGTGATTGCAGATCGCTCCGGCTTCTTTCCCCCGGTGGTACCATTGACTTTCTTCGGAGGCGGCGTCACAACATCTCTCTCCGTGACCGGAGCCTTGAGTGCCGGCGATTTGAAGGCGGGTGAGCGAGCGGCCGAGGCCGAGATCTTCGGCACATTGAGCGACGCTGCCGACGCCATCTTCGGTTTGGCAAAGCCATTGGATTCCTCTAGGCTCGCCGACGGGCGAGGGCGCTTGTTAAGCGAGATCTTGCAGAAGCTCTGGAAATCCTTCAACCGCCGTTTGAACCGGAACTTGACTATCCGCGACTTCTGAGGTGTAGCAGTAGTAGCAGAAGCTGCCGGCGGATGTTTGGACGAGGTTGCGGATATCCGAGATCTCGGAGATGAAGGATTCGGACTTGCTGGTCGCTTGCCGGTAGTCTTGGAGGCGGCGGCGGCGGCGCCAAGGCTCGACTTCTTGGGAAGTGTTTTGGCCGGAGAAGCGACCGAGCGCGGGGACCGCCCGGAGGGAGTTGATGATGACGTCGGAGGTTTCTTGCTCGATTGGGACGCCTTGCCTCGCCCTTCTTTCACTGACAACGGGGTCCCATCGCGAGTCGGCTTCGCCATGATCTCGTCGTCCAAGTTATCCTCCGCCGCCAGCGCATCTTCGATGATCTTCGGCAGAGTGGGACTCAGTATTGGCGGTAGAACTAGGGCGGGTGTGGCTGAGCGTCGAGGGGGAGGAGGTGGAGGAGGTGGGGAAGCTGCATTCCGACGAGGCGGTGGCGGGGGACTGCGCTGTCTGGAGGAGGAAGCGGAGGCTGGAAGGGGGTGTGGACTGCGCTCCCGTCGGGGAGGAGGAGGAGGGAGGGGTTGTCGTGATTGAGGCGGCGGCGACAGGCGTGGCCGTTTCGAAGGTCGCGACAGTTCCGAATAATTTATCTTTGGAGATGGTTTAGGCTCATCCATTGGAGGAAGGTCGCTGGTCCTGCACGAGAGAGAGACAGGCATTAGCTCACTAAACATGTTTCTCCTGGTGTGGTAAAGCTTTCGTCATACCTCTTGATTGGAATTGCAGTTTTCGACGAACCCCGTGACCGATCCATCACAGGGTTTGCGGCATTGGACTTATTAGTGGTTGGAGTATTTGAGCGCGACGCCGTCTTCGAATGCGAGGAATGCGAAGCAGCAGAAGCAGGCGGAGGAGGTGGCGGCGGTAACGAAGGAGGCGGAGGCGGCAGAGTGCTTCTGACAGGCGCGTTCGTCGCGTTACTCGGCGACGTCTCGGAGCTTCTGTGGTCTGGCTTCGGCGTTGTCGTCTTTCCCGCGAGGTACTGCCCCAGTTTGAACTTCTTCGTCGCGATAGCGGCCGTTGAGTTTGGCGTTGAGCCATTCGTCGAGACCTTCGGCGTCCTTGCGGCGGCGGCCGAGTCGGGCTCGGGACTTTCGCGCAGGTATTTTCCCGTGTATTCCGGCCGGTCCAGCAGCGTGGTGTACTCGTAGCAGAAACAAGACGTGTGCTGATGGTGCTGGCACTGGCGACTCGACTTGTCCATGATCAGTGGGCGCGGCGGAAGGTTAAGCTTCTGGAATCGCACGCCGATTTCGTCCGTGTCGACGACGAGGGCGACCGTGTTCGCCATCGAGCCTGTGAGCGCGCGCGCGTGTGAAATAAGGATAGGCGACAAAAAGGTATATAGCGCGGGATGCGTTTTGTGTTTGTGGGGGTGTGCGTGTATGGGTGTGTGTGTTTGTGGGTATGGTATGGGTGTGGATGTGGAGCTGGGTGTGTATGTGTGTATGTGCCCCTGGGCGTAAAACTCAGTTACTGCTTGCGTGCTTCGTTGCCTGCGATGGGTCGTTCGGGTCGCTAATTCGCGGGGCACATCCAAGGCTGAAGTTCTTTTTGACGGAAGGAAAGGAAAGGAAAAGAGTTTTGTTGTGCTGGCAGGTCGACACAGTTTCGTGGGTAGGCGCGGTGCAGTGCGGTGGGCGGGTTTCTTTCGCCAATAATAATTGACGTCGCACGGTGAATGGAGTTGGGGTGGTAGGGAGGGGGTTAGTAGAGTAGTAGGGTGGGAATTTGGGGTGGTGGTAGGGTGAAGTAGAGTAGTAAAGTAAGGTAAGGTAGGTGGTAGGTAAGGTAAGTAAGGCCGGACGCCGATCGACGGGTAGCCAGCGCCAGCAGCCAGCAGCAACCGATTCGAGTGCGGCTCAGAGGCGGGGGACGAGCATGGCCAGGCTGGGATTGGGGCGCAGTTGAGTGAATGTGCGAGTGAGAGTGAAGAAGACTGGTGGGGAGAATGGGGGCTGGTGGGGAGAAGGAAGGCGGGTGTTGTTTTCGCTGGACGCGGGGGAGTAGTCGGTGGTGGTGGTGATAGTGGTGGAGGAGGTGGTGGTGGTAGTGGTGGTGGTAGTGGTGATAGTGGTGGTGATAGTGGTGGTAGTGGAGGTGAATGGAGGTGGAGGAGGTGGTGGTAGTAGTAAGGAAGTAGAATGGGTTGTCTGTGGGGCAATAGTAGGTAGAGTACGGTAGAAGCAGTGGTTGGTTGGCTGGCGGGTGTTGGTTGGATGGTGGTGGTGGTGGTGTTGTGGGTGAAGGGTTGGCTGCTCGCGGTTGGGTGCGAATAGTTTAGGTATTACGAGTGTACTATCTACAGACCAGCGAGTGTGCGACGAAGGAAGGAACGAAGGGAAGGGATGCACGGAAGGCAGGCGAGAAGGAAGGAAGGAAGAAAGGAAGCCAGAGCTCGGTAAGGTAAGGTAAGGTGGTGGTGGTAGGTTGACGTTAGGTATTGCTCACGTAAATGCGGTATCAATGAGGAATTCCAGCAAGTCGGAATCAGCATCCTTACATACGCGAAACAAGACCTCTCTCCTTCTGGCCCTCTTTGTTGGCCGTGATGCCCGGCACTTCTATGGCTCACTTGCACGGCTTTGTCTCCTCTCGGCGCCTCACTCGCTTAGCTCATGGGCCGTCCCCCGCTGGCGCTCGTTTGCTCGGGATCGCTGCCTCTTAGCTTCCGGAAGCAGGCTATGTCGGCATTCGTCGTCTGAGTACTTACCGTACCGTACATGGGATGCGACTGCTCGATGCGGAACTCGCAAAAAGCCATTACATGAACAACTCAAACGAAACAAATGTGGTGTGCTCTAACTAGACGGTGGCGGAGGATAGTTACATATGTGCAGTGACGTGCCAAGTTATGCGATGCCCATCTCCGCCACGTGATGTTGCGTATGCAGATCCCGTCAAGATCGTGCGCTACGGTAGATGCCAATACTCGACTCCTTCATCGGGCGTCACTTCTGAGACACTTCGGAATTCACCGTCACGGGAGCAGCAGTGGTATGTGTGGCTACCACTCGATTCTACACCAACCTCCTTGCGACCGCGCGTTCGACCACCAGCCGGCCCTTCTCGCCCTCGAGGCTCTCATCCGCATTCTCGTCCATCTCCCCCTCGGCCTCCTCAACAGCCGCCTCATACACCGCGTTCAGCAGGTCCTCATCGACCCTGAGGCCGCACCTGACCATGGCCCTAACACAGGCGCCCACGCGCGCAATCTCCCTCCGCTTCTCGGGCGTGATGTAATCGTTCTTGTCGGAATACATCTCCTCAGTAGCCTCGCCGTCCTTCCCCTCGGCGCCTGCCTTCTTGACCTGAATCCACACCATCCCATTGACGCCCAGAACGACCTCAATATCCGTTGCCGCAAGTGTAACCAGCTGGCTCCGCGCGCGGCGCACACACCCCGCCGGCACAGTGACGAGGTACCCATTGCGGAGCTTCCCATACTTCAGACTGCGGGTATGCAAGCTCGCCCCTCCATCCTGAAACAGACTCTGGACCTCCGCGACGAGCAGCTCGCCCTCAGCAAAGAACGTGCGGATCTGCAGCTCATCCGTGCTCGTCCGCTTCCTTAGGATTCCGCCGGGGAGGTTGATGCTGCTCAGCAGCAAGGCGGCGGACTGGAGGCTGCAGATATCGACCTTCCAGCGCTTCGACTGGACCTCGACGATGCGGCCGACGACGAGGTCGCCGATCTCGGGGTGGTACCGCGAGCGCAGCGGCACTACCGACAAAAGCTTGTTGGTCTTCTGGATCGTGCCGCTGAGCGATGCGATGATCGACGGCGGGAGCGCCGCGGACCGCGAGAGGTACGTGCCGTGCCCGCGCATCCACTGTGGGTCGCTGGTGATCGTTTCGCCGGGGGTTACGAGCGAGGTGGACGGCGAGTCCAGGTCCGTGTCCATCGCGTCGTCGGTGTGCCGCGATGGGAGGAGCGAGAAGAGTTTGGGGGGCGCGGTCGGCCCGTGGATGGAGATCGGCATCTTCGGTGGTGGTGGGGGTGGGGTGCTTGGTGGGGTGGGTGAGGGCGAGGAGAAAGGTTCGTGCAGCAGCAGCCTCAGTTTGACGCGCCGCCAATCAGTTGGTGCAACATGGATCAGAAACCCTAACCCAAGGTGACAAAAGTCCGTCCCTTACATGTGCTAAAGCCTAGAAGGAGACTCTACCGTCAATAGCCATCAACCACCAGCTATTCGTAGCTACCAAAAGCTTGAGAAGTAATTGTCTCGCGATTCTCCACCACTGGCTTCGCACATGATAAACTAGAGTGATAGCGGAGTTCAAGCTATTCAATCGTTTAACATGAGGCTGCCATCGCATACGGTCCGAAGGGAGTGCAGGCAGAGACCGCCGACCGAGATGGAACCACTGACTGACCATCACCACTAGGTACATCATCTTCACGATAATTTCACGTCTTCACATCTGCACACTGAACACGAAAATGAACATAAACGCAATAGCTGCAATTCGATCACCCAACCAAACCCAGCCCTCCTATCCGGTACTTCCCATTCCTATACCTAAAGCGACGATGCCAAAAACACAAAACCAGCAAGCAGCAAGCAGCATAACATCAATCCCGAAACCAAATCCCAAATCGCTGTAGTAAAGTGAAAGAAAAAAAAGGAAGAAAATAGAAATGTTTGTACAGAAAATGGTATGCAGACGACGATAGTACTTTTCGATAGGAAAACGACAACATATCCAGAGCCCAATCAGATCAATCAGTCAGACTTAGGGGCCTCGTGGTATTTTCCATCGGGGTACCGCAGCTTCAAAGCATTTTTCCGCAAAACCTCAGTGTCGGGGTCGTACACCAGGAACTCGTGCAGAGCCTTGCCGGCGGGCACCATAGGCAGGACGGGCACCTTCTTCTGTGTGGGTGTTAAATCTGTCAACTACAAGGTGGTAAACGAATGGAACTTACGTCAACGACAACCTCCAACAGCACGGGGCCGTCGGTCTCGAGCCACTTCTTGATGGTGGCGGGCAGCTCCTCCAGCTTGTCACACCGCATACCAGTCATGTGCATAGCATCGGCCAGCTTGACAAAGTCGGGGTTGGACTGATGGGTCCACGAGAATCGGTTCTCGTAGAACAAGTTCTGCCACTGAGTGACCATTCCCTGCTCCTCGTTGTTCAGAACCAAGATCTTGACACCAATGTTGAACTGGGAGGCCGTTGACAACTCCTGCAACGACATGTTGAACGAGGCATCGCCGTCAATGTCGATCACGATAGCGTCGGGGCGGGCGATCTTGGCACCGATGGCAGAGGGGAGACCGAAGCCCATGGTTCCCAGACCACCAGAGGTGACCATCGACCGCGGGTGTCTCCAGCGGAAGTGCTGGGCAGTCCACATCTGGTGCTGACCGACACCGGTGGTGATGATGACGTCCTTCTTGAAGCTGGCGGTCTGTTTCGAGATCTCCTGGATGACGGTCTGAGGCTTGATCGGTCCTCCGGGAGTCTCACGCTCGAACTCGAAAGGGTAGCGCTTCTTCCAGTCGGCGATCTGGGCGAACCATTCCTGTCGGCTATCGACGGCCTTGAGCTGGGGGATCAAAAGGGCGAGGTTGTCGGCGACATCACCCTCAACGGCCTCGGTGGCTTGGACAACCTTGTTGATGTTCTTGGGCATGATCTCGAAGTGGATGATACCACCACGTCCCTCAGCGGCGGCAGCCTTAGCCTGGGGTGCGAACTTGGCGATGTTTCCAGTGACACGGTCATCGAAACGGGCACCGAGAGCGAGAATCAAATCCGACTCCTGCATAGCCAAGTTGGCGTAGGCAGATCCGTGCATACCCAACATGTGCAGGGACTTCTCCTCGAGCTCATCGTAGGCACCGAGTCCCTGCAAAGTGGTCGTGACAGGAATCTTACACTTGTCCGCCAACTCGCGAAGCAGGGCAGGGCCCTCAGGCTTCTGGAGGATACCCTGGCCGGCGTAGATCACGGGCTTCTTGGCGACAGCGAGGAGATCCGCAACCTTCTTGATGGTAGCGTCCAAGTGCTCCTTGTTCAAGGCGCGCGCGGCGACGGAAGCGGCGGAGGGGTTGGCAGGCAGGTTGGAGGCTAAGGGGATGGGTTGTCTCAGGATGGCAGCAGTGACATCCTTGGGCAGATCGACGAGGACAGGACCGGGTCGTCCGGAAGTGGCGATCTCGAACGCCTCGTTGATACGCCGAGGAAGCTCGGCAACATTCTTGACCATGACGTTCCACTTGGTGCACGCACGCGAGATACCGATAACATCAGCCTCCTGGAAAGCGTCGGTACCAATCGCCGTGGTCGGGACCTGCCCGCAGAAGACGACAAGCGGTGTTCCGTCGCTGAGTGCATCCTGGAGGGGGGTGATAACGTTAGTAGCACCCGGGCCGGATGTCACAAGGACGACACCGGGCTTTCCAGACGCACGAGCATAGCCCTCCGCCATGTGTCCAGCACCCTGCTCGTGTCGGGGCAGGATGAACTCGAAGTGCTTGGAGTTGTAGATGGCGTCGAACACAGGCAAGATGGCTCCACCAGGGTAACCAACTATGATGAGTCAGAATCAGAATCAACCCGCAAAAATTATTTCTTTCAGGAGCTCAGGACGACAAACAGATGTGTTTCACGTTATGCCGCAGCATCATCTCGTGGAAGATTTCACCACCCGACATTCCCACCATACTACAAAGCCAAGTATGTCAGTATGACTCGACCGACCACACATCCAATCCACTCAGGGTGACTCACGAGTCATCCATCTCGGGCTGCTTGCTCCCCCGCAAAGGGTGGACATTATGCGTGGCCGCCGGTGTATCGGGGATAGCATTGAAGGCCGGTGAAGGAATAGGTCTTGTAGCGCTGTAGCCAAGCAAGTATCAGTCACAAAGCTCTGGGCGAGTACCTCGCGGTAGTAGGATTGTGGAGCCTCACGGAGCAGTGGCTGTCGATTGTTTCCGGGTGCGCTTTGGGAGCTCAGCAGCGCCAGCTGGTCTGTTGTACGGCGAAATAGCTGCCGGTGCAGTGGAAGTCTGGAAGAACTTTGTGGTGTTGGCCGTAGCAGACCTTACAATCTGGCTTCGTGAGAGGCATCGAATCGACGCCCGGGCGGGTGACCGGAGCATTGTGGCGGAGGTGGTGAATGTGTGCCGTTAAGAGTGAGATGAGTGCGCTCGAGAGGGATCTCTTGGATTGAGGGAGTGGATAGTGGAAGCAAAAAGCTTAGAAAGACACGATGCTTGCTTGCTTGCTGGATAGAATGGGTTGGCTTTCGGGGGGTGGGTGTTGGCAGGAGAAGAGTAGGTTTTTGTGGTTGAGTCAGTGCAGTCAGAGCACGAGAAAGAACGAGAGAAAAAAACGAGCAAGCCGTTAGATTGCCGCGGCCCCCGATCGCACCACCACCAACCAAAAAATCCTTGCAGAAAGACAATCGACGAAAACTTGGCGACCCCGCGTGCCTTTAAGCAGCTGCCCCCTGCCCGTGCGAGATCATACGTGTTAGTACCCGAGGAAGGGCGAGCTATGTAGTCACAAGTGGAGATATAACGCAACGACGTGCTTCGGTTCGTTCATCATCGACGAATCGTCCGAGAAAGAGAAAGAGATTGAGAGAGAGAATCCGAGCAAAGAAAACGACATGACTAACTACAGCTTACGGGAGGGACCATTGCGTTTGCTTGACAGTCGATTCGTGTCCGCTGTGGCTTGTTATGTACGGTATATCCGAAAGTATTGCCGGCTGCATTCCAGGAACCGTCCATCATCCATAGTTACATCCATGGCCAATGGCCATCATCCGCCAAACGAACGAACGATGAGTGGAGAAAACGCTTATGTTTGTGCTACCGTGCCCTCGTATGCTTACCTAGAGCATACCGGTACTTCTTCAGGGTGTAGGAACATGGAGGTGTGCGGCTAATCTGGATGCACCCCGCTTCACATACATAAAGCAGGTATCATGCCAATTCGGAATACTGGTACCGTCATTGGCGAGAGTCGGGTCAATGGGGTCGGATGTCGTGCCGGAAAATGCCGCGCGAGACTGAGTCATGCTATGACTACAGTCGGAGAGGAAGCAAGAGGTTCACCAAGATGTAGATATTCCGTTCAGTCGATTCGACACTAGATACCTGGCGATGCGCTACTTGTCTGTAGGACATATTCATAGATAATCACTCAACCCACTATCACTTGATAAACATCAGCGCCTCAAACGGCCGCAACGAGAGCACATCCCCCTCCCCGAGGAGCTTCCCATGGTTCCCCAACTTCCTATACCGCTCATCGACCAACTCCTCTACCCTTCTACCACGGGGTATTTCCCACTCAACCGGCCCATTCGTAAAATTCAGCAGCACCAGGGCGCGCTCCTGCCCATTCGTACGTCGATACGCAACGACCCTCGCATCCTCTCGCACCAACATCTCGAAGTCTCCATATATCAGCACATTCTTGTACTGCTTCCGCAGCTGCAGGACCTTCTTCCAGAACGAAAATACGCTGTCCTCGTCGGGCACCTGCAGCGCTGCGTTCCACTGTGGATAGTCTTCGTTCACCCGCATCCACGGCATCCCCGTCGTGAAGCCGGCGTGCGAGGAAGAGTCCCATTGTACGGGAATTCGCGCGTGGTCCCGCGCTTTGAGGTGCAGCGCTTTCATGAAATCTTGCATCTTCGACTCGTCCCTTCCAGCCTGTTCGAGCGCCCTTCGCTATCCGTCAGCTCAATCTACGGTATACGGTATACCCGGGATGGATGCGGGCGGCCAGCCAAACTCACTCCTTATACGCATTCTGCGTCTCGACATCCTTATACTCTTCAATGGGCCAATGCGTGGGCATGTTCTTCATCGCCAGCTCCTGTCCCTGATAGACATATATCGTCCCGCACTGGCCGGCCTCGAGTGTAGCCAGCATCTTTGCGACGCGCACGCGCGTGACCGGGTCGTTGTCGGTGAGCGAACGGTCGACGAACCGACTGACTGAGCGCGGCTGGTCGTGGCTTTCAAGGCACACCGAGTTCCAACCGCCGTTTTGGATCATAAATGTCTGCCACCCCTCCAGTGCTCCCTTGAGCGTCGACAATGTCCAGGGCTTTTCTGGCCACGAGTAGCGCCCGTTGTTGCCAAAGTCCATCGTGATCCTACATGCATACCATCGTCAATACCGTAGGTACGTACCAGCGGCTTGCAGGAATTCGTCCGCACATACATGTCAAACTGAAAAATCATATCCAGCTCCCCCCTCCACCAACCGACCACATTCAATGCCTCGCGCTTATCCGTCATCCACGGCATCTCCCCCACCGTCATGACGTCATACTTGCTCAACACCTCCCTCCCCATCTCCTCGAGGAACTCGTTCAATCTCGGACCGTTGGAAATCAGTTTGTCGGCCGGCTGCCACCGCTCGTTGGGAAGGACCACGGGCGCGTCAGCGAACGAGCGAGGCTTGCTGATCAGATCGATCACGTCCATGCGGAAGCCGTCGGTGCCTTTGTCCAGCCAGAATTTCATCTGCGAGTGCACGGCCTCCCGCACCGGCGGGTGCTCCCAGTTGAGATCGGGCTGCCCGGGAAGGAAGCAGTGGAGGTAGTATTGGCCTGTGACTTCGTCGTATTGCCATGCGCTGCCTTCGTGTTTTTGTGTTTTTACCGTCAGCCCGCCCGCCTGGATCTTAAACTCCGCCCACATACCTCATACTCTACATACCTCCGAACACAGACCGCCAATTATTCGGCGGCCCCTCCTCCCCCTTCTCATTCATGAAACCATCGCGCCACACATACCACTTCCTCTTGTCGTTGTCCAGCGAGCTCCGCGACTCCTGGAACCACGCATGCTGGTCGGAAGTATGGTTCACCACCAGGTCCATGAGCAGCTTCATCCCGCGCGCATGCAGCCCCGCGATCAGGCGGTCCATATCCGCCATGCTCCCGTACCGCGGATCTATCGCCTGGTAGTCCGAGATGTCGTAGCCCATGTCCTTCTGGGGAGATTTGTACACTGATAGCCACCACCACCACCAACCTCATCAGCTACCTACGCGGACGATCAGTGGGGGAGGGGGGGGAGAAGCAGCAAGACGAACCGGGAGAGAGCCATATCACATCCACGCCTAGCTCGTGGAGATAGTCCAGCTTTGAGATGATGCCCGGGATGTCGCCGATGCCGTCGCCATTGCTGTCGCAGAAGCTCGATGGGTAGATCTGGTAGATGCTGGCTTCTTTCCACCAGCGGTGGCGCGCAATGGCGGGTTCGGGCATGGTGGGTTCAAGTTCACCGTGCGGGAAGCTGAGGTTAATGAATAGCTCCATGTGGGGAAGTTTGTATGAAGTGAGGTTGGTGATTTCCCCGCATCTTCTGGTGATACCATAGGTTGGTAAGTACTTCGGTACTTGGTTGTATGTATCTGCGGGGAGTAGATATATTATTAGCCCACGTCGTTGTGGGGCTGTCAAGATATGCCGACGATCTCTCCAGTGGGTAACATTGCTCCAGGTGGAGAGTATCGATCATGGAAACCACAAAAGAGGTTGATGGCCATGGAACATGAATCAAGATCACGCGCTGCGATAAGGAAGCGGGGGACATCAGTCCAGTCCTTTAATCCGACTGTCCATCGAGGAACCCAACGCGGTTGATATCGCGAAATGTTTCGCACACTTGTATGTATCTGTAACGACCAAACGGGCCACCATGTGCACAGTGCGGGGAGAAGCAGGCTAGAGTACCTACCGGCCACCCCGCCAACCGCAGACGATCACAGTCCGCCGTTGATCCGCCTCTCGCTCGAGCACTTTGTCGACAAGCGCGATCCACTCTGGTCTGTAGAATTAGTTATGCCTTCGGTTTATCTCACGAAAAGTGGGGGATGTTCGGCTCGCATGTGGCCCGGCTGGCAAACATGATACCGACGGCACCTCAAACGATTTGCCGAGGAGCTCGGGCCCGGACACTGTGGATGTGTAGCAATGGACCATGCCCTTGGCGAGATAAAAGGGCCGCAATCAGAAATACATCGAAGGGTGCGATCACATGTGCACTGGTGCAAGCTGAGGAGATTCCGGCTTTGGCATAACTGCGGTACTGCCTGTCGGCGATGCCTTTGTACTTCTGGGCTGCGAGCACGTATGTTACATACCATCTCCACTGCCCAGAAGTCCCCTCGACGTGGAGTTTAGTCGGTAACCGCAAGTGGGAATAGCTGGCGCTCTAATTGCATGTTGTTGAGGCACCCTGTTCCCCCTGCAATCCCAAATGCCCTGAGTGAGCAAGGAACCGAAGAAAAAAAAAAGGGCGAGCTGTCCAAACTCAACAAATCACGAGCTTCTCCCGCAGGAAAGAGATGCCAGACTAAGATAGAGTCCCTAAGAGGTAAGGAGAGCTGCGAGCAGGTAAAGTTACTTGCACTTCTTCGGTCCTCTTCCTCTTCTTCTCTTGATCCCCTATCTATCCGCCTTCACACTGCAACCGAAGTGTCCTTTGCCGTCTGGCCTGCTGTGCTGCATACATAAATCTCCCCTCACTCCTCATCCATTCCCGTTGCAACCAACTCTCTCTTCACCCCACTCACCACTCTACACCACTCCCGTCCGCGCCTCGGTCCTTCTCGGTCTTCCTCGCCGTCGAACCCAACACTCTCAGCTCCATTCCAGCTTCGAACCCTCCAATCCATCCCACTACAGTCGTCCTTGGTCAGGGCCCTTGACACCGCACACAAATAACGATGGCCGCCGCAGCAGCTGTTCCCCAGAAGTTGGAGAAGAAGCCCGTGAGCTTCTCGAACTTGCTCCGTAAGTTCCTACCCATCGGGGTCCATCCGGGAATGGACCACTCGCTGACGATGGATGCTGCACAGTCGGAGCCGGTTTGAACATGTTCGAGTAAGTACTCTCGTTGGAAGGCGTGGGTTGGTGCAATGAGGGAAGGTGACTGACGTTTGATTCTCCATAGGGTTACCACCTTGGGCCAGGTATGATGTTCCGCAGAGCAATTGGGTTGAGGATGCGAACAGCCAGCTAACAGCTTCTTTTTCGCCTGACAATAGCCGCTCGAGGTCATCAAGGTGATTATCTCCTCGCACCCCTCTCTCGCGATCGATGCAGAAGGACTGACTTGACTGTGCTCGGTAGACTCATATGGCGGCTAACCGTGGCGACAACATCGTAACGGCGGTCACGAAGACCTGGGGGCGTGGAGGACCCTTTGGGTGTAAGTCCCCACATACAACTCCGCAGCATACATCGAGAACCACACGCTGACATTCGCTCTCCCGACGACAAGTCTACCAGGGGTTGATCCCGTGGGTTAGTTTCCTCTCGCTTTTTGTGTTCTACTTCCGAGGTTGCACTTGTCGCTCCGGTGGAGAAACTCGGCTTGGCGCTTGTTTCTCCGGCGTGACATGTGCTCCGGGAATGATTGGATTCGTGAGGCTAATGCAAGGATCCTGCAGGCCTGGATTGAAGCTTCCACCAAGGGTGCTGTGCTCCTCTTCGTGGCCGCCGAGGCCGAGTACGTCCCGACGATTCCCGCGCAACTGCCAGCTAGCTAATTGAGTGCGGGGTGGCAGATACTACGCCCGTACTCTCGGCGCCGGAAACTTCACTGCGGGTATCTCCGGAGGTGTCATCGGAGGTGTTGCGCAGGCGTATGCCACGATGGGATTCTGCACATGCATGAAGACGGTTGAAATCACCCGCACCAAGCAGGCCATGTCCGGCATCAAGCCTCCTTCGACCTTCGTCGTTTTCGCCGATATCTACCGCAAGGAGGGTATCGCCGGTATCAACAAGGGAGTCAATGCCGTCGCCATCCGCCAGATGACCAACTGGGGAAGCAGATTCGGTCTTGCGCGCCTGGCAGAGCAGGGAATTCGTGATATCACGGGCAAGGCGGAAGGAGATAGGCTCAGTGCTATGGAGAAGATTTTGGCCTCCGCTATCGGAGGAGGTCTCTCTGCGTGGAACCAGCCCATCGAGGTCATCCGTGTGGAGATGCAGTCGAAGAAGCCCGACCCCAACAGGCCGAAGAACCTGACTGTCATGAAGGCCGCCAAGTACATTTACTCCTTCAACGGAATCAAGGGTCTCTACCGTGGTGTCACCCCCAGGATCGGACTCGGTGTCTGGCAGACGGTCTGCATGGTCGGACTCGGTGACATGTAAGTTTCCCCGGCACTTCCACCAAGCCAACTGATACTGACTACATACAGGGCCAAGGAAGCAGTCGCGGCGCTCACCGGCGAGGTACCTACCGGAAAGCACTAGATGATGAGTGTAGAGAATATTGTGTACGGTGTGGGGATGATGAGACGAGGATAGAGAAAAAAATTGTGAACTGGGTTGGCATGGGGATATTTGCTTGCTTCGTTACGACCTGATAGATCCATTCCATTTGGTATGATACACACATACGTACTTATACCAGACATATGATTTTGTAGTTACAGGGCTTTTATACCAATTCTAGTACGGATTTTATATCGTTTCTTCGAGGTCGAGGCCTTGGCTTGCTTGTGAACTGTTGCAAACGGTTCGCTGGGCAGATCGTTAGGTGATGCCGTGTGAGTAGCGGTACGAGTCGGTATAAGTCCCTACGAGACCCTATGTTGAATAGGATTTCGTGAAAGGTGAGCCGAAAGTTACGGTTTGCCGGCCAAAGGATATCTGAGAGGAAACGAGTGAGTAGGATTCTCTGATACCTAGCTTTCATGATCTTCTTGTCACTTGCTCGATGACGCCAGAAATTGAACGCTCTTGAGGTCCAAAGAAGCTGGTGCAGGTGTGGCAGGGAACATGAATGAAGCTAGCCACATCTGGATTTTTGCAACGAGCTCTCGCTCGTTTCTGCGTCCGACCTCTTCACCTCATACTACTCATCTGCACACACAACCAACCCGGGCAAACGACTTCCCTCAACGACAACCACTTCTATTTTCAGATTCTCAAAACAATTCCTATCGATTACCAAGCAGCAATAATAATAATGGATAGGGACAGAGAACGCGATCGGGAGAGGGACAGGGACCGTGAGAGGGACAGGGACAGAGAACGCGACCGAGATAGGGATAGGGACCGCGACCGCGACAGAGATCGTGACCGCGACCGTGACAGAGACCGCGATAGGGACAGGGACAGGAGGTATGTTCCCTGACTACTCAGGCTATCCCGTTCGTATCTTGCAGCTCGAACAATGATGCTTACTCGTTTCGGCGTGCTGTGCAGATACCGAGACTTCGGTGGTATCGACTCGTATGTCCCCACCATCCGCCGTCGTCCCTCGCGCTCCCCACCCCCTCCTCTACGCAGCGACAGCTGGGTTCCGCGTCGTCGCTTTTCCCGTTCCCCACCGCCGCCTGCACGTGCCCGATCCCGCTCACCACACCACCCACCACCGCCTGCGAGAAGGAGACGTTCAATCTCGAGGAATTCCGCGAGGGATAGAGCGAGATCCAGATCTCCACCACCTCGCCGCCGCTCCAGATCGAGGTCTCCGCTGAGAAGGAGACGCTCCCCGCCGCCCCCGAGAGGTGGATCTAGGTCCCCGAGGTTCAGGAGGAGATCTCCGTCCCCCGCCGTCGCGAGACAGAAGGATAAGTCCCCGGTGCGCGAGAAGCGAAATTCGCCGCCTCCTCCTACCCCAGGCTCGGCAGTAGCTCCCGCGAGACCTAGAGAGGGCCGCTCACCTCAGCGTCAACCGCCAACTGGACCCGCAGCAACGAGAAGGGACACCTCCAGGGAGAAAGAAAAAGACAAGGAGAAGGAGAAGTCGCCGGTCATCACCCGGGACAAATCGAGAGAGAGATCACCACCGCCGCCTCGTCGTCCACGTTCGAAAGAGAGATCTCCCCCATCTTCAGCTCTCCGACGGGGCCGTTCACCGCCGCCGACATCGAGAAGAGCTCGTTCAACAGAGAGGAGCCCGCTCGCCTCCCGTATCAACGACAGGACCAGAAGTACTTCGCGTCCTGCCTATAAAGATAGGTCCCCAAGGAAACGATCGGCTTCACCAAGGTCTCCGATGAATCGTCGTGGAGGTCGTTCGAGGACGCCCACCGGCCCTCGCCGCAGGTCGAGGTCGCCATACCGCGGTGGAGGTGGAGGATTCGGTCGCGGTGGAGGAGATTATCGTCGCGGTGGAGGTCCAGGAGCTGGTGATCGTTGGACGAGCAGCAGTGCTCGAGCCCGTTCGCCGTATCAGCCGCGTGCTCGTACGCCGAATGGTCCGGCTGCCACGAGGAGAGGACGTTCTCATACTCCGCCGGCTCAGCGTCCAGTTGCCCGTGCTAAATCGAGGTCGAAGAGTCCCGTGGAGGAGCCCACACCGCGAACCGCAGCGTCTCCAGTGACTAGAGCCGTTGAACCATCGCCGCAGATGCCGCCGTCTCGTCCTCGCTCACGATCTCCGGCTCGCAACGCCGAGTCCCGCCACGAGTCGCCCCGCCCACCTCCGAGATGGTTCCCTGGATCGCCTGCCATTCCTGGATCTGGAGCCAATTCCCGTGGACCACAGTCGCCGGCCTGCCCACCCTCTGCCCATCGCTCCCCGCCGTCAAGAGCCCGCTCGCCCCCGAGAGGTCCTAGAAATGACATTCCGCCACAGCCACCGATTAATGGCCAAGGAATTCACCCTGACCGTCTGCAGCATCTGTCGTCTGCGGCTGCACCTACCAACGGTGCTCCTCCCGCTGCTCCGAGAGGTCCCTCCGGTGTCGGTGGAAGGGCCCCACCCACGCATCCCCGTGGTGGTGGAGGATTCGGACCACCCCGTGCCCAGCAGCAGCCACCGATCAACCGCGGTCCCCCCGTTCCACAGCAGAGACCCACGCCACCTGCTCCCCCGCTCGGCCCGAGACGTGGATCCGCCGTTGGCGTTGGCAACCCCGCCACCCAATCCGCCACCCCTCAGCCAACCGCAATTCCCACTGGTCCCCGCGCTGGCAACTTCCCTTACCGCACTTCGCTCCCCGCGCAGGCGCCAGTCCGGTATGTCCCCGCTGCAACCGGTCCAGGAACTCTCATCCCCGGCGGCAAACTCCTCCCGCCCATCGACAAGGCGAGCGAGGACCGCTTGACCCGCCTGCGCGCGGAACAGGTCAAGCTCGAGGAAGAGGTGCGCATCTCTCAGGAGAAGAAACGCAAGGGACTCTACGCCTGGGAGAAGAGCAAGCGCGAGGCGGAGATCGCGAGCTACCGTGTCGAGGTTGCGGAACGCCAGCTCCAGGCGGCCCAGGAAGTCTCGCTCGAATAGGAAACGGGTGAGCAGGCGTCGTCCATGGAGTTGGGCGGCATGGATGGTGATAAATGGAAGTTGTGATTCCTTTCGAGGCATGAGCCGGCGTTTTAGTACCCTTTTTCGTTCTTTACCAATTGACTGTTTCTGTTTCTGTTTCTTTTTTCATATGCCCCTTTTCTTTTTCATCTGGCCGTTTTTTCTTCTTTCTTTTCACATGTCCTTTTCCTTTTACTTTTTCATCTGACGCTTTTACTTTGCATTTTGCATTTGCATGTCGACGGAACGGACATTTACTCGGTCTTTGAGATCTTGTACAATGACTACCCATGACGGATGTGCAGTGCAAAGGTGGTTTCTGATTGCGTTGCGCTGCGTTATGACCTCTACTTAGTTAGTACTTGCTTTTCATGGTATCTGTGCGTTTGGACCCGGCCGTGGACCAGATTCAAGCGCGGGAAATTTGTAAAGATATGTGCGGTATAGGTGGTATACATGGTACTATAGATAGGGATGGGGATGGGGATGGGGAATTGGCATGGAAGGCGAAGTGTTGATGAAGGTGAAGGCGAAGGCTTGGGTGCGAGATGGCGGGACTCGGTTGTTACGGGCTTGTGGTAACTTACCGTGGATGAGCCTTGAGGATGCTTAATTGCCTTTCATCGTTGATTGCTGGAGCTTGCATGCACGTGTACTAAGTATAAAAGCTTCTGAGGGAATGATAGGTAGTTCATCATGGAGAGCGGGACTTGCCTGGAGTGACGGCGTGAAGTTATGCTTGAACAGTGACTCTGTTTATATACTGGGTTTTGACCCGCTTGCCGCAACGGCTTTGGCGGTTTACCACCGAGGGCTCACCGGGAAGGTGCAAGTAAGGTTGAGAGACGCCTAAACAAATATCATTCTGTTGTCTTTGCTAGGTATTCTGCGTGGTCTCTGTGTTGTTATTCCACAAGCTACATACCGGTGAGATACCGGTATGCACTGTACCTACAGTAGCGTAGGTACTCTATATATACCGGTAGACATAGCACGCGGTAAACTTTCGGAGCAGACTACTAGTTATTCTCCGAGTGAGTGAGTGATGATGCGTGTCTACCTACATAGAAGCTCTGCACCGGCTGGAGATCGCCGGTTCATACTGGATCTATATACCAGGCGTACGGAGTACATACGATTTGGACATCAATACGAGCATTCCTCATGTTACCGGAGTGATCCGGAGTGGCTGTGAACGGTGGAGATGTGAAGCCTCTGTAGCTGGGCATGCAGTGAGAACGCCGGCCACCTAGCGCCAAGTCGCATCTCCGAGTCTCCTCCCCACCGGAGACCGCAACTAACCAATTCGACACGCGAATATGCATAAACTTTCTTCTATTCACCGCTTGGAATAGAGTAAATTCGCAGATTGGCATAAGCTCTCCTTGGCGGGCATCAAACTTCAGCTCGTCTGCCTGGTTACGGTACAAGCGAGACCTTGCCCAGTGCCCCCCCCCCTGCCCCCCTTCCGTCGTGTGTGTGCACGGGAGAGATATAATGTCGATTCGGCCGCCGCCATCATCATCATCACCATCGTCAGCTCAACACCACCACCACCACTACTACGAGGCCTACTGCAGCTACACACCCGCTTCGTCGCTACAAAATTTAGAACACACCACGCGCACAAGAATGGTTGGCGGTCATGGGCGCACTAGGAGCATGAGCATCAGCGATGCTATCGAGAGAGGGAGACGGCGCGCGCACAGTGTTACCGCGACTGAAGTGGTGGAGACACTGAAGGCACCGATCAGTTACAGGCTTGTTGTGAGTTCTTCCGGGAGACTGACGAAGGGGGGAGGGTGAGAAGGGGGATCAGAGCTGATGGGTGCAGGTTCTGTGCATGACTTGGTACCGTTCCCGATCGTGATTGAAGATGAAACCAAAGGTGGTGTTGGAAGCTGACGTCCCGAGAATGCAGGTATCTCGTGTCGGCACTATCGAATACCTCCTCAAAGAGCATACTGAATGCGCTGCCGAGACCGGTCACGCTCACCATCGTTCAATTCGGCTTCGTGTCGTCGTGGTGTATCCTGTTGGCGATCATTGCGCGCTACGTGCCCCTCGTCGGAAGAGCCATACCAGGACTGCAGGGCGGTTTGAGGTATCCAAGCAGACATGTCATCTATACCACGGCGCCACTCGCGGTTTTCCAGGTCATGGGTCATATCGCGAGCTCCATGGCGACGAATAAGATTCCCGTGTCGCTGGTCCATACGATCAAGGTCCATCTCATCTTCCTCCCGCTCCCTCCTTCCCGGACGATGAGTTGACAGGGTGCGATTGATCCAGGGCATGTCGCCGCTCTTCACTGTTGCCGCCTACCGCTTCATCTTCAACATCCAATACAGCACCGCAACCTACCTCTCCCTCGTCCCGCTGACCCTCGGCGTAATGCTCGCCTGCTCGGTCGAGTTCCGTGGCAACTTTCTCGGCGTTTTCAATGCCTTCTTCGGTGCCATCGTCTTCGTCACGCAAAACATCTTCTCCAAGAAGCTGTTCAACGAGTCTTCGCTCGCCTCGGAAACGATGGTTCCGATCCACCGTAGGAAGCTGGATAAACTTAACCTCCTTTGCTACTCCAGCGGGCAGGCGTTTCTGCTCACCTTTCTGCCGTGGCTCTACATCGAAGGAGGGACACTCATGAGCCAGTATCACAACACCGGTGGCCTCGTGCTCACGGATAAGCCGGGGAAGCATGGCCAGCCGGCTCTCACGGGCTGGGAGCTAGTCGCCGAGTTCGTATTCAACGGAACCGTGCATTTTGGTCAGAACATCATTGCGTTTGTACTGCTGAGCTTGGTGTCGCCGGTTACGTACTCGGTTGCTTCGCTCATCAAGCGGATTTTCGTCATCTTGATGGCTATTGCTTGGTTCGGGAATCCGACGACGGGTTTACAAGCGTGCGGGATTGCGCTTACGTACGTCTTCTTTCTCCCCTCGGTTGCGGAAGAATGTTGGCTGACAGGAGGATAGCTTCCTCGGATTATACCTCTACGACCGCGCTGGTGATACTACGCGTAAGGAGAAGGCGCTGAGAGCCTCGCAGCTGAAACACGAAGAGCCACTCCTGCCATTGAGCTCTGACCACAGCACTGGCGGCGGAGGTCACCACATCAAACACACCAGTGTAAGTCACGGTAATGGATTCATTGAGTCGAGTTCTACCATCAAAGAGTGAAAAGGATGTGGGTTTTTGGAGAAAATGAGTGCGGGGACATCATATAGGAGAGGTTTCACTAAATGTGTGCTTTTGTTTTTGCGTGGAGTTGGAGTTCGGGCTAGATGCTGGATGACCATGGGATGGGATGCGTTGAGTTTGTGTGTATGTTATGCATGCGGTCTACCGACTGCGTCTGGTGTCTGATTGAGTATCATAGGGTTCTCGCTGGTCCTCCGTCTGCTCCTTCGAGTAGGATACAATGACCGAGCCCTGCAATGTTTGTACAAGTAGTATACACCCTCCACTCCCCGTGGCATCGATCTTCCACCACCGGTTTAACCGGAAAGCTCGTCCTGCCTTGCCAGTCCTCTCGAATGGCGATCCATCTGCTCGACCACGTCCGCAATCGTCATCTTGGTGGTATCGAGCTTCACTTCCTTCCCGTCCTCTATGCGCCGTCACCCGCATTAGTCCCATTCTCCTCGCGATATCTTCCCCCCGTCCGTCACTCGTTCTCCCTTTCTCCCGCCCCGTCACGCCCCCCACCCCCCCCCCCCGTATCTAAGAGCACTCACTGAACACAACGTCAACCCTTCCACCGACTTTGCTGTCCCGCGGTAGCACGGTGGTGGTGACCTTCACGCCGGTAGCGCGCGCATCCGGTGGCAGCAGCGAGGCGAAGATCCGTGCCGTCCGGCCGCCGCGCACGAACGGGTTGAACGAGATTGTGGCCGATGTGAGGTAGCGGGTGATCATGGTGTCGTATCGGGGTGGTGGTGGTAGTGGTGGTGGTGGTGGGGGAGGTAAGTGGTGGTGGTACGCGGGGGGAAATTTTGAGCCGCGGTGGTAGGGATCCTACGGATCCTACGGGCGGTAGGGCTGGTTAGTGTCATGTGATCGGGGTGGGTGAGATGATGATATGTGTATCCTACTTACATCATTCTCCATGATATCTACTCTGTCTAATCTATGTCTATGTTAATCGCTATATCTACGGGCATCTACCGCTCACTCAGCTCACTTGAGCCACCTCGCCAAGACGGTGCCAATAACCGCCGTCCCTACCGCCGCTCTCGCCGCGATGGTAATCCACACCGCCTTCCTGACTTCAATCAGGTAGCCCTCCAACAGCATATGAACAGTACTCCCTCTGTCGTTTCTCCCGCTCGCCACTGCTTCCCTCGCCGCCTCCAAATTCCTCTTCCTCAAGCCTGACGTCATCACCTTTGCAACCAACTGCACATCCGGCGCCGTGAGCGTGGGCCACACCCACATATCCAACGTGCCGCCCGCAGGTGGCAGCATATCCAGGAAGTCCGCCAGGACACCCAGGGTGAGGCCCCAGACCACGAGCCTTTCGCGCTCGCCCAGGAAGTCGTTCCCGAACGGCGAAAAGACGCTAGTGGTAGGCTGCAATTCGATCGCGGCAAAGAACATGTGGCCGAGTGAGAGCCGCAGACCGTAGCGGATTATGCGGCCGTGGAACCCGGTGAATTGGCGCGCGAGCCGGTCGGATACGTCGGTTGTTTCGAACGTGCGGAAATCTGGCGAGAGCAGCGTGCGCAGTGGCACCCAGTGGATCGATGCTACTTCGGTCGGCTGCAGCGACAGCGCCGGCGGTGTGGGCGAGAGCAGGAGGAACATGAATGGACAGAGGACCATCAGTCTGTCGTCGCCGTTAGCACGATCGGTCATTTGCGCGGCGGGGGAGCCCTACGGTGTCGTTCCCCAGCTGGTGGTGATAATCCTATCCGGCAGATGTCCGGAATACAAGTTGGGCTCCGTGCTCAGATCCAGGCCCACCTCCTCCAGCGTCTCTCTCTCTGCCGCCTCGCGGTCCCCGCCATCCTCCGGATCCCGCTTCCCACCCGGAAACGCCACGTGGCTGGTCCACCGATCCCCCTTCCGCGCGGCGCGCTTGATAAACAATAGCTCAACCTCGCCATGACTCACCCACTCCTGCTGGAAAAACTCTTCTATGCTCGCCGGAGTGCCCGCGGTGGGCGCGGGCAGGTGTGCTGGATTCGGTTGCACCTAGAGTACATGCGGTCGTCAATGAATGGATGCGCTGTGGTAACTAAAGGTGAGGGACGGAGCGGTGCGCACTCGGAGGACGAGAGCTACTGAAGCTCGCTTTGGGACTGTGACGGGAGAAGGGATTGCGGGTGGCGGATTCGCCAGGAGATCCTGAAAGGTGCTGGTGAGTGCCGGTAGGAGGGTGGAGTTTGGTATCATCGTGGTGGCGGTGTGGTTCGGAGGTGCTGGGAATTCGCATACCGAAGTGTTGACTTAGCTCCAGCTACCACTCTAGATATACCTAGGGAGCTACGCGGGGCTTGGCGTTAGCGTCATGAGGAATTGAGGATCTCGGCTTTGGCTGCTGAGAAGATGTCGGCAACTGGATCCTGACACCTTTGTGGTTTCCAAGCACGAGAATGATAGCATATTAGAAGTCTGTCCGAATTGATCCAGAAGCACCAGGCCGAAACCGACGGTGAACCACACGTCAAGTCGTTCGCTTGATCATGATATCACACTCGACTTTTTTTTACGACAGTAGACACCACCCAAAGAAAGCTTTAGATCATCCTTGGTAGGATATATGCGCGCGTCTAACTCGCCTATGTACATAGAGTACTCCGAGTACATAGTGCCGAGAATCTAGGAGTGGAATGAAGATCTGGGGTTGAGGTGACGAGCTATGTCTTAATTTCCAAGTTTCGTGCGCAGCCGCTAGCGGCGACGCACTCCATCCAAGGCAACGGGGAGGCTAACCCGCCCAAAGGACCGATGCGTTGAGTTGCTAAGATGTATGATTGTCCGATAGGAGCATAATAGCGAACCAGAATAGGTGCTTGAACAATTGCCAGTCGAGGGGCCAGTCGGTGCGGCCAGGGAGAATAGGTATTTAACCACTGAAGAGTAGAAGTGGCAATGGCCGCTGCAAAGACCTATTGACCATGAACAAAGAGGGATTATCTGGCCATTGTTACATGGTGGGTGTTTGGGTGATAGAATGCCCGCTTGAAAGACCCATTGACCATTACCGTAGAGTGAATGTGCACTTGCAAACTTAAATTCACGAGTGTCCCGGCAGCGAGGAGGTGACGAGAAGGGCCAAGTTTATCGTGCTGCTGGCGACGATGAATGCAGAGCTACGCGATTTCGTGGGCGGGGGGCCAATATGCTGCTGATGGAGCCGATGTTGACGGTTATTCTGGTGGGAATTTGATTTTGTGCTGGGGGGGAGGAGGAGGAGGGTGGCTGTGGATGGTTGAGAACGCAGTCATAGGGATTGTTGTCAGTTCTTTCCTTAGAAAATTTTCCATTCTGATGGTGCACACATATTGCGCTCAACGTGGGTCGAGTGAGTCAAGGCTGCAAACCAACTCTCGTCCTCTTTAGTCCCCTATAACTACCCTCCGCATTCCCGTAAAATCGGGCCAGTATTTTTACAGTGGGGTTATTGTCTTTGTTTCCTTGCACTTCTGGCAGGTTGCGCGGCGGACAATCCGTGGAGGGGTATATCACACCCACGACGTATCACTCGATTCGCCATGCTCGTGGGAGGTGGGATTGGGGTCATCCCACTTCTCCGGAAGGAATGCCGGCTCCGGGCGTCTTGCCATCCCTTGGTCAGGCTGAAGCTTCAAGTGGAAAGCGATCCACCCCCTACCATCCGTTCGGTGGGTAGATTGGGGCCTGGGCTCTTGTCCGGACACCATTCGCGGCAACGTGATCAGCACCGAAAGACTGCTCGTATGTATTAAGCCTGTCACTACGGTGAGGTAGAAATCTGCCATCACCCCAACAACGAGGAGAACGTCAGGCCTCAGTGATCTTAGTCTTCGAGATTGGCGCTGAGGTGATCCTGTTACGGGAGGTGATTGTTGCGGTTGTTGTTGGGATACAGGAGGTGGCCATGCTGGATCACCCTCAACGATACTAGCAGTGAAGCGAATCATTGGAACTCGCCCGCTTGGGCCCACCGGCCCGGGCTCCTCAACGCTGGGCTGTCTCGCTCCGGGCTGCGGACTGGCATTGACCGGGCTGAGCTATCGCCTGCACTTCCCACCACTTTATAAGCATCGAATTCATGTTTCCAGCACGGAAAAAACCCGCGTGGTCTAGTGGTCTAGGCCATGCAAATAGCGAAGGCAGTTGAGGGAAAGTTCCGGCTTCAACCCAGATAAAAGACCTTTGTATTCAGCTCTTGGGGCTTCCAAGTCACCCGCCGGATGTGGTGACGGTTTTTGTTTTTTGTTTTTGGCGTGACGGAGGGAGCATTAGTTAGATATCACTCGGTAAGTTCACGTGACACACCTTACGCTGCCGGCTGTGGAGGCGAGAATCCAGTTACTACCAAACGCCTACTGACACGGCTTCGCCTAAAGAAAACATTGCAACTTGTACGCTATGAGAAAAAAAGGCCGACTTACGAGTAGAAGACTGAATGGTACCAGTGAAAATGAATGAGCCGCACTTTGTGCTGATAGCCAGTTTACATGCAGACTCGCATTCACTTAAGTGCCGCTTGCCGCATTCCTTGTACCCTAGGGACTCAGCGAGCAGGCTGTTCTGAATACTAATCCTGAAGCACTCCCTGGTCTTTTGGGTCTGCTAATCGGCGTTCCATAGCCTTTCAAATCGATCAGGGCTGGACAGTACGTTGCGCGATGCGGCGAGCGCGATCGGGCCGGGTTTTGACCGTATCAAAACCCCCGGTGCTGTAGCCGGAGTTGTTAATCAGCCCGATACCCGATACAGCCCGTTGGAGCCGGGGGGGTCGGCCAACCACCAACGCCCCTATAAGGTACGTACTTCAAATAAAGTTCCTCAATCCACTCATCTCAACCCAGCCTTATCCTCACTTCACCACTCTCCGCCTCACGAACAACTCCTTGGGATCGCCCACGACGAGTGAGTTCCCGTGCCCGCCCCGCGTCTGCAGCCAGCCGCGTTACACGCTTACCCACGCAGCGGGGGTACGATTGGCGGGGTTCTCGGTAAGCGGCCATCAGCTGTCCGACAATGCGCTATCTGTGCGCTTTGCTCTCTTACCCTCCAACCTCGACCGGCCATCGTCTCCCGTGCCAGCACACCACACATACACTCCCCCCTCCCCCACCCGCCCTAGAGAAAGGGAACGATTCCGTTTGAATCCTACGCGCTGCGAAGAATCGATCCCGCAGACGCCACATACGTCCCCGCGGGTGAAGCGGGCGTCTCCCCCCCCCTCGCATCCAACGGTACTTCTGGTGTTCGACAGTTCGAGGAGAGATGCGTGGGTTCCTTCGATGACCGGTCCTGCTTGGATCCAGGATCTACGACGACGGACTCAGAGAGCTTGACGTTCTCGTCAGGTTCGTCTATAATACCTACTTTCCCTACCTAACTAGCAAATAATTATCACTTTTCCATCAACTCAGAACTCCCTCTTGTCCGACTCTGAAAACTCTTAGGTCTTGATTCTCGAGGACGTCGGACGATCACTTTCGTAGTTGAGAGGCCGTCTCTGCCTGCCAGGGCTATCAGCACCCACTGCGGCGAAATTTGTGCTCAGCCATGCGAGCAAGTTATCTTTCAAATTGGCATGTTTTGGGGTCATGGACTCTGACCATCGTACTCTAAGGGTTGATGCCCGCCTGGAGATAATGATCTGGATCTTTGCACGGAAAGAAAAAAAAACGGATCAGGATGATACTACATACGTGTCACTCAGGCTAGCTATCGCTGACATGCAAGTAGATGGGTTCCTGAAAATCATGGCTGCTCTTCGGAGTTACACCGGGAGATACATACGTTGCTACATACTGTCTCGGCACGAGAAGTCACTGCATTCATACTGGGAGCCGTGGAATTCTCGGTATCGATCCGCCACGGGGGGGGCTAGGTTGGTGAAATTGCAACTGCACCGGTCGGCTCGGCGGTCAGAGAACATTGCATCACCAAGAGCCTCCACACAACGGCCTGCAAAATAAAACGGGAAATAGATTTATTTCCTATACCGGGGACCAACCGAAATTCTTAGACCAAAATATAGCCGGGCGTATGGTGGTCCCGAGGTACCACAAGAAGCACTGTCTCTATGACTCTAATACGATGAAATTGTTGGTTCGTCGTCACAACATCCACGGCAACGACAAATGACGGTACCCGGTTACAAACCTTAACTTGATTCGCATACAAGCTGGCGGTGGGTGTGGATCAGTCTGGCCCGAGGGAAATGTGTTCGTCGTCGAGTGCGTTGGTTGGAATTCCGAGAGCCTGGTTTGGGCAACATGTGCATCCATGGCATTGGGATTGAAGATTGTTGGCACTGCCGAAGCTTGGGGGGCATAGCAAATTCAGCAGACCATCGACCAGCGGGGGGCAGATGGCACATACCAAACCGTTGTCATTCTGATATGTGACGGGAGATGGTGCCACCGAGGCAACCTATGAAGGTGTGACGACGAAGCGATATGCGGTGCTATGCTGGAGGTTGGGGATTTTGGAGCGTGGGACAATCTTGCGCCAGGATCTAGTTACCGGTGGACGAGTGGGAAACCGGGGAAGGTGCAGCGGTAACGGGAACAGTTGCCGCGAAGGTTGACCAGGCTATAACCGTCTGGGTGGCCATCGATCGTGGTTGTTCCGAAGCATATGACCAAGAGAAATCTGGTTCGGGACGATCGTGTGGTGGCATAACAATTAGGGCGGAGCCGGATGGCGGCGACAGCAGGTAGTGGGTGGTAGCTTTCTTTTCTTTTCTTTTTCCAAAGTCCGCAACGCTCGTATCGTCCTTCCAGGGGCTTCGAGAGCCGCCCGATTGACAGGAACAGATCACAATTGAGGAATACCTTTAATGACATCTATCATTAGCATCGGCTCATCGGGAGATCCCACCGTTCGGGTTCCGCAGGAGACGGGTCGCGTGCACTTGGGCTCTTGGCCTCATTGGTAAGATGTCCCCAGCGGATCGTGCATACATCAGACTCTATCGTACGACGACACGCTGTTGGGAATGTGACGGTTGACTTTATCGTAGGCTTATGCATGCCGGTAGGATCTGCACTGGAGAGGGACCCCTTTATACACCTCCCGCTTCGATGTCGATCGCCAGCAGCACGATGACGTCCCCAACTGCGGTCCATCACTGCTGATATCACGATGCTCCTCGTAAAGGGTACAACCAGGTGCAGAATTCCGACACGGCCTCGGCGGGACGATCCGCAGTCAGTTCGAAGGGGCATGACTCCAATGGTCCTTCCGCGGAGACCTATAGGCGCTGATTGCTGGTGCGAAGGGCACTGTGTGGAATGGAGCCGCAAATCTGGATACTTTTGCTGTCCGGATATTATTGCGTTCACCGCTAGAAAAAATTCCCTTTGGGTTCA